AAAGCAACAACGGCGTCTGTCGCAGGAAGTTATCAGCTAATAACGCCGTTTAACGCAAACACTAAGATGATGATTAACAACCTCAGCACTAATCTCCCCGGCGCTAAATTCTCTTACATCGACGTTCGTAACTTGTTCCAGGATCTTCTTGCTAATGCCAGATCATATGGTATTTCATTAATATACCTCCATTTAATCTTTTTTTTTTTTTTTTTTTTTAATTTTGAATATTGAAAATGATATATATATTATTGTAGGATTCAGCGTAGTGAACCGGGGATGCTGTGGGATTGGGAGAAACAGAGGGCAGATAACTTGTCTACCGTTTCAAGTGCCGTGTCCCGATAGGAACCGGTATATATTCTGGGATGCGTTTCACCCGACCGAAGCTGTTAACGTCTTGTTTGGACGGAGGGCTTTTAGTGGTAACAAGGATGAGGTTTATCCCTTCAATGTACAAGAACTTGCTAGTCTTTGATCTCACATCCAAACATGGCCTTATTTGTAGTTTGTGAAGGGAAGTTATGATGAGTTGTAGGAGAATTTATCCAGCAAATGTTGATTTTTCTGCTGTTTTAGAACAAGTTTGATTTGTCATTCTATTATAATTTTGAACCTTGTCTTATTTTGTAGCTTATAAACAACTTAAATTATATTTATTAATCCTCTTTCGGAGAAAAGAATTAGGCCTCGTCTGGTTGGGGAGATTAGCAATGGTTAACTAAATAATAAGACTTTTTAATATTTGTTATCCTCAATAACTTGCTTATCTAGGTTTTTAGGTATGTCTTTTTTATTGGATCATCGAATGTCAAATAATATATATCTCGACAACCAAACGAGGCCTTGTAGTATTAATGGTGTGATATTCGTGACAAATTTCTTGAAAATTTGTTTGTGGTAAAATCAGCGGTGATAAACATAAATTATAACTACTAATAACAAAATTAATAAAACAAGAAAAAAATGCGGTTCAGAAGAACAAACGCGACCTACATCCACGAGATCGATCTGAAAACAAGATTTCACTAGTTCGAAGTTACAGTTTACATTACTAGGACTTATTAAAATATTACAAACTCCTTTAAATTTTATGTCGTTCTTGTACACAGCTCGAACGTTTTGTTTCTTCACGCATATTCCTCTATTCACACTTTCTTGTACTTTCTTCGAGACTATATTCCCTTTCAATGACGGATGACTTCTTCCGAGATCCGTACAATAAAAATGTCTGTGTCGCCACAACAGTAACGAGGTTACAAAATTGTTTCACAGAATACCCTAGCAAAGTCGAAATACTTTGATAAATTTCACATAATACCCTAGCAAAGTCCAAATATAGGGTATGAAAGTGCAAATCTATACCTTATGAAATAATTTTAATAGATTATATAAGATTTGATCAATAATTTGTGATCTTACATATTGTTAAGAAAAAAATGGACAGTCAAAGGGTGTTTTTTTTCTAGTTTCAGATTGATGAACCCAAATTGCTATATATAATTTAGTATATATATGTTTTTATATTTACTGCTCCATTAATTATTCGTATTTTTTAAGGTAACAATCAATTTTTATTTATATTTTATTGCAAGTCTATCCAAATTCAACTACAATCAACATGCATCACCAACTTATTATAGTATAATAATAAATGAATATTATAAATAACCATATTTAATCCATGGAAATTCGACTTTATAAACAATTAAAACATGGAAAATAAGTGTTAATGTAATAATCCCAAATTTACAGTGCTAGTAATTAAATGTATAAGATAAATAGAAATGATATCCAATATCATTAACAGTTATAAATTTATTTGGTAACTACAAAAATACTCTTTATTATGACACGTGTCATTAAAATTGTTACCAACATTTCCTGATATTGGAAGGTAAATCGGTTTACATTTATTATTTATACCTTACCTTAAAAAAAATACAATTTTTTTAAAAAAAAAAAATATTTAAAAACCCTATATAAAGGCTTGTTCCCAAGTCTTGGATACACACAATTCCTATTATCATCAAAACCCATTATAAATTATAATTAAATAACAAAAAAAAAAAAAAATCAAGAAGATGAAGAACATTTCTATGATTTCCATCATGTGTTTAGTGGCTGTTTTACTTGGTCTAATTACTCCATCTCTAGGTAAATAAATACTTTCGATTTTTGTTTTATTTTTTTTTCTTAATTGTGTTTAATATTCGATTTAATGATTTAATAATGTATTTTTATTTATTTATTTAGGAGAATTGAAATATTGCCCAGCACCAGATATAGCGAGAGCAGGTTCATGTGGTGCAGATGGAACTCAAGATTGTTTCTTAACAGTGTTGGGACGCTATCCAGCAAGTAAGATGCCAACAAAGATTCACTGTGTTGATGTTGGCAAGAATCAAAGCAAATGCTCTTTTGAGATTATTTGTGACTAAGAACATAATTAATTAATAAAATAATAATTAATTAATTAATTAATGTTTTTAGAAATTAATTAATTAATTAGTTCAGTGTTTGTTTCCAATAATGGGATTTTCGTCCCAACTGTATGGGTAGGTAGGCAGTGTGTTGTAAACCTCCATCCCATTGAGTGATGAATAAAAAAATTTATGTTAAATGAAAATTTGGTTATTAATTTAGCACTTATCCTTCTGATTATTTTTTTTTTGATTATTTCAATTTTAAAATTCCAGCTGATATTCGTTAATTATCGTCCAATTCCACCTGCTATGTGATACCTCGTAGCATCCGCCACGTGAAATGCTGATTCGTTTTGGTTTCTCTAATTATTGGATAAATTACAAGGTATGATCAAAATTACGAAAAACTCCATCATGTTTGGATAATAACAATCACCCTGACCTCGACTATAAATTTTCTTACACGTCCATCTTTGACCTTGAGGTGTCAAATTTAGTAGAATCTTCTAGATTATATGGAATATTCTCAATTTTGTCCCCGTTTTATCAAATTCTACCATTTAAAATACCATGTCCCGATGGGAACCAGTATATATTTTGGGATGCGTTTCACCCGACCGAAGCTGTTAACGTCTTGTTTGGACGGATGGCTTTTAATGGAAACAAGAATGGGGTTTATCCCTTCAACGTACAAGAACTTGTTAGCCTTTGATCACACATCCAAACATTGCCTTAATTATTTCTGTGTGATTATCATATCAGCCTTCAAATTTTCATTTGTAGTTTGTGAGGGAAGTTTTCGTAATTTGACCGTACTTCAAGTAGGTATTTGTAATTTACCCCTAGTTATTTGGATAATCAGTCTTGGAACAATAAGGCCCACATAAACAACTTAAATTATATTATTAATCCTCTTTTGGAGAAAAAACTATAGTATTAATGGTATATTGTAATTATAATTCTTGTATAGACATGGATTATAACTTCTAAAAGCAAAATAAATAAATATGATATGCATCTACGAAGATCTGCAAACAAAATTTCAGTAGTTCAAATTAAATTTACGGTTTACGACATATTAAAATATTATAGATCCCTCTAAATCTTATGTTGCTATATATAATTTAGTATAGAGATGATTTTATATTTACTACTCCATTAATTATTCGTATTTTTTAAGGTACTACAATCAATTTTTATTTATATTTTATTGCAAGTCTATCCAAATTCAACTACAATCAACATGCATCACCAACTTATTATAGTATAATATATGAAGATCAAAAATAAATCCATGGAAATTCGACTTTATAAACAATTAAAACATGGAAAGTAATTTGTGAGTGTTAACGTAATAATCCCAATGTTACAATGCTAGTAATTAAATGTAATAAATAGAATACTCTTATCATATGATACGTATCATTAGAATTGTTACCAAAATATCCTGATGTTGGAAGGTAAATCGGTTTCATTTATACCTTACCTTAAAAAAATACAATTTTTTCATTTTAAAAATATTTTAAAAAAACCCTATATAAAGGCTTGTTCCCAAGTCTTGGATACACACAATTCCTATTATCTTCAAAACCCATTATAAAATATAATTAAATAACAAAAAAAAAATCAAGAAGATGAAGAACATTTCTATGATCTCCATCATGTGTTTAGTAGCTGTTTTACTTGGTCTAATTGCTCCATCTCTAGGTAAATACTTTGGATTTTTTTTTTTAATTTTTCTTAATTGTATTTAGTATTTGATTAAATGATTTAATAATGTATTTTATTTTATTTTTATTTAGGAGAATTGAAATATTGCCCAGCTCCAGATATAAAGAGGGCAGGTTCATGTGGTGCAAAAGGAGATGAAGATTGTTTCTTTGCAGTGGCGGGACGCTATCCAGCAAGTTTGATGCCAAGAAATATTCACTGTGTTAATGTTGGCAAAAATCGAAGCAAATGCTCTTTTGAGATTGTTTGTGGCTCCAATTGAACAACATAATTAATTAATTAACAAAATAATAATTAATCAATTAATTAATTAAGAATTAATTAATTCAGCTTTTGTTTCCAATAAAAGGATTTTCGTCCCAACTTCCAACTGTATGGATAGGTAGGTACTCCCTCTGTCCCATATTATATGTCTTTTTAGAGAGTTTTTTTTGTCCCAAATTATTTGTCATTTTAGATTTTCAATGAAGCATTAATTGCATTATTTTCAACTTTGCCCTTAATCACTCCTAATTAATTAGTTGAAAATCAATTAATGTCGAGGATATTTAAGTAATTTTATAAGTTTTTTTTACTATAATCTATGCACATTTATTAATTTTCTTAATATGTGCAAAATAACCCAAAACGACATTTAAATTGGGACGGAGGGAGTAGTGTTTTGTAAACCTCCATCCCGTTCAGTGATGAATTTTAATTGCAAAAATAAATATTTATGTTCAAGGATAATTTGGTTATCAATTTTAAAATTCCAGCTGGATATTCGGTTAATTTATGAGTCCAATTCCACCTGGACTAGCATCCGCCACGTGGACTGCTGATTCGTTTAGGGAAACCAATAAGGCCCGCATTATAGTTAATGGACTTATAAATAGCCTTATAAAATTAACGGGCCGAAAAAGAAGGCCCGATACATTGCGTCACTTTCATATGGACAATAATAGCGTCATCAGAGAGTGTGGGATCTCTAATTTATGATTCCGATGGAAAGAAAAAAAAAAAAAAAAAAAAAAGGAAAATTAAATAATGGTCAATGGAACTGAAGCTCAGCCAATCTTCTCTTCCAACCGCCATTTTCACTTCTTCTTCTCCTTCTTCTCTCCAGCATTTTCAGGTACTCTAAATTAAGTGTAAAGATGTTGTTTTTTCCTCTCAAATTCATACATTTTGCTGTTTCCTAAGAAATTAATGAGGATCTGAGCTGATAATTATACTGTGGGTTTATATATACACAGCAATGGAAGCTTGAAATTGAAAGGATATCTCGGAAGGGGCAAGGCATGATGAACAAGGAAAGCGCAAACCATGTGGTTAAAGAGTAATTAATAGATTTAATTTTCATTTGTTTATACTAAATTATGTTTTGTAGCAAACCTAATTGAGTTGTTGTTGTTTGGAAATGATTTGTTGATTTTGCTTAATTGGGGGTTTTGTTGTTTCACACAGTGATAGAGGTGAAACCCTAACTTCCATTTCGAAATTGTATGGAGTGTCGATTATTGAAAATTGCTGTCTTTCTGCTGCTGCTAATGATAAGGAGATGGCTGATGTTGATTTGGTTTCCGATGGGCAAAATCGTAATAGCGCTCGAGTGGTGAGCCACTTGATTAACTATTTCTTGATTGCTTTTCAGGATGAAGACCTATGAACAATATACGGTGATTCTAGCTAGATTAGATTATCGAGAATTTTGTTCCGTGTTATATCTTTAAGCTTCTTGACTTTCAATGCCCATACTTGAGAAAATCTGATTTATGTTTTCTATGTTTGTAGTTCATATAACTGGCTTGATTTCTTGCTGCTTGGTTTGTATATTAAGCATTAAACATAAACGGATGAATTGGATCAAATGTCGGAGATTTTTGTGATTATCAAATGTTCTTGCTTACATCTACTTAGGTTCAATTTCGTCGACTTAAAAATTATTTTGTGCTGATTTTTGTCTATATATTTCCTGTCAGTGCAACTTGGAAGGAACTAAATTGCACGAACATCATCAATTGTCTAATACAACTGTTAGCAAACAACCGAATCAGATCTTCTATTTGTTATCATCCCATCAATTACCACTTGTAGTAAGCACCCTCCTCTGAATTTTCCCAATAATAGTGTATTGTTTTTTAATGAATATTCTGTATTGAAAGTTTATTTGCAATTCAGGCTAAAGCGGGTGGTTCTTTTCTAGTTCTGGTTCCTCTGATGGCGTTTTGCATCAGCTGCATTATCGGCACTTTTCGAAATAGAGTTTTGAGAAATCCGAGACATAAAGCTTCAAATAAATATGGAGTGCAACACCATAATAAGTCACATAATAGCCCGAGATGGAAAAATGTTCTGGATGCTGAATCTGAGCCAGATAATTCTCATGTAAGTAACAAACTGCATTCATTCAAATTCTCTCGTGTTGTAGTATTTCTTACATATGAATATCCTATGTTTTAGATATATGTATCTATGTTTATTTGTTGATTTTGCTGAGTAGATTGAATGAATATTTATATTCTAATAGTTCTTGCTGGTCGAAAATTTCATTACAGCCATTGTATGAAGACCAGGAACAAGTGAATTTCGAAGATGCATCTCATGCTAATACTAAACTCGAAGATGACTATCAAAAGTTTTTGTCAGAATGTGGAATGAGCAATTGGGGCTACTGGCGCGGTGGTTCACCTAAATAGGCACTCGTTAAAAGTCCTTTTTTTTTCATTTTTCTTCTAATATTTATTTGGGATGTCAAATGTAGAATTAGTACCACCAAGCACAAGGTTATAAAATGTATAGTTTTTCTCTTGCAAGAAAGAAGTTGATTTTCATGTGATTACGACACAGTTCTAGTAATAGTTATCGTCATTCTCTTACGAGTTGTAATTGAGATTCTCTTTGAATGAAATGAGTTTCAAAATTTATATTACTATTTCATCCAAATTCGTATTTAAATGTACGATTCATTCTCTAAAAAAATGTAATCAAATTGACCATATTCAGGTAATAGAAGGCAAAAGTATACCAACAATTATATTGATTCCTGAAATCTGAATCCATAGTATCATTGAGTCATTAACCAAATACAGAAAGTCCCGATTCAACGAAAAAAAACTGCTAATCTTGTTGAAATTAACGGACATTACGAACTTTTTCTTCCTGCCCCAATCCAAGTGACTTCTGTGCATCTGCTATACCATCAGGATCTGTCCAAGCAAACACCACTCGTGAGAAGGAGAAGAAAACGGACAACAATTATACGATAAGATAAGCTAAAACGAACATATATCAACTGAACTTTTCCGACAATAAATATCATGAAAGAAGGCTCCACCGACGACAGATGAACTGCAAGAGAGTAGATAAGGAAACAATACTTCTGCCATCAAAATTACGGGTTCAAACTTACCAAAGAACTGTGTGAAAATCCTAGTGAAGAAGGTCAAATTGCGAGAAACATTGTACGCCATTACAGGTGGGAGAGGTTTCACAACTGTGTCGATGCTAAAAACTTGTTGGAGAAACTGCACGAACACGACAGAGCTACATCAGTACCGTGCATAATCAACAGCACACAACAAAGACATACATAGATATAAAACGTCACGTCCACAAGCACATTTGTTTCTTTGCTTCCCCTTTAGTTCTTGTAGATATATAGCTGGTCGATCATTCAAATCTAAAAACACGAAAAACATTTACGGTGTAATCAAATGACCATAAATTAAGAAAGATTCTTAAGATTTCCTTAGCTGCTATCAAGTAATCGCTATAAAGTTCGGGTAGCTCTCGACTTAAGACCTCAAGCCTCATCTCTATCAATGTCAATAATTCAAGCATTTTAGAGCCACGACGAGCATGTCGATAATAAATAGAGTTGTGGAAGTAATTGATCTCTCACAAGGTTAAATTGAACAAGAAAGAAGCAGCACCAAATCAATTTATTCACATGTCTCAAAGATTGTTAAAATCACATGTCAACTGTAATCCTCACTTTAACATTGACAACTACAAGTAAAACCAAAATTAGCAACGTAAAACAAAACGACGCGCACACACAAACACATAGAACACTTTTGCACACACACACACACACAAAAAAAAAAAACAAGAGAATTGGAAATTTGGGGCTTTGTCCTAATTCACCTGGAAATTGCGCTGGAAGCTGTAGCGCAATTCAGGATCGATTTCAGTGAGAGAGTCTTCTCCGAGGTCTCCGTTGTTGGAGTAATTCTTCTTACCAGGAACGTGCATAGTGGGTGTTGCCCCCGGCTGTGACGTCACCTTCATTCTCGCATCTTTGAATTTCTCATCGCTTTCTTCTGGCCCCGCCCTCCATGGTGCTGATGCCAGCAGCTCTTTCTTCGTTTTCCCCATTATTTCGGCTTGATTTTTGAGCTTTTTCCTATCTGCGTTTATGGCCCTATGGGGGAGAATTGGAGGACGAAGAAGATAAAATAAAGCCAAATACTGGGATAGAGCTACGACCAAACGACGTCGTCTTTGTCTTTTTGCAAATCGCCCCCTCAGCCTTTGTATAATCTCAAGTACCTCCCCTATAATTTCAATAGAATAATAGGACATTCCTTCAAGTTTCTTATCAATTTTTTGTCAAATTTTTTCTTTCTAATCGAACTCGAGCTCGTGCTTTATTTCATTGTTTATTTAACGAAAATACGTATTCAAATTAGTTCAGTATGTTTTTTAAATCGAACTACAACAAAGTTTTAAGGCTAATTAAACTATATAAATCTTGTTAAAGACTAATAAAATTTTGGATTCTGGTGAACTGGATCCGTCCGTCACTGATTATACGATCGATCCATACATAAAATTTATAAATGTTTATTCGTACGTGAATCCCAATTTCTTCTCGAATCATATTTATTTCATACGTAGTACAAAAAATTGTAAAAAAAATAAAAAATACAGAAATGATAACATGAAACAAAAAAAGAAAACCACAAAGCCATTTTGAAACTAATGTCTCTCCCTAGGGGCAAAATGGTCTAGCCGAACGAGTCCTATGGCTTGGGATAGTGAAATGTCTAATTCGCCCTTCTTGTTCTCTCAAATAACCTTGACACAGCAACGCCTTGGAGAATTTATCCTCTACAACTCTATCCACATCATGCACAAACACATCAGTTTCACCGTTTTCTCTGTTCCTCGCCATCAATCCGGCGGTGTAAATCGCGCTCATTCTCCCCGGAGCACCGTCGAAGTACCCTGTCGGCGCATCCACCATGATCAAATCCCAATCGATATCGTAAATCTCACTCGGCAATCCCTTCAGCGCCAGCTGGCATTTCGAGAATCTCGGATCGCTCACAGTTCTGCACTCTTCCCTCTCGCTGATTTCGAGGAGCTCGTCGGCTTGCGTCACCTTCGTATCGTAATTGACGTGGTAGGATTCGAGTGAAGGGATTCGGGCGTTGATTTGCTGGATCCACGACTTGTCTTCTTCCAGGAATACCGTACGGCCGCCGTGGTTGAGCGATGTCCACATGAGGCTGTCGTGCCCTAATCCGAAGACGAGGAAATTGCAGGGTGATTTTTTTTCGAGGATTTTAAGGGAGACGGAGATTTCTTTGAAGGTTTGCTGTGGGGTGATGTTCAGTGTTGCGTAGTGGACGAGCGCGTGTGCTAGTGAAGGTGCGATTTTTGTGCATGTTGGAATAAAAGAGCAGTCTTTAGGGTTAGGGTTTGTTGGTGTCTCTGTGTGGGGGGTTGAGTTATTCTGTTGTTGGGAGTAGGAGAAAGTTGATCTGAGAATCAAGAAGAGAAGGAAGAGAAAGAAGAAGCAGATTAAGATTATCTTTAGATTGAAGGGGCTTTGTGGCTTGTTAGCTCTCATGTTTTCTTGATTTCAGGTTTTTTGAGTAGTGTGTGTAATAAAATGACAAAGGAGATGTAAGTGTGATATGATGGATGTGGGGAGATTTGAAGACAGAGAGTTATAGTTGATGAAATTTGGCAGGAAGATTGAAGGAGGTCAACTTCACTTTGAAACTAAGCAAAGGTGTTTGTTTCCAGCTTGTTTGGTGATCATTTTTTTTTTCTTACATTTTTTAAAGTAAGATTAGGTGGGATATTAGGTGGTGTTGAGGTTGTAATATCAAATCAAATAAGATGGATATTATTTTTTATTTGTTCAGTGTGATGGATATTATTGAAAGTGGTTATCAAGTATTATATGAAAATTGTTTAGCATTAAATTTCAGGTTGTTGGCACACACGTTCATGTCTTTTTCTGGAAGATAGAGTTCAGACCACTCTTGTAAGAACAATTCTGGTAGTAGTAGTAATTCTGGTAATTTTCTTGTATGTTAAAGTTGAAGATTCTGCTTATTTCATCCAAATTCGTATTTAAATAAACGATTCGTTGCTTCACGATATGTAGTCAAATTGAAAATGTTCCGGTCTAATAAAAGGCAAAGGGTCTATCAAGAATGACATGAGTTTTCTGAAATCAGAATCTACATTACCATTGGGTCATTAACCAAACACAAAAAATTCCCCGGTGGAGGAAATAAAAATGCTATTTTCTAACCAGCAGATTCCATCTGACGGTCGAAATTAACGGAATTTACGAACTTCTTTCTTTCTCGCCCAATCCAAGTGAAGAAGGTCGAACTGAGATAAACATTGCATGTCATCGAGGTTTCATAACCGGTATCAATGCTAAAAAATCTCGTTGAAGAAACTGCAAGAACACGAGAGAGCTATCACTACCTGAATATGTGCTATCTACATAATAAATAAATAAACAAATAAAGAATAGCACATCAACAAAGATGTACATAAGAACACGAGACCTTCCCCTGTTCTTGTAGATAAAGATGCTGGTAATAAATCTATACCAAGGGAAATAGAAATTTAGCAGCAAAACCTCAATTGCAGCTGGTTAATAAGTTCAACGACTATTGACGCATGACGTAATTGTCATCAATGAAATATATAAAACACAAGAGCTACTTCTACGAACTTCCCAATACATTAACTTTAATCGTGACCTAAAACCTAAATACCAAACAATTGACAATGATTTCTTCAAGTATTTCCACTCAAATTACTCTAAGCATATCCATCCAGAATTACGATAAACATATCAAGCAATGTAATACATTTAAACACGGAATACAAGTGAAGCAACATAAGAAAAAGGGAAACATTTTTACCTTACAATTTCACGATGATTTGATAGAATCGACAAAGCCACTACTGAGCAACCTCTCGACGTATTTCCCCAAAATATCAACCTCCAAATTCACCTTCTGCCCAACTTTCTTCAAAGGAATAACGACATTCTGCTGAGTGTACGCCACCAGCATAAAATTAAACGACAATTCCTCATCAAAAACATCCACCACGGTCAAGCTAGCACCATCTACAGCAATAAACCCCTTAGGCACAATGTACTTCAACAACTCTCGACTCACCTTCACTTTCACCCACAACGAGTCACCCTCCGGCGTCATGTCAGCAATTACACCAGTTCCATCCACGTGGCCCTGCACGAAATGACCCCCCATTCTAGTGCTAGGGCTCAGTGCCCTCTCTAAATTAACCAAACTCCCGGTTTCTAATTCAATCAGAGACGTCTTTCTCAGAGTTTCTGGCGACAATCCAACCGAGAATTCGGATGAAGCGGTGTCGAATTCCGTCACTGTTAAGCAAGTGCCGTTGACGGATATGCTATCGCCCAAGTGTACGTCTTCGAGAACGGTTGTTGCCTTGATTTTCATGGTGAAGCTGTTGTCTTTATCGAATCCCAGTTGTTTGACTGTGCCCATTTCTTCGACTATACCAGTGAATAGGGATTTGATTGTATTGTTGGTGATAGATCGAGGTGGGCGGGGTTTTTCGGGATGTTTGATGAAGATGGATGAAAGTGGGGGTTGTTTGAGAGAAGAATGGTGAGCCAATTTTGAGTGGTTTTGCGGCGATGAAAGTTTAACAGAGATGGCTGAAATTGAAGCTGTTTTCGCCGTGGTTGTGGAGATTTTCCGGTGGTGACTGTACGGAAGGGTAGATGGGCAAGAAAGAGCCATTTTTTTTTTCCTATTTGTCAGCAAAATGACTTCCGGAAAATTCGGGATCAAATTCTGTTCGGATGTTTTGAACCAACACCAAGCACAATCACAACAAAAATGCAGAAAAAAGTGAAATTAGGGTTTGCAAATAGTTGAGATCGACTGGAAGAGTGAAGAGTGAAGAATGAAGAACTCGATCGATCAATCGATCGATCGGAACTTCCAACGAAGAATAAGAGCGAAAAAAATTAGGGTTGAAGAGAAAGAGGGGAGGTGGCGGCGAAGGGAATTACCGTTATAAACGCAAAATTTGGAATGCCTGAAATTGTGGTTGTGGAGATTTTCCGTCGGGGGTAGGTGGGCGAAGAAGAACTGTGATTCAGTGACAGTACAGCCACGGAATAGTTTACGCAGTTCTTATAACTTGGGATTGTGAAATACCTTATTTGCCCTTGTTATTCTCTCTCAAGTTTCAACGGAAATATGAATTTTTTGTCTTTTTATAAATAATAAAATATATATACATCTCTATTTGAGTACTGCTAAAAAATGATCATCATGGCTGCACATATATGTGTCTGCGAAGTTCATTTCACATTGAAAAAAAATTAAAAATTTATTTGTAACAAGAAAATAAACGAAAATATTGAAATTTACGGACAAAAAGGCGTATGATCACCGGACATATGACTAGGAATCCTATAATGCCTTAATCTCCCAACTTGTTCTGTTGTATACCCCTCACACAAAAAACTTCTCGAAAATTTATCCTCCACATCCCTATCAATATCATGCACGAAAACATCAGTTTCGCCATCTCTTCTATTCTTCGCCAGTAGCCCGGCGGTGTAAATAGCAGTCATTCTTCCAGGCAGATTTTTAGTAAACGCAGTCGGTGCATCCACCATTATCAAGTCCCACTCCGTTTCGTACACTTCGCTCGGTAGCTCCTTTAACACCAACGGGCATTTCGATAATCTCGGATCACCCACAGTTTGGCATTGTTTCGATTTTCCGATATCGAAGAGTTTTTTAGCCTCGCTCACCTTAGTCTTGTACATGACGTGGCGTATTTCCAGCCAAGGGATTTCTTTGTTGAGTTCGAGCGTCCAATACTTTGATTCCTCGAGGAAAAGAGTTCGGCCACCTTGGTTTAGGGTGGCCCACAAGGGGCTGTCGTGGCCCACGCCGAAGACCAAGAAGTTGCATGGGGATTTTTCTTTTAGGATTCTTGAAGTGACGGAGATTTCTTCGAATGTTTGTAGGAGTGTTGCGTTTGTTGTTGCGTAGCGAACTAGGGTTTCGGAGAGAGAAGGTGGGATTTTGTTGCATATTGATAGGAAGGATGAGTAGGGCCTTCTGATTGGTTGGAAGTTGGATTTTACGGCAATGTATAGGGCAAAGAGGAAGAAGAGGGATAATATGATGAGATTTCGTCTGAGCTGAGAATGTTTGATGTTCTTCGCCTTCATTTTTGTTGATGATCGCAAGTTAGTTTTTGCGGTAAGATGCTGAGATTTTAGAAGTTAGTTTATCCATGGATTGAAATTTGTAACTTGTTACTTATAGAAAGTCAGTTAGCTGTTGATTTGTTTCCCAGTTCCGCTCGGATGACGAAAAATCTTCTTGTTGCCATAACCAGCAGTTTTGGTTATGGTAACATATATGGGCAGCAAATGCATTAGTTTCAAAATTGTAACATGATATCAACATGTTTAATTTGTTTGTTTCAATAAGATTAGGACCTGTTTGGTTAAGGAAAGTTTGTTTGATGTTACACCCTGTCAACATGTTTGATGTAATTGCACGTAGATTCATGGTGCCGAGTAACCTGATGTATTTTACCGAAAGTAGTGCCTACAAGACAATGTAAGAATGAATATTTGATTTAACACATAATCAAGGTTTCTATCAATTAGGATTTTGAATATATCTCCACATGATAAAGAGTAGATTTCAAGTCACATTAAAGAGTTAGCATCAGAACTGCAATTCGAATGGCAAGACCAAACATGGGAGTGACGTCAATTGGCTTCGTTTTAAAGACTGCAGTAAAGTGATAGCATGTAGGTAAAGAATTCGACAAATTTCTGGGGAAGAAATTTTCGGTACAGCACAGTAGTGAAAAAACAAAAATATATCATTACTCGTACAAAAACGATACATCTGTTTCATTCAAAACGCAGAAATAAGACAAATTCCCAACAGGCTGTGATGGATGTTTTTTTAATAAGGGAATTCTGCCAATACAAAAATAGGAAGAAAGAAAAAGTTCAGCAACTGCAACACAATCGACGAAAAAAAGGACAACATTTAATCATTATATTTATATACAAAAAGATGTCTCTACCGATCCCTCAGAGCAGCAACTATAACAAGATTTCGAGCTCGATAGGAGCTCAAAGAAACTGATCAAACCAGCAAACAAGAATAGCAAGAATCAATTGTCAAAATCATCCATCTATGTCTCTAAAATCTATAACCGGAGCCAGATGGTGGAGGAGCAGGCGGCAAACGGTTAGGTGTGCGGCGGCTGCCAGAGTTCGCAGCATCGCCGTTTTGTGAAGGATCACTGTTACGGCGGCTGTGACCGTTGGATCTCGAATCAGATGGGCTATTTGCAGCAGCATCAAATGCAGATCTCCAATCATCACCACTTGATGATGGACCAGAAGCAGTCGGACTACTCTCTGCTCAATGTAATAACAAAAAATTAGTTCACATGTAAGAGGCCATGTTCCAAGTATGGGACAAAAGTCAACCACGTTGTATCAAGTACATTACTAAAAGTCAACTGAATGTTCAAATCTACAGAAAAAAGAAGTACGGGGATTGGCCTTCATGCCCATGAAATGGTTATTCCAATTCATGCACTACAGAGAAGCTGAATGCTTTTTACATTTTTCTAGTTGTCTTCTATTATAACCCTACATTCACTAATTATACGAATAAATATAACAAAAGTAATTTAAAATTCATTTAGTTTATTCATGCTACAAAATTAAGGATTTAAAAAAGATGACTTAGTCACAGAGATGAAAGCCCCTGTCCGATTCATTGTGGTCAGTGATTGCAATAATCAAATGTATTAATTAGCCTAGCAAGTCTAGGATAAAACAAAATGACCCAAGAGTTGCAAATGGATATGTCTACACAGATATTTTGTATATATTTTATGATCATTACCTGCTCCAACACCATTTGAGTAGCTGGATGCAGCAGCTGCCCGATTGTCATGAATACTTAGTTGTTTAGTGAGCTTCGAAAGAAGAGAGGACTGTTTCTGGTAACGCTCTCTTCTACCTTTAACATTTTGGTCCTCCTGGAGCAGCTCTTCTATTTTTGCCATGCTTTGACCACTATAATTTCAAATTAAATGAAATCATCTTATGAACAGGCAGCAAAAATACAGGACAAAAAGTCCCGTCAACAAGGAGATAAATGTTCCTTTAGAAATATTGAACTTGATTGACAAAGTAGGAACCAAATTGTAAGTAGCATCATCCCATTGGATGCATGAAACTGAAACTAACCTGACAGAACTGTATAGCTTATTAAGCATGTCTTCTTTCGCCTTTTCCACTTGGCAAAGAACCACTGCCTGCAATCAAATACATGACATATGAAAAGGTAATTTAGACTAAATAAGTTTATAGGGAGATTTATATTATATCTTACCTTTGGGACGTTGGCAGCAAGACTGTTAAGAACAGCTTCAACATAACCACGTACTTCCTGAGCCATCCATCGAAGTTCTTCTTCTGGATCAACAGGTCTTCTGCTCATTGTATCCTAGATGGGATTAGCAAAAGTTAGTACATGTACGCAAGTTTTTATTTAACAAGCAGAAAAAACTCCTCAAAGGTCAACATATATCAACTTGACCCTTATTAACTTTGAAAACAGAACAATCCAAATATTTGAAAAACAATAATACGGAACTTTAAACACGCTAAACAAAAGGCAATAAGAGTAAACAAAATTGTGAAATAGCATATATACACAATAAACTTGTGAAGCCTAGTAAGTTAAAGGAATTACAAGAGAACCATCCGAAAGACTTTGCCGCATCGCTGGGCTAGATTCACCCTTCACTTGACCTCCTTTAGAACTGATAACAGTTCTTAGTTTATTCAACCATTCTGTCTTGTCTGCCACACTCTCAGCCTTCAACACAACAGCACTATGAGCTGCAGAAATCAGGAGCTTCTAGTTAGTTTTGTTAGTAACATTAAAAATACCCTTCAGCAAGCTAGGAGAACAAATATTTGGAGTACCTTTCAGAACAGTCTTATATGGCACCCTGCTGGTTATCTTGAATACAAGACTAGGTGCTTTTCCTGCATCTGGACCATTTGCTTTTTTATCTTTAGAACTCTTTGGAGGAGCTTCCTCATCTTCCGTAATTTCTTCCAGATTACATTCCTGATAGTTGCAACCACATATTACAAGATGGTTAGACTTTAAAAAAGCAGCTATGCAGCCATATTAAAGCAGTTGATCAAATACAGAATCCATCCAATAAGTACCTCCAAAGTGATGACACCACGAAAATGCTTCTCTTCTTGCTTCTTTGTATACCCAAGCTACAGATTTCATAACAAAAATCAAATTATCAGCAGCAATGAACAAGGAAATAAACAAAAGGGCTATTAGCAAGATTCAATGGCGTGAAATATTAAGTACATCAAAATTCACATTAATGATAAACAGGTGTGTATTACAGAACGAGCTAATAGGAGAAGCTGGAGTGAGAAATTTTTCAAAATAATCAACAAGAATAATTAGAGATAATAAAATAGTGTGAACCACCATCCTATTTCAGCTACTCACTTTTCCAGTTTTTTCATTTAGAACAAACCATCTTTTACTCCAACCATTAGTTTTGGTGCTTCTCTTCAACAAAAAACCTGCACAAAGGATAGAAGGTTGATGTTAAAAACAATGCCCAAATATGCACATGAAGGAAAGGTATTATAAGAAATTCTCATATATACTCTATCGAGCACCGCATAAGAAACTTTTTCCGATCAAATTTACAGTGCCAAACTTCGGCTACGTATGTTCTGACAACGACATGCCCCACAGAAATTAGAAAGGGATAGATCTTTTGCTACAACATTTTAAACAGAGATGTATGGCAAGGACAACTCTTATGAAACATTAAACAAAAAATAGCCAGCTTGTTTGCAAGGTCGTCAACAAAATATATACCCATAAGTCAAATAACTGAACTTAAATTGTCTAGATCCAAATAACTAAAAACCAATTCACGGAAAACATAAAGAATAGGTCAACACAATCAAATGAAAATCTCGTTAAGTAGAACTGATGGCCCTATATTTGTGAGAATAAGAAAGGAGAAAATACAAACTTAAATGGCTCTCGTGGATTAAAACAACCCAGATAGGCAGTAACAAAATAACCACCATATAAAGTGATCTGTGTTCCCTAAATAGATCTCCAATATCAATGGACAACTGTGAAAAAATATTTAGTTTGAACCTGCTGTTATTTCCCCATCTGGCCCTGCAGTCTTCAGTGAAGATCCTTCTTGTGCATCTTTGTCCTTTTCTTGCTGATTGGATTTGCTATCCTTCATCGATTTTGAGCTCCCACCACTTGGCTGGCCTCCAGTTTGTGGGCTAGTTGCCTGGATGGAGGAAAAAAGGAAGAGCATAAAGTTTTAGATAAAGTTGTAGTACATGCATTTATTCTATAATTTAGAAACAAAAAATTAAATGAAATTCTTTCTGTTTGCAATTATGCTGTAATGCAGAAAGAAAAATGGCTGACGGATGGGTTTTCACTCAAAGACAAATAAAATAAAGACAACTCAGAAAGACATTATACCCTATTTAATATGGATTGCTCTGCCTCAGAACCCTTTTTGGAAGATCGACCTTTCACCTCCTCTTCGCGTCGCTGTCGATCCATCCTGGCAGTCAAATACAAAAACTGTAAAAAGACATATATACAATGGCAGGAAGTGTAAAACTATATCATTTTTTAGCATACCGCCTCTGCACCAAACGTATAAAATGTTGAGGAGGAACAAATGCACGTTCCATGTCAACAAGTGCAACTACCATGTTTCTAGCTTCATTCTTAAATCCTTCCAGAGCAGCTGTAGCAATTGCCACAACCTATATGAATTGCAGAAATAAATATTCCATGAAGATCCAAATAAATGAAACGGTTGCATTGAATAATTGAACCAGATCCACGTTCATGTTTACCTCCCGCTTAAAAGGAGGGTATCTTCCAAGGCCTGGTGTGGCATTTGCAGCAGATGAGACAATTTCAACAAGTACCCGGTGGACCTATAAAGGAGCAAAATATATAAATGGCAAGAAAGTAAAACAACAACAACCCACATATAGGTAAACAAAAGCAATACTGGTTTACCTCATCAACACAAAGGCGTGAAGGTTCTTTTGCTAGCTCCAAAACACCCTTAATTAATGACCTCAGCCCTTTCTCAGGAGAGATAAGGTAAGGTTGATAACCATCTGCTTCGAGCACAATCTGATATCAATTTGAAAAAATCAATACAGAAAATAGAAACAAGATATTACAGAAAGCAGAGATGACAAATGGCAGAGGACACATACCCTTTTAACATTATTAATGTCAAAATGTCTATCTAAAGGTAGTTGCTTGATCCTGTTTGGAAAATTGCCTTCAAAACTAGCAACCACTTTCCATCCCCCACCCTGGAAAAGTGAGGAAACTCAACAATCAACATAGTTACAACAGAGTAGTGATTATACAACAGTAGAAAACTTTACCACAAAACCAACAATAAATAAGAAAAATATTCTACAGAGGAAGATCCATTCACACACGAAAATACCATCATTATATAAGCTAAAATAAATGAAGAGTTTGTGAGGACCTCATCAGACCAATCAATAGCAGGAAAAGATATTTTACATAATAACCTATCCTTGAGTTTAGAGCATCACCTCTCCCGTTGTGATATGCTGGAGGAACTTGTCCTCAAATTCACGGCAAAGTTCCAAAGCTAAAGCTCTTGTACCCTCAGAACTGTTAACCATCTGGGCACCAAGTCTGAAAAGTTCATCCTGCACAACTTGGGACTTACCCTGAAGCCTACAGGAATTGCAAAAATCAATAAATCAATAGTCAATAAAGGTGCTAAATACTGAAAGGTAGTGACAAAGAAAGCGTAAATAACATGCATCTAACTTCACAAACTAGCAAGATAGCTTTATTATGCAGCTGACTGAACTTATAGAGTAGGGAGCTGACTGAACTCATTGAATGAATATAATCTATTATTAAAAAAACACAACATGAAAAAACAAAAAAAAACAAATGTTGCATCCTCTACGGGATACATAGGTACGTTACTAAGAGAAGTGCAGTAAGAAAGAACATACCCTGAAAGAAGATTTGGCAGCCTAACTTTCATGCGACTGCGAATTTGTTGAGCAAGGGTCTCAACCAATGCTAACCTCCCAAGCTTGCTTTGAGGGGCTCCTGTCAATATAGATTTTAAACTTTCACTCTCTGCTCGCCAAGCAGTTTCCAACGAATTATCAGCTCCACCACTTCCTGATTGAGTAGATGCTATAGCGACCGATTGACCGATCAAAGCAACCCATGGGATGTCAGATGTACTTCTAGGTCCTTGATTTAACAATAGTGCCTGAACAGCAGCAAGGACTTTTGGTTCTGAAGCCACTTGATCTATCTTGCTAATCACACCAACAGTTCTTGTACCTGAGTAACAGTAGCTAATACAAGTTATTCACGTATATACACGTAAATATTTATATATATTATATACATATGTACGTATATTCGACAAAAACAATCAGAAAAGAATCACTATCTTTTTAAAATTCACAAATCAAGATAAAATGGCATTGCAGACTCACACTCTCCATCAAGTTCCTTTGCGATTCTGATAGCCTTAGCTGAGGCCACTTCTGGAGCTTGAGAAGCAGGTATTACAACCAGCAATATCGCATCACTGCGTTCAGCATACTGGCTCTGCAAAGAATAAATAGCCTATCACACTACAGAAGACAATATATTGTGGTCCCAGTTCCTAATTCACAATGATTACTATTGGTTAAGTCATGGTCCAATGCTCAATCTCATCTATAACTTGTGTACGTTTCTATCTCAACTTCAGTTTCAAACGAAACCTGTTGAGATAGACAATTGAGTACCTAGTTTCAGGTACGAAACAGAAATTTCTAGTATGAAAACCTAGTTTAGAATTGATAACACTACACTACATTATGAAAAATAAAACTGTTGGTTTCCTGCAGTAAATACTTTATATGAAATGCTGTTCAGAAGCCCCTTACCAATGAATCATCAAGATTGCCCTTTTCTACACCAGGTAAATCAATCAATTTTAATGGTGGAGCTGCACAACATGGAGATCAAATATTAGACAACACCTTACAAATGGCAAAAACTTGCATTGTTATGTGACAACGAAACCATACATAGTTTTATATAATGTGAATAAGCCATAAATAGTTTAATAAGCTTAATATATTCAAGAAAAATAGAAATTTCCATGTCGACCATCCATAAAACCTAAAGGCAAGTCGTCTTTGCAACACTGATACATTATGAACTTTCGCCACCATGAAGAATGAAGATGACTTGATAAAATACTGAATGTAAAATTTATTTTAATCACCTTTTTTCACTTAATGACTATAATTTTTTTATCCTAAGAAATTTCCCTATCTTGAATATATCGGTAATTTCAAAAGCATAAACAAAGCTCAGAAGTTATTTGCCAGTTAAGTAAATTGGAGCAACAATGGCGAACACACCTGTACTTGTACGGAGCTTCAAAGTTATCTCATCACGACTCTTGCCAGATATTTTGCTCAATCTATCTTGTAAAGAATGGCGAAGAGCACCTAAAACAGACAATACATATAAAAAGAAACAAATTCAGCATAATGAGATAACCAAGTGGCAAACATTTTTCTCATTCAGAAATAGTTGATAGGGAATAGTGTGGCTAAATTGGTTCTTATACTCTGCTTTAAAATTAAGTTCAGTTAGAGGCCTCACTTGCAGAAACTGGTTGAGATTTACTATCAATCTGCAAAATAATGGATTTGGTGCTTAGGGAAGCATCCCTTGTTAAATCAACACATATTGGAGCACGTGTTGCACCACCTTCACCAGTCGGCTGCAAAATTAAAGGGTACCATATGAGAAAGTTGGTTTTCACTTTAAAAAAGGTCAAAGTTGGGAATGGTCATTCAATAAAGAATATAAATAACAAGCATACGTACCAATGCAGGATGCCCAATGAGACTATTGAGTACCGCAGACTTACCTGCACCCTGAATAAACAGTTCACAATCAGAAATGAATAAATAAACAAATAAATAAAATTACGATGATATAGATATAATTGACAGTATAGTGTAGACAAATTTTCACAGACAATTTACGAATGGTAGATCAAATTGAACAATTTCAATCTAATACTTAAAATGCACATCCTGGTGTACTATTCACAATAAACCCAATTATCTTGTAATAGATTGTTCCAAATAACATAGGAGAAAAATGAATGGGATCGAATGCTTGATTGAAAAGAAATCTTGTTTGTTTAAAGCTTGTATATATCAGGGGATACTGGTCACACTAAATGTGTCATCTGCCCTGAGCACGAGACTAATCATGAAAACTGCTCAGGCCCAAGTTCCGATCTACTAGTAAACATCGTAAAGACACAACAAAAGACAACTTATTTGGAAAATCTGAAAGGCAAAAACAATCCATCACTAACATGTAATTTCTTCATTAACACAGTTTTGTAAAGAAATGGGGAAAACAAGAAAGGTGGAACATATATCAATGAAGAGTTCAAGAGGCTTTTCACCATTAATCTACTGTTATTAGGTCCATTGAGCGCATACTTCACTTCAAACACAATTTTCATTCTAAGAAAGCAAACTACAATGCAGAATACAAAATGCAAAAATATAATCTATGATCTACATGCAACCACTTTCTAATACAACAAAACATTCAAATCCGAAAACAAATACCATGCTTCTACCCAGAAGATAAACTTAATTTCATGATCCGCGTCAGAACTCATTCACCATATGCAAAACTTAACACCCGTTGGACGACCTCATAAGTCATATCAAATGAAACAATAGATCGCGCAATTGAAATTCCAGATCCAAAAATCGGCTAGCCAAAGAGATCAAACACACCCACTCCGTACAATAACCATTTAAATAAGCAACTTCAATCAACGCTCTGATTAGCCATACTTACAGTATTTCCGAGAGCAACGACGTTGAGGAAAGTGGATGGGCGCTTGGAGGAAGCAGCCGACGACGTCGTCTCATCCACATCCTCGTCCGCAAGCAGCGCCGACGCCTGCCGCATCGAATCGGAGAGCTGCGACAATTCCTCGATAGCCTCCATGAATTCCAAATCAATCTCCTCCCCCAAATCAACCGCCGAGATACAATAAACGATGTATTTCACTACAGAACTGGATCGAATTATCAATAACCGCAGATCCAATAAAATGGAAGGAGATCGAGCGAAATAACGAGCGCTGGTGTATTTTGTCTATATGTGCATGTACGGATTGAATAGATTTTAGGGTTTGAGGGTATTTGAAAGTTTAAAAAGTTTTGAAAATTGGGGAAAAGAAATGAAAATGGTGAAGAGAGAGAGAGAGAGAGAGGTGTTTGTGGGTGGTGATATGGTGAAACGATGATGTTTCAAAATTTAAAAGCCAAAATTGAAGTTGCTAAATTATTAATATATAATTGGTTTTATTTGTATAAAATCAAAAATTACTGGTTTGTGACCGTAATTTTGGAATTTTCAACTTTTCCTAGCTGGACGGCACACCTGACTGCTGCTGCTATTAACTTCGTATGGAAGGTACAACTTATGTTGCGTCAGGTACAATTATTTCTTAAAAACAAAATGATAAGCGAAAGATAATAATTGATAGTTATTGAAATGAAAAACTGCATTTTAATCGACAAATTGTGAATGTTCAATGACATTTTTTACGTGTCATAGCTGCAGTTGAAAAGATATCTTAGAGAAATGTTTGCTGGATGAATGGTCAAGATTGACTAAATCAAAAGAAAATGAATTGTGGACAATAAATTCCTTAATAGGGAAGTTTCACATTCCTTAATACATAATTCAAAGGAAGTTTCTTGAAAATTCAATTTTTTCACAATGAGAGAAATCACAAATAGTGTTTGAGAGCATATTCATATATTATTGAAATCATGATTGAGTTGCTTTATAATTTGATTGTCTTATGTAAACAAATGGATGTTGCATGATCAATATACATGTGATGAAGGTAATTAAACAACATTATTGTGCTGAGACATAGCAGATGCTCTAGCTATAGAGCATGTTAGTCAAACATAACATTAATCTCAGCTAATTATATATATAATTATTAAAATTCGATAAATGTAACAAATAAGAATTAATTGAAAATTATTGTCTCACCTCCCTCGAGATCCAGATTCCAAAGTTGTGTCTATATTGAAATATGGGGCTGAAAAGAAGCCCATAAAAGTTGGACAAGACCATCAAAGATATAAGCCTCAATTCAACTATTAGTAGGGCTTGTTGGTCTTCGTCCAAATTCACGTATTATCGGATCTTGTTACTATGCACTCAAGTTTATATACCATCGAGCCTCATTAGTATAGATTCAGACTTTGACTCTGACTCGTGTATTTTTTCGGATTTCAAATTTATATCGGGCCTCGTTACTATACGAGCCCCAATGTACATATAACCCTTAATTAATGACAATTACAATTTACATGACAAATTTATTAAGGGTCTTAATCGCAATAGAAAACATAAATAATTTAATAAAATAGTCCCTAAAATATACATTATTTATTTACAATCCTACTTGCATGAAGATCAAATTTATTTATTTGTTCATTCCTCTGAAACATAGCATCGGTAAAGATGGGGTGGAAGTGTTGGCTCCATAACCACAGCAAGAGGCTTTACAGGGTGTTTGTTGAGTCCGTACATCTCCTCCAAGCATACATCTTCGGCCAATTCAAACTCAAATCCATGCAGCAAATTAGCCAACGTTGTTCGAACCATTTTCAGTCCGAGGTTGTACCCAGGGCATCTCCTCCGCCCTGAACCAAACGGCAGCAGCGCAAAATTACTCCCTAACATATCAGTTTCTTTGCCCAAAAACCTCTCCGGTAAGAATTCTTCCGGCGAATCCCATGATTTAGGGTCCCTCCCTATGGACCATGTGTTGATGAGTACCATTGTTCCCTTTGATATGTCAAAGCCTGCAACTTTGCAGTCATCAATGGCGTAATGCGGGGTTAGTGGCGTGACAATTGGATGTAATCTCATTGACTCCATGATTATTGCTTCTATGTAAGGCAATTGAGGGGAATCGTTCTCTTCTACCCATCTGTTTCTTCCTATTACAGTGTTGAGCTCTTCTTTCGCTTTATTGATTATTCGAGGTTGTCTGAGAATTTCGCAGAGAGCCCATTCTACTGTTGCTGCCGAGGTATCTGTGCCGCCACCTAGTAAATCCTGTAAAATTTGGCAGGAGAAAGGCAAATCGTGAGAAATTTGAGGTTAGAAGTATTATTAACACGGCCATATGAATCTTGCACATGATGTGCTCGAGTTATTGTCTGACAGAGGATATGAAGATATACACAATATTAATTTATTTCAGTTCGATAAGAGAGATTGTTCATGATAATATATGGCTAGAGGGCAGACAAAGGTGAAAGGTTTCATTAGTAAGGCTATATGATTCTTGCACATCGTGTGCTCGACTTATTGTCTGACAGAGAATATCAAGAACAAGAAAGACAGTACCATGAGTTTAAGATTGGTACCTGTAATAACCCCTTGATGCAGTCCCTCGTCAGTTTAACTTCAAGATTAGGATCCTCAGCCAGCTGCAATAGCACATCTACAAAGTCTTTTTCTTCGTCTGTAACCCCTTTTCTTCTAGCTATGTGGTCATCAATCACATAGTTGTGAAAATCATCCAATCTTTTGTACAAAGCTTTCATTCTCTTGACATATCCGCCCAAATCGAGAAAGCCGAGCCATGGTATCTGTTGGGATTTTTAATAAAAATAGTATTTTATTAAATATTTTATTTGACCAATTTATGAGGTCATTTAGAACAATATTTTGAAACTTCCAAAGACATTATTTTGTCTCATAAAACCTCAATATTTTCCTTTAATTCTATATTAAATAGAGGTTTTATGGTGGTCATATTTCATACTATAAAAAGGGGGACTTTGTGGTTTTACAAGGAAAAAGAGTGAAGAGAAAAAGAAACACTTTCATCTATACTACTTTGAGCTCTTGTTGTGTGTCGGGTGTAAGCTTCTACTTCACTCGAACGTGCAATTTCGGTGAAGTTACGGCGGAGAGATAGGCTGGGCTGTTGTATCCCATAGGCGACACGATCGGAACCTTTTTGCACCTCACTAGAGAAGGGGTCGTGAAATTCGTCTTAAGAGAGCGACCTAGTCCGCGCCTCACCTTGCCTATCTCCATATTATCGTGGCTTTTATTGCAGCAACTTGTTACCTATAAAATTGAAGAACAAATGGAGTCCAAGCCTCAATCCACAAGTTTCGTGATCAATCGTCAAATTGCAGCCGTGGTTCCAACAATTTAAGACGAAGTTTGATCCCATGAAGATGAGCTTTGACGATGATCCAAAATAGTCTCTTGATGATAAAAAGGGAGATAATAAATTATATTTTATTATTATTTTAATTTAGCGAAAAATTAACGATCTTATTTTTGGTGTAGGTGAATTTTCGTACAATTCACGAATTTATACTTTGAGGCCAGTTTGGGACCTGATAATGTCCGAATTTGGGAAAGTATAAAACACGAAAGTTAGAGTACTTTGTGTTGGCTGTTCAAAACATATTAAATCGCTTGAATCGGATCTCAAACGAGGGAGATATGCTCAAAATACTAAACACTGCCGGAGCTGCCAATTGTGCGCGTTTTTTCCCGAACCATGAAAAATCGAAGTAAGAAAAATTGATAAATGAAAATTATCAAACTCTGGTATGTTCTTCGTTTACACATATTAAATATAATTTTTCTTGGCAATTAAATGATATAATAGCATGAAAATATTATTTCTAGAATGTGAAAATCCATATACTGTCATATAATTGTTGTTGTAGTCAATTGAGTGCATTTTGTGTATTATATTTGAAATTGTGGTTATAACTTATGTGATAGAAGAGAGATATTGACTTAATATTACGGTTGTGATTTTTTGAGAATGATATTACTACTATTTGCTTAATAGCTGATAAATATTCTCTTCAAATTAATACATGAGTAATGAATTGGTTATGACGTGTTTAAATGCATTTACCCTGTTAAAGTTTTGACTAATGCTGATGTATAATGCATTAGAATTTGAATATAAATTACGTGTTTTATAGCATATATTCAAATTCATTAAATAAATATTGAAACGTTTTGATTGTATTTATTTGCACGAGGAATCGGTTACCTATGCTAAAATTATTTAATCTTTGATGCACTAGTATTATGCCAGTAGTCTATGTATTTAAATGATTGTGTATATTGAAGTCTAATTATTAATTTAGTAACCTAATTGGCTATGATTAAATAGCACTACTCTGCATGCATGCATTTGTTTATGAGTTGGGAGTATCATATTGTGGATGTCAGTGCATCAAAATGTTGATATGGGTAATATAATTCCGTTGGTCAGTACTACGTTAAAGTTCTTTTATGTATATTAGTCTTTTTTCAGAATTTTGAATCACTAATTTTGCACTTGAAGATATACATGCTTATTGCACCCGATTCATTCCTATTTTTTATTAAAATAAATAAATAATTAAGTTTGTGTAAATTAATTTGCATAAGCATGTTTGTCAAATATAATTTTTAAAGACACGTAATGTGTCTTCATTGTGCAGTAATGAGAGTCAGTTTTTAAATTGAGGAAATGACTTTGACAAATTATTTCTTATTAACATAATTATTTGAGAGCCTCTATTTGAAAAATAAGCATGATCATAATTGGGTATCTTAATTTAATTTCATGATTTATTGGGTAGAGGTAATTTTGCATGGTTTTTACGCATTGTTCAATATGCTTTTAATATTGAGAAATAGTGGGGGTATTAGTAATAAATTTTAATTGCGAAAATGAGCATGATATATTATATTTTGAATTTAATTCATGATGCATGTGTTTGAATATTTGACGTAGTGGGGGTCTTATAGAGCACTATCATATGATTAAACATTTTATGTATTGTTTAAACATTGGAAAATAGTGGGGGTTTTAGTGTCTAAATATATGAGCATGTTATAATTGATTTTAACGTGGTCTTTGTTTAAATTGCTCACTTTATAATAGCAAATTGTTTATAGTGATAGTGTGATCATGCTTTATTTGCAATCTTGAATATGCAAGTAATTATCAAAGGCCTAATTTTGCATATACGTGACATAGATTTTATTTACGAATGGCTAAAAGTGGATATTGATTTGCGAGAATAAATTTGTGATTTGTGATGTGTGAAGTAAAACGTTTTTGTAAGTTTTCAATATTGTTGGTTATTGAAAATTTAAATAAGAGGAATTATATTCCTACTTGATTACATGTTTTCCTTGTGTGAATGAGCTATATAATTTATAAGTCAAAATTCATATCAATTTTGATTGATTATTTTGATATTAGCCTGTGAAGAGGCCGGTTGATACCGAATGTGGTATATAAAATCCTAATGTGGGATAGATCAATGCTTTGTGTTTTGATAAATATGATTGAGAATAATTCAAATGCTTTGTGCTTTGATAAATATGATTGAGAAAAATCAAATGCTTTGTGCTTTGATAAATGAGATTGAAAATTTGCAGTTGGCATATTGCGAGAATCTTTTAATGGAATCCGGAACCATTAAAAGAAAATACAGTACTGTGAATATATGTGAAAATTCACGTGAAAATCTATGAGATGTTACATGTAAAATTATTTGAAAATGGTTAATAAACCATTGAGTCTACGAGACTAAATGTCAGATAAGCGCTACTATAAATTTGTGAAATTATATTTCATATTATTTCAGAAATCATCTGAAATGCATTGAGGGGGATTGGGTTAAAGCCTAATATATTTTGTAAAGTTGTCGATGAGGATACTACCGCCTAGGGGCTAGAGATCCTACGAACTAGGCGAAGAAAAACGAATCTGAAAGCAACTTGATAGTGATAAAAGTGCACACTTTTATTATCCATCCCTATGATGCGTGTGTACTAATAAAGCTCGTAACGAATTGTGAGGTTGAGACTTTGATCTCTTAATGAGTTCTATAGCCCGTATGGGTGGGGTGTTGGAGTTACGTAAACATCCTTGATAGAATTCACCTTGTGAGTGTGGAAGTGGGGCCGCTTCCTATGAGAATTATAGGCTATTCTCTAGAGCTCTCACGAGAAATGGGGTAAAGCACATGGCCGTTAACGTGCTGGCTTTAGAAGCTTCGATCGGGACACTTTGAGTATTATGTGTGCAATATGATTCTACGTGCCCCAAGGGTCACTGTTTGAAGGCTAAGTCCACTTTGATTCTAGTACGGGAAACATATTGTACTAAGTGAAGGTTTGAAGGCATTGTCCACTTTCATTATGCATAATATTCCGCAAGCTCAAGTATTATTATTATTCTTATTTTTATTAAAAATAGTGGGGGATTGTTGGGATTTTTAATAAAAATAGTATTTTATTAAATATTTTATTTGACCAATTTATGAGGTCATTTAGAACAATATTTTGAAACTTCCAAAGACATTATTTTGTCTCATAAAACCTCAATATTTTCCTTTAATTCTATATTAAATAGAGGTTTTATGGTGGTCATATTTCATACTATAAAAAGGGGGACTTTGTGGTTTTACAAGGAAAAAGAGTGAAGAGAAAAAGAAACACTTTCATCTATACTACTTTGAGCTCTTGTTGTGTGTCGGGTGTAAGCTTCTACTTCACTCGAACGTGCAATTTCGGTGAAGTTACGGCGGAGAGATAGGCTGGGCTGTTGTATCCCATAGGCGACACGATCGGAACCTTTTTGCACCTCACTAGAGAAGGGGTCGTGAAATTCGTCTTAAGAGAGCGACCTAGTCCGCGCCTCACCTTGCCTATCTCCATATTATCGTGGCTTTTATTGCAGCAACTTGTTACCTATAAAATTGAAGAACAAATGGAGTCCAAGCCTCAATCCACAAGTTTCGTGATCAATCGTCAAATTGCAGCCGTGGTTCCAACAGTATCCAATCCCCTAAAATAAATGCCCCGTTAACCAGAACCCACTCATCCAACATATCTTGTATATTAATGAATTTATCATCTTCCGAATCAAAGAAGTATTTATTCCCCAATATCATCCTACTTACGGTGGAGAGAGTATAATGTGTTAAATGGCCCCTCAGCACAACTGGATTCCCAGACACGGATCTCAAACGGGACAGCAAATTACGAGTCTCCTCAGTACGGATATGCTCAAAAGATTCGATTTTTTTCGCATTGAACACCTCGGAAAAATATATTTTACGGGCTTGACGCCAGTACGGGCCATATGTGGCCCACGTCATGTTGGAGTAATTGTAGGCAGTGTATTTGCCGGCGGCAAGAGACGGTCTAGAGGCGAAGACTGTGTCGTGTACCCTTAGGAACTGTTTGGCCATCTCTGGAGAAGATGCAACCACAGCTGGATACTTCCCGAATTTGAGCTGCATTATTTCGCCGTATTTTTGGGATAGAAAGTGAAAGGATTGATGTGGGATTGGACCAATCAGGTTCAGGTTGCCGATTATAGGCCATGGTTTTGGACCTGGTGGTGTATTTCTTCGTGGTTGACGTAATTTGGAGATTAGTTTTGAAATGAAGGCTATTAATGCAGCTGCATATATTAAAGCTAAGAGTAGTGAGTCCATTATTTGGTGGTAAAATGATACAGAGAAACAGGTTGCTGCTGAGAATTCTATAAGTGTATTTATAGAATAAGAAGGTCTGCTGAAGAAAATTCAACAACAAATTTAGTACAAAAATTTGTACTCTAGCAAGGAATTGTCCAAGTTTGCAGATAAGTGATAGGATATTCAATGATCACCAACACCTTGCCTGAAAAATGACAGTAGTTGAGATAAACATGGTGCTGGTTTTTTGTTTTTGTTCGGCTGATAGAAGATATGTACGTTGCATGTTATTCAATTTGTAATAACTCTTTGCTGCATTACAGGGATAAGGACCCACTGGCCGGAGAATTGATTGCTCACAGCAAAGTCCAGGTTTGGTCCCTTACTTGAATGGGCCATTTGATACATTGTAGGTTATTGGGTTGGGCTATAGACGTTTCGAATTTTTCGACTACATGAGTGAAAAATATAATTAACGTATAAAGTTCATTTTCGGTTTTTCAAAATTCTGAATTTAAAATAGTTTTCTAAAATCGGAAAAAAAAATCGGATCAAAATCAGCAAATATTTACATATTCCGTTCCAGTTTTAGTCACTAGTTACACATGACAAAAATTACGAAACAATAACCGAAAAGACATTCTTTATTTTATAATGCTATTTGTATCAAGATCACAGCTTGATTGCACAAATTTATTTAATTTCTCAATACAGAGAATCACTGAATCAGTAAAGATGGGATGCAAGTGTCGGTTCCATAACCACAACAAGAGGCTTTTTAGGATGTGTGGTGAGTCCGTACATTTCCTCCAAGCATACATCTTCGGCCAATTTATACTCAAATCCATGCAGCAAATTAGCCAACGTTGTTCGAACCATCTTCAGTCCGAGGTTGTACCCAGGGCATCTCCTCCGCCCCAAACCAAACGGCAGCAGCGCAAAATTACTCCCCAACATATCAGTTTCTTTGCCCAAAAACCTCTCCGGTAAGAATTCTTCCGGCGAATCCCATAATTTAGGGTCCCTCCCTATGGACCATGTATTGATTAGTACCATTGTTCCCTTTGATATGTCGAACCCTGCAACTTTGCAGTCATCAATGGCGTAATGTGGGGCTAATAACGTAACAAGTGGATGAAGCCTCATTGACTCCAAGATTATTGCTTCTATGTAAGGTAATTGAGGGAAATCGTTCTCTTCTACCCATCGTTTTCTTCCGGTTACATGTGGCTAAAAACGGTCTCCCTAAAATAAGAGGTATCTCCCTATCTTCATCTATATCAAGTATAACAAAATCAATCGGGAAGATAAATTTGTTCACTTGTACTAGCACATTCTCTAAAATACCTTTTGGGTAAACTAAAGACCTATCGGCTAATTGGAGAGTTATAGCCGTCGGTTCAATCTCACCTAACCCAAGATTTTGATAAGTGGAATAAGGCATAAGATTAATGCTAGCACCTAAATCAATGAGTGATCTAAAATTTTTACCTCCTATAGTACAAGGAATAGTGAACTTACCTGGGTCGCCGAGTTTTTGTGGAAGGGGCCGTGTAAGAATTGCGCTGCATTGCTCCGTGAGTTGGATCATCTCGTTCCCTTGCAATGTCTTCCTCTTCGTCACGAGATCCTTGAGAAATTTCACCCACTTTGGCATCTTTTGAAGGGCTTCGATAAACGGGATATTTATATGGACTTCCTTCAACTTGTCCAAAATTTGGTACTCGGCATCGAGCTTTTTCTTTAGCAGCTTTTGAGGATATGGGACTTGAGGAGCTCGTGATTTCACTGTGGATGATAGTGGTTCTTCGTGAGTTGCTTCTTTTTCCCCAATCACGCTCTGCTTCTCGATTACCGTGTTTTGCTTCTCTTGACGTGGGACTTCCTCCAATTGTCTCCCATTCCTTAGACTTACGGCATTGCATTGCTCGATGTTGCTCTTTCGAGGATCTTCCGTATTCGACGGCAGTGCTCCCGATGGCCTCGCGGTTAGCTGGGTTGCAAGTTGTCCCATCTGTGTTTCCAAATTTCGGATGGAGGCTTGAGTGGTTGTCATAAATTGCGCCAAGATATTTGCGAGAACTCCACTTTGAGGTTGAGCTTGAGGCGGATTTTGGAATAACTGGGAGGTTGACCTTGAGGTGGTGCTTGCCTTTGTCCTTGCTGATTTCCTCCCCACCCAAAGTTAGGGTGATCTTTCCATCCCGGATTATACGTGTTGGAGTACGATTTCCTCTGTTGTCGGTTGGTGTCATGCACATAATTTAGAGACTCCGTTTCTTCTACGCTTTGGTCGGGAGCTTGGACTGCATGGACTTGCTGTGTCTGCAAAGCCGCTACTTGCTTTGATAGCTTCTCTAATTGGGCCGTGATTGCAGTGACCCCGTCTAACTCCAAAATTCCTCCCGTTTTAGCGGCTCCGCTGTTTGACCGATCCGATGCCCGCATGTATTTATTTCCAGCGATTCGCTCCAAGAGTTCGTATGCTTCGTCGTAGGTCAAACTCATGAACATTCCTCCAGCTGCAGAGTCGAGCACGGTCCTCGAGTTGTCTTGCAATCCATCGTAAAATATTTGCAGTTGGCGCCACTCTTGAAGTCCGTGGTTCGCGCACCTCCTTATTAACTGTTTGAACCGCTCCCACGTCTCGAATAATGTTTCACCGGCTTCTTGAATGAAGTTTTGAATTTCTCTCCGGATTCTCTCAGTTTTTGTTGGGGAGTTGTATGTGTTCATGAAAAGTTGTGCTAGCTGGGACCAAGACGAGATGGAGTGCGGTGCGCGAGTTTGTAACCATTCTCGGGCTGCTCCTTGTAAGGAGTGCTTGAACAAGCGGAGTTGCAGTGCTTCGGGTGTTACTCCGTTCATATTGTGCGAATCACACGTTTCGAGAAAGTTGACCAAGTGGAGATGTGGATCTTCGTGAGCCAATCCGCTGAATAACCCATTGTTTTGGAGCATAGTGAGGACTCCTGCTCGAATTTCGAAATTGTTGGCTTCAATGGGGGGCTGCTGGATGCTTGATTGAAACCCATTGAGTGTTGGAACGGTGTACTCATGCAATGCCCGTTGACGAGGTAGTGGATTAATTAGCTGGCGTTGCTCTTGCTCGTTGACGATTTCTCCAGCCGCATTCGGTGGACGCCTTTGGTTATCTCCCCCACGATTAATCTCTTCTTCCATTGTTGCGGGAGCGTTTTGAGCTAACCGTTGATTTCTCCTGGCTTGCCTAAACGTTCGCTCAATTTCGGGGTCGAGAGGTAGCAAGCTCGTGTCGTGTCCTCTTCGCATAAAAGGTACCTAAAACAAAATAATAAAAATAAAATAATTAAATAAAATAAATAAAATGGCTGAAGTAAGAAAAATTGCTCGAATTTAATATTAGGATAAATAAATAATTTAGCCGTATTCCCCGGCAACGGCGCCAAAAACTTGTTGGGCTGCTAAATACCTAACACGCAAGTGCACGTATCGCAAACAAGTAGTAAAAGTGGACTCGTGTGAGTCGGATGTCGATCCCACAGGGAATACTCAAATTATCTAATCATAATTACCAAATTCTAACAATTATGATTTTTATTCAGCCTACGCAAGTTTGTCAATTTAAATCAATTAAACAATTAAACTAATTAAGAAAGCAAATAATCACGAGAAAATATCAATATAAAACGGATCTAGGATTTTATCTTTCCCCTATGCGGTAATTCATCACCCAGTTAAACCTCTATCATGCAAGTTACGATTCCCGATTATTAACCCAAGACACGAAATTACTCATAACCCGCTGTCGCGTGTATTATAAGTCTATTATTCATAAACGATTCACTATATGTCTATGCAAACCTAGTATGAGTAAAGCATTAAAATAAGAGTAAAAAGCAGTTTGCCCCCTCAACTATGGGCCGATTTGCACTTTACCCCCCAAACAAAAAAAATTTGCACGTTTTTACCTGAACTCGTTAATTCGTTGCACGGTGCCCCCTAAACTCAATTTTCCGGCAATTTTAACCGGAATGTGAAAACATGTGCTTTGCACGTGAGATTTTGAGGGGTAAATTCGTCCATTCACTTGCATCTTTAATATTAAATACAAATAAATATTAAAAAAAAAGGAAAAAAAAAAAAAGAAAAAGAATAAATAAATAAAGGAAAAAGAAGCTATTCGTCTTGTTCAAGCTTTTCTTCGAAACCCATCAATGGCGGCCGTCAAAGAACAGAAGCGCAGCCTGCACATAGTAAAAAACAGGAGCTTTTCGCTTCCTCCATTAATTTCGTCAAAATCCCACTCCCGAAACTCGACGAACTCCCTGAAAACGCAAAGGCAACAATGGACATCAATGGCGGAGAAATGGACTATCTCAAGAAATCAAAAGATCGGACTGGTGTTTTGGAATTTAAGGCGCTTGTGGGGTTGAAAAATCTACCCATCTCCAAACACTAGCTCTGATAATATCCTAATATAGCTCAATCCGTTCCTATTTCTTCCTCAATTCTGGTTTTTTTATTTTCATTTTCTTTTTGTGTTTGATTTTGAATTTCATATGATCCGTCGCCAAAAAAAATTAGAGTACTTTGCTGTTCGTGGAGTTGTTGTAATCGCTAATCAGCCACCTCGATGAGTAATATTGGTTGATTTGCCAGAGATTCTTGTTCGCTTCTGCTCCAGGGTTGAATAATCGGAATCGAGATTTGCATTTTTTGTGGTTTTAGTTGTGGATTTGCCCATTTCCTGCAGATGATTGGTTTCTCTGAGTATTTCGTCTTGTGATATTTGTGTGGGTGTTAGTTTTGTTTCTAGAAATTACTGAGTTGGATGATTTAACCGAGTTTTAGGGTTTCAATTTTTTTTTTTTAAAAGGTAAGAGCTTGGTTGAGGATTAATTTATTAATATTTAATATATGCATGTAAAAGCATCTCCTGTTGATAAGTGAATGTACGAAGATACCCCTGTAAATGTCACGTGCAAGACACATGTTTTAACTTTCCGGTCAAAATTGCCGGAAAATTGAGTTCAGGGGGCACCGTGTAACGAATTAACGAGTTCAGGTAAAAACGTGCAAATTTTTTTTGTTTGGGGGGTAAAGTGCAAATCGGCCCATAGTTTAGGGGGCAAACTGCTTTTTACTCTTAAAATAACAAGTCTCGTAAACGGCTACCTAAGGTATTATATGTATGTCTACGATAATACATGCAATTAACACACTCATCCGGTGAAAACTACTCGAAGGCTCTTCTATCCTTGTTCTAATTATTAAAACGATCTGTCAATCAATTCTAACAATAACATATAGCAACATAAATTAGCTACTTTCATGCGCTAAATAAGATCAAATAGGAGAAATAATCAAAGAATTTAAACTTGCATAATATTAGAAAAATAGGTTCGAATCACCACATAGGGTTCCAACAAAATCCTAGAATAAAAACTTAGCTACTCATGTTCTTAACGAAAAACATAATAAAAATACGAAAGTTCATAAAAATCCAGAAATAAAAGTAAATGAAGAACTATGATGAAGATTCGTCAAGTCTTCGTCTTCGTTGCTCTGTTCTCTTGCTCCTAGATTGCGTGTGTAAAGATCGATTCCTAATTGTGTGCTTTTTGGCCTTTAAATATGGTGCAAAAATATAAGAGGGTTGTTTCCTTGTGTAATTAAACTTCCTTCACAGCGCCACCTCGGATACCCGGACGGCCGTGCGAGAATTAGTTCTGAAATCCGGACGGCCGTCCGGTCTTTAATTCTTCAGAGTTGTGATTTTTTTACTTTTGGCCCACTTTTTCTCCGAAATTGCATTTTTTACCCCATATGTTGCCAATTCTTCAATTTGTACCTAAAATACAAATAATAACCATTTTAAGCACCAATTATCGTTAAAACACACCCAAAAGTCCCAATTAGAATGTATGATTATGTGTAAAAATATACACTTAACATCGAGCGAAGATTAGTTTTGAGATGAAGGCTATTAATGCAGCTGCATATACTAAGGCTAAGAGTATTGAGTAATCCATTTGGTTGTTTCTGAGAATTTGTTTGGGGAGTAGGGTGTACTTATATAGTTGAAGCTCATTTTAGAATGAAAGGGTTTGGTGCAATATTGTGAAGAAATTTGGTGCAAATATTGGCATGTGGATATTCAATGATCACCACAATATATCACAGCTTGCATGAAATGTACTTGTCATAAGCTAAACATATTTTGACGTAAGTGTACAATTTTCCTTTTCTTTTTGTTTCTTTGTTTTACTATTAAAAGATATGTCAGTTGCATGTTATTAGTTAGATGTTTATTAATGTTTAGACTTTCTCTTCTGTCATCAGGTCCCATTGGAGATTCCTATTTTTTAGTCTTTCAAAGGTGAATTCAATTTAAAAAAAATTTAATTACAGGTTGAAAATTGTTGGTTTTTTGCCCAAATATGTATTGTGCCAAAAAGCCCAATTGCTCTATTTTATATACACAACCATTGAGTTAAGCCCTAGAGTTAATAAGTGAGCCCAAATTCATATCTGAGCCAAATTCATCCGTTGGATTTCTGGCTGAATCTGGACCGTTGATTCCCTCACTTAAATACTCTCTTCTCTCTCTTCTTTACCCTCATTCTGAAACCCTAGCTCTTTCCCCTTTTTCTCCGTCGCTCCTGCTTCTGTCTTCTTCCTCCCTTGTACTGCCTTGACTCTGTCATGGCTGGAGGTCAAAGAGCACGGTACATGGCTGACTTTGACTCTCCAGCACAGACTTTGGCTCTATTTGACTTATGTCTCTCTCTATAAATACTGGCATGGAGGTTGGAAGAGGATAAGACACATATTCTACCCTAGACTCGACCTAAATCTCTCTGTTTTTCTATTTGTGAGTTCTGAAATTGGGTTTTGGTGAGTGGGTAAGCTTGAGTGCTTGATCTGTTCTTTCCTTTGTGGAATTCAGGGTGAAACTAGGGTTTGTGTTGAGAGAGAAAGAAGATATGTTCTTCTTGTGGTACTCTGGTGGTGTATTGTGGAAAGTGTGAATCTCTGGTGTAAAAAATTGAAAGACTGAGCTGATATTCTTACTGTATTTATCTTTCAATTTTATTTACCTTTTATTTCTATCTTTCTGCTTTACTTGAGTATATATTCTCCTTAGCAGTAATTAATACTGCTTAAGAGGAACTTATATATATATATCCAGATTTATATGGAGCTTGGCAGTTTGATACCCTAAAAAATAATCAATTTTTTTTAATTCAATCATGTATAAAATTGACAACCTTCCATGCACTTTTGCCTTTAATCCTCCAATTATCAAATAAATGAAGAGAAGACCATCGTATAATAAGTATATTGCTAGTCAACAAATAAAACCGATGAAATTCAAATTTGTGCATAATGGAGATGAGGACCACTAGGAGAGTTTTTGCATGCAAAGTTCAACTTAACATAACATTGACTACAAAAGTTAGAAAAAAGGAGAGTAATAATATAACAAAAAATAGACAAATATTGGGAAAAGAGGTCCACATTTAAAGAAGTATTCTAGTTCAATTTTGTTTACTCTTTCCTTTTTCTGAAAAAAAAATATATTTTAAAAATTATTTATAATTTCCTTTTAATTTATTATGTTCCCACCCTGAAAATATCACCCAAAATTTGAATCGAAAAATCAACGAAAATTTGGAAATTCCGTTCCAATTTTAGTCCCTAGTTACACATGACAAAAAATATCAAACAATAACCGAAAACACGCTCTTTATTTTATAATGCAATTTGTATCAAGATCATCTTGATTACAATTTACACAAAATTTATTTAATTCCTGAACACAGACAAAATCAGTAAAGCTGGGATGGAAGTGTTGGTTCCATAACTACAACAAGAGGTTTTTTAGGATGTGTAGTAAGCCCGTACATCTCCTCCAAGCATACATCTTCGGCCAATTGAAACTCAAATCCATGCAGCAAATTAGCCAACATTGTTCGTACCATCTTCAGTCCGAGGTTGTACCCGGGGCATCTCCTCCGCCCCGAACCAAACGGCAGCAGCGCAAAATTACTCCCCAACATATCAGTTTCTTTCCCCAAAAACCTCTCCGGCAAGAATTCTTCCGGCGAATCCCATGATTTCGGGTCCCTCCCTATGCTCCATGTGTTGATGAGTACCGTTGTTCCCTTTGATATGTCGAACCCTGCAACTTTGCAATCATCGATGGCGTAATGTGGGGCTAATAGTGTAGCAAGTGGATGTAATCTCATCGACTCCATTATAATGGCTTCTACGTAAGGCAGTTGAGAGAAGTCGTTCTCTTCGACCCATCTCTTTCTTCCGATTACCCTGTCGAGCTCTTCTTTCGCCTTTTTGATTATTCGTGGTTGTCTCAGAATTTCGCAGAGAGCCCATTCTACTGTTGCTGCTGAGGTATCTGTGCCTCCAGCTAGTAAATCCTGTTTAAATTTTGTCAGATCATGATAAATTTCGTCGTATGTTTCTTGCATGCACACGATGTGCTTGAGTTATTGTCTGACAGAGGATATCAAGAACAAGACAATACAAATCAACACAATTGTACCTGTAATAATCCCTTGACGCAGTCCCTCGTTAGTTTAACTTCAAGATTAGGATCATCGGCCATCTTCAATAACTTGTCGACCAAAGTGAAGTCTTTTTCTTCCTCTGCCGCAGCCCCTTTTTGCCTAGTTTGGTGATCATCGATCACGTAGTTGTGAAAATTATCCAATCTATTGTACAAAGTCTTCATTCTCTTTACGTATCCCTGCAAATCAAGAAATTTGAGCCATGGTATCCAGTCACTAATTACAAATGCCCCATTCAGCAGAAACCACTCATCCAACATATCTTGTAAAGTAACGAACTTATCGTCTTCCGAATCACAGAAGTATTTCTTGCCCAATATCATCCTACACGTGGCAGAAACAGTGTAGTGCATTAAATGGTCTCTCAGCACAACTGGATCCCCAGACACGGATCTCAAACGAGACACCAAATTACGAGTCTCCTCTATACGAACATGCTCAAAAGATTCGATTTTTTTCGCACTGAAAACCTCGGAGAGGTAAATTTTACGGGCTAGTCTCCACTGCGGGCCGTACGGGGCCCACGTCATGTCGGAGTAATTGTAGGCGGTGTATTTGCCGGCGGCAAGAGGAGGCCTGGTGGCGAAGACTGTGTCGTGTACCCTCAAGAACTGTTTGGCCATCTCCGGAGAAGATGCAACCACTACTGGATACTTCCCGAATTTGAGCTGCATTATTTCGCCGTATTTTCGGGATAGAAAATGAAAGGATTGATGTGGGATTGGACCAATCAGGTTCAAGTTGCCGATAATAGGCCATGGTTTTGGACCTGGTGGTGTATTTCGTCGTGGTTGACGTAGTTTCGAGATTGTTTTAGAGATGAAGGCTATTATTGCAGCTGTACATATTAAGACTAAGAGTAGTGAGTCCATTATTTGGTAGTAAAATGATACAGAGAAACAGGTTGGTGATGAGAGTTTGTTTAATTTGGGGACTAATTTATAATAGCTGCAATATAATGTGAAGAAAATTCAAACAAAGAATTCTAGGACAAAATTAAATGTTGAAATGATCACCACCACACAACTTCCCTTGAAAATTAGAAATGTGGCTGTATATTACAGTGGTGGTTATCGGTTTTGGTTCGACTACTAAATTTTTTTTTTTTTTTTTTTTTTAATGACAATCAATTTTTTTTGAAATTAATCATGACAAAAAACTAGTAACCTACCTTGGAACAGTTAGCTTTTTTGTCCTCCAATTCTAAAATAAATAAAGAGCAAACTATTATATAAAACTACTACATTAAATTGCTAGTCGACAAAATAAATGAGATGCATTCAAATTTATTGAAAACTTCTCTTGCAATCAAGATAGAGTTTTTATTTTTATTTTTTTGAGGCAATTCAGAAAAAGTTTGGCACGCAATTACACAAAGTCCAAATTAACATAACATTGACTAGAAATGGTAGAAAATAAATGAGTAATACAACAAAAATAGAGAAGTGGGAAAATAGTATTCTAGTTCTATTTGTTCTGTCCTGCTATTTCTTTCTTTATTCATTTTAAAATAGAAAAGAAAATAGTTAGATAAATAAGTATAATGTATTTATTTTCGCTTAAAACATAGAGCATATTCAGTAAAGATGGTGTTCAAGTCTAGGTTCCAAGACGACCAAAATAGGGTGTTTTGGTCGTGTGTCGAATCTAGACATATCCTCCATGCATATATCGTCAGCCCTAACGCCGCCTCGGCCGTCAGCGGCCAATTTCAGATCAAACCCATGGAGCAAACTAGCCAACGTAGCTCGAACAACCCTAAGTCCAAGGCTGTACCCGGGGCACCTCCTCCGACCCGACCCAAACGGCAACATTTCAAAATCACTCCCCATAACAACATCCAACATCTCTTTCCCCAAAAACCTCTCCGGCAAGAACTCTCGAGGCGAATCCCATGATTTAGGGTCCCTCCCTATGCTCCATATGTTTACCAGAACGATCGTTCCTTTCGATATGTCGAATCCCGCAACTTTGCAGTCTTCGACCGCGTAACGTGGGGCTAGGAAAGTGGAAAGTGGGTGTAATCTCATTGACTCCATTATGATGGCTTCTATGTAAGGTAATCGAGAGTAGTCGTTCTCTTCAACCCATCTGTTTCTTCCGATTACTCTGTCGAGCTCTTCTTTTGCTTTCTCGATTATCCGAGGTTGTCTCAGAAGTTCGTGGATCGCCCATTCCACTGTTGTTGCTGATGAATCCGTGCCACCTGTTAGTAGGTCCTGCTTGCATGTTTCAAATCAAATTTCGGGTTTCGGGGAGTAATTAGGAATATTTAATTAGTGTGTTAATCGAAATGATTAATGAATAATACCTGTAACAGTCCCTTGATGTCATCTCTTGTGAGTTGAACATCAAGATTATTCGAATCCTCAGCCAACTCCAATAACACGTCTAATACACCTTTCGTAGCAAAGTCGTGTTTCGGTTTTTCGGATGATGATCGTCTAGCTAAGTGATCGTCAATTACATAGTTATTAAAACAATCCAATTTCTTGTGTAAAATCTTCATTTTCTTAACAAGCCCCTGCAAATCAAGAAAACCGAGCCAGGGAATTCAATCCCCGATATTGAACGATCCGTTGAGCAGAAGCAACTCGTTGAGCATCCTCGCCAGTTCATCCGATATTTCGACATTGCCACTCAACACCATTTTACTTATACTGGAGAGAGTGTGGCGCGACAGCTCATCTCTGAGCATGATCGGCTTTTCCGACAGAGAATGAAGACGGGAGAGGAACCTACGCCTCTCCTGTACCCGAATGTGCTCGAAGGATTCGAGCCTCTTGGCGCTGAAAACCTCCGAGTGGTAGATTCTGCGGGCCTGTTTCCAGTACGGCCCGTATGGGGCCCACACCATGTTCCTGTAGTTGTAGCACGTGTACTTGCCCGCGGCGAATGCGGGCCTGGAGGCGAAGGAAGCGTCGTGTGTTCTTAGGAACTGTTTTGCCAGCTCCGGTGATGACGCAATCACTACCGGAGATTTGCCTAGTTTGAGCAGCAGTATTTCGCCGTATTTTTCGGATAAGGATTGAAGGGATTGACGTGGTTTGGAGATTATGAGGTTCAAATTGCCGATTACGGGCCATGGTTTCGGGCCTGGTGGGGGGTTAATTAATCTCTGTGGCTGCTGTAATTTTTTTGAAATTGTAATTAGGGCTAAGAAGAGTAATAAGGTTGCTAAGAGTAGTGATGATTCCCAATTAATCGAGTACATCTCCATAATTGGTGGTGAAATGAATTGACATGCATGCACATAATTTCTAAGTGTATTTATAGTTGAATTGCAGCTGGTTACGTACCTTTCATGCAACTTAAATAAAATTGAACAAGATGTAGTTATTGAAGGAACTAACTTGTTAGACCTTAGAATAGCACCAAGATTAGATTTTAGGGTATCGTTTGGTTGACAATATAAAATTAATAAAGATAAGATTAAATAATCTAATGAAATACAATTTCAATAAAAAAAACCCCTCACATATATTATAATTAAATATTACTGGACCATCGACGGTCTAATAAAATTTTACTTTGATAATTACAATATTACAATAGATCACCCAAAAAAACCATATTAAAAAGATTAATTGGCTAACTTCACGGAATAAAAAATAATTAAATCAACACAAATTATTTTCCAAAAAAAAGTCGATGATACTACTAAATTTAAATTATAGGCACGTGTATCTTCACTCAAATTGTATCGAAAGTCTTACAATTGAGAATAAATAATGATGCACGTAAATTATGCACGTAGATTAATACACCGCTACACTAAATAAATGATGCACATAAATTAAAGGAAAAGTCAATGTATTTGAGCACTAAATAGGCTCGTGTATTTTCACCAAATTTTGTTTTTTATGTAGGTTTTTTAGTTCATCATATTTTAAAATTAATATTTCAGTCATGTATGTTACGAAAGTTGGAGATTTTGGTTCTGCCATGCTATAGCAGATAATTCAATGCTTGGTTGAATAAATTGTCATTTTATTTATAAAATAAAAGGATTAATAACAAACTAGAGGATGTGGGCCATGTGGCTGACTGAGTTCGACAAATTTGGAGAGAAATAAAAATATACCATCAATTATTATGTTTAATTTAATGATGGAAATAAGCAATTTTCCAGTAACTGTTTTTTAATTACTATTTCATAGTTTTCGATTAATAAAAAAAGTGATTAAACTATATTTTCTTACTCGTTATGGGTAATTGACATTGTTATTCTTGTTTTGATAAAGTATTTTATGTTTGCATGTTCTAAAATGTTATTTGGTACATTTAATTTAATAGAGTTCCGAATATTTTATTATATATTTTTTGATTTTTTCGTAAATGTGTGTTTCGTTTTTATACTAATTATGACTGTGCATGTCATTAAGTATACTTTAGAACAAGTTTCAATATGAATTTTTTTTCTTCGTATTTTGGTTGAATTGCATTATTATTTTTATCCACTAAAAACTATGAAATATTAATTAAAATTGGTTACTAAATAAATACTTATTTCTTCATAAAAAAATATAATGATATATTTTTATTCGATGAAAACATTAGGTTGTTGAGGGTCTTTATTGCAAAAATATATATAAATTTGGACCAGGTTTGGTACCTCACTGCAATGGGTCAGTTTATTATAAATTAATACAATTTGGGTTTTACTGCAATTTATTTGCGGGAACATTGGGTTGACTATGGACTTATTGGGCTGGGCTCTCTACGTTTTTTAAACTTATGGACTATACATAACTAGAACAAAATATTAGAGTAGAATGTATTAATTTATATATTTATATTTTTATTATTTATATACTTCGTAAGTTTGGTACTATTAATTAATAATATAAAATCAAATTCGATTTCAGTTATTATAATAATTGTGTAAAATAATTTTAAAACCATTTGTGGGAGATAATGTGGATAAAGTAATTGTACCTAGTTGGAACGACATAACTTATGTAACACAGTAAATAAAAATAAAAATAAAAATAGTGGGGGGCCCACAAGTGGGCGCAGAATAAATAATGTAATCCAATTACACTAACCTGCACCCACCATCTTCAGCAGTCCGCTCTCTCTCTCATCATTCCGTTAAAATATTCAGCATATTCCATCCATCTCCCCCTCTCTCCTTTTCCCCTTTCCCTTTCTTCCTGCAGTTGCCCTTCATACAGAGAGAGAGAGAGAGAGAGAGAGAGAGAGAGAGAGAGAACGGAGAAAAAAATTGGTTTCGAATGATGGATCTGTGGTGCGTGCATGCGAAAAGCAATCGCTTTATGCTCAGAAATTCCTTCTCCGAGAAACCTATTTACTGGAGTTCCAGAAATCAATCGATGTCTTTGGAATTTAGGGTTTCCAAGGCGGAATCGCTACCGACTCAGACTCACTGTAGGTATCGATCGCTTTTAATTGAAGCTGTGTCGAAGAAGAATCCTGGAAATTCAAGTGGTTCTGATTCCAATTCCTCCTCTTCTAATTCTGGTATATATTTTTTCTTACTCTTGTCCCCCCCAAAAGAAAAGGGAACAAATATTTTTAGTTCTGTTATGAAAGAAGAGAGCTGTTAATTTAATTGTTATTTTATCTTTCTTATCTGAAGTTATTGCTGGCATGGCATGTAAGGAGCTTCCATTTTTCTTTTTAAATTGAAAATTTGTTTTAGCTTGAGAGTTATGAGTATTTGGTGATCATGTAGAAAGATCTCGTCCTGAGTGCGTTTCTTTGTGAAAAAAAATGGACTCAACTTATAGCAGTTGGTGGACTTGATTAAATTGGAAAACAGACTTGTACATCATAATTGATCAAATAAAATGGAGAAATATATTCCATTGCGTAGGGGGATAAGTGATGGATTTCACAATGCTATGTCCTCAATGTATACAAAATTAAGTCGTAACAAACTTAATTTGCATTGACTTTTCATCCGAGCTAAAAAATAGTTTAGGCCCGACACTCAAAATCTATATTTCACGATGACATACCTTTTGTGGAATGGGAAAAAATTCTATGCTGAGTCTTTAGCCAGGGTACAAAGTTTCTGCAATAGTCATGAGACTTTCAACTCAATGAATGGTTCTGTATGCATAATTTGTGTATGCAGGGAACAATGATCGTCTGAAAGGCAACAATCCCCCCCCTGGAAGCAACAAATCTGGCGATCCCAGCCCACAGAAATCTCAGCGTAAACCATTAGATTGGAGAGAGTTTAGAGCATCTCTCTACATCCAGGAGCAGGTACACTTGTTCCTACTTGAAGGTGTTCATTATGAGGTTTATAGGATCTTTTGAGGAGCCTCAATTGTCAATCGTCTCTCTCTGTTGTTTTTTATTTAATGGGTCTGTACTTGAGAGAGTTTAAATGTTTCCTGTTTTACCGTCTAAAAATATAAACTTCCAGGCTGAAGATGCAGAAGCTACTCACAACCAAGATAGAGCATCACCCGCATCAAAATCTCTGCCCCTCAAGTGGGCCCATCCTATTTCAGCACCCGAGAATGGGTGTCTCCTTATTGCTACAGAAAAACTTGATGGAGTTCGCACTTTTGAAAGGACCGTGGTTCTTCTCCTCCGATCCGGAACAAAGAACCCACAAGAGGGGCCATTTGGGGTTGTTGTGAATCGACCCCTTCACAAAAAGATGAAGCATATGAACCCCACCAATATCGAGTTAGCAACTACATTTGCCGACTGTTCTCTGCATTTTGGTGGACCCCTTGATGCTAGTATGTTTTTGCTAAGAGCTGAGGGAACTACTGGACTTCCCGGTTTTGAGGAAGTCATTCCTGGTGTATATTTTGGGTCAAGAAACAGTTTGGACGAAGCTTCAGCTTTGGTGAAGAATGGGATACTTAGGCCTAAAGACTTCAGATTCTTTATGGGATACGCTGGATGGCAGCTGGACCAACTGATCGATGAAATTGAATCTGATTACTGGTATGTTGCTGCATGTAGTGCAAACTTAATCGCTGGGCTTTCACAGAATTCTTCCTCTGAAGACTTGTGGGAAGAGATTCTGCAACTAATGGGAGGTCACTACTCGGAATTGAGCCGCAAGCCTAAGCAAGATATCTAGTTCTTCTCGAGCTACTTCGGCATGAAATCAAGGTAATCCATTGATGAGGAGTTTGATCCCAAAATGTACAGTATTGAGACTTAGGAGTCATAAATATGTAGAATATATTTTCTTCTCTTCCCGTGTTTCTAAATAAATAACGCTGCTATTTATGCATGTAAGCAATTATTGTTCTGATGTACTGAATAATGACCTTTATTTTCGAAATTTGATTTTAAGTTGCAGCTATTTGTAACATGCATTTGCTCGAAATTTGGTTCGATTAGTAACATTTTCCCTATCATTGTTGCTTTTGCAGATTATACGTCTATGTTGTTTCTCTCTCTCTCTCACACACACACACACGCACACACACACACACACGATAAGCTTGTTGAATATTTCACATATGAAAAACCTTTCTCCATAACCATATATGTTATCTTACAACTCAATTGGCATTTACTAATCCAAAGCTATTTGTTAAAGAGTAAGATGAATTTTTGTTTCTACAATGTTAAACCGATGGATGCTGTAATATACAAAAGATGAACCTCCTCATCGGGTTGACTACAAGTTCACTTAGAAAACAGAGTTCGCCCCCTTGCTTCTATTACCAACTTCAGAAGTTCTTCACATGAATCTGTAGTCTCAATCGGACAGTAGCTTTCAGCTGCTTCACATTTGGTACCCGACGATCCATTATGAACTGGCATTCACATCACATGTCTATTTGTGCTATACATTTTCAGGTTCTACTTGTAACTGCAGCAGTTCTTTTAGGACAACTTTGGTCTTTGGCAGTACTAATCATAATCATAGGAGTTCTTTTTCGTTCTGTCTTTGTCTAGACGTGCCTTGCGTACCGCCTCTTGAATTTGTCTTTCGTGCTCTTTTAGCATGTCTTCCATATTCCCGCCTGGAGGCATTAATGGTCCGGAGAAAAGGATCCTGTTTCTTTTAGGTACGTAGCCCTGACAAAATAAGACAAGTTAAGAGCATGTAATGATACCCCTGAAAACAAAACATTCGTGTTAGAAGGCATACTATCGAGTCATTATTAGAACTTCTGACATTTGCCTTGGTTCGATAATCCGACGAGTCTGCTATTATTGGTCGACGCCCTTGAGAACCTTGTCTTGTGAGTTGTACACCGTGTTGAGATTGGACTGAGTGAACTGAGTCATCCTTCATATTTTTACTCCAAGAATACCCTACTGCGTTGGGGTGAATCACTGAGTTAGAATGAGTATATCCGTTTTTCAGTTTTGCTCTTGGCGGCTCGATCGGGAATCCAGCTCCACTGTCCTCTTGTGGGTTGTACTTATAACTCGTGCTCTTATTTGATTGTCCCTTTTTCGAAAAAAAAGAAAATTTTAAAAAAATCGATCATAATTATGATGATAAATTTGAAGGGCTATTAGTGGAAAAGATAGAAACCTGTCCTTCTGGAACGGCCTTCTGTTTATTTGAATTGTTCTTTTCGTATTCAGCTTCTCGCCCTTTGACACTCTCCTCTTTTCGCCTGAATAACAAAAACGCGAATTACATTTGTTTCATATTTTAGTTTGCAGTTATTTACAAATTAGAATTTGGAATATTCTGTTACCTTTTAGCTTCCTCCTCTCTAATCTTGGCATCAAGTTCCTTACTAGGAGGGTACTTTGGTAGGCTAGATGGATCGCAGGGCAGAGGCTTCGAAGTAAAGAACTGAAATCACGAAGCAACGGAAAACGCAAAAGTTATCATTTCAGCAAATACAAAATGACTGAAATTTAAATATCAGGTAGGAAAATATATACCTCACTTCTGAGGGCCGAAGAAGCAGTACCCCTCTGTTTTGGATCGATCGAGAGAAGTACTTCAACGAGAGCCAATGCAGATGAAGGGATATCTTTAAATGTATCGGAAACTCGTCTTTTGTATACCCTCTGTGATTTAAAACTAGTGGCATGTGGTAATTTTGTCTTCATCCAATACTCCTCTGTAGGTGAACCACACAGCTTGAATATCTTATGCATTTGCTCCACCTACAGAAAATATTCATAATCCATGTTAAAAGACTCGAAAAAAGAATTTAAAAAAAATTAGGAAACTCGGGAAAAAAAAAAAACCTCGGTTCTTCCAGGCATGATAGGCTTGCCAGCAAAAAGCTCAGCAAGAATACAACCGACGCTCCACAAATCAATTTCAGGTCCGTACGAAGTTGCACCCAATAATAACTCAGGAGCTCTGTACCACAGAGTCACTACACGGCTCGTTAATGGCTGCTTTTGGCCTGGCTCGAAAAAGGTAGCCAAACCTAAATCTCCGATTTTGACAACTCCTTTATTATCAACCAAAATATTCGAACCCTTTATATCTCTATGAAGAACACCTCTACTATGGCAGTGCTCTAGCCCGCTTAATATTTGCTGCATGTAACATTTTATCTGCAAACAAGAAAAGCCTTATCACATGAGATGAAATCAAATATTTTTTCGGAGAATAGATACAGTATGTATATGTATCTATACCTGTGGTTCAGTAAATTTAACCTTCGGTGATGCTAAGAGTCCAGCAAGATCGTGCTCCATGTATTCGAATACGAGATACAAACTTCCGGAAACCCTAGATGTCACCAGAGCTTCGAGCTTCATCACATTAGGGTGGTCTAGCTTACGGAGGATACAAATCTCCCTCGCCATAAAACGAACACTTTCAGGGTCCATATTCACAAATCTCACTTTCTTCATCGCCACTATTTTGTCATTCGTTAGGTCACGTGCCATGTAGACACTACTGTATGTACCCTGACCAATCTGCATCAATCAATCGAGACAAACACAGATTTTCTTGAAAAGTTAGTACACGAATGAGTATATAGGATAAACCAAGGAATTTTGTCTGAAGGAAAAAGAAAAAAAAAACTGACTTTGTTCAGCTTCTCGTACGAATCGGAACTTCGTGGGGCCCACCCTTTGATGGCTTCCCCTGCAACCGAAGCTAGCCACGAGGGCCATCCTTGCTCGCCATTTGCGCCGCGTGGCATACTCGTAATTCTCGACATTTTTTGTGGGGTTCCTAAATCCATTGTCGAATGTCTCCGGTGGCCGTTTTTGGGCCGTTCGATGATCATTGTCTTTGGATCCTCTTCGATGATTACAGGCGGGACCGAGGCAACGTTCGATTCTAAGGCTGTCTTTGATCTTGAACGTGATCTTGAATGAAGGGAAGCATCATTCTTGTTGGGATTATTTCCTACTCCTATAACTTGATCTCTATTCAAGGGAGGAATCAGCTGCACCGAAGATTTTGGTAGCTCTTTTTCTTTTTCCTTTTCGTATTCGGCCACGTAATCGTTCACAATGGATCCTTTTGAACAAAGGCACCCCATTATTATTTCTCTCAAAAAAAAGATCACCTTTTTTTCTTCTTTTGTCTCTGGTTTCTGTGCAATCAATCAGCCATTGTAATAGCCTCAATAATCAGAAACAAAGGGCAAAAAGCAAGAATCTTGATCATAGATCATATGATTGTTTCTTGTTTTTTTTTTCGACCGTCGAAAAATGTAGGAGATAATCCCAACTGCACTTCTTGAAAATTCAAGACCTTTTGAAAATATACCCAAATACAGGGATTATGTCCCTATTACAAAGATAACAAAAGGATGAAAATTTTGAATTAAAAATAAAATAAAAAATTAATGAAAAAAGTCAAAAGAACAGACCAGAATGTAGCATGAAAGAATTTGTTGGAGTGTAAGCATACGAAGATATATACACAAATAAAATGTATGTTCAACCTATGCCCATGAATTAATGCACGAGTTCTGGGCAAGGTTTCAAGGCAGGTCCCTAATGGAAGAAGATTTTGGGTTCCAGAATCTTTTTTTTTTTTTTTTCTTGAAATTCAGTAATTACTACTGTCAGAAAATAAGGCACGTAATTCTACATTTTTTTGTCATTTGTTGTTGCACAATTATTTTTTTAATAAATAATTCATTAAAAATTAAATAAAAGTGTGGTAAATTTAAATTTTGTTTGATTAGGGAAAGGGAGATGGAGAGAATTACGGAAGTTACAGGCACAAAATGCGTATGACCATTAATTTGTTTCGAAGATTAAAATTAAATTTTGAAAAATGACAGTGATAATAAATTAATAATAATTATACTGTATTTCTTACCCTAAATAGCAATCTTGATTGACAGAGAAATCAGCTCCCTGAATTCTACGAAGAACACAAACATTTTCTTGCATGAACTCTGCATTCATCTTCTTCTTCTGATTATTATTATTTTTTATTCAGTGGCAAAAGATTATTAATTCGTTAGTGTTTGAGCAGAAACATTTTTTCTGCTGATTTTTTTTTTCTTTTCAAAGGATTCAAACTTTTGAAGACGTGCGTGGCACTAAGACACGTGGGACCCACTCGAATGCCACGTCGGATGCATATTAATTAAGCTAATAATAATTGATTGATTCTTCTTGACAATAAGTACATTGTAAGTAGACTTTGAAAGAAACTAAAATACTAAAAATAGAATTAAAAATAAACACTTGCTCCAAAAACCTTAAATTTAATCATGCAGAAAGCTCCAAAAACCTAATCCAGTAGAGAGTGACAACGTTTACCCTGCACACTAACACGTGTACAGAACCCTCTTCTGCATGCAGCCATGGTGTTCATCTTCTATCACTAGATGTCAAATAACCATAACCACCCCCCACCCCCTACCCTCACCCCCCAAAACTCAATTCTTCACATAATTTACATATTCTCTCTCTCTCTCCTCTCTCAAAAAGTCTGAATTATTGAAACAGCGCAGAGAGAGAATGGATCTAATGAACGCAGTTCTGAACTTTGTGGTGCCGCCGGCAAGTCTGGTGATGCTGGCTTTTGCATGGCCGACTCTGTTTTTCATTAGCACGTGTGAATGGTTTTACAGTACCTACTTCAAACGTGACACCATGGAAGATAAAGTGGTTGTCATCACCGGTGCTTCTTCCGGGATCGGAGAGGTATAATTAATTAATTATACACAAATTTCTTAATTATTGCTTGTCGGATTCTTGATTTTTGTGTCAAAATTAATTAATCTTGCAAAATTTTGGGGATGCTGCAGCAAATTGCATATCAGTATGCGAAAAAAGGCGCGAATCTTGTATTGGTGGCGCGAAGAGAGCAGAGGCTACGGGGCATAAGCGAGAACGCAAGAAGAATGGGGGCCCAGCATGTGCTAATTATGGCTGCCGATGTTGTTAAAGAAGATGACTGTCGGAGATTTATCAATGAAACTATCAATTATTTCGGACGAGGTACATATTAATTAATTAAACTCTCTGCTGATTTTAATTTCTTTAAAGTTTTTGTGTGTGATAATATAATGAATACGCAATTTCGATTACATTTGCAGTGGATCATCTAGTGAATACAGTGAGTTTAGGCCATACTTTCTACTTCGACGAAGCTACAGATACATCTGTGTTTCCCATTTTAATGGTAATGAACTAGTATGTATATATATAATTGGGGTTTTTATTGCATCTTATTGCTAATATTATTAATAGCACAGAGGACCTTTTCAGCAATTCGATATAACATAAGGGTACCGAATGAAATAAGCTCAAGTTATAATTCGGACAATGTTTCGATCAATATTGTTTCTGACATTATTATTTGTCAAAATTAAGGATATAAACTTCTGGGGTAATGTATATCCGACATACGTAGCGCTGCCATATCTGCGTGAAAGCAACGGTCGTATTGTTGTGAATGCTTCCGTTGAGAATTGGTTGCCGTTGCCAAGAATGAGCGTCTATGCTGTAAGCCTGCAATAAATTTAACTCTCATTTCCAATTCTAACATATGTGTGTATATATATATATATATATATATATATATATATATATATATATATATATATATATATATATATATATATATATATATATATATATATATATATATATATATATATATATATATATATATAGTAGTTGAAGGTGAAAACAATTTTGACAAAATTGAAACAAATGTGTTATAGGCTGCTAAATCAGCACTAATGAACTTCTACGAGACACTGAGATTCGAAGTGAAGGACGAAATCGGAATAACAGTCGCCACGCACGGCTGGATCGGAACCGAAATAACTGGCGGGAAATTCATGGTGGAGGAAGGCGCAGATATGCAGTGGAAAGAAGAAAGAGAAGTAATTTGTTTTTCTCCCCTTTTTTTATTATTATTTGTACTAATTAATATGAAAGTTTCGTTTGTGAATATTAATCGAACACTTTCTTTTAAGGTACACGTGTCTGGTGGGCCCGTGGAGGAGTTTGCGAGGCTAATAGTGGAAGGGGCGTGCAGGGGAGATCCGTACGTGAAATATCCGAGCTGGTACGATGTTTTCTTCTTGTATAGAGTTTTTGCGCCGAAAGTTTTGTACTGGACATTTCGGTTTCTTTCGACGAATGTTGGTGAGGGAAGAACTACTTCGTTTATCGGAACTGGGAGGAAACTTCTAGAAGCTTCTTCCCCTCCGAGAAGACTTACCCTAGTGGCGGAGGGTTCTCCCGGAAGACTTACTAGCGGAAGTACTTCGACGTTTTCTCCAGCCAAACAGCAGAACAAGTATGAGTGAATGAGTGATGAATGATTTTCTGTTTGTGTATTCGCATTTGCTACTTTTGTAATGTTTGAACTAGTGTTTTTGAGAGCTGTAATCGAGATGAATAAAGGTGGCGAATTCCAAGAAACATTGTGTGTTTTCTTTGTTTACATTTTCGATTATTTTTGGATGCGCAGAAGCCGAAAATCCGAAACCGAACCCAGAACCCGGGAAACTCAAAAACTCGATAACCGGAAACTGAAACGAAACCCGAAAACCGGTACCGAAACCAAAAACCCGAAACCGGAAAAAAAAAAAAAAAGAAAACCTGAAACTTGAAAATCCGAAACACCGACACAGAGAACCCAAGCCTGGACCCAAAAATCGGAACCGAACCCAAAACGAAAACCTGAAAACCCGAAACCCCAAAAACCGGAAAACCGAGAACCTGAAATGAAATTGAACCCAAAACAAAAACTCGAAACCCGAACGCAAAACCAAAAACTGAACCGAAACCGAAACCAAACACCGGATCTGAACACGCCAAAATTTGTCATTCCAATTACTGATCGATTCTTCTTACTTGTTTAAAACGAAATTAGAATTAGTTTCTGAATTCTAAAAAAAAAAATCGGACTTCACCAAAAATGCGAACCCCGATAACCCGAACTTTATATAGTAAAAAGAAAAGGTGGTAACAAATACATAGTTACATAATAATTACATAAAGAGGCATGCATAGAAGCTAATCAGAAGTTTGAACACTAGGAAAAGCTGCAGGTCCATAAGGACCTTCCTCAGTCTCATCAACCAGCTTCTCCTTCTCCGCTCTTTTCGGTCCACCATACTCACGTGAGGCACGTGCTTCATGAACTATATCTGTTGGATATGTTAGCTTCTCCTTTATTGCATCCTTAACACTCCCTATTGCACCATATATGTTCTTTCTTGCTGCAACTCCTCTGCAGTTCATATATATATATATATATATATATATATATATATATATACACACATTAAAAGACATTAATTATTACAAATACAGAGAATCTGTAATGATGAAATTAAGGAAGTAGCTATTAACCTGTCGGCAGCCGTTTCACGATCGGCGGCAACTCTCTGCTTTGCCTCATCTTCTTTGTTGAGCTTCTGCTCTTCCATCTTCTCTCTAGCTTTGAATTCTGTCTCTCTGTACTTTTCCTGTTATAACATGATGAATTTTGTTTTTGAGTCACAACTACTCTGTATATATATATATATATATATATGATAGGGTTTTACTTTTACCTGATTAGTGTCGCCGCCTAGTAGAGCTTTCCGATCAAGCTCCTCCGCATTACCGGTCAACAACTCCTTTGTTCTTCTCGCCGCTGAGGCGGCCGTCTCTTTCAGCTCATCCATTCTATTGGAGACAAAAAAATAAAATAAAATAAATAAATAATCCAACATAGCATCATAGCAGAAGAGAACAACTGATAATTATTATAACCTGAATTAAACAGTGTGCTTGAAAACAATAATATGCTATTTCTTCTTTATCTATTCTCAGCTAATTAACTTTGTCTTTCTTGCTACTTAAATATGCCAAACAGAGGCATGACTACTGGTCCTCAGCTGGTTTTGCCACGTGTAACAAACGTGTAAGGAAATCACGAATACACCTAATTTGAGCCGTGAAATGTTTTAAGGTAAACAATAAAAAATTGAAATGATCGGAGAGAAGAAGCATGATGATGAACTGGAATTAAAAATGAAGTATTTTCGATCGTGTTAAATAAAATTAAGTAAAACAAATTAAAGGTGGTACCTTACCTTGTTGAGATAACACCGGCCGGCCACTTCTTCCTCTCTCCGACAACATCATCGTCAATAATTCCCCCAATTGACTCATCAATAAACCCTAATTAAGAAATGCCCGGCACCTTTCCCTCACTCAATTTTCTAAAAAAAATGTTTATTTACAAAAAATACAAGAAGTGACTCTCAGACCAGACCAGACCAGAATGAACTGATATAAACCTGAACCTTAAACTTTGATTCAAGTTTTTCTTAATTAATTCATAAGTCAGGATTTAGTTATGTTTAGTTGTAAGGGTAGTTTTGGAATTAATAATATTGTGTACGATTGGACGTTTTGACATTCGGGCCTTTGTAATGTTGGTTTGGGCTTTCCACTTTTTTCTCATTTAGTCTTGGTGTTGTTTAATAATAATAATAATAATACATTCGAGGTGTATATATATAAATAAAAATAATATAATAATAACTAAAAATATATTTATAGGGCGTGCAATAACTTAGTTGTGCGCACCAAAAACCAACTCCAACATAAACTGTCTGACCATTTAAAGACAGATTAAAGAAGAAAGAAAAAAACAGAGCTTTGCGTAATTAATTAATTAATTAATTATAGATAATCTTCCACAGAAATATCCAGGTATTCTTCACCACTTCTTCTCTGCGACGATTTTCCATCCGACAGCCGCGCATCAATCGCCAATCCGGCGTCCGACGCCGCCTTCTGCACCGACCGCGGCGACATTCCCACCCTCGCTCCGGCGGGCAACACCAACGGAAAGTTCAGATTCTTCGGCGACGAGTTGCCTCTTAGGCAGTAGAAAGCCACGTCGTGTGCCACCGCCGCCGCCTCCGGTGTGGCGTATGATCCCAACCACAGCCGCTCCGGCGTCCCCGGTACCCTGATCTCCGACACCCACTTCCCCCATTTCCGGCGACGGATTCCTTTGTACTTGTTCTGCGACGACGACGCTGCTGCTTCGTCGTTGTTTCTGTAATTACCACATTCGTCGGAGGAGCTGCTCATCATCTTCTTCTTCTTCTTCTTCTTCACTGGATTTGTAGAAAATCGATTTGGTTGCTAATATTATAATACTTCAATTATGTGACTTACGCAAAATAGAGGCTTATATAAGTTGAAGATTAGAAAGTCAACTAGAACAATTTATTAATTTATTTTTTTATGATATGGGAAGTCAAAATTTTCAATGGTCAAAGTAAAGATGGTTCACTTTTAATATTAAATAATACGTGATCCCACTTGATCAAGAAATTGGTTTTGTGTGAAAGGGGGGCAAGAATATTTATTCACAAACCAACCAACTTGAGATCGGTGGATTTATTGATTTTGAATTTAATGCAGCGAAAATGAGCACGTCGGTCATTTCTCCATCAACGAATTAGTCAAATTCAATTTTACAAATCTTGAAATAACACAAGAATGTAACTAAATTATGTAATTAGTAGTTGTTTAATCTAAAATATATATACACATTGAGGTAAAAGTATGGTCGGTTATTGGATAAAACATATTATCATAGAAAAGTAAAGAAAGTGGGTTGGCTTGTTTTAAATTTTAATTCACGTGTGTAATAGACTTAAACAAAAGTAATAATTAGTGGTCAACCAATTTACTTTTAATTTTGAACAACAAAGGGGAATAAATAGGAATGTTTAGCCCGGGTCAAAATGTTGTGGTAAAAGAGTAGAAGGGAGTTTATAGTGAACACTACGATTATCGTCATCCATGACGTCATAAGCGTGGTCGGCTCCAAAATGCTCAACTAAATTTGGGTGAAGTCTATCTCTATGTAGGATCTCAATTTTGACCTTCATTTGGAAAATTTGGAATCGAATGATCTGGATCTGATGTTACACCACTCAATTATATATCTAGTACCAGATCCATTTTTCGTAAGAGAAGATCTAGCGGTTTTAAGCAAATGGGCTTGTATTAATTGACTTAGAATTTTAATCTTTTTACCAACAGTTAGGTGAGACTTGTTTTTGTCACGGTCTATTCTATGCTACTCGGGTGAAATACACCGGATAGATATTTACCATTCATATACACACGTACATATTGGTGTATGTAGATCAATGGAGAAAAATCACCTGATGTAGTCTTCACCAGGTGTGCAGCATAGATATAACCTTTGTCACACATGATTATCCTAATATAGTTTACGTAGACACGAAAAACACCAATTTGAAGGGTGATGGTGTAATTGAATTAGTAAATTCAATCTGAAATCCTCTGGTTATACTTGATATTGTAATTTTCTAGTTTATATTGTATAATATAATACTTCCAAGTAACATTTGTCTATATTTTCAAACATTATGCACAATCTAAAGATTTTGAGCAAAAAGACACTGTAATTGTACGAGGTACAAAACAAATTTGGATACATTTCATTCGGTTATAATGTCAGGTGATGGAATTTAATCACAGTAAATAAATAAATATACAAGGACCAATATAAGTTTTTACTTCCTATAAACCATGTTCCAGGAAATATAAGCAAGCAGGCACAAGAATGAAAGAAAGACAGGCAAAAAACATCAACACTTTGATCTCATCTCTGTAAGAATCATTGCAGAGCATTCGAAACTGAATAAATGAAGTCCAAGAAACCAGTTCCCCTGAGTAGCCCTTTACCGGTCAGCAGTTCGAAATCCAACAGCAATAAGAATCCGATAACAGCCGCCTTTCCGTTTATCAATTCGTTCTTCCTTGTGAAACCAAATCCCTCAGAATCTTCATCAATAATCATTTTCACCTGTTGTTACGAATAAGTTTTCTCTTATTTTTCTTTTCATAATCGGCCCACGAGTATATTAATGATATTTTTTTTCTCAATGCGGTTTATTTACCTCATCAACATTGACATTTGAAGCCGTTAAACCAGGTTGAGCCTTGCCGCTGAAAACGATCTCAGTAGAAGCATCGGATTGGATGGTTCTTCTTATGCTAATGAAGATATTATCACCGTCAGTTTTGACTGGATAAACGAACATTTTTCTTAGAGGGGGGGTGAGTGCTCTAAGCACGGGATTCTTAGGGTACCACTCTTTGATTTCTCCCGTTTGCAAATCAAATGTGCTATCAGTTGATGGGCAGACGATGCATCCATCCTGTAGATTGTTTAAGTGTGTCGGTTACGAGCAAGTTTATAATATCACATTTAGAAAAACACTCTTGTTCTTACATTGAGAAACAATGAGAACTAATAGTACGAGTGCATGTGCTATTACAAAGAGGGTTCTCTAACAGTATACATAGGCAAATATCAGATTCACAACTCCAAAATCATTTTTAAACCCCTCACGCATTTTACTCATTCCTCGGTATTGAGAAAAATGAACAACAAATAGTCAAACACTAGGAATAATTCGATAAAAATAATTAGAGGGGTCAAAATTTGGATGTTACACACCAATCTCATTAGGTAGTTCTGCCTCCATATTAGATCTCGAGAAACTAACACACACACTGTGTGTGTGCGTGTATATACAATAATTGATAATCAAAATACTTCATCCAAGTGCTTTCAGATACATAGATATAGATTACAATACAAATGACCCCTTATACTGAGGACTCGTTTGGGAATATTGATATAGGATTGTTCAGATTGACTGAATTGGATGCGATAATAATGTAATGTTATATGTAATTATCTTATGCTTGATGTTTATGATTACAAAATTCCTGTACTACCGAATTGTGTAAGTATCATCCATATTGTATGCTTGATTAAGTTATGTGTCTATTTTGAATCACATACAAACATAAACCCTAAACATTTGATACATTTCGATTTATACTGTGTATCAATTCCTATCCTTGTTCCCAAACAGACCTTAGTGACACAGAAACAGAGCACATTGTGAAACAAGAGATTGAGAAAACAGACAGACCTGAGTGAGCTTAGCATTGCGGAGGCCTTCAGAATAGGCACCCTCAGCTGGAGATCGGTTCTCAATAGCAAAGACGTCGTTTTTATACCACAGCAGCAATATTGTCTCCCCGTCTTGTATGATCACGCGCCGCTCTCCCTTCGGCAGCGCCGATAGCGGCACTACCGGAACCCAGTTCTTCCCATCGTCGCCGGCCGAAGAGGATGATGATGATGACGGCGGTGGTGGAGACACTTCAGTAGCCTTGCACGTGGTGAACCCAACTCTGTTGCGAGAGGATGTTAGGGCAATTTTTGAGGTGGGTTTAGTGAGGGGAAGGAGGTGGTTGTGGCACGGCGGTAGTTTCTGGCAGCCGGAAGGAGATGGAGCGGTGGAGAAAAGGCCGGTGGAGGCGATTTTAAGTGCGGCGACGGCCATTAAGGGTGGTTATGATTAGTGAAGGTGAAAGGAGACCAAACGCAGCCAAGGGGAAGTGCGAGAGAAAGAGGAGAGAGAGACTGAACTCCATGACCACATAAAGAGGATAATGCCACGTAAACAAACTATGGTTCTCAAAGTATACATTTTTTTTTGTTTTTTTTTTTTATTTTTTTTTTGTTTTCTAGATACAAAAAAAAAAATAATAATGAATTCCCAGTTCCCCTTCTATTTTGCAATAAATATGTGCAATTGCTCCAAATAAATATTTCACATAATATTAAACTCAGAGTACATGTTGGTCAGCATGCCTTCCAAAACGGCGTCGTTCCTCCTCTTTTTAGCAACCAAAAGACACGTAAATTCGAAAGACGGCGTTTTACATAATTCGAGACACTAAGGCCATTTTTATGATTGGAAAAGCAGAACATAAGTAACATGGATTGTAAAAAAATACTAGTTGTCACAATGTGATACTCATTACAAAAAATAATAATAATCAGATGTCTATAATGGCATTACTCTGCAATTCTTCCTTCTATTTTATGTGTTCTTACATGTTCAAATCGCATGAAGCATTTAGATTTGTCAATGCAACTATATATTTATATATGTAACTTACTCTAACCATCTCCACTTTCATTCTTGATCACTGCAATCTCAATTTCTTCACACACAGGAACATCACTATCTCTTCAAAATGGTTGCACGAGTTAAGCACCAGCTTCGAAAGTACCACCATGTAAAAATACGTATACCTAAAATCCTTGGAACGAGAATGAAAGAATTCTAAAAAGCCCATCAGGGTTGTCAGCATGTACCTGAAACAGTAATCATATCGACATTTTATAATTTAATTACTAGACATCTGATTTTCGTCAAAAAAAACGAAAAGGTAATAATCAGTAGAAAATGAGTACGTACCCAGTGACCAGCATCTTCAAGGACATGCATTTCGACGCCAGCTCCCTCTTGAGCAGCTTGTTCCTCAGCAACATGGATCCTTCGAAGATCTTCCAAAGCCCACCTATGCAAACTTCTCTCTGCTTTCAGAAAGTTTATGTGTACACCTCGTGGGACATCTTCTACGAGCTTCCTGTGTGAACACGTGACGAGAAATATTATTCATTTTTCCTTTTTTTTTTAAGTGATGAAATCCTAGTAACACAAAATTTTATATTGTTTTTGTTCGAGAAAACAAAAGATTACCAAAGATTTGTATCTTCGTATGATTGATACATCTCAGCAATACCCTTGAGATCGAACACCCAAGAGAAGCTTGACCGTGATTCTCCATTAACCTTGGTCTGCCGAAGGTTAGTTACCACCCACTGCAATAGAATTATAGAGAAAATAAATGATATAACTCAAAGGTAGAAGGGATCATTAATTTTCGTCGGCATTAAAGCGTCTACGAGTTTATACCTGCGCAACATCTTTTGAGAAGCCATCCTTAATAAGACCATCCATGATATCCCGTTTGGAAGAGACCTTCCTTGAAGAATAGATTCAGAAACAAGCAATAAGTTCATAGTCCAAATATAATCAAAATGATTTTGCAGAAACAAAAGAGAATACATAATAGTTTCAGCAAATGAAGACATAATTACCACTTTAGGCAAATTACTCAGGAAAGAGATGAGTTCGGCAGGATGGTCGTCTCCATCTGCACCTGCTCGAACTTTTCCAGGTGTAGCATCTAAAACCCAAACCTGAAATGTCATTTCCAGAAAAAGGAAGAAGAAAATTTATAAAACAACAAAATCAACAAACAGAAAATAGGTCAAGTACAAAATCGAACTATAGGTGGATTAGTAGACTGGAGAATCTAACTCAGTCTTTGCTTCCAATTTCTTCGAAAAAAAAAATGAAAAGCGTACAACTTCAATGTTATAGGAATTCCATTCTTACTCTAACAGGCCGAGCGAGAGGTTTTGGAACCTGATCCACCATGCTCAAGGCAACTGCAGAAAAAAATTAATAAGAGGGAAGTTAGTACACTGAATTAGAGGCGTAGAAAGATCTCTTACAGATGTGCATCATAATAAGTATGTACAACAATTTTCTGTCAATTACCTTTACCACCAAAGCTGTGACCAACTACAACTCTGGGAGTTAGCTTCAGAGAACCAAGCTACGCAATAGAAGAATAAGCTATTGTTAGCTAAAAGACCAAAAAGCAAGCAATCTTATTCCATGACCTCTAGGCTGACAAGATAGAAAGTGAACTCAAACAGTTCCATCTGATATAAACAGTTAGTTTCGAACATTACATAAAAGCAACCCCTCTAAGCATTAGCAAAAACTTAAAACTAGCTGACAAAAGCAAATACAGAAGTCCCACAAAGAGCATGTGAGAAAACAAACAGTTTGCATCGAACATTACATAATCTAGAAAAATATATAAAGCACGTCAGGTAAAATCATGCTCATTTCCAAAATTACTTACAAGCTTTAGAACATCAAGAGCAGCTGAAGCGACAGTATGAGGCCCTCTTTTCTTTAGAGATGCTGAATCACCATGACAACGCAAGTCTACGAGGAGAAACTGAGTACACGAAAGAAGGAAAAAGTGTGAGCTTCAGATTAACACTATCATGAAGATTTTTATATAGACTTGAGTAAGTGGAACTATGAAGGGTATTTTGAACAAGTTCTTTTATCATAAATTGGAGAAAAAAAGGGTATGTTGCATGTAAAGGAGCAAATACTTGTTGAAATTTCCAGAAGAGAAAGTGATTTTTCAATTAAAGAAGAAAGAAATATAGTTAATATGAATAGTGAAAGTAATTTAAAAGTAAAACCAAGTGCATCATTGATTTACCTGCCACTTAGGAAACTCTTGGGCCAATCTCTTAGCAAAAGTTCCTGTCAATTTTCCCATGTATTTTCAGAAGTTATAATTGAATGCCAAAGAATTTTCAAATGTCTGCGAGTTTTGCTGCCGAAGCTCAAATACAACTTGACTTAAAAAAGCATACCAATTTAACAGTACAAGTATAACCCAGTGGCCAGTGATATCTAAACTATTTCGGATACAAACTATTTCATAAATTTACTTCCAATTAGGCTCCATTAGTGATAAAAGAACAGTACCCACCCCAGTTTTTCCTGCTGCCTAGGATACCATGCAAAAGAACAGCAGTTGGAGGCTGAGGCATCGTTTTGTCCAAGATGTAACTCCACCTCACCTGTGGTGAAAAGGACACGGTTTAGATTAAGAATACCAAATAAAATAAAATAAACCGTAGAAGGCATATACGCGCGATCACAGCATCTACTGCAAATTGATATCGTGTGTTGTGTTTTATAGATTTTATGCAAGCAACTTCAGATGGAAATTGTGTATGACGCTTATTAGTATTCCATGATTATAAAACACCAATCGAGAAAGCATTTTTTTCAAATAAAACTATGTCCGTTTCACTTGAATGTTTACCTAACCTCCAGTCTATTCTACATACAATCCTTTCAATATTTATTTTTCTTTACTTGTACCAATCATAACATGAGAGAAACATCAGAAAGTATCCCGCAAATGGAGAAAGTAATACGTCTTCATATATAATGTCATGACCTCATCTATGCTAACAATACAAGCATCTTTAACAATAAGTGAATAAAAAGATGAGACTCACATCTGCTCCTTGAACAAGATCATATGCCTGTATAGAAAAAAATATTTATATAATCAGCAATATACCTCTAAAACAGAAATATAATAAGAAGCACCTGAGGCACTGAATTTAAAAACATTTTGATTTACCAAAATGTCAGCAGGTTTGACAATAGTACTCCTATCCTCGATCCTCTCATCTATCATTGTCATCCGTATGCTTGGAGACACAGACACCCTTCTCGAGTGATTCAAGGTCACCTGAAGAAATGTAAATGCAACGAGGCTGTTTTCTTATTATATATACACAATAAGAAACTTTGTATGAATCCTTCAAGATTCATCCAAGTAATTACAGTTAATAAGTGCACGGAAAAGTACAATCTACAATCTACATTGATGTCAAATTAACAAGCAGGTAGAAATGAACGGGCATTCTCGAAGCATAGATTACAATACATTTCTTACTGTTTGCTATTGAGATAAAAGAACCAACAGGGAAAGAGCCCTAATATCAGTTACCATTAGCTAGTAAAGATAGGTTCCAACTTTTACTTACAATCAAATTGCAAAAAAAAAAGGGACATTGAATATTGTAGCGTAATTACACAGGAAAAATGCATGAACATCGAAACTGAACAAAGGGCAACTACAAATCATCCGAGTACAGTCTAAATATTCTTAATTTACAACACGAGGAAAGCAAAATTCAGCCAAACAAGCATCATTCCAACTAGTAATTTGTTGCACTTACAAGAAGAGAGAAGGAAAAATCACCTCGGCAAGCTGCCTCGGGATCTTGAATTTCAGAGGTCTTGGATTTATCCATGACGCCAAATCGGACCGATTATTTGACCAGAATACAGGTCGAACTGCACAATGCCGGCACGAAAAATTCGAAACCGCCGACATTATGTTTGAAATGTTGAAAGACGAACCACCGTTCGCCAACAAGGTGGAGAAATTTCAATATTTCGGAAGAAATAGGCGACGGAATCAGGGGTAAATACGGTAACCCAAAATCCAGAAATGAGGCGGAGATACCAAAGCTTGCGTGGCGAGAATGTTAAGAACAGAGAATTACAATAAGAAAATTGGAAACTGAATTTTGTGGTGCTTATGATTGAGCTCCTCTTTATGATTGAGCTCCTCTTCCTCTCTCCTCGTATAAAGAAACGCGCCTTTGTAAGTGAATAACGCTCTTCTTCCTCTTATTTCCTTATATCAAAACGACACCGTTTGTGACTAACGGTCATAATCGTTACAAACCTTCCATCTTTAAACACATGACCTCATGGCTGAAACGAGGGAAACCTGCGCAGAATCTCTTCGCCGTCTGCCCACGTTGCTTCTTCCTCTAAAAGATGGGCCCACTAAATCAGCATATGCCCAACTGCACCATTATTTCGCTTGATCATTCGTCGAGCTAACAATTTCACCGGAGTCAATAGTAGCTCTCCGGATTCCTTCATGGATGGCAGTTCACTCACCACCCTATCTTGATTTCCCACTTGCCTCTTCAACAATGATACATGAAAGACTGGGACGTTTCAGGCAACTTTAACTCGTATGCCACTTCCATAATCCGTTTGAGTATCTCAAAGGGTCCACATAATTTTGGCATCAACTTCCAAATAGGGCTCTTCTTTAAGACTCAATTGTTTATACAGTTTGAGTTTCAGAAACACCCAATCTCCCACTGATATCCGCCTACATTTACATCCTATCTCTAGCCTCTTGCAATAAACTCTCCAAGTGTTGAATCATCTTGGTGTGATCTATCAACCACTGCTCTACTCCTGCAGTTTTGATCTCCAACCATGGTCTATACCCAACTTGAGGGGGCTGATAGCCATATAAAGCTTGAAAATGTGACATTTTAATGGCAGAATGATAGCTGGTATTGTACCACCATTCAGCCAGAGTTAACCACATTTGCCATTGTTTAGGAAACTTCCCACACATACATCTCAAGTAGCTCTCAAGACATTGATTCACCCTCTCACTTTGGCCATCTGTTTTGGGTGGTAACTGGTAAGCAGTGCTCAGTTGTTGTTGTACTCCCTAGGAGCTAAACATTTTTTTCCAAAACACACTAGTGAATATCTTATCCCTGTCAGATACCACATATGTTGGTAAACCATGCAACTTGTAAATCGAATCCATAAAGATTTGAGCCAGTGATGATGCATTCATGAGGTGACTGAGGGCTGATAAAATGACTGTACTTAGTAAATCTATCCACAATGACCCAAATTGTATCTTTCCCTTTAGACATGGGTAATTTCTCAATGAAGTACATATTTTTTCATAGGTTATTCTAGTAATTATTTATCATCGTCTTGAATATCATATGTGCAGAGATTTTTTTTTCTTTTTTAATTAGAACCTTTTCGATCTTGTGATTACTTTCATTTCGAGTTGTCTCATTTACTCTTGATTGTTTATTATATATATTTTTTTATTTTTAGAACAAATGACAAATAAATATTAATAAAAAATTAAACATAAATGAAAAATTGGATGGAGACATGATCATTGTCGTGAACCCACGGTTCACGAGTCGGAATCGACCGGGGTTCACAATTCAAAAGTACAAGACCATTAACCAATCACTAAGGTTAAGAGTTTGATTATAATTTTTTTTTAGTACAATGGAAAAATCAATATTAACGAAAAATTGAACATAAATGAAAATTTAATGGAGACATGATTATTGTCGTGAACCAACAGTTCACGAGTCAGAATCGACCGGGGTTCACAGTTAAAAAATACAAGACCAGCCATTAACCAACTCAAGTTAAGACTTTGATTATGATTCTAAAATACAATTTCACAAATTGAGTGTTGGTTCAACCAACGGTTACCGACAGATTTAAGCTGTTGTGGTTACAATTTTTCAATGAATCAGATATTATTAATTATTGTATTTAACATGCACTAATGCACTATTTAATTATTATCTATTTTACTTAATTGACCTTGAATAGTTATTTCGCAAATTAATGTTGGGAATTTGATCAGGACATTATTGGAAATTTGATCAGGACATTAGTGCTAATACACTTAAGTGTTTCTTAAGTCTGGTCTATTATAAGTAGTCTGATAATACACTTAAGTGTTTCTTAAGTCTGATCTATTATAAGTAGTCTGGAAAGAAATTTTCTTATAAGTAGTCTAGAATAAACAAAAAAATACTTATTTATCCTACTGCACTTGAATATCAGGTTCGTGTCTTCACGTATGGACAAGTAGGGTCTGATAAGACATTTACAATGATGGGCAAACCAGAACCACCAGATCATAAAGACTTGATTCCTCGAACTGTGGAGATGATGTTTGAGTCGAAGCAAATTCTTGAAAGCCAAAAATGTAAGTACAAAATGCAGGCGTGGACTGAATGTCGTTTTTTTTTTCTTTCTTTTCAAAATCAGTAACTGTTATGTTTTTTTTTCTTTACAGGTGTCATGCTTGAAATTTACAACGAAACAATACAAGACCTTTTAAAACCATCTCAAACATTATAAAGTGCCCGAAAAAACAAACATTATTAATGACAAGGGTATTTTAGTATTTACAATGTATTTTTTGGTACAGCCTTACTTAGGTGGTGATAGCAAGACACTCATGCTCGTGAGCGTTTCACCGGAGGGTTCATCCCTCGGTGAGACGTTGTGCTCTCTACGATTCGCTTCCAGAGCGAAGGGGTGCGAAGCGAATGAGCGTCGTCCCAACAACCTTAGATAAATCAGGAGCTCTGTTCCTAGTTGCAAGTCAAATAGAAAATGAGTAATTTGTAAAGGGTGATGTAAGAAAAATAGAATTTTGAACTTTTATGAGGTTGTATGTATCTAAAGATTTTTGGGCCAAATCCCTAATTTTCAAGAAATCAGTCCTAAATATGTTTACGTAAATTATTATTCGAGAACTTATTAATTCCGTAAGTGGTTTACTAAGTATTAATGATACACATATGTACATATGAACGTATCTTACATGCATACGTATTAGTTATTACCATGTATATATAGTACACCTCTATTGTTGTTTGAAGCAGCTTCAAAGATGAGTATCTCAGAAGATGAAAACCTGTCACAAATTATCAAAGACTGTATCGGAAACAGGGGGCTCAACGTTCAAAGATTATTGATCATATTTATGTTACAATATATATTTCTTCATAGGTTATTCTAGTAATTATTTATCATCGTCTTGAATATCATATGTGTAGAGATTTTTTTTTTTCTTTTTAATTAAAACCTTTTCGATCTTGTGATTACTTTCATTTCGAGTTGTCTCATTTACTCTTGATTGTTTATTATATATATTTTTTTATTTTTAGAACAAATGACAAATAAATATTAATAAAAAATTAAACATAAATGAAAAATTGGATGGAGACATGATCATTGTCGTGAACCCACGATTCACGAGTCAGAATCGACCGGGGTTCACAATTTAAAAGTACAAGACCATTAACCAATCATTAAGGTTAAGAGTTTGATTATAATCTTTTTTAGTACAATGGAAATATGAATATTAACGAAAAATTTAATGAAGACATGTTATTGTTGTGAACCAACGGTTCACGAGTCAGAATCGACCGGGGTTCACAGTTTAAAAATACAAGACCAGCCATTAACCAACTCAAGTTAAGACTTTGATTATGATTCTAAAATGCAATTTCACAAATTGAGTGTTGGTTCAACCAACGATTACCGACAGATTTAAGTTGTTGTGATTACAGTTTTTCAATGAATCAGATATTATTAATTATTGTATTTAACATGCACTAATGAACTATTTAATTATTATCTATTTTACTTAATTGACGTTGAAGTTTTAATTATTTTACGGGGTATTTTTGTCCATACATAAAATGAAAGAAACCACCTAGCATTCACACTTTTATATATAGTATAGATCCACATTTCTAGGAAAAAAATTTCTGAAATTACATGTCCCCTGGATTACGTGTTCCAGTTATTTGTATTCTCACGTTAAAAGTATTATTACAATAGGAAGACAAATGTGTCACAGTGGGAGCATCCAGGTGCACAGTAGGCTGCCCCACAACATCACGAAATGGTCTCCTCTGATGCATTGGATGCGAATTTTGGAGATCCCCATTGACTTTACCAAAATGTATGGGGTGTGGTGGGTGGGGATTGGATTTCGTACAACCTTGGGGCTATTGCAATCACTCCACCTGGTTTTAGGGGTGAGTTCGGGACGGGATTTCGGGAATTCGGGATTTTCGGGATCGGGATTTCGGGATTCGGGATAGAAATTTTAAATCCCAATCCCGTCCCATAATATTAAATCCCGGTAATATCGGTATCCCTAAATATTTCGGGAATTCGGGATTGGGATCGGGAATCCCATATTTTGGCTAAAAACTAAGAAATATATATATATTTTTTTCATTAATATTATTTTATACATTAAACCAACTTGAATATATTATATAAATACTATTATTATTGCACTATTTATTTTTACCACAAAACTTGGAACAAATGAAATTTGAAAAATTTAAAAATAAGTTGAAACGATATATTATATTGTATTTCTCATCTCCTTGACAAATATATATATATATATATATATATATATATATATATATATATATATATATATATATATATATATATATATATATATATATATATATATATATATGTGTGTGTGTGTGTGTGTGTGTGTGTGTGTGTATGTGTGTGTGTGTGTGTGTGTGTGTGTGTGTTTATTAGTTTTTTTTTTCTTTTTTCCTAATTCGGGATTAAAATATCCCGATCGGGATTGAACCAATTCCCGAATCCCGATCCCGTATTTGTTCCTAATCCCAATCTCGAATCCCGTAATCCCGAATTCCCGAAGTTTTAATCCCAAATAGTAAAATTCTAATCGGGACAGGACGGGATCCCGAATCCCGATCCCAAAGTCCCAGCCCTACCTGGTTTGTTTATCTCTTCCTTTATCTTTTACTGTTTTCTTTGTTTATTTTTTGCCTTCGTGTTTACGGAAACTGATTTTTGTATCCGATGCTTAATGTTACTCTATGCAGATGTAGGCCATCGCTACTGCTAGAAATCAAGGAGACCCAGAATAGAGTTCATCTAATCACAGGTGATCTTTCCACCCTTTTCATTACGTCTACTCATGCGTAGACGTGATGTCATCTATTGAAATTGATTAATGGCATGTTTAGAGCTATCCTCTTATAAATTCAAGCATCAAAAGATTCTATTTTCTGGGGTTAGAATAAATTAAATAGCGGAATCTTAACTTTAAAACGGCAATGAAGTGGAACTAATTATGATAACGATGGCATATAGGGAACATCTGTGTCGCATGTCTTTAGCATACAGTGTAAATCCTGTCTCAACGGTTTCAATCATAGTGATTTTGTTGTCTGTTGTTACTTGTTTGGAATTGTCATAATTTTTGTGGACCTTGGTGTACAACAGGTCTGATACGAAACCCCCTCCCGGGAGAGGCTACAACAAGGACAATAAGAAGCGTGCGTACAGCGAGGATGATGAATTGGATCCGATGGATCCAAGTGCCTATTCAGATGCTCCTCGTGGTGGTTGGTATGTTACTTGTCTCGTATCAAGCAATGCAACATAGTAGTAATCACTTTGGTAAGAATCGTTTCGTTAGAAATATTAGCCATATAATGTATTATTTATGAGATCTACATTAAGTGCTATATACATCTGTAAGTTAATTATACAGGGTTGTAGGCCTTAAATGAGTACAACCAAGAGCAGCAGATACCATTGCCACGGTATGTTATTGCCATTAGGCAGCACCACCTTGCGATCTCTTTCTTTTACATATTTATTGTGGATCGATTTTGACTCTCTCGTCAAGATATGATGATATATTGGGCAAATGTGTAAAATGCGTTTATTTTGCGATTTTGTTAATTGTTTTCTTGGTGCGTCCTTACTAAGCTTCATTAGACACGTTTGGAAAACTTGAAATTGCAGGGACCTCTTTTTCAACAGCGGCCTTAACCGTCACCACGGGCGGTATTTACGTAAAAATGCAGAAGTTGCTTCTTCACAAAAGAAAAAGCATAATTCGGGTTATGCTCCTATTTTCAAGAGAGGGGATGGAAGTGGTGGTCTGGGTGATGCTGACTAGATTTTAAGCAAACTTATTCCCAAGCTATACTTGGTGCACTACTCCAAGCTATACTTCTCTCTCTCTCCCTCCCCCACCCCCTCCCTCCCTCGTTCCCTCCCACCCCACCCCCTCCCCCCTCCCTCCTCTCTCTCTCTAACTGGAGTAATAAGAGAGAGATTATCTGGTGTGGCGAAGGTTCAAATATATATGATGAAGGTGATGGTTTCTTAAGAAGAGATGAATGTCCATCATTAAACAATTTTGTATTTTCTCTGTCGTTTTCTTCTACATTTTATTTATACATTTAAGGGTAAATTCTACTTTACCCCCTTGTACTCTGCCCAAGAACCATTTTACCCTCTCGTACTCTTAATTTCGTCGATTTACCCCATTGTACTTGTACAATTTCCCAATACAACCCTCTTTGTTAACTTTTTTCGATTTTGACTATGACGCCATTTGGTCAAGAGTCAAAATATTGACGTAAATATTGAATTTTTTCGATTTTGACTCTCGAGATTAGAAAAGAGAAAGTTTCACACATTCATATGTTTTTTTCTTTGCACTGGGTGGAATCGATCAATTTTTTGGTCTTGATTTTTACTAAGTTAGGTGTTCAATTTGGGGATATCTTGGAAGGGGAAGTGGTGGGAGAAGTACAAATGACAATATTGACGAAGGAGAAAAGAGGCATTATAGGTAGTGGCAATTTTGTAATTTATAGAGTTGACTAAACAGTGTCAGAGTCAAAATTGACAAAAGTTGAAGGAAATGGCTATAATGGGAAATTGTACAAGATCGATGAAATTGAGAATACAAGAGGGTAAAATAATTCTCAGACAGAGTACGAGGGGATAAAGTGGAATTTACCCTACATTTAACCATACATATAACCAAACAACTCTTATCTAGCCTTCCAATGGCGTTTCCCAACAGTCACCATGCATATATATACAAACACAATTCCGACAACGAAATTCATTTTACTGTAATGTTAGAGTTTAAGTTTGGGGTAAAAGTAATTTTCAACAACTATCCAATTTGTTAAGAATGAGTAATTGAACTGTCAAAAGTAATGGCTCTGAACTGCAACATGAGTTTGTCGAAACTTTTCCTCCTTCTCCTCTTTCTTCTTCATTGGTCTTCCAGTATTTTCTCGTCGTTGCTTCCTCTCACGGGAAGAAATTAACTAGGCAATTGAATTTACGAGCTAAAACCCTAATTAAGAGTCTAATGTAAAATAAATAGTTAATTTCTTCCCTGAGCATCTCTATTTAGTTATCTCTAAAGACCCGGAAAAATTTTGTGGGTTAACCATTAAAAGATTCAGCGTTATTTGTTGATTTGTTTGCGGGTCCTTATACATTCATTTATTTTGACTTTCACGACTCTAAATCATGCTATTTTGATAATGAATTTGTTTGTAGAGGCTTTTGCTGTAGTTCGTGAAGCTGCGAAAAGGAAGCTTGGAATGCGTCATTTTGAAACACCCCACTATAATTGCTTTGTATATGACGTTCCAGGTTTTCAATATCCATAGAAACAATAATTTGGATATCTTTGCTCCACACTTTCTTATAACAAATTATTGGTGGAGCTGTCCTTCATGATGGGTCGATTGCAGAGATGAAAACCGGGGAAGGGAAAACCTTAGTGTACACTTTAGCAGCTTATCTCAATGCTCTAAGGGGGGAGGGTGTTCATGGTACGTTGTTTGTGTTGACATTATTGACTGGCTTGTCGTCCATAAAATAGTGTGTGTGAATGTTAGTTTTGGATCATCTAAATGTCATTAGTTGAACAGATGTCTTGTTTTTTTATACTATATCTTGTTATCGGTTATCACTCATAGCTTTTGGGATGTGACTTGTGGATAGTTGAAGTTGGGCGTTTTATAGGTACCATAATTCTTTATGTGTACTCTCTTTGGCAGTTGTTACAGTAAATGACTACCTTGCTCAACGAGATGCTGAATGGATGGAGCATTGTGGTGGAAATGGATCGAATACTAAGACCAGGTGGATGAGTTTACGTACGTGACATCACTTCTGTGATTAACGAGCTCGAAGAAATTGCGAAAGCAGTCGGATGGGTGACTTTTGTGTTCGATTCAGGCGAGGGTCCTCATTCGAATTGGAAGCTTTTAACTTGCGAAAAAAGATTGTAAGCATTTTTTTTTACATCATATAATATATATAGCTTATAGGAAAGGGAAGAGAAAAAGGATAAATAATTTATTTATTTTTCTTATGTATAATTTTCAAAATGTAAACTTGGACATGGAAACTCCTTGATTATATTGTTGTAATACAAAAGAAACAAATTCAAAATTATTGATTACAGAGCAATATTAATTTGTATTAGTGTACCAGTACAATTTCGCATTGATCGCGAACGAGATTCCGTTTTTCATTCTCAACGACCTCTTCGAAACAATGAAACTGAAGGAAGGCAATGTGCGTTGTAGTCTGTTCGATCTGTTTTTTTTTTTATTAGGATCGAAAGATGTTAACGAGATTCTTGCCCTCATGCATAGGATGTAGTTTTCTACGTATCGAAAAAATCCACAGCAAAAAAACCGACGAGGAGAAAGACCATGATCCTACGAACATTCATGATGTAGAAAATATGGTAATTCGAAGGCATGTCAAATCTGCAAGCGAGCTCCGAGATTTGGGGGTTAAATTCAAGAAGGAAAAAAGGAGTATCGGACCGACCATTCGGTTCTATTGAGGGGCTCTACGAATCATTAGAAAGAATTGCACACACTACACTCAAAACACATACTAAAAAGAATGTCACCGAAAATACACACATTACACCGAAAATACACGCTAAAAAGAATTGCACACACTACACCAAAACACATACTAAAAAGAATTAAACACACTACACCGAAAACACACACTAACCAAAAACACACACTAAAAAAATATACACACACTACACCGAAAACACACACTAAAAAAATTACACACACTACACCGAAAACATACGCTAAAATTTATACACACACTACCCCGAAAACACACACTAAACAAAATACGCACACAACATCGAAAAGACACAATTAAAAAATATACACAAACTACACCGAAAACACACACGAAAAAAAATACTCTAACACTACACCGAAAACATACACTAAAAAAATACACACACGACACCGAAAACACTCACTCAAAAAATACACACACACTACACCGAAAACACACACTAACAAATATACACACACTACCCCTCAACTATGTATTATCTTATAAAAAACCTACATAATTGATAAATTTAGGGACGTTCATTTGGTAAAATTGTAAAGAAATTACGGTACGCCAAATTTCATACCGTTTAGTATTTGGTTCGATAAATAACCAAATTACCAAAATTTTATTAAAAACATATTTTTAATATATATATATATATATATATATATATATATATATATATATATATATATATATATATATATATATATATAGCTCGGTTGATGATAAAAACCTGAAATTATGGTGCTTCTCAGTTAACAATGACGGCGACTGTGATATTCTAGGGTTGATATAATGGAATTATAAAATGTAAACTAATCTACTATAACCTAAGAATTACCAGTAATTCGACAAAAGCTGCCAGCTCCCTCTTTGTCTTCTTATACTGCCACCATGTGAAGGAGTTGAGGGTTGTGTGTGGTGCTTCCCATGCAGATCAGATGTACCCACGCCTCTGATCTCTCCGAAACGACACCGTTCTACCCTTCCACTAATAAATTAAATAAAACGCTGAAATAAAAAAAGCGCGCCCACGCTTATATAAATTGGACGACGCCGTTTTATTCACGGATTTAAAAATCCGTTTATTCGGTTATTACACTACTCCTCCCTCTTTTGCAGCCATGTCTCATGGCTGAAAGGTAGGGAATTTCTTCCCCATCTCATCTGCACTTTCCCAAGTAGCCTCCTCCATAGGCAGATGAATCCACTTCACTATCCACTGCACCATAGCAGTATTGTTCTTTTTTATCATTCTTCTTTCCAAAATCCCTTCTGGCACTAAAAGGAATTGGTTGTTTTCATCAAGGGGTGGTATATTGGTAGATACCTGAGCATTTGTTACTATGTGTTTTTTTAGCTGTGATACATGGAACACTGGATGCACCTTGCTGTCAGATGGAAGACCAAGCTCATATGCCACTGGCCCAATTTTTTTAATAATAGGAAAGGGCCACAATACTTCGGAGTGAGCTTCCATATGTGGTTTTTCCTCAAGCTCAGTTGTTTATAAGGTTTAAGTTTCAAATAAACTAACTCCCATTCTTCAAAGTTCCTCTCACTTCTGCTTTGATCAGAATAGATTTTCATCCTAGCTTGTGCTTCCCCCAGTAGCTTCTTCAACTGCTGAGTAACCCTTCGGTGTTCTTCAATCCACACTCTGACTCTTTCTATTTTTTTGAGCAAGTGGGGTCCATATCCTAGTTTTGGTGGCTGATACCCATACAAGGCTTCAAATGGTGTCATCTGTATAATAGAGTGGAAAATGGTGTTGTACCACCACTCAGCCAATGGAATCCAAGAGCTGCATTTCTTTGGCATTTGCCCACACATGCACCTCAAGTAAGATTCCAAGCATTGGTTTACCCTCTCTGTTTGTCCATCAGTTTGAGGATGGAATGCAGTGCTCAGTTGTTGTTGTACTTCTAAGGATTGCATCAACTCCTTCCAAAAGTGGCTGGTGAAGATGGGGTCTCTGTCAGAAATGATGTAGTTTGGCAGTCCATGTAGTTTATAGATCTCTTCAATGAATATTTGGGCCAGAGAGGAAGCTGTAACAGGTTGTGAAAGAGCTATGAAATGCCCATACTTGGTAAACCTATCTACTACCACCCATATGCTCTCCTTCCCATGGGATTTGGGCAGTTTTACAATGAAATCCATGGTAATGCAAGTCCAGGCACCCTCTGGAATGGGTAGAGATTGGAGAAGTCCTGGTGTTTTAACATTCTCATGATATCTCAATTGGCAAATGTGGCAATTCTTGACCCAATCCTTTACTTGACTTCTGAGCCCATGCCAGAGAAATACTCCTTGGATTCTTTGGCAAGTGTTTTGTATTCCAGAGTGCCCTCCTATACTTGTTCCATGCATTTGCTCAATCAAGTTCTTCCTCACATTTTGTTGACTTCCAACAAAAATTTTGCCCTTGAATCTTATGATCCCTCCACTGTACTGATAAAATGATACATTAAGTGGCCTCAGGGAGCAATTAACAATTATTTCTTGTGACTCTTCATCATCATCATAACTTTGTATAACCTCTTGAATCCACATAGGTTGGATTATTGTCACTTGATTCATTCTCAGTTTCTCTTCTGGAGAGTGCATCAACTGCACTATTCTCAGTTCCCTTCTTATACTCTATGGTATAATTGAAGTCAGTAGCTTGGCTAGGTATTTATGCTGCAATGGTGTAGAAAGTTTTTGCTGTAATAGGTTTCTCAAGCTCTTTTGATCTGTTCTTATCACAAAAGTTCCACATATTAGGTAGGCTCTCCACTTCTATACTGCCAGAAGTATTGCTAGGAACTCTTTTTCATATATGGATAATTCTAGGTTCTTAGATCCAAGTTCCTTGCTTAAATAAGCTAATGGGTGACCCTTTTGCATCAATACTGCTCCAATCCCATCATAGGAAGCATCAGTCTCAACCACAAATTTATCCTTAAAATCTGGCAATTGCAATACAGGAGTAGTAGTCATAGCTTCTTTCAGTTTCTCAAAAGCTCATTGGGCTTCTAGATTCCAATGGAATTGCCCTTTTTTAATTGTTGTGTCAATGGTTTGGCTATCTCCTCATGCCCTCTCACAAACTTTCTGTAATAACCTGTCAAGCCCAGAAATCCTCTAAGAGCCTTCACAGTAGTGGGGATTGGCCAGCTCTTTACACTGTCTATTTTGCTAGGATTTACCCCCACTCCTTCTTCAGTGATGATGTGCCCCAAGTACTCCACTTGTCTTTGACCAAAACTGCACTTACTCATCTTGGCATACAATTGATTCTTCTTGAGCAGCTCCAAAACCTTCCTTACATATTGTTGGTGAGTTTCCATATCAGGACTGTAGATGAGTATATCATCAAAGAATACCAACACAAACTCCCTCAGATGATCCTTGAAGACATCATTCATCAATGTCCTGCTCCGTACCTGAATTAGAAGATAGATGGTCTGCATTGATTGCTAAATTTGGTCTTACAGACGATCCATACCTAGTTGATCTTTACAAAAAACGCAGTCAATGGACATAATCATTTTTTCGGGGCCAATTATTTGCTATGATGAGGAACACACAACGTGCGAAGTCAATGAATGCCTCACTAAAACAGAAAGTGCGTGCTGGTTCCACACTTACAGATTTTTTCAGACAATACCACACAGGCTTCCTGAATAGGATTCGAAAAAGGTTTGACAAACTGCAGAGGGAGTCCGAGGTTCAACCAAAACAATCTGATAAAGGTTTAGTAGGCCGTCTTGACGGACATGCCGCACTCATCTGCACCAGAGCCATTCTTAGCTCTATTTGATGATTAAATTCACGCTCTATATATTTGCTTCTGTTACAACACATTCTTAGCAACTGGATTTGTCCTACTTTAATGGTGTTATGATTTTAAAATGAACACACAAGTGAAAGCATAGCACAAGTATTTACATATTTTGTTTCACCTCCACATCTCTGATATACAACTGAATATCTATTATATCATGACAATCTCTCGAACTAAAATCGGTCAGCCAAGAAAGGGAACTTCTGCAGCAGCCAAGTGACTCCTCTTATTGCAACCTGAAAATATTCAAACAATACAAGGCACTAACTGAATTTCAGCAGAGAATTTTGAAGCAATCTCATGAATAAAGCAATATAGTATGGAGCTACCAAGGCAAAACATACCAAAGCTGTATCTCCAGGCTTGATGGCAGGTTCCACACAGTCTCTCCCATAACTGCTCCACAAAGTTCAACATCAGTTTCGACATATGATCGATCATATAAAAAAATTCCAAATTGAAGTCTCCCACAAACAAATATATACGGCCGGTTATATAAACAAGAACGAAAAAAAAAAAAAAAAAAAAAAAAAAAAAAAGGAAAAATATGTAAATAGAGGATATCTTGATTAAAAGCAGAGCATGCATCTTTGTACATTCAAATAATGCAGAAATCCAGCATTTACTCATGCATAGGGGCAAGAAATAGTTGGTTTGTGGATCAAACGTAAAAATTTGAATTGCAAATGTCTTCTACTTTTACATTTTAAGATTCATGTTCTCTCCTGCTCTTTTTTACTCATCTGCCAATGCCGATATCCGAATGTATGAAATTATTTATCCTCAAAAAATCACATTTGGTAACTCTTGTTTGAGCATCTTCTAACATATTCCATAGCCCAGATTTCATAGCAAAAGCAACAAGAAAAACTCACATTATTTGCCTCTGGCCATTGAAGACATCCAATCGATAAAAGCTGCATCCTCTGCTGAAAGGAAAAGGTTTCCCCTTCCAGTCTGTGTCATTCAAATAAACAAAATTTCAGCAAATGAGAAAAAAAAATGTCACAACAGAAGGAGAAAAAGAGATGAAGTCCTATATACTAACCTAAGTGCCAAGTTACCCCAACAGCAGAGGCATCCTCCTCTGATATATCATCAATAGCAAACTGCAAATCTATGCTGATTGAACCGACAAACTGCTTGAAGAAATCAAGGATCGCCTGTACTCTAACAAAATTTTATTTAATTAAACTCCAGTAAATCAACAGCCTACGCAAAGGGGAAAAAAATGGAAGATTGTGACCTTGCGGCCGACGAAAGGGCGAGGGAAGACGAGGTCCTCGTAGACGCAATTGAGAGCAATGAGGTCCTCCACCGAAGCCAAATCGCGGCGATTGATTCCATCATAGAACTTCCTGACGACGTTCGACGCCGATTCTAACTGGACCGTGGTGGAAGCCACCGCCGTCGGATTATTGCTCCGCCGCACCAGGCGGTTGCTGCTTGTACAGTCAGCAGTGAGAAGGGGAGTAACTACTGTTTCCCTCTTCCTATGTACCCACTGACGTCCCTTACTCGAATCATCCTGGAAAGCTTGATTTTTGAGGTGGGGCTGATACAAGTGGAAGGTGGGAAATGTGTGGATTGTCATTTAGATGCTGCTGCTACTCTCTTCTATTCACTATTTGGTTTTTCTACTCTCTTTATTTTCTATTATTTATATTTTATTATTGAGAACCAAATTTGTTATTAGCTCCCGAATTTTAGTTTCTTTTCTCAAAAGCCAAATTTTAATTTTGCCGCGAATTAATCAAACATAATCACAATTGCTATTTCCTTGGTTGTTTCATGAGCTTATATTTTGGTCATAATCTTATGATACACACAGTTTATCAGAGTTTCACCAAATCACAGATTAGGATTTCACTGTATTTGTAAAAAAAACAAACTGAAATGAAAAACAAATAGCTATATAGATCAATCCATAAACAAAATCGCAATAACTTAAGGTGTCCGTACACAACATACGTCGGGATCATGCAGCAAGTTCTATTGGGGGTGTAATAATCAACGAAAACAGAAACAGGTTTACGAAAGCAAAAACATAACAAATTCCATCACATTTAAAAGTCCTAGAAAAGAAATCGAAATCAAAAAATCCAGTCCTTCTTTGGCAGCTCTCTTAACGGTTAGCCTTGGCAACCCTCTCGATCTCATCCTTCTTCTTGATCGCGTAGCTACATTCACATAATCAAAGTAGTTGTTAATTACACTGAATATTTCAGAAAGAAAAAAAATATATTAAATCAAATGGTTAGTAAATAGCTGTTTTACCTGTTCGACGATCCTTTAGCAGCATTGATGAGTTCATCAGCAAGGCATTCAGCAATGCTCTTAACATTCCTGAAAGAGGATTCCCTAGCACCAGTTGTGATGAGATAAATGGCCTGATTCACACGGCGAAGAGGTGAGATATCAACAGCTTGACGCCTCACAACACCAGCTGAACCAATCCTGGTTGCATCTTCCCTCGGACCACTGCACCAATTCAGTCAACAGCTCAATGTTAACTAACCATAATAAGTAAGAGAAAACATATGTATTAACATAAAAAGTACGTTACAGAAACTGGTTTTCGTACCTGTTGATGACAGCATCAACAATGACCTGAATTGGGTTCTGGTCAGTTAGCAAGTGGATGATTTCCATGGCATGCTTGATGATGCGAACAGCCATCAACTTCTTTCCGTTGTTACGGCCGTGCATCATGAGAGAGTTGGTCAACCTTTCAACAATCGCGCACTGAGCCTTCCTGAATCTCTTGGCTTGGTACCTTCCAGCAGTGTGGGGCATGAAGATGGGGTGCTTTGAAGCAGTCGCAGTGATGTAATCTTCCACAGAGATGTCACTCACCTATACAGAACCGAGAATATAAATTTTCAGGAAAGAATATTCAGTGAGAATTTGGAATCATTTTACGAATACTGTTGTGTATAATATACTTATTCTTCACTGAACTTCAATATAAGTAACAAATCTAAACACCTCATCAAATTTTCAGCAAGATAATAAATGTTCCCATTCGATTAATACATATGAACAGCTAAACAAAAACCACATATAAAACAAGTATTAAAACACTGATACTGAATCGTATAAAATTTCATAAGCAGTAAAAACTGATAGGTAGACAATTTCAGTGGATGTGTAGCTAATCGTATAAAAACTTCATTCATAGGCAGCAAATTATGAAAGTATGCACAAAAATATAGGGAAAATACAGACTAGTCTAAACTTATTATTTCAATATTAAGTATCAATTCGAATTCATTAAGCAGCAAACAGCAATCCAATTTTATTGAACAGTATCAAATGTAGGTTAGCAGCCAATTTAAGAGTAAACGATGAAGATAAATCTCAGATTCGTATAAAAAACATATGAACACCACAAAAACACAACGACAAAAAACGTTTTGAATCGAAATAGATAAGAGAGAGAAAGTAACCTCAACGCCGTCGTATGACCAACGGTTGAAGAGCATGATTTCGCTGTGAGCCTTGTCATCGGACTGAATTGGTGCAGGCGCAGGCGCAGCAACAGCAACAGTCTCCGCTTCCATTTTGCTTCTTCAGTCTCCGCTAACTTGGAATGAATGTGCGGGGGTTTGGGGGTGGCGTTGCTCTTCTGAACTGCGGAGGTGAATAAGAAATGGGAATTGAAGAAGACGACGGTATAAATATACTCTGTAAACCCTAGGGCTGCCTCTCGCTTCCGGCTTTTTTTCTTGGACCAATTGTAGCAGGCCGGCCCATCAGAGAACCAAGCCCAAAATTTTTAATCTCAATCCAAAAATTATTCCAAATATTTTCTAGAGTATAATTCGAAATATGACTATTTAATTTATATATGGCCTCGGTTGCTTGCTTATATCAATTAGACCGGATTAAATTAGATTGATTAATCACAGTTAAACCTTTATAAATTTAATACAGTCGGGATTAGGGAAATTTTATTAATTTAGCTATTTATAAAAATTATCGAGTTAATAATTTAACACGTTTTTCCTAAGTCGGGATCGAAAGAAACTATTATTTAATCAAGGTTATTAATTTATGGAGGTTCTACTGTATCTACTAGTTTGTTAATTAATTAGTTTGTAATAATATGTTTTGTTCAAAGAATGCTAATTGTCAATAAAGTCTTTTAATTAACAAAATTAAGTTATTATTTTAAGGATAAAATTATAATTTTTCATTTTCGTAACCCCTACCAAATTAATCGGGGGAGGATGTTATCAATTTCATGAAATAGTAGAATTTAATTACGAGATTCAACTTTAATAGCGAATTTGAATAATATTGAATCCTACCAATCAAACATCTACTATTTAGTCGGTCTAACCTAGGGGTGAAAGTCGGATGGATCGGATCGGAATTAGCCTTTTCGGAAAATTTCCAAAAAATTTCGGAAGTACAAAATCAATTCCAATTCCAATTCCAAAATTTTCGGAATCTAAAAATTCATTCCAATTCCAAAAGGCCCGGAATTTTCGGAATTTCGGAAAAAAATCGGAAATCACATAAGCTTTAAAATTTCAAAACTTAGCCGAAATTTTCTAAAATGTTCATAATTTTTCGAATATAAGAGCATCCACGTCGATAAAAGTAAAACTAATAACTACTAAATTTCAGTTCAAAAAAATAAATAAAAATAAACACAACATAATGTCAAAATCCTAAAACAAAACTTATAGGTGTATTTTTCGGAAAATAAGTATTATATAATATATACTATTTAAAGGTGTATTTTTCGGAAAAAAATCGGAATTTTTCGGAATTAATTTCGGAATTAAATCGGATCGGAAATCGGAAATTCCAAATTTATTTTATATAATTCCAATTCCAATAAAAAAAACGGAAAATTTCGGAAATCGGAATTTCGGAAGTCGGAATGAAAAAAGTTGTTCCAAAATCGGAACTTTTCGGATCGGAACCGGCGGAAATTGGAAAATCCGTTCCAACTTGCACCCCTAGTCTAACCTAATAGAGCAAAGCAAGCAAACGACGCCATTACACATTGGTCTCCTTAATAAGATTTTTTTTCATAAATAAAAAAACATCGTGGGTCTATAATTAATTTGGCTTTGAACGTTTGAGTGTATAATAATCAATCGGATTATTAGCTGAATTCAAGTCAAGAACTCAAAAAATATACATTTCATCTGCAAAAAGACTTGCTGCTTCCTTAAATCCTTGTCTGATTCTTGTTAAAAACCTAGAAGACAAAGGATGGAACTGGCAAAACATGCCCAATGTATCCATCCACCTTTTACCAGAAAATGTACTGTACATGATAATCTTCACTGAAACCACAGCATATAGTCTTCTTAATGCTGTCTACATACTGACAATATATATTCAAACAGTACGCATGATGTTCACAACACTTGATAATTTATAACAAAATGAAAGCAACCAGGTGGCATGTTATCATTGATTCTCGCGAAATCTCCAGATTATGATTACACCCAAAAAGATTAGCAGTGTCAAAGTAACCATTTACATGAGGATTAGCAGCTCAACAACAACTTCAAACAATTGCACAAGTTGTTTATCTTCATTAGAAGATGTTTGCAAATCCAAAAAAACTGGCAAAGAAAAGAAGATTAAAACTGTAAATCTGCTGCATGTTGCTCGTATATCATTGTTTTTTTCTTCAAAATTGTGATGGTGGATCAAGAACTAGAACTAAAATTCAAAATTACATAAACGTCACGCACGATAATTGATCACAAACTTGGAGTGCAAGCTTTCCAAATCCCTAGCTAGATTTGTGCTCCCACTCCTCCTAATCCGCTTCACGATTTTTAAATAAATGCTGAAATTCGGCTTTAGACCCTTCTCCATCATCTCAACAAGTATGTTCTTTGCACTCATAATATCACCTTTTTCCCAGTAAAGGTTTGCCATTAAGCTGTACATCATATTGCTTGAGGTCTTATAGATAACACTGAAATCAACAACATACTTGTGTGCTGCTTCGTATTTTTCCGCAGCGAATAGAGTCTTGACAATGCAAGCATGAGTTGATATCCGAGGCTCAATTCCTTGACTCGTCATTTCGTCGAGTAGGTGGTGTACTTCATCCATCTCACCGAATCTACAAACAAAGTTGATAAGAATCTCAAATGTTATTTCATCTCGAGGGATACCGATTTCTTTCATTTCGTCGAGCAGTGCGGAAGCTTTATCCATCCTACCATTCTTCCATAAACTGCCAAGAAGGTAGTTATATATGGTGGTATTAGGCACACAGTTGGCATTTCCCATCTCTCTGATTATACTGTGTGCATCTTCTATAAGACCACTCCTGCATTTTTCACGGATCAAAATGCAATAATACGCATTTTTGCTCTCCGTGATTTTTATGACATACTTGGCCATTTCGAAAAGGTCCAATTTACAGAACATCTCAACTAATGCACATACACCAGAACTGCGAAATGAACCCCCAATCTTGTTCAATAAATCAACCACTCTCGTAGCGGATTCTCTCAGTGAAGAATTTTCAGGAGCCAAAACGGGTAGAAATGCAAAGGCCTCGTAAGTGAGACATATCTTTTCAGAACTGAACTTCTTGAACCATACTGAAATGTTTTCATAATCATCTAATCTTCCAAAGTTATCGATTATCAGACTGCAAATGTGTGCATTCTTGTGCAGCTGAGGTTTATTGCTCCAAATCCACTCAACGAGCCTCAATCCAGATATTCTCCGAGAATTCAAAACCTCGAAAATTTCAGTGATTGAGTAAACAGACAAATTTGAATGAAGCATACTCAACCTAGACTCCAAATCAGCTCCATTGTTTCTAAGGATATCAACAATTTCCAAAACGAATTTCTGGGGAAATTTGTTCCTCTTCTCAAACTTCTGTTGGTCGGAACAGATATTAGCCACACTCCGAACTTCATTCTCCATAACAGGACTAGAAGTAAAAGTCTCATCGGAGGATGCGATAGTGAAACATCTTCCAAAACGAAGACGCTCAGAATTAGAACATCTGTAATGAGATTCGCGCTTCAACAAAGTCGATGAATCGAAATAATGTAGAACCGAATGCGTCGAAGAACGGATTTTCGAAGGAAGGCCGGATTGGAAATAGCATAAAGATTGTCTTTTGCAGCGTGAATTTGATTCAATTTTGTCGATTGACGAGTTAATTTGAAAACGATTGTTGATAGGTAAAACCCCAGACGAGGATTTGCATAAAGAAGAGATTGTGCTGAGTGAATTTGAAAGCAGAGGAGTGTATATGTCGGGGTTTAGGGTTTTAGGGGAGAGGGAAGAAAGAGGAGTGAAGTTTAAGCAGTACCTGAAGAAATATAGTGTCGTCGTTGTATATGAGTAATTGGAGATTCTCATAATAGCTCAGTTCTCATCTCTGCAAATCTTTCTCCTTTTTCTTACTTCTTCTGGTGATGTTTGATATTGGCGGCATCTGCAAAAGTGTGGCGACACTGTTATATATACAGAGCATATCTTAGGAGGTTCACACTGTTATTCAAATATAAAAAAAAAAACCCCAAATTCAAGAAAAATGCCACCATTGCAAAAATATATAATTCGTTACAAGGTGATGTATTCTTCAATTTATCTATCTTACATAGGATCTGCAAACGAATTGAATCAAGAAAAGTTCATGTTTGTTCAAGTTTGTTTATATTTCTATCAAATTTTTAAAGCTGAGTTTGAACTTAATTTGATAAGCAACAAGCCGAGCTCGAATGGATTTTAAGCGAAAGTTCGAGTAACTTTATTTTTTTTATGCATATTTTATCATTTTTTAAATAATTGAGCTCACTTCATAACTCGTAGAACTAAAATACATATTCAAATTTGGTTCGTTACGTTTACAAATGAAGCAACGAGCTTTTAACGAACGATATAGGATGAATAGTTTGGCACTCCATATATATTTCTCAAATTCATATATTATTTACTTAATTAGTTGCATTGTCACAGATTTTTGTATGATACTGTGATTCAGGGGCAGAATACTTGTGATATATAAGTATGTTAAAAGAAAAAAAGAGAGGAATATGCCTCTGGCTCATTTACAAAATCTTGAAATAGTTCACAACCAGTTCATTTCCAGTTAACAAGCAATTACCCCTTCATAAACCTCGAAATTCGAAAAAGAAGAAAAAAACCCTAGTTACAGATCCAGTGCAATAAATCCCAATATTTTGGTAACAGCACCATAATGAGTTCTCTTTCTTTATTTCAATTCTCCATTTTTTGTTGTGATGCGCGGCGAATTCCTGGAATCTGCAACATAAATTTCAAACGATGAAAGAAACGAGGAAGAAAATGGCAATATGGTAAATCTTGTCGGATGAAGCAATAAAACAATACATACTAACCTCAACTCCATGAGGGCCTATTCTATTGCGAGAAACAAAATTGAGAACCAGATTAGCAAATTCATCAGGTACATCCTCCTGTAATTATCAGTTACGTCAATATCGATGTATGTAGGCCACAATATCAAATAGACAACGAAAATTTGGTTTCTAGGGGAAAAATAAGACGAAACTAGACCTGAATGGCATGGCCTGTATGTCTGACAACCACCATTTGGAACTTCCCTTGCATTTGACCTATGGTGAGAGTTCTGTAACAAGTAGAGGAATACCACTTATGGACTCAACGATTCATGCTTTCACTCGTATTATTATCTTGCCGTATGGTATGTCAAATAATATTAAACATATGTTTGCATACTTCAGCTTAAAAGTTCAATAAGATTTTTCATGAAATAAGAAAGAATAAGACTTGGGGGGTGGGGTGCAGTTCCAAAGGAGTAACCTGTCTAGTCGATCAGTCCCTGCCAAAAGCAAGAGTTTTGGTACAGGACTTGACAAAAACTTTTCTGAAAGGCCTTCATACCTGAAACAAATAGTTGCTGATTTTATGTCGTCTCTAACCAAATTAAGAGAATTTCATGAATATGAATGCAGAGAAAATGAACAAGTTGCAAAATAAAGGTTTAATTGATTATCTTAAATGATTTGCTGGTCATTACATGGAAAATTAGCATACAGAGGAGAATGATTTATACCAGCCTCTCCAATACTGCTCAGTTTCTTCCAGTCTAGCTCGGTGGGCATAACTGCAATTCCCAGATAAGTAGTGCATGTTAAGTGGAGTAGCAAATGAAAACAAGTATACTGCTTGGTAGGCTTCTAATGATGATTATTAGGTGCGCGGACCAAGAGGAGATACAAAGCACAAACCAGCATTTCAATAGGAAAAAAACGAACAAACATAAATGTGATTAGCTTACCACTTTCTTGAATCATCATATATTAATGTGCTGGGAATAGAGACACAAGCAGATTCAATGTTTCTCAAAGAGCCTCCTTTGACACTCCATTCAATCTATCACACGTATAAATGCATAATCATTGTTACTAAAGCTTAAGGTTAAGAATAAGCTTAATACTCATTATGCATGTCGAATTTATTTACCGCTTTCTCAATGGTCGAGAAATGCTGCACTCGATTTGATAAAATCTTCTGCATATGGATCAATGAAGCCATTGCTGTTCCCTGAAATTTCATACAACTTTCATGTGACTTTTATTATGACTGGGTATCATATCAAAAATATTGTGGGCATTAACACAAACCTCAACAACATCCACGACAATTAAGCCAGCCAAGCTAGGAAGCACCTTCTTTGCAGCGACATGCACAGCAACTGAGCCTCCCATACTGCATTACACTGATAAATGATCATACATGGCAAAAGGATACAGGCAGCAGATGCTTTAACAATCAATGACTAATGATATAATGCTCAACATTTCATGAAAGAAAGTTGTGGATTTAAATTCGAGAAACTTGGAAAAAAATACAATTAACGAATAATCGTGTAAAATAGACAGCTTATTTAGACTGAAGTTTGTTGGTAGAAATAGAATGTTCACAATTCTCCTACAAATGTTCTGTTTCCCTAGAATCAAAGGTTTAGGGCTTTGATTATACGAGAAATATGATGCATAACATTTGAATTATATCATAGATGAAGAACCTGTGGCCGACAAGCACAATTGCTGGAGGGGAATCCGCATACATCGTCTTCAAAACAGCCAGTACATCGTTGCAGAGAGTCTGATTATTGTTGAACATTTTAGAACATGAACTGGTGGCTATCGAGAAAGACTCCTAATCTTACAAAAAGGAATTGTGAATTCGAAATACATCACTTTCCACTCTGGCTGCTCTCATAAGCACATACCTCAATAGATAGATCGAGATCATTCTCAGTGAATGACTTCCCATGTCCCCGGAAATCCAGGGCTACTAGCCGAGCTTTTTCTTTTATTTTACTTGCTGACAGAGCAAATGATAGCCTGGAGAAAGTGATCAAATACAATAAACAGTTTAGATGCAACAATGAACTCTGCAAGAAAGAGTATATGCTTTTCTGAAGTCCAACTTCCCAGTAACTCGTGAAATCTTTTACTTGCATTGATTTTCATTTGAGAGCTCAACGACTGCGACTGCTAATAACTTGTATATATCTAGAAAAAATTACTTCAATGATAATTATTCAACTTAATTCAATTCATCCAAAATAATGGTACTTATTCAAAGAACAAATCTAGGGACATTTACAATCTAACTCCATATTCTGTATATAACTTCCCATAATCTACATTATTAAATATTTTCTTCAACATAACGCAGATTAGGTAAAGGCATAAACCTCAACAAGCTAAAGAAAATGATAAAAAGCTTGAGTAGTCAATGTCAATATGGCCTTACAAAATTCACAAGAAACAAATTCTAATTCCACGCAAATAGGAGAATATCTCTGGCGGCAGATAATTCAGTTTCTATGAGCAGATAATATTTAAAAATAAATAAACGCCAGCTTATAACAAATATAAGTACATGTTGCAACCTCAAACAATTGGAGAGTATCCTCTATTTAATAGAAATATCAAAGGCTATTTGGTTGCCGCTGAATACTGAAAAAGGCAAACATGCATTGTTCAGTTTATAGTAAACATTGTGTCACTTTTACTTATACTCCCTTCTATTAGATCTCAGAAGCAAACATTTACACGTCATAGCTCGAGACATCTATTCGTGCAAAGGTGCAAAGAAGCATGTTTCTAACATAAATTATGTTGTTCAGTATCCAGAAGGACAGCCTACCCTGAATAACCCCCACCATGCAGACAGAAAACAACTGGACCCTCAGTTCCAGCCTTATAGATGTGAAAAACCTGAATCAGAAAGTAAATAAGGAAGCTCTAAGGCTTGGAAAAATGATAAGTGCACTGATAAATCAATTGAAAAGATGATGCTACTCACATTATCTGAGCCCGGGATGGAAACATCATCTTCTTGGTCAAAGTAGCTAGACCATTCTAAAGGTACATATTTTTGTGATGAAAACCTAAAACGAGAAACACAGAGAAGAAAACCTTTTCAGGAAGAACAAGAATACGCAAAGATTTGAAAAAATCAAAAGACGATAAATAAGCAAACATCAATATAAAGTACACATGGGAAGAACCTTTACAAATCAAGCTCACACAGAAAGAGAAAGATAAGGCCAAAAACACATCATGGAATTAATGTGACTATTACATTGTTGGAATTAGTGTAACCAGATTCCAGATTTAGCACTGAATACATTTGCCGAAAAAAGAAGTAGATAGTAATACTGTAAAGCTGTAAGTTTTGACTTTATCAAATTTATTAACCTAATTATTTATTTTCTTTTCCTCGGCCAGTATCCACAAATTCAACCACCCTCTTGCTTTATAGAATGAAAATTTCAGCCCGTGATTGTGCTTGAATTGATACAATTCAATAATTTTCCTCTGACTAAGAGTTTGATACACTGGACATAAAATTCAGACTTGATTCAGAATTCCGAATTAATGATCAAATATTAACGAAAAAACAAATTTGATACTACGCTCAGCCATTCCCCTCTATCCATTACAGCATCTAACTGCCATTTCTCTATAACCTTTTCATTCAATAACTGATGACAGATACATGATCATTAGAACTAGATAATGTACCGTAATTGAGTATAAAATGTGGAATCTTAAAGGCGAAAATTACGTTAATAAGCTTACAATTGAATAGCTTGAATTGACAACATAACAAAAAATAGATGAAAATATGCACTATAATATAACAAACTGATTGGAGAATTAAAAAAACGCAGGAAATGATCCAGCACTTACTGAATTGGAGGACGATCAGGTTTAACGGAAAAGGCAGATGGTAATTTGCTGATATTCGCCGGTGCAGGGACGCCATTTTGAGATTCCTCTTCCGGAAGCGAGGTTAGGTTAGATGAATTCTCCATTTCCGATCACTGGCAAAATCTGCCTACAAGTGTTGTTTGCTAGATGGTTATGCTGATTTGTTGTTAGCTTGATTTGGAGCTGCTTTTCGGGTCGAGCAAATATTACGGGCCTTGGATTTGGGTCAGGGATCCGGACTAAGCCCAGATTAAATAAATATATTATTAAAAATAAATAGGCCCAACTGAATATTCTGCAAAAGATCTGGGCTTCAGAGATTAAAAGACAGGCCCAACTATATATATATTTTTTTTAATAGCGGGGCATCGAGAAATGTGGCGGTCAATCATTTGTTTACTAGATAAGGCAAGAAGCGAAGGAAATATAATGAAGTTGTCATTATTCAAATTCAGTCCAATTATGGACAAAAACAATAATAATAATGTTATCAATGGTTCAGGAGATCGAAGACTATTTAATAGAGATCAGACACATTAAAAAAAAAAAAGAAGATCAAAAATGGTAATTAATAAAACGATGAGGGGACACAGGTATCGGAATCAATGTGGCGTAGATCTTGAGGTCCATGTGCATACTAATTATTTAACCAATTTAAAATTGAAAATGCTTGTGTCGAGGAGGTGTCACATCATTTGCATAGATAATATATAAATAGCCAAATAATTTTATTTCAATCTTCAACTTATATGTAAGTACTAAGTATATTTGTTTGTTAATTGGAGTATATATATATATATGCACACATATACGTGTGCATGTATGTATGAGTATGTTAACTATAAGTTATAGGGTAGACCGGCCAGGTCAAACATCGTTATGCTACAGACTCCAGTTTCCAAAATGAAAGGTAGGTTTCATTTACGTAATTGGGAACTGAGACTAGCTTAATCAAGAAAACGTGATCAATGAAATTAATATACTACTCCATAAATTAAAGCATTACAATTTGCAATACAAGAAACCCTAGATACATTTGAAAGACAACAATAGAACGAATAAACTAAAAGTAGTGATTAATCACAAAGCTTGAGGGATTGATTATCATTATTATTATTATTATTATTATAAAAAACAAGCTAAGGAAAACGTGGGATTAAGACAAAAGTAAGGGGTAATTAATAATAAACAATGATGATGTGTAAATTTATTTATTTATTGGTGTGGTCGTCTTTCTAATTAATTGCATATCAATGATATTTATTACTGTTGCTGCTGGAGTGGAGGATTCTTCAAAACAACCCTTTGTAGATGGTCAACAATGTCCTTTACTGTGCCCCGGAATTCGCTCTGCGTCTGCACGTTTTTTATTAATTAATTAATTTTATTACAATATATAATACTCCAATGCCCATCTAACATCCATATACAGTAAATTAAATAGTAATTTCCCAAAAGATAAAACGGTGAAACACATACGTATATAGAAGATCTGCATATATACAACAAACAAACAATTATATATCATAATTATTCAACCACAAACTAGCTACATATTAGTACGTAGTTTCATATTGTATGTCTTAATAATTTCAGTAATAGTAGTTTCATAAATGTTTTAATTACTGACTCAATTAATTAAATAGAAACTAGAGTAATAAATAAATAAAATAATAATAATAAAGTACCTCAGCAAGAAGGGTGATATCAAGAGCAGCTGCTGATCCACCAAAGGGCATCATTCTCATGTCTAATAGAGTGAGATGCATCTTTTCCATTTCACATGAAATTAATGGCATTAATCCCTTTTCTTTCTTGCAGCTTATTTTTATCAGCACTTTCCTTTCCGATATTCTCGCTTTTATTTCTGGAACTTCCAACATGTTGTTGTTTTCATCATCATCATCATCATCAATGGATCGTCTCTCCGTATTATACGAACAATTGTGTGTTAATTTTGATGCTTCAATTGAACTTCTCTTCGCCTGTTCTTCCTCGAGGATGGCCACTCGTTCTTCAAGGGCTTTCAAGTAGTTGGCTGCATCTTCAAGTAGAGATGCCTTGTCCAACTTATAATCATCATCATATAACAATTAGTCAATTAATCTTCAAGTAGGATTTAACAAGTAGTTCTTATATATATATATATATATATATATATATATATATATATATATATATATATATATATATATATATATATATATATATATATATATATATATATATATATAATGGTAAGTTAATTAAAATGATCAACAAAGTAAAAGTAGCAAGTAATGTAGAATAAATTAATATTGTATTATATTATAAACTGTACGTAGCACCTAGCTACCTTCTTGAGTCCAGGTAAAATTTTGGAAAGAGAGATGAAAAGTTGTCTTAGATGCTCCCTGTGTTTCCTCTCGGACATGAGATGCTCGTGGGCTTGAGACGGTGTTCTTGTTGTTGTTGTTGTTGAATCATGCTTATTAGCCGCCGCGACCGAAGAAGATGAGAAATCTATGATTTGTGAGGATAGATCATGAGTACTATTAGTCACCACCACCTCCGGAGTAGTAGTACTAGTACTACTACTGTTAAGGATGTCTGAATTAGCTGCAGGAAAATACGAGTTGTTTCCGAAAGAAAACATGTGTGGAGCAGGAGCAGGAGCAGAAGCAGAAGCTGAAGAAGATTCCCAGATAATAGGGCTCGTAATAAGCTGCTTCATGACACAACCATCATCGTCGGAAGTTTGGGGTTCACTACTACTACTACTAGTGTTGGATGAGATCATCAACGGTGATGAGTAGATCTCCGATAAAATAGGATTCAGATCAAACAATATCTCTTCATCCAGCAATAGATCATCATATTCTTCCATTTTCTTCGTAGCCACCATATACATACATACACTGGAAAATCGTATCTACCTATATATATATGGATATAAGGTAAGGAAAAATTAAAGAGAGTTTAGATCTTCACATTAATTAATTAATTAATTGAATATATAGGACATAATATCACACACACACACACACACACTTTTACACGCAGACACACAAATGATATATGCTAATGAATGCACACAAGAACCCTTGATTAATTATATTAGGTTTCAGAAATTATATGTTTCAATTTATTACTGCGCAGTTACGTTGTTGATCTATCTATGATCAATACATAAAATTTCCTTCCACTGTTTGAAATATCGTCCTCTCTTTCTTACTTTTAATTCTTAAAAACAAATCATTTGTTCAAGAATTACTTTTGTCGAGCTTGCAGGTTAATTAATTTACTGTCTTTAAAAAAAAATGAGAAATAATTTAGCTCAGATCCAAAAACTGTGAACTACTCGCTCACTTTTCCATTTTGCAAATATAGAATTCTATGCATCATCACATATATAGATATATAGAGACACACACACACACACACACACACATATAGTAGTTGCGTCTCTTACGAACATTCAATCAGACACAGACAATGGAATTAAGTTTACCTCGTAAGTAACTAGACAAGTTTATTTTGTCTTGCTGTTGTTGATCTGATATCGTTCTAGATCTCTCTAGATCGATAGTACTGTTGTGCACAGGAGAGATGGATGGAATCCAGCCACAGGTAATTGAAGAGGAAAAGTGGAATAGAATGAGGGATGTATATATAGAATTAAATCCTGATCAGAATTTAGTAAAAAATTTGTCGTCGATGATAATATATGGTCGGAAGGTGAATTATTATTTGGTGTAGACGAATAGACTTGGAAAACTTGTACCCTACCTCATTAATTACGTATATACCCACGTGTGAATACCCTATTTACACTATACAAATGGAGGCGCTCTACTCGTATGATACGACGTCGTAAGTCAAACTACACCTTTTTTTTTTTTTTTTTCCTTTTCTTCCCATTTACATTATAACGCTTTTTATATACATGATTGTAGATATAGAATTAAAAAAAAAAAAAAAAAAAAAAAAAAAAGGTTTTAACCGTGATGATTGATCGTAGCTTGTATTATTTTCAGTCAGATTGACGTATGAAAATGTATTTTAAAGTGAAAGCAGCAAATACTATAAAACCAGCTTTTTGTTTCTGGCTTTTCATGATTGAGATGATATACATGATTTACGTACAGAAACAAAATATATATAAAATCTTGTCAATAGTTCAAGAAACAAAAATAAAAATAAACGTTCAGATAAGTAAATTACCCCTGATCATGATGGTGTATTATAATAAATAAATAAAAAATGCGTCAGATCGATGATTGTTAGGCATAGTTGGGATAGTTTGTTTATTTATTAATAAGTTGGTTAATTCATATAATATTGTGCAACTTGGTGATATATATATATTAGAGGTGCTAGTGTTGCTGTCATTTGTTGCAATAGTAATTAAATATGTAATGGACAACTAAATTAAATGCCACATTTAATATGAGGAAGCTGTTGGTAACAGCATACTTTGTATTATTATTTATTTTCAAATAATATCATTTGTCCTATTTGCTCAAATAATATTTATAAAAACTAATCATAGGATAGGACAGAGCAGAAAATTGGGGTCAAATCAAATAAAATATGGTACAACTTGCCCCATTCGTATAGCAGAATCTATCATATATATATTCCTAGGCAAATCATTCTGTAGACATATGGGCTAATTAAATGAAAATTATGTTGCAATTAGATGTCATGATCCATACTGGGGGATCGGATGATTAGTACCAAGTTGACTTGGGAAAAGACAAATGTACAGATTTAACCCGAAAAATCGAACTTCCGGACAAACATCATATTTCATCAAAGTTTTAGTCAGTGTTCATTCATTCATGCATCTCCATCACAGAATATCGGATCTACCCAATTCAAATTGGATGAGACAGGAGCTCAAAGGCTACAAATTTAGTATTTTTCTGTTTTGCCAAATTCATTCAAACTGAAAAAGGGTCAAATCCACATTTGAAGTCGAAACGATACCAATAAAATTAAAACGATATTTAGCACTTCCGATGTAAATACTATCAAAAGACATCCATCTTCACTAAACAACACATAAATAAACAAAAACACAGACCACATCAAGTCTTATTCAATCATTCAAAGTTCAAAACTGCAGAAAGCAGATTCGTTGCACCGAACTGCATAGAATTCGAACTCGGATTTAGGGTTTCAAACAAAAGTAGAAAAACCGCCTCCAACGCACTTAAAATTAAAGTTTCTTTTAAAAAAAATTAAAAGAGGTCAGTGCAGACTGCGCATAATTCCATGCAAGTAACCACCGCTCATAACAAGCGATACAATGGAGACAACACCAGCCGGAAAGATCTTTCCGGAATTCTTGAAACGAGAGCCCATCACTCCCAGAAGAGAAGCAGACAGAACCAGACCAACAGAAGATGCCAAGACAGGGTTCGAAGGAAGCGCAGTGTAAACATACAACAACAAAGATGCAGATAATCCACCAGCAATCAGTGACTTCTTGCTTCCACCTTTCAGAAAACCCATCAATCCACCAATTCCAACCAAGGCTGCATATCCCAGTGTGAGTTTTTGAGACATTGACATGCCCGCCTTCTTCTCGTGGCCCTCGCTTTCATCGTCCTTGTCATCATTACCACCATCACCGCCGCCGCCGCCTCCTCCACCGCCGCCGTTGCCACTTACTCCACCAAAATTGTCGTCGGAACCACCAGAGTCTGGCAGTATGTCAATGCCTCCACCGGCTGAATCAACGGTGAAGGTGGTTGGCACCTTAGAGTCTGAAACAACACCGGTTATAGTCTTGAACGATTTTTGTTTTCTGGCGGCGTAAGCAGGATTTTTCACCGATAAGAAACACATTGGTGGAATTACAGCTAGTGATGCCTGGCTGCGACTGACAAAATGTCCTCGCCTTGAAGTGCAGAGTCGAGACTGAGGTAATAGTAGCAAAGACGACTGTGAAAATGCCATTAGGTCTCCCATACTTGCTGATGTAGGTCTAGTTTTCAATATATATCTAGCTGGAGAAGAAGTTATTTAATGTTCAGGAAGTTGTGTTATCAAGTTTTGTAGATTTTGCAAACTCTACGAAAATCAAACGTCCATCCACTATCTGCAGTTGCACACACCAGTGAAAGAATCAGGATAAGTAGAACTCACAGACAAATATTTACTGTCAATAATGAACACGCAAGTCACAGTGACTTGATTCAAGTGAAAGACTTGAGATTTCTTTAATTCTCTATTATGTGAAATAACACGGACTAACAACGGTAGCTTAGCAAATAGCGGAGATCAACAAAGATTAAAGGAATGTGTCAGAAAAGAAATCCTTCTTACAATAAACTCAGTGAACTATATTACCACATCACACCGAAAACGACGCGTGTAATAATAAAACATATATATTGCAATCTATAACACTAACTTACCAAAGAATCTAGACATACACACGAAAGTGACGGAGCACCAATATAGAAGTGAAAAAGGGAAATTCGTAGAAAGATAAAGACGTTCAATGAGAATTACACATCAGGTAAAAAACAATGCTTAGTGAAAGAGAGGTATTACCCTGCAATTCATAGACTTCAAAGCATTTTGAGCATCTATTTCCGAAGAGAATTTGACAAAACCAAAACCTTTAGGCCGTTGAGTCCTCGGGTCTTTGATAAGCCTTACTGCACAAGTAACATTCGAAACATAATTATAACCATCCGAAAAAGAATATACCGAAAAAACAGCAACAGAAACCACAAGATTGATTATTTGGATAGAACTTGACGCCTACAACAAAAAAATTACCTTCTTCAATTGAACCAAATGGAGAGAATAGCTTCTCTAACTTTGTAGTTGTAGTGTAAAAAGACAACCCTAATGCCAAAACAATGTTAATCAAACAATTTCACTGAAATACATATAAAAAAAAAAGACAGTAAAACGGAGAAGCAGAGCAGAATCTCATGAGAAGGTATAAATTAGATACCAAACATTTCAAATCGAAGGAAATGAATAATACTTACTGTTTATAAATAGAACGGAAGCAACTCTTTTAGCCATTTGAGTTGAAAACATCCATCGGAGGATTGGATTAGCCTAGAATTAAGCCAACAAGCTGAAGATTCAACCTCTTTCAAGAACTTCAATTGATGAAAACCCAGAGAGCTGATGAGCGAGGGCCGTTGAATTTGGGTAGCTAGGGTTTTGTTAGGTGGAAAGAAACCAATTTTGCAATTTGGTCCAGAAGTTCCATATAATTTTTAATCACCCTTCAAATGTTAATAATTAATTAAAAAATAAAATATAAAAGAGCGGGGGACACTCCTCTGTTCCCACTCCCCCCCAAGTGCAGATGCAGACCACGTCGAACTCCCGCGATCCGACCCGACAACCAACGCCGGACCCGGGATCCACTTTCAGGGTCGGGCAGAGGGTCCACTTCATCGGGCAACCTAGAAGAATTGGAACGGTGAAGTACGTGGGGCCCGTGGAGGGATACTCCGGCATTTGGATCGGAGTGGACTGGGATGCCGATGGCGAGGGAAAGCACGATGGGTCCCACAATGAAGTCAGCTATTTCACAGCCAGGGGTTCCGATACGGCGTCGTTCGTGCGTTCCCATAATCTCAGCCCGGGCGTGGCGCTTTTAGAAGCACTTGAAACTCGCTATCGAACTGCTTCTACTAAAGAAGAAGAAGGTGAGAGAATCTGAAAGAAGTGGTACCCTCTGAATTACATTTTGTGCATGGATACTAGTACTTGTAGGCCTAACTAGATATTGCAACTTAATATAGCAACACTGCAGCTAAAATTTAAATGAAAAACAGCTGTATTATATCTCTTCTTGCTGCTGATATCAAAATTTGATGTTAAAATTTACAACTTTGTAGCAATTGTGCACTTTGAATTAGAAAGGCTGTTATAATGGTTCAAGGATTTGAGGGTTTGTAGCACGATGCACGTAGAATTGTTGTTTTCTCTAATTGAAAGACTCACTAGGGTTCGATTATTATTATTTGTCCATTTGAAGTTTATACAGCCTTTGTTCTTTTTTCATCGTTTCCTAATTTCTCAAATGTGGTCCCTCGTGTGTTATCTCTTTATATAGATGAGATGTATGTCCTTTCCACAAGAAACAAAAGAGTGTCGGTTGAGCTTCTTGGGAAACACAAAATTGAAGACAAAGTGAGTCGATTCGAGGAGTTAACAAGTGCATCATTATCTTATTTAGGGGTCAGTTTTCCTGGATCCCCTGATCATGTCAGTTCGACGCTACCTAGTAAGTTGTTATTCTCTCTGTGTGATCCTCTGCATGATTACATTGTGACTCCCTTTTCAGTTATTTTATGTAAAAGTTTGAGCTCTTTTCAACATTTGTGTGGTTGTCTCTGGTTATCTTCTTAAGAGATTTATGTTCGTCAATGATTTTTTGTTCCTTTTATATTGAACTATTTGTTGAATTCCAAAATGGTCCTTGCAGGTTTGAAGGAGCTTGACTTGTCTGGAAACCTTCTAGCTAATTGGGAAGTATGTCTTCCTTGCTTTTGCGTATTGTATCAGCCAATTAGTCTACAGTTATCTTTGTTTCCTTAACTGGACAGTTAAAAGTTTTACGAGTTCTAGTGTTGTTGTTTCCTTGAAATTGTTTATTTTTAACAACACTTGCAATTTTATCAGATCCTAATTCTGTTAAAATAATTGAAATGGGTGTTTTCTGCAAAATTGTTGATGTGGTTGTGAATTGTATTTGGGAGTTTTCTATACTATGGCGATGACACTGTTGACTGTTGTTTTAAGACTTATTTAATGACTAGGTGCTTCTCATCGTAGCTTAACAAGAGGCATTTTTCTGATTGTCCTTACAGGATATTGGCATTATCTGTGAAGGATTGCCTGCTCTCACGGCTCTCAATCTTTCCAATAACGCCATATCACCTGATATATTTAATGCGCCCCAGCTAAACAACATTCGAGTTTTAGTCTTGAACCAAACAGGAGTGGTCTGGAAGCAGGTGGGGCTCGAGTTTGCGTGTTTGTAATAGTTTTGAAATTCAAAGAAATGCATTTAAAGTATGACATTTCATTTCTCAGGTGGAAGTTCTCAAGGATTCTCTCCCATATGTCGAAGAACTGCATCTCATGGGGAATAACTTAAGAGAAATTACGGTCAGAATAAATGGCCTTGAAATGTTATTTTTTGCTCCAACCAACTTATTGATTTTAGACTCATTTTATATTTGTTTGTTCCCTATTGATATTATGGTTGTCTGTCCAGCCAGTCTCCTCAACTGTTGTCCAAGGATTTAATTTTCTTCGGCTTCTTAACTTGGAAAACAACTGTATATCTGCTTGGGACGAAATCGTAAAACTCTCCCAGTTACGGAGGTATTCAAGAGGGAATAGTGAGGCTTATCGTATTTTATTCTAACATCTATTCCAACATTTTGAAATGCTATTAAGATTTTTTTGTAAATGTTATTCCTATGTGCAGCCTTGACCAGATTTTCTTGAACAACAACAATTTAAATAATGTCTGGTATCCTGATTTTGGTGGATTGGATGAAGTGCCTTTCAAGTCTTTGAGCGGCCTTTTTCTGGGTAAAGTCAAAGGAATCTTCGATAAAATCTTTCTTTACTTGGTATATTCAGGTTACAGGATATAACTAATTGGTTACCGCTTTCAGGAAGCAACAACATAGAAGACCTGGAGTCTGTTGATTCACTCAACTCCTTTCCTAAGTTGATGGTGAGCATAATTGTTTTGAACAGTGTGTCCGTAAAACTTCCAAGTAATATAGGAACTAGTTAAAGTTATTTGAAAAACATGCTTAAATGCAATGACTAGTTAGCTTTGCTCGTGAGTTGAGTGTTTAGCAAAGGACGAAAATAGATATGAAAAATCTTCAAATTCTACCTAAAAATTGTTGGAGTAGTTGGACCAATGCAGCACGCTCAGTTCATAATTGTTGGCTCTTTTACATATATCATACGATCACGTTATGCAGTCATCTTTAAATAAGCTGTGTTTACATAATTGTTCATCATTGTTTACCTCTAAAAAATATTCATGTTTTGCATGATAAATGCTGGTTTTTTTTTTCCTAATGTAGGATATTAGGCTGTCTGAGAATCCAGTCGCCGATCATGGGAAAGGCGGTGTCCCTAGATTTGTGTTTATTGCTCGTTTAGCAAAAGTTCAAATACTGAACGGAAGTGAGGTAAAACTCCTAATATTAGGTCCTTTTTTTTTTTTCTGTTTATTGATTCTTTGGGGGGGGGGGAGAGGTGGGGATCTCACGTGGTTATCATAGTTCTTATCTGCCTTTGGTTAATGCAGATTAGTCCTCGAGAACGGAAAGAGTCTGAGATTCGGTATATTTTTTATTCCATAATGCTGATTGTAATATATTTATGCACACACACACACACACACACACACACACACACACACACACACACACACACACACACACACACACACACATATATATAAATATTATATATAACCTCTTTAGAAAAGCTGTTCTCCCAAAAGCTTAAGTGCATATACTGTGGTTGGTGATATCAATAATTGGATAATTTGCCAGCTGTGTCAAACTGTCAATTTAAGTTTCCCGCTGCAGCTAATGCTATTTTTGAGTTTCCTGCAGATACGTTCGGTTGGTAATGTCAAAGAGTCATGGCAGTTCAGAAGAAATCAGACGACTCCATCCCAGGTAATAATTTATTTTTTCTTGCTGTCTTCAGATTCTGCTTGCCTGAGCAAAGGGTCAGTTCCACAAGAAGAATACTCTATGACTTACACCAGTGTTCCTAGCTCATTTTCATGTTAACATTATCCATTAATGGTGTTTATTTGGGCCATAATTGATGAGCAGGTTTGTTGAGCTCAAGGAGTTTCACGGACTTGAAGATGAAAGACCATCAACAGGGGCATCTGGCCCTCAAAAGATGGCATCCGGATTGATTTGTACGAATATTATGTTTCAGTTAAGTTCCCAAGATGTAAAATTGTAAAAATTCTAAACTTAATAACTTGCATATGCAGCTATCTCCTTGAAATGTGTTGGAGCATCGATGGGTGAAAAGCCCCCGTTGCTGAAAAAGTTGCCTGGAACAACAACGGTAATAGTCCTACCGGTTTCTGTCAAGTTTGTCTCCTTTAATGTGCTTCCAGAAGTTCCGAATGCATGTTTTTTTGTTCTTTAGGTTGGAAAACTGAAGAACCTATGCGTGAGTTTCTTCAAGTTGAAGTCCATTAAGCCAGTACTGTTTCTTCAAGAAGAGGTCTAAAATGGAACAATCCAGCATGTTTCTTTTCCTGATTTTATAGGTTGAATCCTGCATGTTTTATTCTTTTAAAGTGTAACAAACTGTAGGTTTACAAATTACAGGGTTCACCATTACCTACATTGCTTGAGGATGATATGGAATCTCTCATCGAGCTAGGAGTTGGCAATCAATCCACCATTCTTGTAGATGAACGGCCATGATGTACTCAGTAATCGAAGTCACAAAATCAAGGACTGTGCTGTTTCCTTTATAATGCTTGAACGCAGGAGATCTGCTTTTCATTCTCAAGTTAATTATTGTTCCGGAATTAAAATTGCTTTTCATAATCAACTTTTACCCTTACAATTTTGCGCTTAGTTATTTGTCAAGTACATCTAGACAGTTATTCCTGTGTACCAATTGGGCAGCAAACAATATCATCTGCAGCGCAGTTCATCTTTATATAAAATGTTCAATTTAAAATAAGAGGCCAGTGTTAAGAACAAGAAAAAAAAGAGAGTTGGAATCACCATCTTTGAAAGAAAAAAATGTTCCAATACAACAGCCAACCACAGTAGCCTGCAACCTAAAGCACGGTAACCAAAATGAAATGAACATGCAAAAGACCAGACAAACTTGAACAAAATTAAACTTCAGAGACAAGTGAAGCAACAAATAACAAATATCATAAATGCATTGCCAAATACAACAGCTTGAAAAGCCTAGTATATTCTAGAGAATGAATGGCCACTAACAATGCCGCCATTCACTTGAGCACCAGCACTTCTCAACATCTCTTACATCCTGTAAGTAACCTATGATATCAGGTCAGGCTCGTGCCTGAGCATGGAAGTCAGAACAACGGTGGTCTACAAGTTCAAATTAATCTAGAGTCCAAATACAAATAGAGCATGATAGAAAATGATATTACGGTCTGGCCTGTCAGGAAACTAGAGCTCATAACCATTACATTAAAAGAGACTAACTTCAGCGATGTGCACCATACATCTGACTAGAATCATATTGTGGATATGCAGATTGCGGTGACGTGCTTTTTCCATAGGCAGCTGGTGCAGCAGCAGGAGGCACATTCCCATAACCAGCAGACTGATCATAGCTAGGTTGAGTTTGAGCATAACCAGACTGAACAGCTGCAGGTGCACCATAAGTTGGATCTGCTGCAGGTGCACCATACCCATAAGTTGCGTTGCTTGCAGCTGGTTGTTCAGCATAACCAGGCTGAGCTGATGCTGGATATGAACCATAACCAGCTGTGGGTCCAGGCTGAGGATATGCAGAGGGCTGTTGAGATCCATAGCCAGCAACTGCCTGATGAGGTGGATAACCAGATGCAGATGCTGCAGTAGCAGCAGGGGTATTATGGTTGTATCCATCACTAGTGGGTGCAGAGCCATAAGAAGATGGATATCCACTTGATGCATATGGGTACGGCTGTTGAGGAGGCATATTGTGACCGTACGATTGAGCAGCTGCTGAAACGGGACCTTGGTAAGGCACTTCTCCAGGTTGACTAGGCCTAGGCTGACCATAGGGTTGAGAATGAGGTACTTGTGGCTGCATGTTATTGTACATGGCTTGTGGTGGCTTGCCATATTGATCTTGTGGACCACCATAACCTGAATGTGTTCCACCACCACCACCACCTTGAGCATATGGATTCGGCTGAGATCCCATGTGACCGTAATGTTGTGAGGAAGCAGCATGGTTATCGTATTTATTAACTTCGTTGTACCCATGACCACCATAGGGTTGTGCCGGAGTTTGAGAATAAGGAGGTGCCTGCTGCCCATAGTTGTTATAATTCCCCTGGATAAGAATGATAACCATTAGATATGCCAAAAATGATCAGTACCATTTATTGAGTACACACTAGCCAAGAAAATACAAACAAACCACCAACCTGTGGCGGCCCATGCATGGATGCTGGAGGCCTATGCTCCCAACTTGGACCAAAATTGCTTCTTGGAGCCTGTGGCGGAGGATAGTTGCCATATGATGGTGGGGGATATTGTGAATTCGAAGAAGGATATGCCCCTCGTTGCGGATAGTCATAACTAGAGTACTGCGCATGATGAGGAGCACGAGGTCCCCACTGTGAAGCAACTGGCCCACGTGGGCGATAACCCTGCTGACTGTATCCGCCAGAGAGAGGTGATGGCCTTATATTCTAAATAAAGCAAATGAGTTAGACTATAATAATACAATCAATGATCTTAAACTTCGCCAAGTATATTTCCTCTTTTGAACAGTATAAAGTAAAGAGCAGTTGACTACAGACAAGGTCAGGCTAGAACTAGCCTTAACACAGTATTAATTGACAAGCCAAGCAGATAATCGACCATTAAAAGGGCATAACTGTTCGGCATTTGCAAAAGCTCGAATATTGTAGCAATTTAGCAGTCAAAAACTCGCAATATAACATAAATTGACATTTACCAGTTCCGAATATGTCAATACAAACATGAACTACAAAATTAAAGAAGATGAGACATTAAAAATAACATAGAATGCAATAGTAAATTCAGGGCGCAAGAATTAAAATTAAATTCAAGAACTATTTAGGCAATAAATCATCCAATGAATCATAAATCAGTAGAGGAAAACAAAAGATAGAAGTAAATTCAGGATATCAATCAAATAGGCAGAAATTCCACACACAAAAAATGCCTTTATTTTCACTGAGCCACTGCATTATTGAATCATCAAATAGGTGACTATATGATTCACCATTAACAGGATTTTTTTGTTCTTAAAGCGAAGAGATTGCCCAGACAATGGTTAGAGTGCTGCTACATAAAACAGACTATTCAATAGTAAATTGGCATTTTCTCAGAAGCAACAGCAGTGTCAGACAAGATCTATATTAAGATGCCATCACCAATCCAGAAAGGGAATTCATATGAAAGTGTGTCCAGCAATTTACAAAGGAAGGATGAATGTAATAAACTAACATGTTATTTAAAAGTCTGAATGATAAGTTAACAGTCCAGAGCGACCCAGTTCAATTCAAGATGATCACCAATCACCAAAAATATATACGCATATGACAACTACCACAATATACCAAGTGCAATTGATTTGATTATATATACCGAATCTACTTCATCAAGATGATTTGACTACTCGAGACACCAATTCCAAGTCTCAAACATATGATAGCAGGCATGCCACATAGCCTTATTAGTAGTATTACTATCAGTTTCTAAGTCTCAAAGCAGTCTTACCAACTATCAACATCCTGCAATGTCGAGGTTTAATGCTTGATACCTCTCTTCTGGTGACGCAAGGGAATAGTGGTTGTCTATTGATACAGCAAGAAGGCAAGGCGAACTGGAAGAGAAAGGAAAAGCCAAATCTGCATTTTTAAAGTCAACCAATTCGAAATTGGCACCTCTGAGACAGAGAAATCATGGCAACCGAAATCTTATTCAAAATTTAGATCTTCCTAACAGCATTCAAGAGATCTTCTTATGCATGCTTAACCAGTGACATTTAGCAATAAATCCCTCAATCATAGTGTCGTCATCAAAGACTTTCTCAACTGAAAGAAGGCATGAGTTGGTTGTACATATTATACAGAAATCCGCATTATGATCCACTGGAACCATCCGACAATTGGTTTCATGGGCAACTAATCCAGAAATTTACCATCAATATAAAAAAGAATGAAACCCTAGCCATGTACTTGTATCAAGTTAAAAATTTATTGACATCCTAATAAAATCTAAAATCTGTATGAAGTGGCAGGGCATTAACATTGGCATAGGTCCCAGAGAAGGAGCAAATTCTGTTTACAGCAAACACGATTGATTACTTAATATCAGCCAGCTGATGCATCAACACAAGTATCGACGTGTCACATAAGCACGAGCATCATAGTCGACATAAAGTCAGCAGAGTATAATCTATTAACGACAGAAGCATTTTGTTATTTCATGACATAAGTTATCAACAATACAAGGAGCCAAAACCAACCTTGAATTCTTGGAATTTCATTGACAACTATGTAACTTGCAGGTAAGAACCGAGGCCCCTAACTTACTATTAAAGAAAATGTAAACAGTCCATACCCAAATGTAACATTGACCAAGCACTACTAATATGGTGTAGTAAGACATATAAGTCACATGGATAACTATGCAGAGAAAACAGGGTATAATCGAAACAAAAAATAGAATAAAGATGTTACGTAGCTCAACTAAAAACAAGCAGAGTAAAAAATCAGGCAGTACAAGTAACATGCTTATTCATTAGAAGCAGCTTTTTTACCAAATGCACGAGGATAAAGTACATATGCACCACCTTAAGAATGTTAATTCGTATAGAGAGCGGAAATATATAGACGAACCTGATTCATGACATCTCTGATCATTTCTCTAGCAGTCTCAATCTGCTTCTTATTACCAGTCACACGGACAGTCCTATCCTTAGATTGGTCTCCATCAGAAAGATTTTGTTGTATCAACTAGAGAGATAAAGAGGATTTTATTCATCAGTTGGGGTATGTTACCAGAACAAAAAAATTTAATACAAAATCAACTACCTGAATGCGAGCCCCTGATCTTGTCTGCAAGTTCCTAATAGTTTCTCCACCCTTCCCAATGATTAAACCAACCTAAGGAAATGGAACGAATTGTAACATCTCTGTTCCTACACTCGTGCAGAGTACCAAAAAAAGAGAAGTTCGGGGACAAGAACGGAATACAAGCGACCATGAAAGGAACTAACCTTTTCATATGAGACTTGTATTTCAATTTGTTCACCACCACTGGCAGCTTGAACAGTGCTGAATCCCCGAGCAACAAGTGACGGTGAACCTCCAGCATCAGCCTAAAAATACATCATACAGTTTCAGAATGGATATTATTTTGGCAAATGAGGGATGGGATAAAAAGACTGCAAGGTAATAAAATAGAAATACAACAAACTCTTGCCTCAGCAATTACGTCCTTTATCAACTTCTCGGCCTTGTTTATATTCTCCAAAGTTCCAATTAGTTCTACAGGCCTGTTGGTAGACCGCGGGTCTGCATCAGCATCTTTCGTAATCTGAATTTTGGCACCGGAGTTGACTTGCAGGGACCTAATAGTATCCCCTGCCTTGCCAATGAGAACCCCAACCTACAAAATCAAAAGAACTAGCACTTTTTAGAGCCCACTTTAGTGCATTTATACCATGTTACAATTTGGAAGTCATCCATAGTTCAACCAATTAGATTCTTTACTTTTTTTCACATAGTTTATACATTTTCTCCACCATGGACCAACATATAAGAGTAAGGCTACCCGACATTTAGCATAACATTTATGTAGCTGTTCAAATAATTTAGGAAAAGATGTGCGTATGAAGTGAATCAATTAGTCAACCTTGTCACTTGGAACCTCCATTTTGCGCGACAGTACTTCCGTGTCCGAGCCCAGTTGTGTTTCAGCAGAGGGAACTGGAACATCCCCCTCTCTAGGACGTTCGGAAGACTCTTCGACTTCTGTGTTTTGTTGTCCTAGTTTATCAGTACTTCCAATATCAATTTTATCATTCTCAACAGAAGCTGGTTCTCCAACAATTGTCTCAGAAGCTGGTTCTCTCATAATTGTCTCAGATGCTGGTTCTCCAACAATTGTCTCAGAAGCTGGTTCTCCAACAATTGTCTCAGAAGATTCTTGTTCTTGACCATCCACAGGCTGGCCATTATCATCTGCAGACTCGAGCTCCTCGGGGTCTTCCTCTATAGGCTCATCTTCTTTCTCCTTCTCTTGGTGTCCATTATGTGAAACTGCTAAGAAAATTATCATTGACCTTAGAAGATAAATATTTTCCCTTTCAACTGTACAGAATAAAAATCTGCATTAATCAAATCTGACAGACATAAACAGACATAATCAAAGTATATGATATCCATAATTTCCTCAATTGCTTTCAAACAAATCGCACTGAAATTTCAGATTCGGAATAAGATCATGGAGTCTTCAGAAACAAAATTAAAATGTCCCATGCAATATCAAGGCAAAGGTAAGAGTCAATTATACTAACGATCTATTTTGTGATTTTATTTTGCAATAATATGCATTCACTTCATTCTACTCAAATGATGCAGAAGTTTGGACATATTTTCCCCAGAAAACCCTAATTAGCTATGATTTTAAACCACAACGCCAGTAACTCACAAAAAAACAAACAGAAACGTAAAATGCAAAGAGGAATAGAAATTGATATGCGTAAAATTACCTAGGCCATCAGCTTCGCTAACATTATCACCATTACTCTCCAAACGTGGACGTTTAGTCTCAGATTCATCTGTACCGCCATTCACCTCCTTCTGCACCCCATTGTCCAACGAGTCAAGATCGGATTTCGGCTCGGTATCATTAAGCGGTTCGGGCGGGGTGTTGAGCTCCAAATCTTCATGCTTCCTCTTATGGCCATCCGGGGACGCCGAGGGCGCGGCGGCGGCAGGGCTAGCTTCCAGAGACATAATCACTTTCTCATCTGCCATAGCTTTTACCGGATCAGATGACGATGATGACGATGATGATGATGATGACGACGATGACACAGCTACACCTAGGGTTTCCAGGTATCAGAGAAGTTACTACGTGGGTGGATACTGTGAGATTTTCCTTTTGTTCGATTTTCCTTTTGTTCGATTTCTATTTAATTAATTAATTATCTGAATTTATGTATGTGTGTGTACATGGCTCGATTCGAATATGCAGTCGGTGAGAGATGCTTCATTGCTTTGTTAGGGCATCAAAAGGTAAGTGGGCCTGGGCTGCTGGTTTGAACAATGGGCCCATTTAGCTGCCGAGCCCAAATCATTACTAACAGGCCCAAGTTTAATTTGAAGGTAATTTCATTTCTTTGTTATAATAAAGTACATACAATTCATATACATAAATGCAAAATAAATTCCATTTAAAAAAAATGTCAATTCCACCGCATATATATATATATATATATATATATATATTGGTCCCCAAGCGGCTAAGCATGTGTAACGAAAAAAATAAATAAATTATTAATTAAAAAAGAAAAATGTCAATTTTGAATGTGTAAAGAAGTTTAGAGATGAGTCAAGATCAGGTCACCATAGAGTGGATTGCCCACTTCACGTGATGCCCCATTGCTCTCTTTATAGAATACCCTTTTCGTTTTGGGGATCTTTTTCTTGGTTTATAATCAAATTCGTCACCCCCAAAAATATATATATATTCTATTTTTATTAAATGAGAGCTTTTTTATTATTGGATTTTAATTTACACCGTATATTCCCGAAATTAATTTGGAAGAATATAATGTTCCGTTGTCATTTCTAATTTCCTGTCGCAATTTTGGAATGTACTTTTTTTTTAATTGCCAATAGTACCTATGTTATTCTCTTCTTCGTGCAATTATCCATTTAATTTGAAGTGATAAATAATAAGTGAAATAAATATAACTTAATAATCTTTACACAGCTGAGTTGATGATATGCATGAGTAACGATATATGTTTATAATAGCAATAATAGAAGATATAATATCAATCAGCAGTGAAATAAACTAATAATTCATATAATTAAATAGCCATCATGCTGTTTCATGTAGATATTAGACACTTTCTTAATCCCTCAATCACATCAAATAATCAGGACATGTTGTTACATTAATCACTCATCAGTTGATATATGATATATCTCTCCGATCCATGGACTGACTAATAATAATTTTATACATATATGATATGTACATCTCTCCTTGATCGATCATATTCTAACTACATAACCTGATCGATCACATTCGGCGGTCGGTCGAACTGTATATATATAATACATGTAATTAATATTAATTAACTACGATTTCTTTCTCGTACCTGTTTGTCTCGTAGGTTTTGGAAGTTATCATGTCAGTTCATGCTTGCTGATTGCAGTACTGCATGGGCCATGCATATAAATTCCTTCCTTGTATTATCAGTACTTAATCGAGAAAACTGAAACCGATCGAGATCACTCCACAAATATCACAAACCAATTACAACTATTATTATTTTTACATGATTGATCCTCAAAACTACATATATTAAACTACATATATATAGAACGACCACAGTACGTACGTAGTGCAGGCAAGAAGCCATCATTAACTGCACTTTACAAAACAAACTGATCTGATCGATATATATAGATATATTATCACACGAAAGCGAAATGGATCGGAGATGAAAGAAAGACTTCAGACAGATGATATTTCATATGTCTCGGACATGGAAAACATTAGGGTTCTTGACAACGATGTCGTACATGTAAATGGAGTTGAATTTGGAGTAGTCTTTGGGAAGAGAAATTAGGTCAATTGAAGAGCGTTTGTGGAATTGGAAGAGATCGTGGTCCCCGCCGTAATACCTCTCCCAACCCAAACCTCTCAATATTTGCTCAAGGCAACTGTAAGAAGAAACCACCTGCCCAGTTGGCAAGTACACCAACGCCTTCCTCTTACTGTGGGCGGACCGCCTTCCGTTATCGCAGTGAACATCGGACGTGTTTTCGACCAATTGCATCACCCCGTTATTCTTGAATACCCAAACTCCAGACATGTTTGATTAATTTGTGGTTTTAGGTATCCGAGGATGTAAGAAAAAGTAGGGTTTTCTTTTTTCGGTTGAACTCGAAAGGGTTTTTATTGGTATTGGAGGGAAGCGAAGAGCAAATGAGAGATGATGATGAATGGAATGGAGAATGGGAGGGGGGTATTTATATGTGTAAAGGGGAAGAAAAAACAAGAATTAATAAAATAAATAAAAAATACTGGTATATAGATAGATATTGTGGGATCCATTGCAGTGTGAACTAGGGTACAGGTTGTAAAACATCAATATTCTAATTTGTTCTTTCCATATAGTTTGTTATAGGAGGGGTAAGGCCAGGGGTTAACAAGAATCTGTAATTGGCTCACTTTTTTTTTTTTTTTTTTGTTTTATTTTAATCTTCATTGGAGAATCTGAGGTGCAGTGGGGGAAAAATATTCTCCAACATACAATTATTGAAAAAATGATATAAATGTTTTCTAAAAGGGGCAATCAATCAACTGATCCATGTATATATTGCTGCGTTGTGCCCACTTTATCACATGAACTACACGTGAACATGTAATATTTATATACATATAGCCTATAGGGCGGGGACTTTTCCTTTCGCATTTCCGATTTTAGTTTTTTTAATTTGGATATGTATATTTCAAGAATTCTTCAACTTTCTTGATTCTATCAACTTGTAGTTTGTTTTTTTCACTTCAACTATACCTTAGCTTGATGAAAAATTGAGTGGTGATGACTGTAAATATGCATGATTCCGATGGCGTTTAGAGGACCACAGCCAGCTTTGGTTTCAGTTATGGATAAATAGTCTGTAAGTATATATATATATATATATATATATATATATATATATATATATATATATATATATTGATGCATGTGAAAACAATTCACATGTCATCACATGGAGTATGTGTGGTATAATGGTCCTTACTCATCCATTCATATATGGTTTCCCTCTATTCATCAGCTGCATGCCCACTTTTGGGACCTCTCTTTTTTTCCAACCACAAGTTATTGCACTTTTTTGACCTTCTGTGTGTATATATAATATTATATATATGCAGCTCCTTTCAGAATTAGAGGATTATGTACAGTTACATAACATATGTGAATATCATAATTTAGACAATAATATCTTTAAGCAGGACAGCTGGTAATTAAGCAGGATTAATTTTGTAGCCTACCTGTTAATCTTTGCACTCACTCTTGTTGAATTCTGAGAGAAGTTTCTTAAAAAATAATAAGCCTAAAAGTTTGTTGGTGGTGGGTAAAATTCTCTTATCCAGTACCAGAAAGAAGAATATATACCAAGAAGCATTAAACATTGTTAAGAGTATAATTAATTCTAATTAATTCAAGTCACTAAGGTTTTGGAGGGTGCTTTACTTGTACATAATGGATACGCCAAGGTTAATTAGTGGGGAATCAATGGATTAATTACTAATTTGAGCTAAGGAATATGTGTAGTCTTCCAATTATAGATTGTGCCATTGGCCTAACTTTGATCGTTGGTCGTTTGTTAATCGCCAAGCTAAAATTCTCTTTTAGATCAAGGGAATATTAGGACACGCAGGGTTAAAAGCAGATGCATAAAGCATAAAGCGTCGCTGAAAACGACTGATTCCCGGCTGTATAAAAAACATGTATATGATAAAATTCATAAATAGCATTACGAGAAAATTACGAAATTTGACGTCATTTTGTATACCATCAATATGTCACAACTCTGACATTACAACTTCTATAGTATCCAAGTAACTAAAAATTTAAATTGCATGTCAGCGGGCAGATCTTCATCCCTTCTGCTTCTTCTGATAGTACATATTTCACCCATAAATGGTGAAAAACATTATATTAAAAAATAATGATTGATCTAGAACGCCACTAAGATCTTTTTGTCTGAGAATCTTCGATATTTAAGGATGACAATCCGACAGTATCCGGACTCTTGAGCTGATCCAGCTGTTTCTTGCCACGCCGAAGTAAATACTCAATGTAGAGAAAATTCTTTCGATCAACCTGTGATGAATTGCGATGGAACTCTGAAGAGACAAGTGACTCGATTCTGGTACGTTCTTCGGGGGCTTTAGATCGTGCGGCTCTTAAGAATTCTCTATACAGAGCAAGCACTTGCTTTTGCATACCTGACAGCCTTGGTTTACTAGAAGCTGCCATTGCATCTTCTTGCCAAGCTTCTTCTAGCTAGCTATATATATGCCCTTTCTGTAAATAATCTGATGCCCAAGAATTGCAGCAAATGAGAAACACGAAGTTCAAAGAGATAATTTTGTAACAAATCATACGTCCTAAATAGGCCAAGATATGCAAGATATAATCTATCCGATCAATAACCGCAACGAAATAGTAGACATAAGGTTCTTATAAGAAGCACGTACGTCAATTTCTCGTTCGAAACAGTAACCAGCACAGATAAGCAAATTTTGAGGGGAGAAGACTTTTCCCATCAGGCAGTTTGTACATATCTTGGCCTGTGGTTTTCTTAATCTTCCAACTAAATGATTCAAATTTGTATTTACATTTTGCCAAATCAACTTACTAAACCAAGTCTAGAGTTCCTGAAAGAAAATAAAAATGCATGCTCTCGATATTTATTAAGAAGGGACTTAGTTGTACAAGATCCATTGGTAGCTTATGTTTATCACATCTAAATCAATTTGTCCAAGCGAGTAATGGCATCTATAAGGCATCTATACATACAGTTCGCTTAAGTTAACTCTATGGCCGAGCAGAAATGAACCCACCGTCGTATTGAGAACAATATTTATTGCAACTCAAAGAGTTTTTTTTTCTTTTTCGAGACGATGGCAACTCGAAAGAGTTGAGATACAAATAGACCACAAAGTTTTCAGATTCGTATACAGAGCAAGAAAATACAGGATCAAATCCCATGAACAGTAAACTCACATCAGTTTCCATAGATTACACATAAGCATAAAAATTCTGAATCACTACACAATTAACAAATATTCATTCAAAGGCATAACCTATCATAAAGAGATGCAAATAAAGGATGTGCAGTGAAAGGGAATAGTTAGCTTATGCATATGTAAAACTAAGAGGAACAAATGACGTCACAGTAACAACTTTTCATCAATATCTTAAGAGTTATCTAAGAGAAGAATCCAACCCAAAAATAAGAAATGCATCGATTAGAATAAACTAATGAAAATCATCGCAGAAGATAACATTGAAAAAAGCAAATGAAACCCCCCAATTTTGCGCACGATAAACAAATCAAAAGTGTTTGCAACAAACTGAAAAGCTCCTTCCAATAGGTGAAAGAAAGACGCTTAAAAAAATACGAGAATTTTCATCGAGATCATGCAGCAACCGTCGATTTGAAAGGAATCGACGGCGGTAAGAAGGAAACCGGAGCATCCATCGGCGCGTACCTCTTTAATGTAGGAACTCCACAGAATTTTGGGGCTTCAAGAGAATTACTCCCAACTTCCAAGGTCGATTGTACAATATATATTTTCGTTTATTTTATAGAAATTCCTTTTAGATCCACAAATTATGTTGCTCTCAACTTTAAGTACCTATTCTTTTAAGGAAGATCGATTTGCCCTTAATTTAATATATGGTATAACAATTTGTTTTTTTCAAAAACAAAAAATAAATAAATTAGAGAAATGATCTAAAGAAAGATCAAACTGAAAAAATGAGACAAGGAAAAGGGATTAAAAATATCTAAATAAATTAATCAACCAAGTTAATTATTCCCTCAATTTGGGGTAAAAATAATTAAGAATAAATAACATTATAGTTACTTAATACTTGTTTCTTTCTCTATAAAGTATAATCCATGTATATTTGAAATGCACTTTATTTATTATTTCAAATCAATTATAATTTGAAATGCTCCACTAATTATTTCTCAAGAAAAAAAAAAAAAGGATATTGTAGTGTCTAGTGTTACATTTTACAAAGAGAAGGGCTAAAATTCTCTTAAATAAATATGACAAATTCGATTTACACGACGAGTAGGTTCTGCCACTCCATCTACTCGATATCCTTCATTGCATCCTGTGCATCATCAACAGCAACAACACATCACTACGGATTAAGAACACACGCACGCACACACACGCAGATCGCGAATGGGATGGGTTACCTTGGCTAAGCGTGTGACGTAAGTTGCAGCGAGTGCGGTTGCTAATAGTCCAAGTCCGAGTGTCCATAGCTGCTGACTATTCCCCGCTCCACCTAATCCCATTTCAGCTTCTTCTTGCTGCAATCAACCAATCAAAACCACTCGTTAATTATTAGCCCTACACAGTCAATAGCACAGACTTTACTTCGACCATTTACAAGAGTGTTGAGATCTTTACTTGTGCTTATCAAGTATTAGAACCTAATAAAAGAGACCAACTGCAAGAATTGAAACTCACAATTATTGCTCGGCCGAATGCACCAGCACTAACATATGCCCATGTTCCTGGAAGCATGCCCAACCAACTGCAAATACACACATTTTCGAATCTACCTCAGGAGATAATAATAATATATACCTAAGTTGATTAGCAACCAAGTGTATTTTTACTTATAGAAAAGATTATTGCAACTCAGCATTATCAAGATTATTGGTGATTAAAGAAAATAAATTGGGAAAGAGAAAAAGACGAAACAGACCTTCCTAGCACATATGGGACAAACTTGACAGAGGTGAGTCCATATAGGTAATTTCCGATGGAAAAAGGGAGCAATGGGCTGAGTCGGAGAAGAGTAACAACCTTGAAACCATTTTCCCCGATAGCTTTGTCTATGGCAAGGAATTTCTTGTTTCCTTCAACTAGCTTTAGAATTCTCTCACGAGCAAAATATCTGGCGATTAGAAATGCAATACTAGCTGCCACCTGAAAGCAAAGGAACGAGAGAATATTACACAGTTTCCAACTTTACCCTTTCAATCTATTCAAAGAGATTGTAGAATTACCGTGCCACTTATAGAGACCATGATAGTCCCAGTAACCGAGCCAAATAAAAGACCAGCAGACAGAGTCAATGGTATGGCTGGTATTGCAAGTATCTGCATCACAAATCACAATTTGCATCACTTGGTTATGAAGCCACTAATTGATGCTAGAAACATGAAAGTGCTAAACAAATAGAACAAATATCGAGGTTATTTATAATTTATAGCACATATAACCAGAATTTTAGTAAGAATGCGAAAACTGTAGCATGAAATATGAGGTTCCATTTGGATGGAGGGATTTGGGGAGGGATTTGATTTGGGGAATGGATTTGAAATGACTCCAATTTTGGAGTCATTTGAAATCCATCACTATTGCTCCAAAAACAACTAAAAAGGAGGGGTGGGGATTTGAAATCCATCTCCAAATCCCTCAATCCAAACAAGTCCGAGGGATTTGTTATTATGGATTTGAAATCCCTTCCCCAAATCCCTCCATCCAAATGCACCCTGAAGGATTTTCACTAACAATCATTTGTTTCAGTTCCACAATGTGGCGGTCTGAATATTATCATTATTCATGTAAGTGTTCTTAGTTGGAATATTAACCATAGAAAGAAGAGAACTTGAGTACAAAATAATGGATAGACTTGAGCTGGCATAATATGCCCGACAAGAGAGTTTGATTCTTACTTCTAAACCGGCATAAGCTGCAATAAAAAGAGCATATCCAGCTGGGCCATAACCTGAAGAAAAAAAAATAAAAAAGCCAAATTTGAGGCAGAACGCAAGGTCTTGAGATAAACAGATTAAGGGCACAAACATTAGTCCCATGTTCAAGAATTTCAAAGATTACATGGTCAAACATTCAGTCAATGAAAAGCAGAGGTGCAACGTATTACAAGTAATTGAGAAGATAATTGGACAGCTTCAGAAAAAGCACATTATATACAATAAGAGATTTCTTCAAGTCCAATAATAGGTAGTTCCCGGTGAAGTTAGTTGAAACAATTTGGATTGGGATCGTTTTCATGTATCGTTATATAAGCAGAAAGAGACACGCTAATGGAAGCAATACTTAAACCTAAACAAAATCGACATAAAGAATAATATGATAGTCTTGCTATGGTGCATTGTGAATAAGATAACATCAAATGTGAACATAACATAGAAATTTCCAGAATAGATTTATCTTGTAAAATTTGCCCAAAAGTTTAGGTTATAAGTTGTACAAGTTTAGAAAGTGCTTCTCATTCCATCATCATCTTAGTGGTAGCAAGTCATTTCAGTTCACTTTAAAATTTAAACTACCATTAAAATGAAAACAACATTGGATCAACGGAGCAAAATGATTGTAGAAATATCAAATTTGGATCTCATGTTGAAGAAAGCTGACATTTTGAACCAACAATTCACGAAAAACAAATCAAAAGGGGAGACAGAGTTCAAAAGGAAAGACCTTCGATGAAGACAGAAAATTGGGTCAAGAAAGCATTGATCTGATCCCTGTATATATATCCAAAAGCCCCAAATCCACCAACAAAACCAACAAAAAGAAGCCCCGCCAAGATTGTGCCTTTAACGGCAGTGTCATCTCCACCATCACCACCCCCACCCTCCGCCGCATCGCCGCCCTTATTTTGGTTACTTTCACCTCTAGGATTGAAATTCCGGGTTCTCCTGAGACTTTGGGGGGGATTACTTCGAGACTTGGAGAGTGTCTGCTGCTGTTGTTTCTTGGTTTCTTTGAGTGAAGAAGAGCATGGCTTCAAGAAATGGAAGCGCTTAGGGTTGTAACCGAATAAAGAGAAGTGAAAGCTTGGCCTCCGTGGGAGCGTGGTGGATGGGGAGGAGGAGGAAGAGTGGCTGATGTACGGCGGTCTTGGTGGTGCCGTTCTAGTTAAAGGAATGGTGGGCATTTTATTTCAGGTGGTCGACTGAATGGTGAGAATTCGGATGTCCTTGCCTTTTTTTCTTTTTTCTTTTTTCTTTTTGGGTTATTTTTTTTCTCCCGATTGATTTTTGATTTTTTTTTTTTCGAATCTACTCTGGTATCTTCTTATTCTGGAACCAAAAAATTGCAATTCTGTGAAATTTTGTTTTAGAAAAATAAGTGGTTGGTTATTGTTCTGTGTGTGTGTGTGTGTGTGAAGGGGGTTAGTTTAGATTGTAAGAAAATGAAACGATGAGCAGTTGATTTTGTTGAGGATATATGAAAATTGTGTTGGATATTGCTGCACGTGTTGGCATTTAGGCTCCAAGTTTGTTCCTTTTTTTTTCCCCACAAATATACACTTCACTAGTTACTTGTAGTGAAGACCTGCTGCCAACTGCACTAAATAATGGATTACCATACATAAACATGCCCAAACAATTAAATTCAATGAAGTTCATTTGTAGCAGAATCCAACTGGTACGATGTTTAATGTAATGGGGGCTAATAATATACCATAATAAGGGCAGCAACCGCTGCGTAAATTGAACCAAATGCTTTGCTGCTTCACTGTCCGATTTGCTGAGATGAACCGTTATATGTGACTTATGTCATCCTGTCTTGTTCGGTCACATCTGATGACTGAAAAGTTGATTCTGTATCGTCGTTTATTGTTTTCGGAGCAATCAAAACTGGTTCTGAATTCTTTACTGAAGATGCAATCTTATGCATTTGGTGAGTGAGAGTGCTTTTCAAGACTTGTGGTGAGAGCACATCGGGTTTTTCGAGGACATTCAATGCAAAGCTCCCTACACAGTTTATCTGTGGAGAAGAAGATAGGAGGAATATGTAAGTGCCAAATTTCTGCAGAAAAGAATCCCATAGTATGTGACATGAAATCGAAGAATCCAACTGTTTATATTCATCAACTAGTGTTCATGAATGCTAATGCAAATACCACATATAGCTGAAATCAAGGGTCATTACGGTATTCCAATAATTAATTGCATAACTCACGCATCAGAGAATTCGCAGTGGCCCGTATATTTTCAAAGTTGTAGCTTCAGTTATTGAAGATAAGCAGAGTAGAGAGAGCATAAGAGGTAAAAACATACTCATAACCAAGAACAAGTGGACTGAGTTCTAGGGTTTAGGCCTTCTAGTCATAACTCATAACCCAACTCACGAGACACATATTTGTACAGAGGCCAAACAGAGTACTTAATTAGGAAGTATGAACAAAGACCAGAACTTAACAGAGAGACTGAAAAGTGAGAACAGAACCAACAGTAAAGGATGCTTTGCTTTTCTCAAGGCACAAACAGAAAGGAAGGTAGAAGAGTAGGATACATCGACTTAATCCCGAGTTAACTTTATAATCTGATTAGAGTAAACCAGTTTTACCCCCATTCTGTTTTGATTCACTTTCATTGCAACACAAGCTTACAGAGAGCATCGTTCTTCAGAAACAGAAGATATATAGATTGTAACTTAGTCCGATTCAATATGCAAAAGACAAGAAAATTTCATGCTCAATTCAAATGGATAGGAAGGTCTTCACTCATGGATTATCGGGAGACATTTATGTGTGTGAAGTGATCGTGATAACTGTGAGATAATACACCCAACTTTAAAACATAGCAACCGCAACCCCGCACCCCCACCCCCCCTCCTCCATTACAGGCACCTTCTCCTCTACATAATAGTCTTATTTGGTTCCTCTACACTGATATATATGGCTTTCATTTTATACAAAAACGGAAGAAAGAAATATGTAAGCTAATATTTGCTTCCCATATAATATAAACCAATCCCAGTGAAAAAGACTTGAATGCAAACAAAGAGATGGTATAATTGAATTGAAAACTGGAACAAGTGAGTAATTTATAGCTTTGCTCAGCAACAACATAGCTGAGGAGAAAAATGGTCTTACCGATTCTGATGCCTTCTTAAGTAACGCTTTTCCTAGGGGCAGAATGCAGAACCTTCAAATCAAATTTCCAAAAACAAAAAAAGAGAGGATTTTTTTATCAGTAGTGAGTACAGAGTACATTTCAATTTATAATGCAACAGAATGGATTTCCAGTAATTCAATTTATCTGTCAACATATACATAAACATATATATATATATATATGAAAGGATATTGATAGATTAATACATTCCACGACCACCAGATAAGGCTTCTTGGGACGGCTCTTTCCATTCATCTAACCTGCAATTAATTCAAACACAGATTGATACAATTAAACCTAATAAATAGATAACAGATGCAGAGACAGACAGAGAAAAGGCTTACACCCAACCGTAGCGGCGGTCGAATATGAGCCGTTTCGCAGGCGGAGTGGAAGTGGTGGTGGCGGTGGTCTGCATTTTTTCGCCGATGCTGATAACTTTGAAAGTCGCTACTGAGAGCACCACGACTTTTCCTTCTTCTTAACTTCACTTAAAATCGCTTTACAGAATAAGCGAATGTATAAAGTTCAGTTTATAAAGTGACAACTACCGGGAAAATCACGATTTACCCTGTCGTCACTTCTCTCTCTCTCTCCCCCCCCCTCTCTCTCTCTCTCTCTCTCACTCACACACACTCCGGAAACTTCTCCGTTATCGTGCTCTCTGCTTCGTCAAACGTCACTGCTGTAAAAATGAACTCTGTGCGCGATTACAGAGAATCAACACCTTCAAATTCAGGTGCTTCATTTTCTAGTGTTAAATCTCATTCTGGTATAGTTTGTATTTTTGTTTTGCTTCACTGTCCGACTGCAATAATCTGTACAACTATCGAGTTTCTTATCCAATTTTTTTCTGACATTTATTAATCAGCCTGTTTCTTCGGATTTGAGTGTTCTACTGCACTAAATTGCTTAAAGTTTGAAAATGTACAGCTTAATTATTTCTCATCATGTTTTATTTTGGGGAAAATATAGTCGCATTTATAATCGAGCGATTGCGACAAATTTAAGTGATTCCGAAATTGAACAAATCATTTGTGCTGGCTCTGGTTATGGCTCTAATTAACGTTTCAATTCAGTTATGATTAACTAAAACGTGTTTTGTTTCTGTTACATGTACAAATATGATCATCAATAGTGTGGTTGAGCCTGTGCATATACTATCTTGCATGCAAGAGTGTGTGTTAGAGGCGTTATCGGCTGTATCGACTTTCGTACTTTTAGAGAGTGCATTTGGATACTTTGTTTACGAAGAAATGGAAATTTTGCAAAGTATATCTATCTTTAGGTTAGGCTGTGGTCTCTAGTGATCTCATCTCTGAACTCTGTTCATATTCTTTTGGCAGAAATCTATTTTGCAAATCTATGATGTTTCGCAATTGATCATGTCTGGATTTGATTCTGGTGCAGGTTGCAATGGGGTTTGTATTATGAGTACCACATGGAAAGATGAACAACATCCGTCCTTCATCAACTTCATCTCCTCTTTCCTCGATGCTAATTCTTATAAACTAAATTTTGTGCCGATTGCTCCAGTATTAACTCTACTTAGCTCGTACATAACTTCTGCGTGATCCACCATCTTAGATTTTGAATTACTTCATTTGCAGGATTTCATCTTTAACTGTGGAGGTCTGTCTGTAGCTTTCATATTTGCAACTACTTGGAATTACGAGGACGCTGCATCTATCTTCAGCAAGTAAGTGCTCCAGTTTCTAACCAATCAAGATTCAGTTTCTAGATTCTGTTTCTTCTGAAACTTTCCATGTTCTTGATATAGAATCCAGAAGTTGAGAGGGCAATTTGCACACTTCTATGTGGTTGTTACTCTTCCAACCAAGGATCAAAACGACTCTTTCATACGCGCTTATTTCAAGTTAGTGCATCCTTTAGACACTGAAGCCTAGTCCCATGTTCTATGAATTGCTGTCCTGGTTATGCATGCATTTGTTTAAGGTATGGCATGGAGCTTGGTAAGCCAACTTGGATTCCAGTAAAGGACTTAGAGATGGGATTCGAGAAGATTGTAAAGGTTGCACATGCTCGTGGAGGTAAAATTAAGTTCTATATCTCATTATCAGAAACTTTCAATGCAAATCTATCCCAGGCATTCTTTATTTTCTTTTTGCAGTTTGTAAGCGGCAGGATGCCATATCACAATTGAGAGCCGAGGTTTGCGGATTTAACCTTTTCTTTCTTGCTATTGTAAATGATTTGTTTTCCTTCTAATGTGTGCATAATAAATGTTGATATGATTTTAGAGGCAAAAATCGGTGCAATCCATGGACATCTATATCAAAGTGGTTACATCGATTCCTGGGATTGACTACCATGATGCAAATGCGGTAATAATATACTCTGTCCTTCACTGCCTTATGTTTGCACTTTTGCCTTCTAATTTGTTTTGTTTGGTCTTGCAGCTCAATCAAGCCATTGGTTCCATAGAAGCAATAGCTAAAGCATCGAAGGAGTACATTTTGGAGAATACCGATCTTTCAACTGAGAAAGCTGAAACTATTACAAGGTTTTTCAGAGACCCAAAGTATTACCTTGGTCCCAAAATCAAATGAATGTAGATCTGTAACCTGCATATCCCTGTGTTGTGACTGTTTAAAACTGGTCTGTGCAAATACCACAATTTAGTTTGCTTATTGCACATAGCCTTTGGTTAGAACAAAATAGAGTTTTTGTGATTTCTGTTGTCTCAATGAAACAAGAAATGGTAATTTCTTAACGAAACAATTGAGACTTGATGGTTGGAATTTCTGCAGCAACTCAATGTTTGGAACTATTCCCCTGCTGTTATTGTGCACTGCATTATTACCACCTTTACTGGACATAATAAGCATTATTACAACAGAGCACTATTTGGATCTGGTTCAGTGTAAACTAAAACTAAACATACATAAATACATAAATCAAGGTCTTAAAAAAGTTGAACAATGGTTGAAAGAATGATTAAGCACCATCCTCGATAACGAAGTTGCTACAACAGCTATGTCAAATGTCAATCCTCTAAGCTGCAAAATCCCAGGGGAAGTAATCATCACAAGAAAGCTAGCCAATCAAGTACAATAATGGCCTCAGCCAAGCAAAAAACCTAGCTCAGCATAATAGAACCGAACAAACTTATGAAGGTGCACCGAGATAGGATGCAAGGCGCAATACGTCGCTGAATATTCCGCCAGCTGTCACCTCAGCACCAGCACCAGGACCACGCACAATCAACGGTTGTTTTTCGTACCTCTGTGTTGAGAATGCTATTATGTTATCCGATCCACAAAGCTGTGCAAATGGATGATCCTTTTTATATCTTCGAAGTTCCACTGTTCCTTTCCCGTTCACAACATCCACTACCCCTACGTATCTCAGCACCTTCACATATTTCAACCTCGTCAGTTCACTAATAATACGGTTTCCCATTTTATTTTATTTTTTTCCAGATTTATTATATAGCAAAAATAATATTATTAATAAAGCAGCTAAAAAGTGCTTACTTCACCAGCAGCTTCAGCTTCCTGTCTTTGATTTGACCAGTCTTGATCATACTGAGGGAGCTGCTGCATAAACTCATCGGCTGAGATGCTATCCTGTAAGAAAGCACAAAAAAATTACATGAGAGATGAAGTGGCGTTTCAATTAATTGATCAAGTTTATACCGACCTTTAATTGATCTGGGACGAGACTCTTAACAGGGATATCTGACAATTCTAGCTTCAATCCACACTCTCTAGCAAGGATTATCACCTGTTGTTGTACCATGCAAATCATTTTATTTTACGAGTGCAAAGTTATCTCACAATATAATTACTATATAAGTTTGTGTGGTACCTTTCTAGCCACATCGGATCCAGACAAATCATCTCTTGGATCTGGTTCAGTGTAACCTGCATCTTTTGCCTCCTTAACCACATCACTAAATGTCCGTTCTCCCACAAAGTTGTTGAATATATAACTCAATGTCCCACTGCATGAGCACATTTTTAGGTGAAGTCAGTGAAATTATAGCTCTTTATATTTCCCTTCTGAGTGAATAGACGTGTAAATTGCCAAGAATTTTATAACAAATACTAACCTAAAAATGCCTTCGATTCGCATTATTTTATCCCCAGTTTCTAGGAGACCTTGCAAGGTGCTAATGATAGGTAAACCTGCTCCAACAGTTGCTTCGTAGAAGTAATGTGTATACGACTGTCGCTGAAGAGTCCTCAACTTCAAATACTGCGTTCATAAGAAATTAAAACAAGAAAGACCCAAGTTGTTAACAAAATTTATTAATTGTTAATGAAAAGATAATTCTTGGGCAAAAAGGCATTAAAAAAAAAAAAAGCAAACAACTTCACACCTACACGTATACAGAGATATTGAAGCAATTCAACAACGAGCACACAGCAAATTATATGACAGATATGCCAAGAGTTGTAAAAGATCATCTAGTTATCAATTATTGCAGATGTAGCAGAGATTATTTTAATACCTGCTCAAGTGGTCCTGAATTGGCTTTCTTATTTGGAGTGATGACATGGATCCCTCGACGCAACCAATCATAGTAGTGGCTTGCAACAAAAGAGTCTGCAGTGCAATCTACTATCACCGTATTTGGTATGAAATGATTCCCGTGCACATGTTGAACAAACTTCTGCATGTCCGCCTTTTCGCCTTGCTCTTTTTGGAGATCTCTCCATATCGATAAATCAATTCCCCTACAATAATCACATTATTTAAATATTTAAGGTTGTCTATCTAAACAGCCATATCTAACGGCATATGTACTTACATGTGACTCAGGACCATTGTACTTGATCCCGTAATTCCCATCACACGGAGATCAATGTTGAACTTTTCCTTGAGGGCTGCTGCCTGTTACGTGGATGTATTACATGATTCATATTAGTGTATGCAGAACCTATGATATTCATCAATTTTCCATACAAATTGAAGATCGTTCAATTATACCCCTAATAAGAGGAGATTGGTTTAGCTAAATATAGGTTTTAGGATATAAAGTATAGTATCTTCTATATCCAAGAAGACAATAAAAATCAAAGATAATGAGGTCTAAAGACACAAATGCTTATGCCAAAAGATTGAAGGATAAAATTATAATGAAAAAACCTGTTCGCTGAGCTGATCCAGCAATGTACGGCCAATCAATCCGGGACCAATAATACCCATTGCTATTGTTGTTCTCGATAGATAAAATCTAGAGTGCACAGCTCGTAATGCCTTTATGCAATCCTCTCGTTTGAGAACTACAGTGACATTATATTCGGAGCAGCCTTGAGCTATAGCACGAATATTGATATTAGCCTGTAAACGGGCATGGTTAAGAATCTGTCCATATGATTCACTCAAGCAGGTAAAAGGAGAAGTAGTCTGCATTTCTTTTTCCTTTTTTGTGGCCGAAGAGAAAAGGTGACAAGTTTTACTTAAGCGGTAAACTTTAAACAACTAAAGAGGGTAGACTTTAAACATTTGAGAGCAACCTTGGCTAGAGCATTGAAAAGCGTGGCACTAACTCCAGGGGTACTTGCCATTTTCTGCCCAACCGCCGCCAAAATGCTACAGTTGGGAATAACTGCAATCTGCAAAAGTTCCAACATAAGAAGAAACTAAATTGTAAAATCTAAAATAGGCATTACAAGTACAGAAACAACTGCAGGTATAATACTGTCATACGTTCATATGCCAAAAGCTAAACACTTGAACGTGATTTTTTTTCACAATGGCTCCTCGTATGGTAAACAAACTACCTGAGAAAGACGACCAGCATCCAAGGCCTGGCGGAATCTAACTTCTAAAGCTGCAGCCACAGCTTTTACTTCCTTTTCAGGTACAGCAAAACATACGGAATGCTCACTACTAGCCTGTGTTGAAGTAAATAAATGAGATCCTATATGAAATATTAAGTTATGCATGGACGAGAGATGCGAACAACCATACCTGTGATATCATAATTACATTCGCTCCAACATCCTTAACAGCAGCAAAAATGGCGCTAGCAGTACCAGGAACACCTGCCATTCCAGTTCTGTGGAAAATATTTTCAGTTCAGAGCTCAGTCCACAATTATCATAATTTTATGAATTTACAAGCCTACCCTTCAACATTAACAAGGGCCAAATTATCAATCGTTGCAAATCCTTTAACTGGAGAATCCAATCGCTGGCCATCTTCATTTTCAGAACCATCGGGTCTGCAGATCTTTGTTCCAGGAGCAGAGAGGTTGAAAATATTTCTTATAACAATTGGGATGTCATATTTCATGACTGGAATAATTGTTCGAGGATGCAACACATTTGCCCCAAAGTATGACTGCACAGAAACAAGTGATTGATGGTTCATACAGCGTCAGAACCTAATATTCTTTTTTTTTTTTTGAGTGAAGAACCTAATATTCATTAACATCAGACAGTAGTAAAAAGTATTACCATTTCCCATGCCTCCTGATACGACAATTTCTTCAATATCACAGCCTCGCTAACTGCAATTTTTTTTAAAGAAATGAGAATATTTTAAAATGACATGTCAAAAGCTAGAGAACTATTGTTGGAACGGATCGAACAAACCTTTTCTAGGGTCAGCACTATACACACCATCGACATCAGTCCAAATAGTGACTTGACGTGCTCTGAATAAAGCACCCATAATTGCAGCAGAAAAGTCACTCCCATCTCTCTTCAAAGTTGTGGGAATATTCTGTGGCGTAGTGGCAATGAATCCAGTTGCAACGATTATGTCCGATGAATTATTCGAGTACCACTTCTCAAGTCTTATGCCTGACTCCAAATAATCTGGATCGACTTGATTAGAACTTGTAGGATTTACGACAAGGACTTCTCTGGTGTCCATGCAAGCACATGCTAACCCACTCTGCAAGAACCAAGATTAAAATATTATTTAGAGATACAGAACTGGCAAACTTCACGAAATTCATATTAGCGAAAGTCACAATGATAAGAAGTCGCACCTTTCTAATAACAGCAGAGAGCAATTCAGCAGACCATAATTCGCCATGTCCAACCACAAAGTCGGAAAAAGATTCCGTTGCATGACCAGCTGTAATATATTCAATCAATTGATAAAGATTGACGAAAGGAATAGGCATTATCCATGCTTACACATATAAGAAGTACCTAAAATATACATACCAATAGATATTGCGCGTAACATTGCCTTAAGGTTACTAATGTCCTGACTCAATCGAGCTAAGAATATAGTCAGATCATCTCCCTCAAGAAGATCAATTGCTGTTGACTTGTGCTTCTCTAAAACAGCATCCAGTGCAACTACGTAAGAATCGTCTCGGGCTTGTGCCTTGTTTATGAGATCATACATCATATCTGTCACCTTCGACATTGCAGACACTACAACCAACTTTCTTTCTGACTCGTCCTTAACAACAATGTTTGCAACATTTTGTATTCTTTCAGAAGTTCCAACACAGGTGCCACCAAATTTATGAATGGACCATGTGTCGCCCTTCGGAAGTTGAGCTTCTCCCACTGATTCATCCAGCAAAAAATCTACAAATTTTGACATTCATTCAAAAAATTGAGATCATTATTACAAAAAAAACAATCTTGTCACTCTCATCAATTCTAGTTCGATATTTACGAGTGAAAAATGAGAAGAACCTGCAGTGGTAACTGAAGCAGATAGATTAAAATTTAGGGAATCCCTTCCTTGCAAGGGAGAACTGCAACCTATTCTGTGATAAGGAATAGCAAATGTATCATCCAGAGTTGGCAAAAGATGTATAATAAGAACATTAGAAACAAATAAGATAAAATCCATCGCTCAAATCCAAGAAATTTGTAGACGAAATTGCACATTTAGTTTTACAATAACCAAGTTTGAGTAATTGCATGCAATCCCAGACTCATATAAATGGAAGAACAAACCAGATACATAATCATACTAACAGTAGAGTTACCCAGACAGCTAAATCCAAATAAATGTTGATTAAAGTAAAATAAAAAACCCAATTCCTAATATAATCAAGCACAGAAACATAAGAAGAAAAAGGTTACCTGAAAATAGAAGGGCGTTGAAGGAGAGAAAGGGGGTGGATCTTGTTGTGCGTGGTTAAAATTTTCTTGGGTTTGGAAGAGAGATTGGGTAATGAATAAGATGGAGATATGGAAGAGGCGAACGCCATTGCTGCCGCCGCGTCCGAAGAGAGAGAAAGAGGAGAGAGAGAGAGAGAGAGAGTGTGTGTGTGTATGTGTGTGAGGGGGTTTTCTATTTGGCGGCTGATTAATAATGTATTGTTGATGAGTGATGATTGATTGAAGATTGGGAAAACAAGGAGTGCGTCTTCTTCACAAAATTATTAATTAATTAATTAATATATTTTGCATAAAATAAATTAATAAGAATATGTATATATAGATAGCAAAATCAGTGGGGGCATTCAAGTAATATAACTGAAATGGGGGGGCATGAATCGTTGCTAATTATGAAGCAAAATCATAGTTGAATAATAATGATTTGTCCATTTTGGGCATCCTTTGGTGCGGCCTAATGGCCATTTCTTGTCGTTTTGTGGCCCCACCTTTTTTCATTTTTTTTATTATTTTAATAATAGAAAAAATAATCTGAAATGCATCATCGCTCTTTAATTTCAAGGCCCAATTTTTGCTGTTCACACAAAAGGCCCAATAGAAATTTATTAATGTTGTCGTATTTCGCTATTATACAAAAACACGTTTATGATGATTTAGTAATTAAGGAAGTTTGCATTCAGGGAAATTAGATGATGATGAGTTGGAGTTGCAATAGTCGAATACGATGTGCCTCTTTTTGTATGTTTGGTATACCCTTTGTTGCTGTGGGTCCAGCTGCCACTTCTTCTTTGCATTCCAACTATACTTCAAAGACTCGCATTTTCTTGGATCCGATTCGGAATAATCACAGCCGTTGATTTCAAAACTACGGTAATTTGCGTAAAACGGCCCGCGTTTCCAGTCGACTGGTCCGACCCATTGGGTCTTGTTCCACACGCTTGCATGCACGTACATTGGTTGACTTGGATACCGTGCCCCGATTCCTTTTACGTTTTTCAACACCCTTATCGGTACTGTATCTATATAGAATCTGCATGCATATATGCCCCCCAAAAAACTAATTTTATTAATTAATAGGAAATTAATCAACATTGATAATTATTAATTAGTTGATAATAAGTGCATACACAATTTGGTGTTGATTCCATAGGAATTTGTAATCGTGAAAAGCGGAAGTCGGGTCAAACCAAAGACTGAATTGCTGCTCTCTGTTGCCGGAATCTTGTGCAAACACGTTGGTGCTTAATATGTAGCCTCCTTTTTTGCCCAGAAATTCGAAATCGAGCTCGTCGTGTTTGTTACTTCCATTCATAATATTATCATGTGCTGAAGTCAACTGATAAAAAATATATGGGATTATTTAAGAAAAATGAAGCATATAATTTTGACAGAAAAAATAAAAGATACAATTTATGATCATTTAATAATGGACAACGTAAAGGCTGAAATCCCCACGTAAAATGTAGTTATAATTCCATTCGCGTTTTTTGGAACCTTCAAGCTCATTTGAAAAAAGCCGGAGCCATATGATTGTTTTGATATAAAACCACCTCCTGCAACAAATATATGCAAAATAAATATTATTTTCAATATTTACTCAAAGTAAAATTTGATACATGAAATGTGTAGGTAAAATCATGCATGCAGGATCCGAAATAATAAATAAATGATTAATAATGAAAATATGTACGTATATATAATATAAAAGACCGCATCATGACCAGAGCTTTCGTCGATTTTGATCTGAACTTGTCGTCCTTGCTCTAAAATAGAAACATGATCGCCTCCCCAAAGAGGGGTGTACTTTGTATTGAATGGTAATTCCGCAGATTTGCTTGTGAAAAATTCACCAGCAATACACATAAATATGATACACAAGCTAATATACAGAGGACTAGTTGTCATTTTGTTACGAATAATTTTGTTGTAATTTGATGAATGAATAGAGAAAACGTGTACTAGTATTTATACTTGAGGAACTTTGATTATTGATATAATCTGCAATTTAATGTAATTAACTACCTTTGGTTCGTAGGAAAATTAGTGGATCGACTAAATATTTGCCTAAATTACTAATTGCATGTACATGCATTAAATATACATTTCCAAACATTATACAGCAAACAAGTGAAAATATTGTCTGATTAATGTGGATGATGACTACGTAAAATTAAAACACAATGTGTGTGCTTTTATATGGAATAAAACCAGTACAGTTGTTGTTTTGTTGAGTTAGATATGCAGTAAATAAATAAAAAATGAAAAGCTATTAATTTTGGATCAGCAGAAATTATGCGTACACTTATAAATAACATCCTCATAATCTCGTAATTAAGAATAAGATAAATTGGTTCACAAAAAAAAATATCTAGGACGTAAAAACACGATTTAAGAAGGAACTCGGCATTCTGGGAAATTTGATGATCTGTCGGACTTGCAATAGTCATATATGATGTACTTATTTCTGGTAGCTTGGTAAACCATTTGTTGGTGTGGGTCGAGTTGCCAGTTATTCTGTGCATTCCAAGGATATCGTAAGGAGTTGCATTTATTCGGATTGGAATTGGAGTAATCACAGCCGTTGATTGCAAACCCACGATAATTAGCGTAAAATGGTCCTGATCTCCAATTAACCGGTCCAAGCCATTGACTCCCGTTCCACAGGCTTGCATGTACGTACATCGGTGTACTTGGATATCTTGCCCCAATTGCTATCTCATTCTTAAACACCCTTATTGGTATTCTATCTATGTAGAATCTACCAAAAAAAAAAACATGATTAATTAGGTAAAAAATTAATTATAAGAAGAACATTGAATAAATTGAAATGGTAGAATACGCAATAATTACTTACACAATTTGGTGTTGATTCCATAGGATTTGGTAATTGTGAAATTGGGAAGAAGGATCAAACCAGAGATTGAACTGTTGCTCTCTGTTGCCTGAATCTTGTGCAAACACATTAGTGTTTAATACGTAGCGTCCTTTTTCGTTGAGAATAAACTCGAAATCGAGTTCGTCGTGATTGCTGTTACTTTCTCTCATTTGAATATTATCAGGTGTTGAAGTCAACTGAATAACATGCAGGGAAAAAAAGAAAAATCATGTATAATTGAATTAAAAAATGCTGAAAAAAGTATGATAATGTAAAGGGTGAAATTATATGCTGACGTAAAATGTAGTAGCAATTCCTTTAGCGTTTGATGGAATTTTGACGCTCATTTGGAAAAAGCCGGAGCCATATGGTTGTTTTGATCTGAATCCACCTCCTGTAACAAATGTATGATTAAAGTTAGATGAAATGTATATTAGTATTAAGAAAAAAAAAAATGGGAAATGAATTACCAGATCTTGGATCGATTTTAATCTGAACTTGTGTTCGTTGGTCGATAACAGAAACATGATCGCCTCCCCAGAGAGGCGTATAATGTGTATCGAATGGTAATTCCGCAGCTTTGCTAGTGAAGAAATGACACGTAAATATGGCACACAAGCTAATACACAGAGGACTGACCATTATATTAATTTTATGATGTATGAATATTAATTTTGTTGAAGAGAATGAATTTATTTATATTCGGCCTACAATTGATGCATAATGTTGTAATGAAGAAAATATTTGATAATGACAAGATCATAAAATATTGTGTGATAAATGTGGACGATTAATTACTACATTAAAACATATATACTGCTTTTATATGGAATATAAATAAAACAACAGCTGTACTGTTGAATCTGTAAACAAATTAAACATCATTCTTTTGAATTATCTTTCGTACCAGAAAATAAAAATAAAAATAAAAGAAAAAGATGTCCAAGGCAATTAAAAGAAAGATGGGCTTATTATGGGCCCAATTCGCTCTATTATTTATTTTATAAGGGCCCATATGGCCCAATCAAGTAGGTCGCTCTATTATTAATTATGAAATAAATAATTACAAAACTTATATTACTCCTATGATCCGATCATATATTACAAAACTTATAGTGGTATACAATATACATATATATTAGTGACCTATTCAATAATAAATAAATTAATTAATTAATTAGAGGTCTACTTGAAAGAAGTACTGATTAACCGTGTCAAACTATAGTAAATTAATTAGAGGACATTATTAATTTAAGTGTACATCAATAATCAATATTTGTAATAGTGATTTAGTAATAGAGTAGCACAAATGAATAGGGTTAGGTCTGATTGAAAGAATTAAGGTGAGATTTGGGGGTGAAGGTTTAGTTATGAATTGCCATTAATATCCTATCAACCACAACCTATTGGAATTTTCCCCTTTCCCCTTTAAGAAAGGAATCCATCTCTCTCTCTCTACTCTCTCTCTCTCTCTATACTCTCTGGCTGCTGTGTATTCACTTCTCAGTTGTCACGTTTCGTTTCGATTCCACTGAGTCGAAATCAGCCACAGAGCTCATATGGATATTATTGAGGCTAAAAATGACTTCCAGGATTGGGAACTCCTCCTATCCAACTCCGATTCTGAATCGGTCCCCGCTCCAGTTAGCTTCACCGAGTCCGCTAACTCGTTCGACGAAATTGATTCTGGTGGAGGCTTAATTCAGGTTAATTATTTCTCTTTAGAATCTCACAATCGTTACCTGGAGGACCCGGAGGATGATAAATCGGCTCTGTCCGATAATCCCAGTTGGATTGATCCCGGGTTGGAGGAGGATCCGACCCGGTACCTTCATAAGGAGTCCGGTGAATTTTGGTCTGATTCCGGCAGCGAGCGCTCCGAAGATCGCAAATTTAGTGACATGGGGTTTTCTCAAAACGAGAAAAATGAACAAACATTTGAAGGAGTTGCTGCTGAAATAATCGAGGACAAGGAGGGAAAGGCGGAGGAGGATTTGGGGAAGTTTAATCCGGGTTCAAGTGGAATTGAAGTGGATCCTGCTGAACTTAGTGACGGTGCGGAGAATTATCAAGCAGATGTGGATGGTAACGCGAATTTGCACGATGAGTCAGTGGTTTTAGGTGAAGAGAAAAATGGAGCTGAGATAATTGGAAGTGGAGACAAAGTTGTAAGCAAGAAAAGTGGTGAGATTGAAAAGAGGAGCTTAGTGTGGTGGAAGATGCCGATTGATTTTCTCAAGTATTGTGTGTTTAGAATGAGTCCTGTGTGGACAGTCTCTGTTGCAGCTGCTGTTATGGGGTTTCTGATTTTGGGCCGCAGGTTGTACAAGATGAAGAAGAAAACTAGGGGATTGGAGATTAAGGTTACTGTTGATGATAAGGTCAGTGCTTTCTTATCTAATTCATCTCACTGTTTGTTTGTGTGTCACTTTAGTGATCTTAGTCGATTTTGTTGAGCAAATATGTGGTGAAAGTGTAGAATATGCAGGAATATCCAGAGGATAACTGTCTGATTTAGCTAGGAAGAATTGACAGCTAAAATTATTATCATCTCTGTTTTTTGCTTACTTTTTCTTGAAATATGATTGTGTTTGTGGGATAAGCTTGTACTTAGTTTAATTAAGCGACGAGTATGGTTTTTATGACTTCATTTGTCTCCTAGCCATATGTGATTCTAGCTTTGAGATTTTCTTGTTTGTTGAATTGCGTGTATGTTGATACTAAATACTAATAGCTTTGGAAATTGTTCAGCAAGAAGACAGTAAAGTAAGTTTATCATTTTTCTTCTTTGTAGTAAACTCTTCTTAGTTGATCACATGCCATTGAAATATCGGAAGTGGCAGTTTAAAATCCTGGTTAACCAATGTCCATTTACACTGTAGCCTATTGTGTTCATAACAACTTTTCAAGAGACTCGATAACCTGGGAAGAATAACTGAGTTGTCTTATAATTGAGAACGGTCTATTTATGCATGTTTTCTTTGTATAAGTTTTCTTTTGTCCTCCATAGTTTGGATTTGTACAAAATCAGTTTCTTATCTGGAAGAAATTACACACCTCAGAAGAGTTCTTGGCGATTTATTGCATAAGCATGGTGGTTGATGCATCGAATTTTGTTATTGTCTGTTTTCTTGATGTATCAGCTTTTGCATTCATATGTGAGCATGTATAAGTTTACAAGACAAATCAATTTCTTGTCTGGAAGAAATTACTCAGAAGATCTCTAAGCTATTTAATGCACACACATGGTGGTTGATGCATTGATTACACTATTGTTGTCGATCTGATTTTCTTGATATATCCTCTTCAGCATATGGATTGAGGGCATATATGTTTAGTGTTAAATAAATCCATTGTTAATTCCTCGTGTAATTATGTTTGTCACCATTTGTAAATTTTAATTTGCAGAAGGTATCTCAGGTAATGAGCAGGGCTGCTCGTCTGAATGAAGCTTTCTCAGTTGTGAAAAGGGTGCCCATGATTCGGCCTTCATATCCTGCTCTTGGTTCGTCCAACAACTGGCCTGTAATGAGTCTTAGATGAGACCATCAATTGTTGTACACGAAGACAGGGGAGACTGTGCTTGTCAAGTTTAAGACTATATTATATGTGTAAATTTTGGTATTTTACTGTATAATCTATGTGTGTGTTTACTAGTTTCTTTGTGCCTTGTAACATTTGAAAGCTTCTGCTTCATTGGCTCTGTATCGAAAAGTCAAATATATTTATTTCAATTCTGCTGTTTGTCATTGGATTCGTTTTCCGGTGAATAAAATCATCATACTTTACCTGCTGAAATCTGCTTCTTCATCATGAAGTCATTAAACAAAGATGAAACATCTCGTACATGTGTTAAATAAATCACATACAAACCTCAAATTGAAAACCAGAAAGATGTGTAATACACAAATTCTTTGTTTGATTTCTCGGACTGGATATCTCATCAAACTTCATTAATCTGGGGACATACAAAAGTATTCGTAATATGCACGCATGATTGCGATAAATCATATAATACAAGTACATTCCACTAACATAAGCATGGACAGAGAGGATATCTAGCCACCACTAATAGGAGGTATAAGAGCTAATTCATCTCTATCTTTAACAACAGTAGACTCGGGAGTGTATTCCTCGTTTAGGGCAAGTACCATACAGTTACGGATCTCTTCAAGGCCTGGAAATTTTGTAATAACCTTATCTAGGCAACCGAGCGCAGTTGTACCCGGTGAAACTTCCAAGGACATATCTGTCATTCCAGTTAGATCTCTTGCTCGGGCAAAGAACAAAACCTTTATCTTTATAGAAATACGCTCCTCCTTTTCACTGTCCATTTTCTTAGATTGGCTGATCCTGCCAAAGTACCAACCATATATATGTTAGTTCTTAGGAAAAAAAAAACATTTTTACCGGACTATTACATAAGCAGTTAAAGTATAAGCAAATGAGATATTTAGACATTCAATTACTTTACAATGAGGACCAAGAAAATCAGAACAAAGGAACTGTAGGAATCAGTGTCTATGACAAGAATGTAAGAAGTTGCAGATTTATTTTCATAATAGTACTGCAACCATCAGCTAACATGATAAAGTCCACTAGTTCAAAATTCAAGATGAAACGAAAATAATGAACTTCTAAAAACACGCAGCACGTTTGTACTCTCCACTGCAATGATGAATGTGCCATGCAATTTCTTATATTACCAACAACCAAAAACAACTAAATTTAAGAACAAGAAGTCAAGAACTAACTAAACCTCTCTAATACCTTCTATCCGTTGGGCAAATAGTGTATATCGACGAACTTTGTAAACGAAACAAGACACTATTTTGCCGTAGAAATAAGGAAACATAACATGACATAGAGCCACAATGCTACAGAAACAAAGTTTCTAGTTTGTTTAGCTATTAATCATTTTTATTAATAGACCTTCACAATTCACAACTAGCTGTTATCTCCATAGAGAACTAATTTCAGTTCATAGAAATGCTCAGTCCCATCAATCCAATGTCTTTTAACCTCTTCCATATCATAATTAGGTATAATTATTTCACCACTAAGCTCCTAATAGTGGATACAAAAAAGATATTCTTGCAGAAAAACTAAAAATAAAAAAGCTACTAACTAGATGTTTAATGGGATGAATTGGATTATTACGTATTAATAGCACACGACACTCGATAATCGATTAAACAAATACAACATCTTGAAATAAAACAAAAGCTTACCGATTTGGAGTTTAATCTGGAAATGAAGCAAAATCTTGACAAAATACAATCAATCTTGACTTTTGCGGTTGGAAGCTTGGTGAGAGAGAGAGAGAAAGAGAGAATAGAGAGAGAGTGAGACGAGAGAGCTCAGTCAAGATTGGAGGAGAAAAAGAATCTGGGCTTTGGGCTATAAATCTTGGGCTTTTATTACAATTTGTTTTATATGTTATTGGGACTGGGCTGTAAATTCTGGGCTATATACAACATATTTTTCACTTACAATTTTGAGGCCCTTGAACTCGTAATAATTTAATTTTCACTTTATTTAATTTCCTACTAATTCTATACCGTAAGAAAAGTGAAGCAAATAAATTTGAAAAAATGAAAGTTGGTTGTAAGTAGATGAAATGATATGAATGTAATAATGGTTTTGAATAGCTTCACTGAAAGTAAATTTTAATCCACCGTAATAATCAAGAGGACTATCTTCTTGTACACAACATATATATAAATAAACATAATCCACAACAAGAAACAAAGCTCAAGTATACAATATTTTGGTCATGGGATTTTATTATTAACCCAAAAAACAAGAACGTTTTTTGGCAGTGGCAAACAGACAGATGATCGATCATCTTCAAGCTTTGCATTTCGGCAACGGCGAACCACAGAGACAGTCATTCGCAGCAAACGCACGAGCTGAGAACTTTGTTGGCGGCAATTGTCCGCACAAGTGATTGTAACTCACGTTCAACTCGGTCAGCCCAGAAACCGCCTTAGGCACCTTCCCAAACACCAGATTATGAGATAAATCCAAGTACTTCAAAGTCTTGGTTAATTTCATACTCTCCAAATTGAATTTCAATTTGTTACCAGAAGCATAGAATCCAACTAAATAATCAGTTCTGTTCAGCAACTTCACGGGACTTCCCGTTATTTCGTTCTCCGAAAGATCAATGTAGTCGTAGAAGTAAGTCTCTGTGGGCTTCCAATCATCTAATTTCATCTTGATTCCACATTTGGCTAGCTTCAGAGAGTATATGATCGGAGAGGTGGTAACCCACTGAGGAATGCTTACTAAATGGAAATTATTGTACGACAAATGGAGGGATTCGATGCCTTTGACGCGCATTTCTGGAAATGGATCCACTAGCTTGTTATGTGAGAGATCAAGATTGAAGATTTTTGTCAGATTTGCAAATGTTTTTGGAACTGTTCCTGAGAAATTGTTCCACGAGAGATCCAACGTGTCGAGGGCGTGAAATTTTCCGAGAAAATCAGGGATTTGGCCGGTCAGGGAATTATGCCCTAGCTCAAGATAGCCCAGTTTCGGTGCTAGTGCTGCAATGCTCACCGGAATTTTCCCTGTGAATTTATTGTAAGAAAGCTTAATACTTCTGAGTTCAGATAAACCCGAAAAGAAATCCGGTATTGCCCCGGACAATCGATTCCTCTCCAAGTGCAGTAGCGTCAGGTTCCTCACGAGGCGCTGAATGCTGAGAGGTATGGTGCCGGTGAGGAGGTTGCTGCCGAGTTTGAGCTGAATTAACCGAGTCAAATCGCCGATTGAACTAGGGATCGTTCCCGTGAACCGGTTCCCCTCCAGGCTTAGTGCTTCCAGTTGGACCAGCTTACCGATATTCGCGGGAATTGAACCGGAAAGGTTATTGTTTTCGATGTAAACGTACAAAAGTTTGGGCAGGCTAAAGATGAAATTGGGGAAAGGGCCGGACAAAAATTTAAGATCCTGGAAGTAAATTCCGTCCAAGTGGTGGAGTTTAGAGAGAGAAGGGGAGATTGTACCCGATAAGGTGGTGGTGAGATTGTTAGGTCGACCGGCGAGGGATAAAGATGTGACCCGGTGACCGGAGAGGCATGTGACGCCGTTCCATTTGCAGCAGTCTGTGCCCTGTATCCATGAGGATAGCATGCCGAATGGGTCGGCTCTGATACCCGACTTGAAACCCAATAACCCGGTTTCATCGTCCACGTGGCATATGGCCGCTGAGGAGGGTGCAGTGAGGAAACAGAGGACGAATATAGCGAGCAACTGGAATAGAGCTGAGGGAACAAAAGTTAGGGAGTACATAAGATCGGAGAGGTGGAACAATGGTGCTTATCTTGGTGCAGTGTCTCAATGTGTATATATATATATATCTAGAGAGAGAGAAAGAGGAGGAGAGAGAAAGAGTGTCCCACTATCAGATTTTGGAACTAGGACCCATACCTTTATTAATGGGTTATGAATTATGATGATAATGGATGGTAGGCAGACGGGCTTGACTAGTCAACTTTGGGCTGGATACCAATTACCAGAAGCCCAACTAAGTCTCCTCTTTTGACTATTAAATCAAAATATTGCAGTCTTAACCCCTCAAGTCTGGACTATTAGCAAATTGGTGAGGGGTAACTTTAGCAATAACAGCACATAAGGGGCTAAAGTTATATATTTTCATTTAATACTATTAAAACTGAACTTCCACCCCTACCAATTTCCGACGTGGCATTTACTTCTTTTCGATTTTTCCACGCCAAATAGAATAAACAAAATACGTACAGGTCTTTTCTCTTTCTTCAACAACTAGAGAGAGAGAGACAGACAGAGAGGGGTGAGATCTGGACTCCGATCATCTCAAAATTCCAATCTCTTCCTCCACCACCACTAACCACCACTTCCCGCCTCCGCAGCCGGCACCGACGCAATTATTTTAATCCCTCGATTAACTCGCAAAGCGGCTACCATGTCCATCAACATGAAGACCTTAACACAGGCCTTCGCTAAGGCATCGGCCGTCATCGAGAAGACCGTTCAAAACACCGTGCAGGAAGTAACTGGTTTGCCTAGAGCCATGCAGGACTACGAACTCTTCGATCAGATCGGCTCCGCAGGCCCCGGCCTTGCCTGGAAATTGTACTCAGCCAAGTCACGCGACGGCCACGTGCCTGCCGTCTACCCCACCGTGTGTGTTTGGGTGTTGGATAAGAAGGCATTATCAGAGTCACGGCAGCGGGCCGGGCTGTCCAAAGCCGCGGAGGATGCGTTTTTGGATGTAATTCGGGCAGACGCCGCTCGACTCGTGAGGCTGCGGCACCCTGGGGTGGTTCACGTTGTCCAGGCGCTGGATGAAAGTAAAAATGCCATGTCTATGGTCACAGAGCCGCTGTTTTCATCCGCGGCGAATACACTGGGGAATTTGGAGAATATTCCCAAAGTGCCCAAGGAGCTCAAAGGAATGGTATGGGCTTTCAATTTCAATTTAGGTTTTTGTGAAGTTGAAGGTTTAGTCCTTGGACAGTAGTTTTTGCTTGAATTTAGACCAATTAAATGTTCGGAGCTATATGAAATAGAACAAATTTAGTTCGGTGTATTTAGATTGATGCCATTGAGCTAACCATACTGGAGAAGAAACTTCAATGCAGAGGGCGGAAGACAATTGAAGTAAGATTGTGTTTTGTTGGCAAAAAAATTGGAGATCTTGAGAATTTTGTCATTTTTATTTATAGGACAGGCTGTAGTAAATTCCTATTACCACTAGTATTAGCAGAGGCATAACCACCTATTGCTGTCAACCAGAATGCTATAATTGGAGGGTTTGAATTCAGCTATTGGAATTCCTTTATGTAAATTGTGATCAATCATCTCATTAGTAAAGGATGTGGTTTTACTGGTGTTTGTATGCCTATGAGATTCTAAAGTTTCAATATAACATAAACCGGTGTAACTTATATTAGGAACGAGTCATTCCTGCCACCAGCGAAGTGAGAAGTTTTGTCATTGACTCGGAATGTGTAGAAGGATTTCTGATGCGTTCCACTAGCATAGTAGTATTAGCAATATCAAACTTCCTTGTACTCATCCGTTCTTATTGCCTATCTTGGTTTGGAAGTAAAAATTCAAGCATTCTTCTTGCTGCTTGATGGGAAGTTATCAATTCTGTTGGAGTTGGGTTACCATGTTATCTAATTTTGTGCTTTTCCCATTCCCACAAGAACTTGTGAATGATCTATCTATATTTTGCTGCAGGAAATGGGATTGTTGGAGGTGAAACATGGTCTGCTCCAGATTGCAGAGACATTGGACTTCCTTCACAATAATGCACGCCTTATCCACAGGGCTATATCACCTGAGGTTGTGATTTCTATTTTAAAGATATAGATTTGAGTAATGTTTATGCATTATGTTTTGTACTTCATTCTTACTTAATTCCCTTTTATTTTCGACAAATAGATTTTTCAACCTCTAAATTAGCCTTTTGATTTTGAGGAAAAATGTGTTGCACCATTTGTGTCTCCTGTCTATGTTTTTCTTTTTTTTTCCTGTCATTTTTCCTTCCATCTGGTAGAACTGAACTTCTCAGATCATGACGAGGAACTGTGAATTGCCTTGTACTTAATATATGTCTGAATTGAATGAGAAACAATTTTACATGGTTGCTGCCAAATGGACATCATGTTATTGAAACATATTCTATTCATAATATTATTTCTCATAGAGCTTGGCTCATCGAATGAGAATTAAAATGTTTATGTTTACTTGGTGGGGTTCTGTCTTAGAAGGCATGTTTTATTGTTTTACTGAAATGAACCATTTTTTCTGTGGCAGAGTGTCCTCCTTACTTCAAATGGAGCTTGGAAGCTTGGTGGTTTTGGTTTTGCAATTTCAACAGATCAGTCCTCAAATGATTCTGCCAGCATGCAGGCATTCCATTATGCTGTGAGTATTAGAATCGTTGAACTTGGTAAATATAAATGTGTTTATCTTAATTCTTCTTGAATTTGATTTTGTGCCTTCTCTAGATATATTCCACATTTTCTGATTTAGGTTGGTTTGTCCATGGAACCTATATTGTGATATATCATTCAGCTCCTTGTGAAAGAACGAAAGAAGAGCTAAATGCTGTTAATGAAAAGGACCATATAAATGTGATGTGCCTAATGTTAGGATTAGATCAGTGCCATGGAGAGTGGTTACTGTATTGTTACTTTGTAAAAGGGGCCAGTAAGTTGCAGGATCTCTGGATGGATTATGGAGAATACCTGCAAACAGAGTGTCTGCTTTGTCTTACTTGATATGACTTTCCATTAGTAGACAATTATTCCAGATTGTTCTGGGGCAATTTTTAGTGCTCTGTTACTAGGTGTTTATTCATTTTTCTTTCTGAGGCTATCTGGTTTTGCATAAACTCGAATGGTATGTAACATTATATTATGACCTGCTTAATCTAACAGGAATACGATGTAGAAGACTCTATACTGCCCTTGCAGCCATCAATAAACTACACCGCTCCTGAATTGGTTAGAAATAAAGCATCTTCAGTTGGATGTGCAGCAGATATTTTCAGTTTTGGGTGCCTTGCCTACCACTTGATAGCTCGGAAGCCTTTATTTGATTGCCACAACAATGTGAAAATGGTACACTTACATCTCCTTGTCGTGTTACTGAATGATTTTCTTGCATCTGATACTTGGAAATAGCTTACCATTGCTTATTATAGATTTGTTAAATTATATGATCCAGTATTCTGTGCTTTGCACTTTGATGTGTTTTAATTCTTATGGTCTATGTAACAGGCAAAATCATTTATATTTTGACTTGCTTGGACAGGAGCAAATATATTGTTTTTATCTATCTTAATTCTTAATTATATACACATCCATCTTTTGAGGTTTATTTTATGAATATAATGTTGCTATGCATCTCCTCTTTTGGTGTATAGTTAGGAAATTCCTCATTTGGTAAAGTTTATGTTTCTTGTATGTAAATAGATTTCTTGAATTTGTCTTACCTCTGATGACATTTTAAACCTCCATGTATTTTATAGGAAGTAATTAAAGAACTAGAAGAAAGAAATTAAGATGGATATTTGTCCTGACATAATTGTGTTGTTGTTTGGTTCTTATAAATTTTGTTTTTGATAAACATGTGTTTGTTTAGTGAATAATTGTTCTTGTTCGCTATTTTTTTGCAGTATATGAATAGTCTGACTTACCTGACGAGTGAGGTGTTTTCCACCATTCCGAGGGAGCTACTTCCAGATTTGCAGAGAATGCTTTCTGCAAACGACTCTTCGAGGCCAACAGCATTGGACTTTACAGGTTATGATTGGTCTCTTTTTGTTATAGCTCTATTCTTATCTTTTTTGCGATCACTGGATGTGTAAATTTTCTTTTGTGTGCATGTGCTAGTTGCTTAGGATTAACACTGGAATCACTAGTGTTAAAACAATCAGTCAGTCAGTAGTTTAATTTGGTTTCACGCTATCTGTTTTAGTGTGAGTTGGCAGCCTAGGCCAAAATTTTCAGTTGGCAGCTAAATATTTGACCTCATTTTAATGATTATTTTTTTTACCGAATATTTGTTTCCATTTGCAGGTTCATCTTTTTTTCGGGAGGATACTAGGTTGCGGGCTCTTCGTTTCCTGGATCATATGCTTGTATGCAATTTGTCTGTTAAACCAGTTTTGAATCTTTTAAATGTTTCTTCAGAAAGTCGCTTGATACACTATATTTAATATGATATCTGAACAAGCCTCTGATTGCTTCAGGAGAGAGATAACATGCAAAAATCTGAATTTCTAAAAGCATTATCAGACATGTGGAAAGATTTCGACCCCCGTGTTTTGCGGTATAAGGTTTGCATTTCGTCCTTTCTGTTGACAGTATTCAGTAGAGTCAATTTTCCTTATTTTATTGTCACTACTGATTTTCCAATGCTACTCGGTAATTGTTTAAGAAAAGATTTTGGAGATTAATTGATTTACACACTTGATCTTAATTGAGTGTATTCCATCATCAAATGTTGTGCTCCGTTATAGCCTACAATGTATCTCTTACATTAGGCACAACATGATGTCTTAAATAGGCTCTGATTTCTTTTACTGAAGTTGGTTATGCTGGTCGTGAGGGTGTAATGAATGGCTCAATATACTCTTTCCGATTATATATTTATATTGTGTTCGCATAGTTTTGGAAATTGAACTCAGATTTAACATTCTGCATACAGGTTCTCCCCCCACTTTGTGCAGAACTCAGAAATTTGGTAATGCAACCTATGATTCTGCCTATGGTTCTGACAATAGCGGAGTCCCAGGTACTATATGATTTCATAATTGAATTCTCAAGTTTGGCATGGTTATAATCTCTTGTTGAAATTGAAGTTGTTTTTGTGTTCGTACATTTTACATGATGGATAATGTGTGAGTTTCTTTGGGCCTATACCAATGTTTTATTTTTCTTCTGGAAATTGGAACAAAATTATATTGTGGGGCTATATCATTATGCTTATTGATATGCAGATGTTACAAATGATCTTAGATTAGAAAAAAAATGAGGTGCCAGATGCTTACAACTGGGTTCTTCATTTATGATACATGAAGAGGCTCTAAGGCAAATGTTGTAACATACTGATGAACTTGCCTGCTCTAGGATATGTGTTATTATTTACATGTCGATTTTAAAGACCTTTCCAAGACTACTATCAGGCTTATGCCTTCAAAATCTGCTGCAGGACAAAAATGATTTTGAACTATCAACCCTACCCGCTCTTGTTCCTGTCTTGACTACGGCTTCAGGAGAAACACTATTGCTACTTGTGAAGCATGCCGAGCTTATTATCAACAAGGTAATGGAATTATCTGTTAAACCCATTACTGCACATGATTACTGCCACACAATGCGTTTTTTTTTCTGTAAATTCATCTGGGTTAAGTGAACCCATTAGTTTCTCAGCATGTTGATGACTTACAGCTCGACGTCGACTGTTTTCATGGAATTGCGATGCTATTAGAAGAAGAATTATTCCTTTGAAAGCGCACATTAAAATTATCCATTAAAATCCAATCAAAATCAACCGTATAATAATCTAACAAAAGATAGTGTTAGATTAGAAATAAAAACTCAAGTTCATGCTGTTCATGAAATCTTAGAATGTACTCGACTTTTTTTCCGAACACTTGTTTTTTCTAAGTTGTATAGATCTGGCCTCTTTTTCAAGTTGAGAAAGAGACCATAATAGCACATAAAACAGGGGAAGATGTAGATTATCATTCTATCTTTTAAAAGCAAATATTAACATTAATGGTATTGTTTTCTTAATTTGAGGCTTATACGTATGGTGGGATCATATTTCTTGTATACCTGGCAGGCTAGTCAGGAACACCTTATTTCACATGTTCTTCCCATGCTTGTTCGGGCTTATGATGATACTGATGCTCGTTTGCAAGAGGAAGTTCTCAAAAAGACTATTACGCTTGCAAAAAAACTGGATGTTCAGGTGATTGCTAGTTGCATTCTTGTTGGTGTTTTTTTGGCTACTTAGAGATTTAAATATGTCATTTCTTTTTGCAGCTAGTCAAGCAACTTGTTTTGCCTCGTGTTCATGGTCTGGCACTTAAAACAACTGTTGCTGCGGTATGTGATCTTGCTGTTTTGAAAATTCCAACTATACGATGCATGTAAAAGTTGATTTTCTTGTGGAATCTGTGACATGATTGAAAACATTGTGAATCTTTTCGACTATTTTCTTCCTCTTACAAATAAATTGAGACATGTAGTAGGCTTGTGAACGATAGGATAATCAGTAATGCACCATCGTAGGTGGTGCTAGAGCTAATTCATCAATCTAAAAGGTAGTTTTTTCTTCTGTTGGCAGGTGAGAGTGAATTCTCTCTTGTGTTTTGGAGAGATGGTTCACATACTAGACAAGAGTGCCGTTTTAGAAATCTTGCAGACTATCCAACGATGTACTGCTGTTGATCATTCTGCTCCAACACTTGTGTGTACCCTTGGGGTTGCAAACTCAGTATTGAAACAGGTTTGTGATTTTTAAATTTTACCACTGTTGGCAGTAGCTCAAGAGCTCTGGATAATCATACTCACTCTTACCTTATCATGTCCATTTTTGTTCCTCTGTACCAGCATGGCATTGAATTTGTGGCGGAGCATGTTCTTCCACTACTCGTACCCCTTCTCATAACCCAACAGTTAAATGTTCAGCAGTTTGCGAAGTACATGCTTTTTGTCAAGGATGTATTAAGGTAGAACTACCATCTTTTGCACAATACTCCCCACGTCTCATTACATCGTAATTCAAATATTTTCAGGTTGTAGTTTCATTTGACATGTACAGCTATCAGGCTTGCATCATTACACCAATTTATATGTTCATGTATCTACGCTACATAATTTGATTTCCGGGTTTGATTACAGGAAAATAGAAGAAAAACGAGGAGTGACTTTGACCGATTCTGGACTTCCTGAGGTAAGAAGACCTTCACATGCAGCTGAGGGTCATACATCTGCACAAATAAATAAAACTGTTTCAACTGCTCCATCCGGTACAAGACGCAGTTCGTCATGGGACGAAGACTGGGTACCTGCAAGGGCAGCTCCAAAAGCCGTCCAGTCTTCAACTACAACATCAACCTCTCAGCCTGCACCCCCACCAAATCAGCCTGCTCAAGGCAACTCGAGATATTCCACACCCTCGGCCACATCTGTTGCCCCCAATCAACAACTGCCTTCTTCATGTCCTGCAGTTGATGTTGAATGGCCACCTCGATCTTCATCAACAGTTGCATCTCAATTTGGCGACTTCGAAACCCCAAACGGAAACAAAGGCGCATCAGATTCAACTTTAGATGATATAGATCCTTTTGCTAACTGGCCACCCCGGTCTAGTGGCCCCACAAGCGTCCCCAACAATGGCACTATTGCACCATCGATTAATAAATATGGGTTCAGTAATAATGCAACTACCACCAATGGTTTGAGCTCTCAATCTGCAGCGTGGGACTTTGGCACGCAAACTTCAAGCAAGTCCAAGAGCCAAAATCAAGGAATTAGTTCATCACCAAATGTTGGCGGTAGCATTGATGGACTCGGTTCTCAGAACTCTCTTGGGTATTTGAAGCCAAATGTTGGCATTTCGCCTCCTGGTTCTTCCACCGAGAAAGCAACAAATTTGGGAGCCATTTTTGCTCCTAGCAAGAATGAGCATGTTGCACTAAGGCTTGCTCCGCCTCCAACGAATGCTGTTGGTAGAGGAGTTCGAGGAAGAGGGAGGGGAAGTCCAGGCCAAACGAAATCCAAAACTGAGCAGCCCCAGCTAATGGACTTGCTGTAGTTGCTGGCGTTGCATATATATCTTGTTTTGTCTCTTTACAATATGTGTTAAAGGTACAGATCAAAGTCAGTAGAATAGCTATTTTTGTTGTTAACATCTGTTGTGGATGGGAGAAAAAAAGAAAGTTGGCATTTTTTGGTGCTTGGTGAGTTGTGTTGTTGCATAGCATATAATCTTGTTTGTAGCATAGTGTGGTATAGACTATTTTTTGTCTACCTTTTCTTTATTTGCTTATTAAATTTCATTCATTGTATTCTTAGAAACATGTAGAACCCTTTAAATGGGACAGGAAATAAAAATTTGAGGTGATATTGTCCATTCCAATCGCTCTATGTACAGTGTCAGAATCAAGTGTATTAATTTGCTTCCTTCAGTTAATTCCTTTACCTATAATTTGAGCCTTAAACAACAGTTGTTCAATGTGGTTAATGGTGTTAACCTGTTCTATTACTTCATTTGCTGTCAAATTTTATTGGTTGGAAATCGATGCATGGTTGACGAGTAAAAACAGTATAGATGCCAGTAAATGATGAAACGAGCTTACTTGTAGATTACTTGTTTTCTGTGCTCGCTGATTGCGTCATAGTACTTCAATTGTGTCGTAAAATGGCCTATTTCTTCGAACTTTTATGTGATAGTGAGTAATTTACAGTTTGTGGGAAGTTAATTAACTTTCTTGGATATGATTAAGATAGGAAAACCCACACTGGATATTATTCCAAACAAATAGCAGTAAAATGTAAGATGATGCTGAAGTTAGCTTTTCGAACTGGTTAATCGAGGTCTCTGATGTATCCTTTTAATAATTCTGGATGCCATTTTATTGGACAAAAAGTTGACAAGAAAATGATATTGAAAACAATACCAGTCATTATTAAACAGAAAAAGTTACAGTAGTTTTTCAGATTAACAAAACAAATTAACATTAACCATTGGAGTTTATCCAACTTATGACATATATAGTTATTACAAATTTCCCTTTGGAAATCATGCATAGATCAAGTTAAAAAAGCAGTTAATGAAGTCATATCCACCATGAATTGATATGAAGTATTATCATGGCCTGGTCATCTTGTGTTCAAGAGCTGTCATTTGGCGTGACTGCTGGCTAATTATGGAGCTTGTTGATAGATTCTCAGACAAGACAATCTCATACCCATCGGAATACGATTCCATTCCTTGAGCCACAATTTGCCAAACCAAGCCTCCTCCAATTCCCCCACCTCTTGCCAAACTGTATATATTACTGTAAATAGCATTGAGGAATGAATCTCTTGATGCTATGCTGAACCCTGGATCTTTGCTTGATCTTCCGAATTCAGTGAAAACCATTGGTTTCTTCAAAAGGGTACGAGAATCTGTCCAATGACTTGTCATCCATCTTCGCATGAATCCCATCTGAGCATCATCGTTCTGCCCTGATAGCCTGTATGTACGTAGTCCGAACCCAATTAGGACTAATTATAACATATATATGGCTTAATGAGAAATGATAAATTTTTTTTAGGGATAGTTAGTTAGTATATTTACCAGGCATCGGGGTACGCATGGATAGTTGAGAAATCAATCTCCTTGATGAGGTTGTTGCTGATGAAATCTGTGCCAACTTGATAACCTGGATTGTATTGTTTTCTGTCTGGAACCGAATCTCCGTAGAATCCTTCCATGCCAACTTCCAGCAGGTGTTTTTTGTCGATGGATTTCACGTGTGTGGCCATTTCTTGCACCCAAGCCTGTTATATATATAGGTTTATCAACAAGAAAGAAAGACAAAAAAGGGAGAATATATACATATATAAAAGAAGTTTATGGATTTACGTTGATGGTGTTGCCGGAGTAGTCTGCTTGGCAACGAGGTTCGTTAATGAGTTCCCAAGCCATAACTGTAGGATCATCTTTATAAGCAACTCCAGTAATTGTGTTGATCCTGGTTAGTACTTTCTGAACATGATTCTTGTAGTAACCCTTAACAGCTTGATTGGTGTAGAAATCATCATCACCAGCAGAGGTTAGTTGCACCCCAGCATTTCTTGCCCAGTTGACATACTGAGCTCTCCCACCAAAATCTTGATAATTGTTGCTCAAACTCATAATCAACCTAATCTTGTACTTTCTTGCCTCTGATACTACAAAATCAAGTGCCTGCATATATGCATGCATCATGCAACCACACCAAAAGTATAGTAATTAGGATTTACTACAACTAAAGAAATATGGGGAGATTAAATAAGGTTTAATATAATTAATTACCTGAAACACATTTTCATCGTAGACACCTGGAGAAATCTGGAGGGCTTGACTACCACCGTCGTTAAACGCCCATGTGCGGCAGACACTGAGACCAGCAGCTGCAGACTCACGAAGTACATTGGAAACTTTGTACCTTTGAGTTGGATCAGAAGCCACGTGCATCATCCAGTAAGCGTTGAATCCGTTAAAAAGAAACGGGGAGTTGTCTAACATGAACTGTGTTCCTCTAGTTTGAACAAAATCTGAAGCTAAAGTGGTTCTTGCCAGCAAGAAGAGAAAGAGTAAACCGCATGTGGTGCTAAAGCTTTTGACCAAGAAAGCCATATTGTATATATATTCTTGATCTTGATCAAACGGGGTTTACTAAATATATATGAGCAAGAAGAAGAATATCAAATCAGGATTGAGATGCGGGAAATGGAGGAGAGTTGGACGGTTATTTATAGGACGATGCATGATCAGGTACGTAGCTAGTACTGTGTGTTTCTTTGTGTTATGTGTTAATAATTAACGGAATATTGGGGCCGGGCTCAAGAAAATCTGGTAACAATTAATTAATTTAGCAGATCAGAGTGCAACAGGATCGGAAGAAATATATACATGCATGCATATGTGACATTGTTTTGAATTAATTAATATTAATGGGGGTGGAATGTGGATGATGAATCAGTTTATACAGTTAAAGTTGATGATCGATATGAGAAATTTAGGGATCCAACTAAAAATCCTTAGATCTGCCTGAAAATGAGTGCTGCTAATTATTAATTATAAATTATCTGGCAAATGGCTGATGGTTGCACTCCATGTGGTTAGTTTCTTTACATTAATATTATATATAATTAATTTATATATAATCAATCAATATAATATATATATTAATTCTTCATGAAACAAATATATAATACTAATTTGATATTAATTTATTTTGATGATTAGGCTATATGAAATAATAAAGTACGTACAAAATTAAACCGATACATACTGCCTGATGAAATGTGTGATTTATGTCTATCCATATATTCACTGATCTAACTCTCTTTATGCAAAATAAGATTTATTATGTCTACTAAAAAAACTGTTTTTATATTAATTATGATACATCAAATTAAGTAAAACAATATATATATATATATATATATATATATATATATATATATATATATATATATATATATATATATATATATATATATATATATATATATATATATATATATATATATATATATATATACATAAAGTAGAGTATTTATTTCTGACACAAAATATATATATAATATTGTATATATATATATATATATATATATATATATATATATATATATATATATATATATATATATATATATATATATATATATATATATATATATATATATATATATATATATATATATATATATATATATATATATAATATCGATCCAGAATTATTTACTAGGCACGCGAGAGATCGATGAAAGAAAAACAACTTGATTTGATTATTACGAATTACATAGAATAACAAGAAACGTACAGTTACAATAACACTTGGAACGAAATTAAATAAATGGAATATTTTTCTCCCATATCCCATTGTCAGCTACAAGTAATGAACCTTATTAAAAACAAGTACACTACTATCTATAGATCGAGACATCCATCTTATATCTATATATATCTTATTCTGAAAAATTAAAAATTAATTATGAATTTAAATCAAGGATTAATATTTTTTCCATGGAGATGACCAATATTTGATTTCCTCTGATGATGTCCTCTTCCATGACCATGCTTCGCATGATGATGATGATGTCCTCGTGTCACCATGACTCCATTCACATGAGCATGTGGACCATTATTATTAGCATTATTAATATTATGAGTTGAAAACAAATGAGACAAGGCATTCATGGCATGTGATTGCCTGGACATGATGCCTGCAGTTGAAGGGCTTTGAGATAAGACGATGTCGTAACCATCGTTGTATTCATCCATTCCTTGTGCCATCAGCTGCCACACCAAGCTTCCACTCATTGTACCTCCTGTTCTTGCAAATCTGTATATATCTCTGTATACATTCCCCATGTACAAGTCTCTCTCGTTCAAACTGAATCCCACATCTTTGCTTGACTTTCCAAATTCTGCAATTACTAATGGCTTCTTCAGCACTGTTCTTGCGTCGTTCCAATGATTCGCCATCCATCTCTCCATGAATCCCATTTGCTCATTCTCACTTTTACCCGATAACCTGATCATGGATGCAGTCAAATTAATTAATGACATCTATCTATTAATATATTGCATTTTCTAAATATAGTTATAAAGTAGTACTGTTGGAACTCAAAATAGTTGTTGTCGCCTTTTCGCAATTTCTTGCAAGCATTAATACATTTCAGCATCACATCCTTTTTTTTTTCTTTATTATTAATATTCCTTCTAACTGCCCACATGACCAACTAACTCAATAACTGCCCAATTCTTGGACAAGAAAAAGAGGTTCTATTATTAATTATTACTTTTGTGTTTTCCAAGTCATATATATATATATGATCAGTGATCACAGGAGCCAGTGAGAAGTTATTAGTTTCAGATTATATATAACTAAATATATTTTCATCTATATTTTTCATTTAATTAGGAAAATAATTTAATCATTAATATAGAATTACCAGATATCAGGGTAGGCGTGTATGGTAGCGAAATCGATGTCAGTGATAAGATTGTTGGAAATGAAATCAGTACCAACTTGGTAACCAGGATTGACTTGTTTCCTCTGAGGCATTGTGTCTCCATAAAACCCTTCCATTCCTATCTCAAGCAAATGCTTTCTATCCAGTGATTTCACGAATCTTGCCATTTCTTCAACCCAACCCTGCACATATACATATGTTTCAAACATAATTATTAATTAATTAATTAATTAAGACTAATCAAGGAATTAGTAATTAAATGGACATACGTTGACAGTTCTTCCAGAGTAATCAGCTTGGCAGCGGGGCTCGTTCATGAGTTCCCATGCCATGATGGTGGGGTCATCCTTGTAAAAAGTTCTAGTTATGGTGTTGAATCTTGTCACCACTCTCTGCACGCACCACATTATTTATTTAGTAAACGTATTAATACGGGTAACGTCATCGTCTATTATTAGCTAATAATTAATTTATATATATATATGCTCGATATCAAGAATATATATACCCTGATGTGGTTCTTGTAATAATCTTTGAGAAGTGGATGTGTATAGAAATCGTCATCAGTATTGATCTGTGCTCCTGCATTTCTACCCCATTTGGCATACTGTGGTCTGCCCCCAAAATCATTGTAGTTATTCACCAAACTCAATATCAACCGAATCCCATACTTTCTTGCTTCAGACACAACAAAATCCAGTCCCTGCATGCATGCATGCATCAGTTCATTAACTAACTACTTTTAATTAGCACAATCATATATATTAATTAAAAAAAACAATACCAAATATAGTATTATTTATTAATTCGTTGAAAAAAAAGAAGAAAAAACGGGGGATATATATTACCTGAAAGACACGTTCGTCGTAGGTTCCAGGGGAAATTTGGAGGGGGAGATCACCCCCATCGCTGAAAGCCCAAGTCCTGCAGACAGAGAGGCCGGCAGCAGAAGCTTCTCTGAAAACCTCGGAAACCTTGTACCTCTGGTTAGGGTCGGCAGCAACATGCATCATCCAATAAGAGTTGAAACCATTGAACAGAAATGGTGATCCGTGGAGAACAAAGTGGGACCCCCTTGTCCTGACAAAAGCTAGGTTTCTTGGAGAAGTAGCAGCAGCAGCAGCAGCAGCTTGGCAAGAAATAATTAGGGTTCCTAAGAAGATGAGCAGAAAAGAAACGACACTGAACCTCATTATTATATAATTTAAATTGCTGCTAAAAGAAAGAATGAGAATGAGAATCAGTATAAGAAATGGTGGTGGTGGTGGTGGTGATTTAGATGCATTGCATGGGTATTTATAATGATTTGGAAGCTTACTAAAAATAGAAAAATGTGCAGCGGGCCGGGAAAAGAGTAATTAGTTTTCGGTGGAAATTTCAATAATGATAATGGTGGGGTCACCGGCCACTTTATCTAATTCTGTTATGCATGGGGTATTTCTTTTTTATTTTGTTTTTCTTTCTTGATGATCAGGTAGTAAAGAAAAGAAACAAGTTATATATCTAGGGTTTCTTTCATATTATAGAGAGAAAAGGGAGGTTGGTTAGTTGAAAGTTGAAACAAATCATGCATGGGATTATTGCTGATGTCTTACACGTGCTTATCCATGTGCTTCCTTTTCTCATTTTTTGGGAACTTACATTGTATACTATATTATATTACTTGTACCAAAAATACTCATTTTTAGTAGTTATCAACATATATAATTCCCACCCGTATTTATCAAAAAAAAAAAAAAAAACCCCCCCGCCCCCATGTGATATTATCCATCACCAAAATTCTCAATAATTAATTCACATTAATATTTTTATTATTTTGTTAACAAAAAAATTATGGAGTGATCATAAATTACAGCCAACTATTCTCAATTGCTGTTTTGGTGGAGGATCGGAGTAATTGAATGGTGAATAAATGTGGAAGAATGAAACGTCAACCATATATGTATTCTCAAATCTCATCACCATATATTTCAAATTCAAATTTGAGTTGATATGGCTTATCAAAAAATAAATAAAAAAAATTGAATGAAATTGTAACGCTTCAACTAAAATTGTACCCCGCATACTTCAAAGTTTTCAATTTTTGGATTTGGTCCAAAGAGTGGGTTTCAATTGGATCTTAGATTATGGTAATTAAGATATATAATATATTAAATATAGCCCTATGTTGGGTCCTTTAATTGGACTTAACAAGAACTGGGCCTTGTACTATCTCATATCTGCAGCCGTCAACTCAAAAGTCAACGGCCCATTAATTTTTGGATTTTAGCTCGTAATTATTATTATTATTATTATTTTTTTATTTTTTGTCTATTTTCATATACTAGAGAAGATACTGCAGATGGGGAGCTAACAGTAAAAGAAACTGAAAAGAGGAAAATACATTAACCAAATGGGTCTATTATATGAAAATGTTAGCCAAAAGGAATTTAGAAGCTAAAATCACTTAACTTTCTGTGTGTGGTAAGTTTGCAACGGCGTAAATTGTACTCCCTATATTTTTATGGATAAAATAAAATAATAATATGTTAAAGTTAAGAAAATCAAAGATGAAATCCTTAAAGGCGTCATGAATTTGGAGGGTGAAGCAATGTTTGTATTACATTGGAGAAATAAATAAAAAATGTAGAGGGTAGAGAGAGAGAGAGAGAGAGAGAGAGAGAGAGAGAGAGAGAGAGAGAGAGAGAGAGAGAGAGAGAGAGAGAGAGAGAGAGAGAGAGAGAGAGAGAGAGACTGATCGAGTAAACAAGAAGTTGAAAATTAAAATGATACTATATAATAAATATAAAAGGATGGATGCATAATGCATTATATATATATTGCATGAAAAGACGTTATAAGACCTTGCTTGATGTATGTGTATGCATGGCTTCCTTCTATCTGCAGCCAATCGATGTTTAACAATACATATAGTACTCCACTTATTAGTACGTATCTCAAGATTAGTTTATCTCTTTCTCTAATATAATAATTATTAATACAACTGGCTGATCGATTACTTTGTGATATATATAGTCAAATAATTAATAATCGTGTAAAGCCTTCATTCTTGCATTTGGAATTGACTGCGCTGGTTTTCTTTTATAGTAATTAAGTTGTTGCTTCATAATTATAATTAATCCCATTCTCATTAATATTAATATTCAGTTTTCTTGTTGATTAACAATTGCATGCACATAATCTCAAGAATTAATTAATTAATAATATAATGGGAAATAAATATAATGGTCGTCGTTTCTACTTTCTAGAAAGATACGTACTATGAGATAGTGGAGGATCGGATCGGAAGGAGTTTAATTAAAGGCAAGCCGGTTATATACCAAGTATCTATATATAATGTTTAGAGTTCCATTCACTCTTCTTATACCACAAATCATTCAGCACACATGAACATATATCTCTCTCTGTTTAATTAGATAATAGTATATATACTCTCATATGAACACTAATCTTCGATTGTAGGACTTTTATTTTTTGTTAAAATTAACATTTACTAGTAATATATTACACCGTTTAGTATTTCATGAATATCATTAATATATAGATAAGTTGTGGCCCCGAGATGCCAAATTAAATTAAAAGATCACCACCACCATTAATTTCCAAATGAAAGAATTTATTATGACAATAACACAAGGACAGCAAAAGTAGTGCATGTATTCTCAATGCATGACGTAATAAATATAGCCTCTCTAGCTAATACGGTGAGTACGAACTAAATGTTGCCATGCATGCAGTTAATACTCTTCGATCTCAATAGTGGTGCATTATTAACATAAATTTCCCATGCAGTTACTTTAGATCCATTATATTATATTCAACAAGGAAAATCTAAAGTCTTGATCTTAATTATTAGTATGAAATAAAGGGGGGATTAAAAAAAATAAAAATATCTTAATTAGCGCAATCCAAGGCTTTCACATACAATATTAATCCCTTACAACTTACGAGAAAATTTGCATAATTCCGGTTCTTTAGTTAATTTAAGCTTTTCTATTTTGGGATGCACGAGGCAATATTTATGGTCGGCTATTACCCAACCACCACCACCACATTCTCACATCTTATTAATTTCTTTTTTATTTTTTAATAAGGACCAACAACTGCTAATCATCATTAATATTAAAAGTTCTTTTTAAAAGAAGGTGAACTGGTCAAATTAATGTACATTATACTTTTTGGGACATAATAATAATAATAAGAAGAACATTGCTAGTATGATGATTTAAACATTAATCAACAACACTTGATTTAAGCCTAAGTTTACGATTGTTGCATGCAATTACCCCGGGGCCGCCGGCGCGCGGATTTTAATTTAATTTAATTTGCACGCCTAATCGCCTATATATATATATAAATGCTGCATGTCGCTAATCAAGGCATCGATTGATCTAAGGATTTTTATATATGTATATAATATAAAGCTCCTTGTTAATTATGATCAGACCAACTCCTTCTCATCATATATCAGTCATCACCGAATAAAGATTATTATGGCATTTTGCAAGGGGTCCTTCTTTTTCATCTTCTTGCTCTGTTTCCTATTATTCCTCTGTAACTGCTCAATTAGTGTTTCAGCGGGCCCTAATTACAGAGATGCCCTTGCAAAATCACTTTTGTTCTTCCAAGGCCAGAGGTCCGGCAGGCTTCCTCCTGATCAGCAAATCACTTGGAGGGCCAACTCTGGACTCTCCGATGGTCAAATGGCCGGAGTGAGTATATATATATGTTTTCTTCCGATCCTTCATCAACTATATATCAATCTAATTTATGCATGCATGTCTACTAGCTAATTAATTAGAATAATTAATTGGATTTTGCTGCAGGTGGACTTAACCGGTGGTTACTATGACGCGGGAGACAACGTGAAGTTCAATTTACCAATGGCATTCACGACCACAATGCTGTCGTGGGGGGCAATCGAGTACGGCAAGAAATTAGGGCCTCAACTATCAAGCAACAGAGAGGCCATTCGCTGGGCGACGGATTACCTTCTCAAGTGCGCTCGTGCAACTCCGGGAAAGCTGTACGTAGGCGTTGGAGATCCGAACTCGGACCACAAATGCTGGGAGAGGCCTGAAGATATGGACACAGCCAGAAGTGTGTATTCCGTTTCCCCCAGCAATCCAGGGTCCGACGTGGCAGGGGAAACAGCGGCTGCATTGGCTGCTGCATCCATAGTTTTCAGGAAAGTGGATCCGAAATACTCGAAGCTTCTCATAAAAACAGCCAAAAGTGTGATGCAGTTTGCTATACAGTACAGCGGCGCGTACAGTGACTCTCTCGGTTCTACCGTCTGTCCATTTTATTGCTCCTATTCGGGTTACAAGGTATGTGTGTGTATATGTATGCATGTATGTTTTCATTAATTAACTATATATAGGAGTATGATGGTGTGTATGTATATAGGATGAGTTGTTATGGGGAGCAGCATGGCTATGGAGAGCAACAAATGAGGTTTATTACCTAAATTTCATAAAATCTTTGGGTGCAAATGATGGAACTGATATTTTCAGCTGGGACAACAAGTATGCCGGTGCTCGTCTTCTCCTAGCAAGGGTATTTATTTAATAGTACATCAATTAAAAAAACATTTGTTGATTATATATATATGCATGATCTCTGACAACATATATTAATACAGCGGAGTTTAGTGGACAATGACCAGACATTCCAGCCATTCAGACAACAAGCAGAAGAGTTTATGTGCAGAATATTGCCCAACTCCCCTTACTCTACTACACAATACACACCAGGTAATTATTATTAATGTTGATTGTTGATTGTGTTCTGTAAACATTACAATGCATTCATTTAATTTCTTCTTTTAAATAAATACATATATATAATGTAGGAGGTTTAATGTATAAGCTGAGTGGGAGCAATCTCCAATATGTGACATCCATAACATACTTGCTTACCACATACTCCAAATACATGGCAACCTCTAAACACACCTTCAACTGCGGGAATCTCTTTGTCACTTCAAACACTCTACGAACCCTAGCCAAGAAACAAGTAAGTAATTCCTTTCTTTCTTTCTTTCTTTCTTTCTTTTTTTATTATTATTACTATTTTTGTTCGTGAAAGATGATGGATGAATCTTTGTTAACGTACAATATAATTATATATATGATTGATGATTTGACGATTGATGCATGCAGGTGGACTATATATTGGGTGAAAATCCGATGAAAAAGTCGTACATGGTGGGATACGGAGCAAGTTATCCAAAGAGGATACACCACAGAGGATCTTCTCTCCCATCAAAAGAAAGATATATTGGATGTGAGGCTGGTTTTCAACCATATTACTACACAACTAATCCAAACCCTAATATATTGACCGGCGCCATTGTTGGAGGTCCTAACCAGAACGACTTCTTCCCTGATGAACGCGCTGACTACACTCACTCTGAGCCTGCTACATACATCAACGCTGCCATTGTTGGTCCATTGGCCTACTTTGCTGGGGCCCTTTGAATTTAATTAATTTATATCATCACTACTCATCATCATATAATTATTAATTAACTATATATATATATGTATCAGATATTACAAGTGTAAATAATATATGTGTCAGTTTCATCATTTCTATTTGATTATGGATTTTCATCAATTTAAGCAATTATTCTACCACACTGTTGTTACTAACTGGTATTTGATTGATTGGGCTGAAATATTTTTGTACTTTTATTAACTAAATATACAACATAAAGAAAAAGCCCAACAAAATAACAATCAATGGATAATGGGTCAATTCAACAACAATTTTCGCTCAGAGAGAATAGAGAAACAGAATTATAGTTAACAAGGTTTTTATCGAATCGGTAATTGAAAGATGAGGCCGATATTGATGAAAGGGCATGAGAGGCCACTTACTTTTCTCAAGTATAATAGAGACGGCGATCTGCTTTTCTCCTGCGCCAAGGACCACAATCCCACCCTCTGGTTCGCCGATAATGGCGAACGTCTCGGCACCTACCGTGGCCATAACGGCGCCGTTTGGTCCTGCGATATTTCCAGTATTTATTTCACCTTATTCCTTTCTTTTTTTTTTTTTTTTTTGGTTTTGGACCATTATTAGGAGACACTGAGACACACAAACTTGGGACGCGCAATAAATCGTTTGCTTTTCTCTGAATAATTATATCCGAGTTTGCAATTAGGTGAATAATTTCGGTTTCCATATTACTTCATTTGTTTGTCCCCGGAAAATAATGCAAGTTCAAAACTTTATATTGTTTTCTGTTTTTCTGTAAAATATAATGCATAGAGATGTAAGTTCTTACTTACTCAACCAAGACTTTGGGCAAACGGGATTTATTATTATTATTATTTTGTTTTTTGGGTGGAAATTGCTATCGTTTTTCTTTGATTCCTGTTACCAGATTAGCTATTTAGTTAAACATAATGTATGCATCAACATGCGACAATTGTTGCGCTTGGATTAGTTGATTCCTTATATCATATTGATAACTGTATCAAATTTGTTCTCATTGAAATAAGAATATCTCTTGGCTATTAATAATCTGTTCATGTCTTTATAACCAATTCATGGATCATTTTTTTTTTTTTTTACAGGGGATTCGACAACACTAATAACTGGAAGTGCAGACCAGACTGCAAAGATATGGGATGTGAAAACAGGAACTCCACTTTTTACATTTAATTTTGATTCACCAGCTAGGTCTGTTGATTTTGCTGTTGGTGATAAGCTTGTAGTCATAACTACAGATCCTTTCATGGGATTGTCCTCTGCTATTCACATTAAACACGTTGCTGCTGATCCAGATGACCGTGAGTCATTCATTCTCTATATTATAAGCATTTATGCCTGAACTATGTACTTCTACCTACAGCGATGCATGATAAGTGTACTATCTAGATTAAAATGCAGGGGATAAAATTCAGCAAATTATATTTAGCTGCTGTGATGATTGAAATTGGTTATGGGTACTGTACAAATTACTGTAGCATGTAGTTTTATATTGACAATGGCAATAATTGTTAGTCTTGCTTGTTTATTTTCCATTAGATTATGTCCGCAAATCTTTTTGTTGGTTAGCTTGCTAAACTATTTTGGTCTGGCATTGCAGAAACTGGTGAATCAGTTCTCGTTCTTAAAGGACCACAGGGAAGAATTAACAGAGCAGTTTGGGGACCACTGAACAAGACAATCATAAGTGCTGGTGAAGATTCAGTAATTCGTATCTGGGATTCTGAGGTTAGTCCTTCTATTATAGTTGGGGGTAAATTGCAGTGATGTGGTTTGTGATGAAAGCCAAACATGATGCAGAACATATAGCAAGGCCTTTTAAAATTTTCTTAAAACTTATTTATTCATGATTGTTCGCTGAATAATTTAATGTCATTTTTCAAATGGCAGACTGGGAAGTTATTGAAAGAGTCGGACAAGGAGGATGGCCACAAAAAACCTATCACATCACTTTCAAAAGCGACAGATGGTTCACATTTTCTGACTGGTTCGTTGGATAAATCTGCCAAGGTAGTTCCACTTTTCTTAGCATCTCATAATAGATATCCATGTTTGTAATTCTTGCTATCAATTTGCATCGACTGATTTGTCCTCATTTATCAGCTTTGGGATTCAAGGACATTGACACTTATGAAGACATACGTGACAGAACGTCCAGTAAATGCAGTTGCCATGTCTCCACTTCTTGATCATGTAAGTAGCACACAAAGAATATCACAGCATGTGTAGTTATTGAGTAACAATTTCCTTAAAATAGATGGTTGTTGTTGATTTTGTGGCTTGATGGCATTCATAGGTTGTTCTTGGAGGTGGTCAAGATGCATCATCTGTCACCACCACTGATCATCGTGCTGGAAAGTTTGAGGCAAAATTCTATGACAAGGTAGAATTATGTCTTGATAAATTTAGAATAAATATGTTATAAATGAAGTTAAGGCTGCTATTTGATCATGTTTTGTGATTGTCCTTGTGTATAGATCCTTACAGAAGAAATAGGAGGTGTGAAAGGCCATTTTGGACCAATAAACGCCTTGGCATTTAATCCCGATGGAAGAAGGTGAGAATTTTTCACTGTGCATTTACATTTAAACGACCCTTCAGACGAGAATGTGAGTGTATGATATGTTTCAAGCTAATCTGTTTAACTCAATCTCATCTATGTTTATAGTTTCTCAAGCGGAGGTGAAGACGGATATGTGAGGTTGCACCATTTTGATCAAGATTACTTTAATATCAAGATTTAAAGATGATGCATTCGGGTTTTGTTAGTTTTATGATGAAATTTTGGAAGATTGGGGTCATGATATTTCTGTTGGAGCCAAAAAAATGTACAAGATTTCACTCGGCATATATTTCATTCTCAATCTGGAGTTCTATTTATTTATTTATTTATTTCGATGAAGTTCACACCATGCATTGGGCTGCAGGCCCTTAAACACTCAGCGTACAGGGCGATGGAGGTTTTTCCAGTTCCATGTATTCGTCCTGAACGGCCTGTGATTGAGTGATAGATCAATTAGGTTCCCATTTGCTAAACTACAGTATCAAATATTAGTAAAGACATCTCCGATTCCGGACATATTATATTTTTCGACCAAAATTTATAATTTCTACCATCATTATTTTATGAAAATAACAAGTTTAAACCTGTTGTAGAATCTATCCAAGTTTATAAAAATATTCACAGCAGTTTGTGAATTCTGTATTATGTGTATTTATACACGAATTACTGCGAGGATTAAAAATTCCAATTAACGAATCACAGCAGTTTAATTTTTGAAGGATAAAAGTAGGAAGGTGCAATGCAAGTAGAAAATAGTGAATCACAAGTTAATGAAGGTGTGGTCATGTCAAGTAAATGAACCAACTGCTAAACACAACAATAATCAACCTTACCTCGTTCATGTATGACAATTAATCATTATAAATAGGCAGCAGCCACATATCCTCCAAATCATTCAACTAAGGCCAGAGCAAGTTTTTATCTGTGCAGAAAAAAAGAAAATAATGGAGATGAAAAGAATGGAAATAGTTTTGGGGTTGATGCTGGTTATGACAATGCTCGGTGTGCGTTTGACAACTGCTCACTTGCCACCTGGCATCTGCATTGATCATTGTCTGAAAGAATGCAAGAGCAGTGGTGTGGGTGTTGCAGTATGCGTCAAGTACTGTCCCGTTCATTGTCTTCCCCCCGATGCTTCCACCAAAGAGCACTACTGTAATCTTGGATGTATGCTCGACCAATGCGCCAAGTTCACCAGTGGTAAAATCACTTTTTATACTTTTCCTTTTCCATTTCTGTTTCCCAACTTTCAAGAATCATCACTTCAACTTTATTTTTTCTCTTCTTTTTGCAGATGAGAAGAAGATGAATGACTGTGTATCCAAATGCCGCAAATACAACTGCAAAATCAATGGCTAAACGAATAGCTGTCGGTTTAGAGCAGGCCCGCATAACTTTTCATGTCCTTCGCCTTGTTTTAGTTTCTCTTTCTGTTTCCATTCTTCATGAATGTTTTGTTGCGTAATAAGTGTGGCCTTAATAAAGGTTCTTCTTGGTCCATCCATGGCCAAATGAATGTATTTCTGTTATTTCCTTTGTAGACCGTAAGAAATTAAACCATGGTTTTGTGTGTTGACACACAGACACATACTTCTTCTGCACTGTTTGTTCAAGCAAACTAGACTTTAGTTAGGATCACCAGTAGTCATTGCAAGAGCAGACTCCATCCTTAAAATGATGAAACCGGTTAGAATCTCTTACAACAATTACCTTCTCAACAAGTTTTGACGCTAATCTCATGAAGTTATGACAGTCCAAACAAATACGTATGTTCTTGATTATTTTAATAACACCACCGTCAACACCACAATTACCGGCACTCATCAAAGAGAAAACCAACGCCAGCTTCTCACTGTGGTGGTACAGTTGCTCCTCCTTCTGCTCTTCTTCTACATCAAACAATACTAAACTTGTATCTGGAACATATCCCATTTTCTTCAATTGACTCAATAGCTCCTTCATATGAGCGCGTATTGCTTTTACTTGTGGGTGGCGATGGCCCCCAGAAGCAAACTCGTGCACTCTGTGGCCAACTTCCGTCCAGCTCAGACCTGGTTCCTTTTTAACACCAACTCTATTCATCTTCGTTCTTATAGAACCTCCTTCGTCGAAGCTATTAACTGAGCAGTAAATATTTGAGATCATTACATATCCTAGTGAATTTTCTGGGTCCAATTCCTTTAACTTTGATGATGCTAAGCTGGCTGCCTTTGTTTCGCCATGTTTCCTACACGCTCCAAGAAAAGCACTCCAAATAACATAATCTGGTTCCATAGGCATTTTCCTTATGATGTTTTCAGCCTCTGTAAGAAGTCCAGCTCGCCCTAGAATATCAACCATACAAGCGTAGTGATCGAGTTGAGGAACTATGCCATATTTTTCGTACATTGTGTCAAATATCTTGGTTCCTTCCTCCACCATTCCAGCATGGCTGCAAGACGAGAGAAGCGCCACAAAAGTGGTTTCGTCAGGCACAACATCCATTTGTTTGAAGAAACTCAACGCTGCTTCTGCTTTCCCATGCACTGCATAAGCCTTTAGCATTGAGTTCCAAGAGACAATATCCCTCAGCGACATTTCGTAGAATATTCGCTTGGCCTTATCTATTGAACCACACCTAGCATAGGCATGAATTAAAGAGTTATCCAGATCTAGAAGATTAGCAAAACCTGCTACAATCACTCGGCAATGCACTGCTGAGGTGGTCGCTTCTGTCACCAGATTCGCACAAGCTTTCAGTAATACAGAGAATACATAACAATCTGGACATAAATCCTCCTTACGCATCTGATTGAAAAGAATGAGAGCCTGTTCAGGCTCCCTCTCGGCAGACACTGTCATAATTCCAGTCCACAGGACAAGGTCTCGATCCAAGCCATTTGTCTCGAAGAACAGTTTGTGACAAGCACCAATCTCTGCAGCGAGAACAGAATAACCTTTTATCAGGGCAGTTGCCACCCCAACATCGAGTGCCAAACCCGTCTTAATGCCACAAGAATGCAATTGCAAACAACACAAAAGCCCCCCCACAACTTTATCACTGCCTTGATTAGGTCCGCATAGTGAAGAAACTAAAGATAGGAGTGTAGTACGATCAAACACGATGCCATCACGAAGCATTCTTATAAACAATGTCATTGCTTTATCACCTTGTTCCTGCATTCCAAGCCCTGCAATCATGGAATTATAAGTAACAAGATTCCGAAATTCCATTGCATCAAACAGCCTCCAAGCATCCCGACTGGGGTTGCAACTATTCTTCCAGTACATTGCCATCAGAGCGTTGGCAACGTATATCCAAGCATCAAAACCGGTTCTCAGAGCCAGCCCGTGAACTTGCAGGCCACGCCAGTAATCACAGACAGAAAGAAGGCTGGCATAAGCAAAATCATTGGGTTTATAATGGGAGAGCATCTGAGAGAACAAGCGGAAACATTGTTCTGACTTCCTGTGCTGAGCATAACCCGAAACAAGTATTGTCCAAGAAACAATATTTCTGTGAGGCATTTGAGCAAACAATTGGTGGGCAAGGTCTAATTGGCCACGTTTGGCATGCAAGTTGATGAGATGGTTGGCGGAGTAGAGGTCTGGTGGTGGTGTTAGGTTTGTCGTAATATCGGTGTGCATGAAGCGGGCGAGCGTTTGGATTAGGTGGTTTAAGTTTAGAGTGATAAGATGGAGGTAACATTGTTTTGGAGCAACCGATGTTAGAGCAATTCTCATCTTGTTAAAATTTAAGACCCGCTTCTGTTTTGTACTGCTCGTTATTATATATAACTGACATCGTTTATACTTGTTGAGTTTAATATATGTACTTTTGCTTCTTTGTTTTCCATTTTTTTTAATATATCTTTTATTGCTTACAGTTCGAACTAAATTTTTTCAAAGCCCTACTCTGATTAAATTATGAATAAAAAAGAGACAAATTTGGGAAAGTGGAAATTAAAAGCTATGCGTTGCTCATTCATAATCATCTTTATAAAAACAAAAATCTCTTCCAATTTGTAAACATTATCTTTATTACAGTGGCGTTTGAAACTAAATGCAATTAAAAAATTAAAGGAATAGATGAGGGAAAAAAAAATACACCTTTTAGAAAAGTGTAGAATATCTATATGATTTCAAGAACTAATAAATATTTTTTAGTAAAATTTTAATTTTGATGTATTTCCAAAAGTACTTGGAGACGGATATTCCACCAACTCAAGAGTTATGCTTCGGTTGATGAAATCTGGTTCGGGTGGTGTTGAAGATGATCACTTGGTGAACTTCACTGGGTAATTGTGCTCCACATATCTACACACAATCACATAAACATACATGTGAGCGTGTGCAAAATGGGTAGTCATTTATAAACATATTTATACGGCGAGTTCTTACCCGTTGAAGTTCACCAAGTGTAGCATCTAATAATCCAATTGGAGTGCTGTATATTATTGGGAAAATAATAATTGACATGCAAAACCATATCTCATCATCCAGTTGAGCATCAAGTGATTTCTCCTTCTTCAACATCTACATGCGTATGTAATATGCATGTATCATTACTTCTGTTCTCCAACATGATTTGAGTTCTACGCATACCAAATAATCCCATGCTCGATAAGAAGTAAAAAAAAAAATAAAAAAAATCGCTGAGCATCTCATGATTAATCATACATAATGGTAGTAAAACCAATGATTTGAAGCGCTCTTGAAAGTTCTTTTGTGAGCACTATGATGTCACAGTAAGAAATGCCTGGTGTTACTTTTGAACTCTGAATGATACAAACCGTAAATACACATACATCGGCAGCAACTCAGTCTTTTAAGCAACCAAAGACGGAACAAAATCTTGGTTTAGAACGCTCATAGACTCATAGTTCAGCATGTGGATTCATAGATCACTTAACACAAAAACATCAATTCAGTCAAGACAACAGACAGAAGGAATTTAGTGTGATCTGATTAACCAAAAAGCGCAAAATAATAACAATACATTCCAACACAAACACATTTTTAAACAAATAGAAACAGAGAGCTAACTGCCTCGAACACGAACAACATCAGACAAAAGCAACCTATATAGCTTAGCAGTCTAAGGTATTAGTACTACATCAAATGCTACAACACTTCATACAAGATGGATCCGACTATTGGGGTTTGTACCTAGTCTCTACCCAATAATCAGTAAGAAGAATTATAATGCATTGATTTACGCGTCTCATAACGACTCGAGCTACTGCGACTAACACTATCCAATACTGCCCCAAATACTCTTCCACTGTAATTTTTGTAATCGGTGCTTTTGTTGTATGATCTATACCCATTAGATTGGTGCACAGATATATCAGAAGGAACTGGCAGTGAATTAAAAGAAAAAGAAAATTGTCAACCACAAGGAAAAAGGAAAACAGAATCAAAGAAACAAAAGATAATAAATTTAAGTTTCATCACCCAAAAACAAATCACTGTATTAGAAAAGCAATGCATTAGTACCTTGTACGTGATTTATTTTCTGCTCTGAGAACCGGCAAGACTCTGATGACCTTGAAGATTGTGAGGAAATTTCTGTATTGTTGTATGAAGAATGGTGTGACCTTGGTTTGATAGAAGAACTAGCTGCAGGTGTGGTTGCAATGGGCAAACTCACAGCGGATTTGTCTTGGCCAGAGATCTGTTAAATTGATTTTGTTAGTTAAACAACAAAGAACGAGGCTCATAAATAGATTTTCACTCCTCAATATGAGTTCAATTAGCTCGCCCACAACCATTAGCAGGATAACAACTGGATAATATAATGTGGTCTCTTCAAAGAAAAGACAATGGTGTTCCCACAAGCTCTCCTTACAGAAGCGAGGGAATCGACCATGCCAGATCTCCATACAGGGGGCTGAACAATTGATGCTCATCGAGGGGGCAAAAACTAATCAACATAAAAGGAAATTTCAGTCTTATCCGAATTAGGCTTATCAATAGTGTGGTTGGCGAATGACTTACTGCAAATTTCAGCGTTCTTTTGTAGAGTGTTACGAGTCCAGAGAAAAGTTTGACAGCATACTCAGCTACCTCTTCCGATTCGTATTGGGCAAAAGCATAACCTTTAGGCTTATCAGTCTCCTTGTCCCGGGGGATATATAAATCAACAAGAGGACCTGCTTGAATGAGAATGTCATACAGCACCTTGTCACTCACTCTTTCGTCCAGGCTTCCTGCAAAAGGAAATTCGAGTCGAAGTTAATAATTACACAACTTTCAACAGAAATTCCTGTTTATACTAAATTGGAATAACAGTATCATCAGAATCTAAACCAAACATTACTATAATTGCAATTATTATATTTGATTTTTTTACATGGAATTCACATCTCCTATTTACTTGGAGTATTAAAAGGAAATTTGATGTTTAAGTCAAGTACAAGAAGCATCACAATTTTATGGAAACAGAACTACACATTGAAATTGTTTTATTTATTTATTATTTTACTGGAAAAAGGGCAAATTAGCCAAGCAGAAGGACTTGCAGGAAACTCTTTACAACGGCATGCTTGAAGAAAAACCAACTAAACAAGTTAGAATATACCAAATTAGAGGTGCTTCAGTATACTATACAACATAACATTGAAGCTTTGAGGAATATCTTACAAAACTATCCCTAAATAAAAGATAGAACATATAAAAAAAATCAAAACAGAAACCAAACAAGGTTCAAAATCGTGAAAGAGAAGAGATCCTCCATTGAAGCCCAAAAGACAATCGTTCTAGAGCACCAAATAATAGGACCAATAAAAGCAACTGAGATTTAGAATAAAAGAAAAACCAAATAAATTACTATAAAAGGAACCAAAAGAGAGAGAGAGAGAGAGAGAGAGAGAGAGAGAGAGAGAGAGAGAGGAGAAGGGACATACCTATATAAATAGTAGAATTAGATTTCTCCGCCATGATTAAAACAGATGAATAAGGAATGAGCTCGGAATCGAAGCTTAGGATGATTGTTATGGTTGAGATGAGAAGTAGAATAAATATATATAGAGAAACGGTAAACAGAGGTAAAGTAGAATTAGGGAGGCTCAGAAAAGTCAACCAAACAAAGGCAATTTGAGTTTGGGTTTGTTTCCATATATTTTTATACAATGGGCTTTATTTTTATTTACTTATTTATAGGCCCAACAGGTACTAAAATAATAAGCCCAAATTCATTGTGTATCCAGCTCATCACATCATGTCATTCTATTATTAATTATTATTACTATTTATTAAAAGAAAAGGAAAAATAACAAGTACTGACGCCGACATCACCACAGTAATACTCAGTATCCAATCAAATTCTTCCACGTTTTCAATGCTACGTCATCCCCTCATTATTTTTTGTTTTATGATATTTATTTTCTTCACTGTCCCAGGAGGTAATATTAGTAATTAGACACGCAGTGAACTTCTTCTCTCTTGGGGTTTACCGTTTACCTTAACTCCAATCTCCCTCTTATTCTTCGTGTTTGAACAGTAACGGAAAAAATATCCGCTATATTTTACTGTTTAGTGCGGTGAAATTTGTATTTGTTTTTCAAATTCATTTCTTATAAAGAACCCCCATCCATCATTTGCCGTTTAAATATTCATTCCATAAGAAAGAGAAAGAGAGGGCGGACATTCGGCCGACGCCAGCCCCTCCACAAAGCCGTTACGATAGGTCATTGATAAAATAAGGATCACCCCCATTTTTCTTATTTCAATACTATAATTGACAGATTGCATGTGAGGATCGGCTGATACCAAGGCTTTGGGTTTACCAGATTGATTACGATTCCCAGTACTGTTTACAATTTCAAGACTTGCTTTTTCGAACAAGGAATTCAGGTAATTCGGCTCTTTTCTTGCTTCTTTTTTTTTTTTCTTTCTTGAATCGATTTTTCCCTGATTGCTTGTCTGGATCTCTGAATTGGAGCCTTCCTCTTTCCTGGTCAATTCAATCAGGATTCCTATTTCCTCAAATTCTTTCTTTTATAACGAGGAGGTGGGATTCAATTTGATATGACTTGTTTGGATTGCGGTGTACAAAACCTCTCCATCAGTTCTTGGTGCAAGTTTTCCTTATTCATAAAGTGTGCTTTTTATACTTTACGTCACTGCTAAGATAGTTTTTCAGTTGTCTACTTGAATTAACCATTGCTTTATGTCCACTTTTCCATGTTTGTAAGCTTTGATCGGATGCAAATCACATAACTTCTTTTTTCTTATGATTTCTATCTCAAGGTCTATGCTTTTTCCTTTGATTTGACTGCTGGTTTATGCATTCTCGTTTTCATACATTATATATTCATTCTCAAATTAGAGGCTTTGAACAAACGAGGTTTTTGAGTTGAGATATATGCTGCTTGTTGCTTTTTGGTCTGTTTATCGTTTTTAAATTGATAAAATTATGAAAAACTCTGTTTCTTTTTTCCAGTCTTAGTGATTTATTAGGCGTGTTAGATGAACGCCAAATGATTATGTTTTTCTGTAGAGTTTAATGCATATGTGACTTTTGTAAATTAAACGAATCTATCCTTCGATTCTGAATGTTTTGCGCCGGTGGAATAAGTTTAGCCTCTTCATTTTCCAGGTTGGGATACTTCTGTTGTTTCAAGTCAGTAGAGCTGTTCAGTTATTATCAGCAGCAAGTGGGATTGATGTGCAATGCAGAGATCGCGCAGAGCTCTTCAACAAAGAAGAGCTTTGGAGGATGCGGTTTGTGGTAGGAATCGATTGTATAAGGTCTCTCTTTCTGTAGTTGTTGTTCTATGGGGGCTTGTCTTCCTCTTAAATACATGGATTGGCCATGGCCATGGTCAAAAAGGTCAGTTTGAAACCTATCACCTCTTAAGTTGCTGATTTTAATGAAAATTGATTATTCTGAACTTTGCCTCCTTGTTCATCGATGTAGAGGTACCTGAAGAATATTCTGTCAAAACAACAAGGTCGGATGAAGATAAAGTGGCTTCAAACTCCGTACCATCTGTGGACAGACTATCAAATGGAATTGTGTCAGCACATTCTCACGAAGAGACATCCTTACGTGTTTGTGAAACAGATACAATTAGTAAGAGCGAGTCGTCTTTTAGGTTGGCTGAGGAAGCTACCGTAAAGAGAAACTTACCTGCAAACATTGAAAAGGTAAAGCCGAACATGGACAGGCTGTCGCGTGGAGTGCCTGTGGGTCTTGATGAATTCAAGCACAAAGCATATACTTCCACGAGTAGATACGTAACCGGTCAAGCTGGAAGCCTTATGCATAGAGTAGAGCCTGGTGGTTCGGAATACAATTATGCTTCTGCCGCTAAAGGAGCAAAGGTCTTGACGTACAATAAGGAAGCCAAGGGTGCTTCTAATATCTTGAACAGAGATAAGGACAAGTACCTCCGAAATCCTTGCTCCACCGAAGACAAGTTTGTTGTAATAGAACTCTCTGAAGAAACCTTGGTGGATACAATTGAAATAGCAAATTTCGAACATCACTCGTCTAATTTGAAAGATTTTGAGTTGTTAGGCAGCCACGTTTATCCAACTGATTCGTGGGTGAAAATTGGGAATTTCACAGCTGCGAATGTGAAGCAGGCGCAACGGATTGTTCTTCCGGAGCCAAAGTGGGTGAGATATCTAAAAATGAATCTACTGAATCATCATGGATCGGAGTTCTACTGTACGCTGAGTGTTGTGGAAGTGTATGGTGTAGATGCTGTTGAGAAAATGCTTGAGGACCTCATTTCTATTCAAGATAAGAGAGAGTCTTTAGATGAGAAGAAGACTGTCGTCGAAAGTGATGCTGCCCATGAAGAACAATCGGTTGAAGAAGCCGATATCACGATTGGAACAGCACCTGATGTGCCTGACCCTGTGGAAGAAGTACGACATCAGCTGCAGGTTAATAGGATGCCTGGTGATACTGTTCTTAAGATACTGATGAAGAAGGTTAGATCGTTGGATTTGAATTTTGCTGTTCTTGAGCGATACTTGGAGGAGTTAAATTCCAGATATGGTGACATTTTCAAAGAATTTGACAAGGAAGTCGGAGATCAAAGTGCCGTTCTAGAGAAGATCATGGCCGATGTGACGAGTTTCTATAGTAGCAAGGAGGACATGGTCGGTACCCTTTTTCTTTTTATACATATATATATGCATGAAATATTTTCATTTTTTCCATCTAACATGTATAATCGATCACTCTTGCAGAGGAAGGAGATTGATGAACTTTCGTCTTGGAAATCACTTGTTTCCGTGCAGTTGGAAAAGATAGTCCAAGAAAATACCCTTCTCAGGTAGTGTTTTTTTTGTCTTGTTGTGTTATGCATATATAACTGAATTGGACTTATGGTGTGATGATGTTATTGCAGATTGGAGGTAGAAAGGGTTGGGAGGAATCAGTTACATATGGAGAATAAAGGGATTGTTATATTTCTTGTATGTGTAGTATTCGGGTTTATAGGTGTAATAAGGTCATTTGCAGATATGGTTATAAATAATACATGTAGGGAATTTTGTTCGGACAAGTCTTGTTCCTGGTTTTATCTACTACTCAGCTGTACCCTTACTATATTCATCCTCTCCTTGTAATTTTATCTTTTCTTTCTGCATCATATCATATTTTTATATGGAGTTACATTTTTCGTGTTCCCCACTTTTCTGATTCATTTTTTCCTTCAATTGTGTATGCCCAATAATTGTCTCAATTACCGCAGCTAGCTAGTATAACAAAAATCAAACCACATAAAAGGAACTTAGATAATATACATGGCCTTATTTGGTTGCCGACATATTATTAAATTAATTAGTTATACGTTTGATATTGACTATGTCTCGTTCACATGAATGAGACGGATTGCACATAGACATACATTACAGCCCAAGAAGAAGGGCGGTTCAAAACCAGAAGCCAAATTCTATTAAAATTAAAGACCATATGAAACTTTAGCAAACAGACTTATATTTAATTCTAAGAATTCCTAACGACCGAACAGTAGGATCTACTAACTCAATTACATTAATACAATTAAATTTATTTGACTATACATTAATAGGAGGTTAGTAGAATGTTTTGGTTCACAACATTCAAATTAATAATTCAAGTTCGCAATCAGATGCTATTATTTAATAAAATTAGTATTTATCTTACCTCTGCATTACTTTTGTAGCTTCCATGTAAAATAATGGAACTAAACGATTAACTAAAACTAAGTATTAAGATTAATACAATGTATAGAGTATAGAATTTCATCCGATTCATGCAACGAAATATTAAATATGCATGATTAGTAAATAAAATTGCATGTTCATTAATGAAGAGTAATTTTACGAGTGGGGAAATTAAAGTGCATTTGGAATCCTTGAAGTGCATTATAAGAATTATGGATTTCAGTGTGGGGATTAAAAAGAAGTCAGTATTAATAATGTGTTGATTAAATGCAAGTAAGTAGTAGCAAAAAAATGAAATTAGTGAAATCTTTGACTAAATAATATAATGACGTGAATTATTTAAAGAGTATTAAAGTAAATAATATAATATGGTTGAAATAATAGAGAAATGAGATGCAATAGATTTCCTTTATATATATATATATAAAGAGAAGCAAATTGCAAAATAATTAATAGTGTGAGATATTGAAGATGGTAAATAAGGTTTCGGGGGCGGCGGCCAAGTTCTTGTTTGTGGTTGTTCTACTATGCTTTCTCCTCGTCTCATCAGGTCGATCTCATGACTTAATTACTTCTTCTTCTTCTTCTTCTTCTTCTACATATATAATAATGGAACGGAATGAATATTAATGATGATGATGTAATAATAATAATATGAAGAATATATAAATACATGATATGCAGGTAGTGGTGAAGGGAGAGCAGCAGTGAAGGAGGGAAAGAAAGATTGCTACATAGCATATCCGAGTGAATGCGTAAAGCAAGGAATAAGTGTTTGCACAGTTTGTGTTAAGTTTGCTGGTTTATACAGTATCAGTTGCAACACTTTGAATGGAGTATCCAATTGTATCTGTTTATATCACTGTGATGATGATCATCATCATATCATCTCACCACCAACTCCAACCTCCTCTTCTTCTTCCTCCCCATCTCCCATTACTATTATTAATTAATTTATTTATAAATTCCCTGTACTAGCTACTGCTCCCATCCATCTGTCTACCAATTCATTAATAATTATATATGCCTTTTTAATTTATTGCCATTCCTTATTTCTTTATTAATTCTAGCTATATTATTATAATAATAATTACAACAAATAATATTCATTATATTCGACACACACACACACACACACACCTGTTATATTATAGAATGGGAGGAGAGAATTAATTATGGCCTTAATTGGTATATTTATAAAATGTGTGTAGAAAACCCTAACCAGTTACGCAATGCAAGGAAATTAATTATAATATAATATTCACATGCCAAGATTATAAGATTTCTTAGATATAGTACTATATATATCTACAAATGCAATATTTTAAGATTTATAAATACATTATATATAGTAACAAAGGCAAGAGCATGTAATCTTATTCGTCTGTATTATATGATCATTTGATGATAAGTTTTCATATTATGTAATCTATTATATTGCGGATTTACAGAATGGCATTATTTATTACTTTTTTTTTTTTTTTTGCATATAAAAAGGCCTTACCTTGCAGAGATCAAAGTATAATTGGCAAGACAAAATAATAATATATATTTAGTTTTACAGAAAGTTTTAGAAATATGGAAAAGAAGATTATTAGGGGATCATTTTTGTTGATGATGATTGTCCTTGTTTCTCTCATATCATGTATTAATTCTTCTTCAACTTCTCTCTAATCATCATCATCATCAAGAAGCATATATATAATGTATCCTAATATATATATAGCGATAAACAATCATAATTAATATATATGTAATAATGATGATTTGATTTGATTATGTTGCATGCAGTTGAGAAAGTAGTTGGGTCGTCGGAGGCGGCGGTGAAGGGTGGTGGTGTAGATGATGAGAAGATGTGCGTAGAAACGTGGGAAGCTGGATGTAATGTGCAAGGTGTTGGGATATGTATGACCGCATGCTCAAATAAGTACCAATCTAAACTTTTCAATGTCTACTGTGAATTTCACGACAATGTCTCTCTTTGTGCCTGTGTTTATCATTGCACACCTTCTTCTACTTAATTCATTCCCATATATCCCGACCCTCCCTGTACTTTATATTATGCAACGCTTGTTTAATAAATAAATAAACACCTTCTTAATCCAATTCTTGTTTTTTCTTGTTTTTCTTTTAAAATCATGAAATGAGTGACCAATTATTATTATATATGAGGGATGATCTTTTCTTATAAATAACAATCCTCAGAATTAAATAACAATTTACTAAAACGCAAATGGGCTCCAATATAAGCCCATGTAACAACAACTTTAAGCCTAAACTAACAGGCCTCAAATTTAAGCCCATAAAGCAACCGTCCGTCTATGAGAAACACTTTGATTTTTTATTTTAATCTTAGTTATTTTTCCTTTCTAAGTATAATAGTAATAATAATAATAATAATAGCCTAAACGGCGTTCGAAGAACTGAGTTGGTGGCCGTCGCCCGTACTAATTCATCATCCCCACCGCTTTGCGCTGAGGAGGCCATTGCCGAGCAAAGAAAGCTATTATATATTATAAATTAAAATCAACAACAAAAGTTGAGACTGAGAGTTAATTATTAACTCAAGGAGAAAATGTTCAAGAAGGCATTGGACGCTAAATCACAACAGCGGCTCTCAGGTGCTGACCGAAAGAAACTCAAACGCTCTATCAGACTCCGATTCCCCGCTTCTTCCGATGCTGATCTCGATGTTTTACTTCCCCCTAAGGTCGACCCACCCTTTATTCTTTTCTTTTTCTTATTATTCCTTTTAAATTGCTTCTCATTTTATCTTCACCTCTTTCATCACTGCTGTGCTGACTATATATGTCTACTGTAAGTACCGTGTTTGTGTGTTTGTGTGTTTGTGCGTGGGCTGAGCTGATGAAATATCAATTGAAGAATTATTCCCTACAAATCATTTCTTTTCTCATAAATTATTTTCAGGGATATATATTTGGTTTTTTGTACAAATGTTGGCTCCTTTACCATATAAGATTTGACCAAGTCCCTTTAATTCTTCAAAACCAGTCGCTGAATCAACTCAGTGAGCCATTTTATCACTTTGAATCAAACTTGCAGAGCCCCGTGGCTGTCAGACTGCAGAGTTAACTAATAGATGTGCTCGACTAGAGAATCAGTGCAACAGTGCTTAATTTAAAAAAAAAATAGAGAGCAAGGATGGGATAAAACATTAAACCCCTACTTTTAACCATAATTACTGTATTCATACTAGTAAATACCTGAAAGTATAATAGGGAATTCATTCATTAGAGTATCCGAATACTCATACCATAGAGAATTCCCCGTCATTGTCCATATTCAATCTCTAGAATTTTTCTTCCTCTGAATGAATCACACTATGCTCAGTTATCAGCCCAACCTGAACTGGTCTCGGCTAGGCTAGTCTGAGCTACTCTGAGCAAAATTTTCCAATAGATCAGGGATATTTTGATTTTACCTATATCAATATTTGCAGACTGTCTCGTTTTTTTGACACGATTAATTATATTTTCAGGCAGAAATAACCATATTCAAGTATCCAAACCGAATTCTTGTATATGGTCTGGAAGGTGATTGCCCCATGTTTTTTGATTGCGATGGACGAGGCTCAGAAATATTCCCTACAGGTATTGATTAGCTGGTTCTCATATGGAGTGTATTGTTCTTATTAGTGTCTACATGTTTTTTTTCAAGACTTGACTGCTATTGCATTACTTTTGTTGATATGTGCCCCTATTTATTCTAACATACTGTGTTTCTAGATATTTCTTCATATTGGATGCATGTGAAGTAGTTTAGTCTTGTTTGATATATTTGAGTTGAAGACTAGTATCAGATTTGGAAAACACTGTTGCAGTTTGTTAGTGATTAATAGTAGGGTTTCTTTGTTTTTAAGAATCATCCACGCCTCTTTTAAGGTGTTATAAAAATTGAAAATGTGATCTAGAAACACGGCAGATCACTTTGTTTTTATAGCATCTAATTTCTGTTCCTATTCTGGGAAGTATTCTTTTTCTTTCTGAAGATGCTCAAATTGACTTCATCAGTTGCTAATTAATGAGATAATCCTTTTATGAATGTATGTGTTGTACTTGTGTTTGCTTTGTACTCTGATATTCACTTGAGCTTTTGATGAGATACTGTTCCTGCATTTCTTCACCACTTATTATTTGATGGCAGTCTATGCATTGTGGAAGGTTCCAAATCTGTTGCCTGCTTTTATGCTAAAAGGCGGTGAGGTATCTAGATTTATGCTTGGCGGAGCTGATTTGATGTTTCCCGGCATCCAAATTCCTGCTGAAGGTTTTCCATCATTCTCTGCTGGCGAGCCCTGGGCTGTCAAAGTTCCTGGAAATCCAGCTCCAATAGCTGTAAGCTATATCAAGATCTGAGTCTATCACTATATTAAGTGGTTTTAAAGAGTTCTATTAATAATATGTGATAAAATTTATTTATTCAGGTAGGCACTACCACAATGAGTAGTGCAGAAGCATTGAAGGCTGGTTTGCGTGGGAAGGCGTTAAAAATAAGTCATTATTACCGTGATACACTTTGGTATAATCATCAAGGAACTTCATAACCATTTTAAGTTAACCATTCACCTTTTACAGTTATTATTTTTGTTATTATTTTGATTTACAATTTTACAGGGAATTGGCTGAAAATTGTTATGTCCCAAATGCTGGGTTTTTCGAAGATGCTGTATTTGAGGACCCTGCTTTAATTTCTGGTGGCCAGGCTTCTGATTCATGTGAAGATCATCTCTTAGTTGGCCAGACGAACGCAATCAACGATGAATTTATGGGAGATGATAGTGCTGCTGATGGCGCTCCCTCTATTCTTGGTTCTTCTTCCGCTGAAGAACCGATCGTGACTAAGGAAGCCAGTGAACAAATAACCACTGCCATGGCTGATTTGCAGGTTAAGGATGACACATCAGGCATTGAGTCTAATGTGGATGACCAGCCTTTGTTGTCTGTTGAGGATGTGGATACGCTATTGGACAAGTGTCTTTTGCAAGCTTTGCACACTACCGTCAAAGATAAAGATCTTCCCATCCCAGGAAGCATATTATGGTAATCAGACACTGAACATTTTTGTAGTTATTTAGTTGAGTTCAAACATGCTTAAGTGATTAAATTTCCTTATTATTCTCTTTTCTACGCGTTTTATGCCTGTTGCCTGTTTTCATTTTGATGTATGACACTATATTGGTTGTTTTTGCGTTTACAGGTCTGGTCATGTACTACCTTGCAGGCCATCGGGTATTAGTCTAGACATAAAGAAGTCTTCTCACAAGAAACTGTCCAAGTGGTTACAGTCTAAATCTGTTGGTGGACTGGTCAGTTTTGAATTTTCTTTTCTTCATTGCCTAAAAATTCAATTTTGTTTCACCGTACGATGTCAATTGTATGGTAAATATGTCAATTTTGCCATGTCTTAAGTCGATTGATTTTTATTGTATGGACCAGTGAACTTATTGTTTGGGCTATTGCTTTCGAAACTCTTGGCTATATAATAGTGTTGTGATAGTTACTATTTCCTTGTAGTACAGCCCATTGTAGTGTGTGCATGAAGTGTTGATTTAACTTGGTAATTAATCTAGTGTTTTGTACATTTTCCTTCATGCCAGATTTCGGTTAAAGAGGATAAACATAAGAAAGAGGTGATGGTATTATCGGTTAATCGAAAACACGTGGACTACACATCTTTCAAGCCAGAGAAGAAGAAAGTGGAAAAGAATGAGCAACCTGGAAAGAACATTGCCGATGAAGGACAGTTGCAGAAATTACTTGATGTTGTGGAGATTTATAAGCCAACTACACATGTCAACCCTATATTTGCTGCTGTTGGAGCAGACACAGGGAAACTTTATAGTGCTTCAGAAGCTTATGAGATTGTCTTTGGATACATTGAAAAAGAAAAGCTGGTGAAACAAGCAGACAAGTCCATGGTGGTTTTGGATGCAACTTTATGTGATGCTTTGTTCAAGGGTGCTATTAAAAAGGGTTCAATGTACCCTACTGAAATTCATAAAAAGGATATAGGGCAAAGCTTTATTAATCGAATGCAAGCTAATCACCTTGTAATAAGAGGAGAACATTCTGTTGTTCGAAAAGGTGCGCTTAAGCCACTCCAAATATTGACAGAGCGAAGGCAGGGTAACAAAAAAGTTACAAAACTTTCTGGCCTAGAGTCTTTTTTGATAGATCCAGAGACTTTGGCTTCAGAGCTGCAGAAGAAGTTTGCTTGTAGTACAACCGTATCCGAACTTCCTGGTATGGTTTCATTACTAGTTATCGCATATCCCACACACACACACACACACACACACACACACACAGTATAATTCAGGCATATAGAACAGAGCCACCTAAAATTTTCTTTCAATCCTGATTTGAATGGTGGCACCGGCTTGTAGTGTGATTTCATTGCATATGGTTAGATATTCAATGATTTGATTTCTCAACAATTAAAGCATAACTTGTTTTGTTAATTTACGTGACACGTGATTTCATTTGCACGGTCAATATGTTCAAACCACCGTACTTGTTATTAGATCTAACTCATCAATTGTGAAATACAAAAAAAAAGGTAAAAAGGGGCTGGAGGTTCTGGTTCAAGGAGGCGTGATTGATGATCTTGCAAGACATCTGGTTGAACAATACGGGGTCCAAAAGAGATACATTGAAGTTCTTGACAAGACCAGAAAATAGAAATAAGGTTAAGGTTAGTTCTCTGATGTTCAGAAACAACACAAAATGATAATACTAATAATGATGAGATAAACCCTAAATGTTTGGTAATATTACTTTGTTACTCATCAGGTGAAATGGCGTATGCTTTGAGTTTGTAAGAAGTAAGCCGGGGTTGGTGCATATTGAGCAATACTTGTATGAGATGAGATGAGATGAAATGAAATGGCGTATGCTTCTTCGGTGTTGACTAATATGTTGTGGTGCCATTTGCTGCATGCTGAGAGCAAAATGGTTGAGAACGTCATTGTTTCAAAATGATGTTTTTTTTATGGTGCACTAGTCAGTCAGTAAATTGTTTTTATTTTAGTGAAATCTTGTTTTGGTTGCTTGACATTTGAAGTAATGGTATAATATACATGGGATGCGCTGAATATATTATTTTCTTCTTCTTTAAAATAGAATAGTGGAGAAGTGGTGAGTAGTGAGTTGAATCAGAAGTTAATTCTTGTCCATATAGAGGATAGGACTTGGGAGGTGGTGGAAATAGGTTTCATATTTTGTTCTTGTTAGAATAGAATAGCATAAGACACATGTAGAAGTGGGTCCAAGGTTAGATTTACGAATGGCCAAGAAAAAAAGAGTGTGATCAGTTAAACAACGTTGGATATTCGGCCAAATATCCAACGTCCATTGGAATAATAATAATAATAGATGCCCATGATATCTGTTGTTGCACAGAAGACCACTTGTTTTGTGGAACCCATGTATAGTATTATTCTTTGATTCTCTATTTCGAAACGAATTTGCGTTGCATGTTTATTGAACTAGTACTGTTACAGTATCTGATGCTGCAACAATGAATGCCATTGCTGCAGAGAATCTATTATAAGCTTATTGAGAATGGTTTCTAATACCAACTATTCTTTTATATGCTTTTCAAGATTCCACTTTTCTTTTATAGATCATTGAGGATCGACCATTCTTATTTACGGACAGCTTGGGGGTCTCAGCTAATCCCCACCCTCACCGGCTGTTCCTCTTACAAAAACAAAATACGCGTATATATTAATTAATAACCCCATGCATGCACGCAAGGGGCCAGGAGAGAGAAAAATATATTTGTAAAAGTGAAGAAGAATAAATAAAGATTCCTTCTCCATGTACAAAATCAAGAAACAGACGTGCGTGAGACTGATACATTTGGCCTTTATAAGGTAACGGTGTCTTTGCTCTCGATAGTCGGCATCATCCAGATATCTTACACACAATTTATTAACTTCCATTTGATATTCAGCACTACTAGCTGTCTTGGCCACAAATTATATTAAAAGCTCATCTTCAATATTTATAAGTGAAGCTTTCTTCAATTCAATTGAATCGAAGCAAGGAGCAACACAGATCAAAATTACACAAGCAGTAACGAAAATGGGACAGAACGAATGGCTGAATGGGTATTTGGAAGCCATATTGGACGCGGGAAAAGCAAGAGACAAGGCTGATAACAAGACCCTCAAAAACAGTATCCGAAAAAAACTTGATGGTGATGAAGATGATATTGTTGATGGCAAGTTGAAGTTCCAGACTATGGAAATAGTGAGCAAAGATAAGCAAGATGTGAAGATATTCAGCCCTACCAAGTACTTTGTCGAAGAAGTTGTCAATGGCTTTGATGAGGCCGACCTCCACAGAACTTGGATTAAGGTATTTTATGTACACACACACACACTCACACACACACACACCACTCCTTAACATATTACATACAGCTTATCAACTTCATCCATCATCATCAATCCATTCATACACGTGGGCATGTATATGCAGGTGATTGCTACAAGGAATTATCGTCTGCGCAATAATAGACTCGAGAATATGTGCTGGCGCATTTGGCATCTTGCCCGCAAAAAGAAACAGGTTCAACTGATCAACCACATACATATATATATGTACACTGCTATGTAATTGGGTTGAGATGTGGGATTATAGCTACGTAACATTTGCAGATAGCTTTGGATGCTGCGCAAAAGCTAGTAAAATGGAAAATAGAGAGAGAACAGGGGCGTAGCATTGCTGCAGAAGACCTTTCCGAGCTGTCAGAAGGTGAGAAGGAAATCAAAGGAGGAGATTCTACTTATCAAACTGACTCATCACATACACATACACACATCTCAAGAATCAATTCCGATGCTCAGATTTGGTCAGATGACAACACTTCACGCCAACTATACATCGTTTTGATTAGGTATTTATTTATATGCCAATTGATGAGATTTTTAATATAATTATTAGTTTTGCTATGCTTAAATGTTGGTTTACCATGTATGTATGCAGTCTTCATGGGTTGGTGCGGGGAGAAAACATGGAACTTGGACGAGACTCTGACACTGGTGGTCAGGTATATATATATATTTATATACTCACTCTGCAATGCATTTATTACCACCATCAGTCACACAACAGCTTAATTTATTTGTGATTATTCGAATTGTCAGGTAAAATACATTGTGGAACTGGCTCGAGCTCTAGCAAACACGGAAGGGGTACACAGAGTAGATCTTTTGACAAGACAAATCACATCACCAGAGGTGGACTCCACCTATGGAGAACCCATTGAGATGCTTTCCGGTGGCTCGGGGGCCTACATTATTCGAATCCCATGTGGACCTCCACACAGTTACGTCCCCAAAGAGTCACTCTGGCCGTACATACCTGAGTTTGTTGACGGGGCCCTCAGCCACATTGTCAACATGGCAAGAGCTTTAGGAGATAATAATGGTGGAAAAACGGTATGGCCTTATGTGATCCACGGCCACTATGCGGATGCAGGGGAAGTGGCTGCACGCTTATCCTCTGTCCTAAACGTGCCTACTGTCATAACAGGGCACTCGTTGGGAAGGAACAAATTAGAGCAGTTGCTGAAACAAGGGAGGCTTTCTAGAGCGGACATAAACACAACTTACAAGATAATGAGGAGAATCGAAGCTGAGGAGTTGGGTTTGGATACTGCTGAGATGGTAGTAACAAGCACAAGGCAAGAGATTGATGAGCAGTGGGGTTTGTATGATGGTTTTGATATCCAGTTGGAGAGGAAGCTTAGGATTAGGAGACGCAGAGGAGTTAGCTGTCTTGGAAGATACATGCCCAGGATGGTGGTAAGACCACTCACTATTCTAATTCGTAGACGAAGGCTTCAAAGTAATAATTGAGTGCTCATTTTTTTGTTTGTTTGATAACTAGGTTATACCACCTGGTATGGACTTCAGCAGTGTGACAGCACAAGAGTCATCAGATGCGGATGGAGATCTTAAATCATTGATCGGCACTGACAGGATCCATAAATCACCTATGCCTCCAATATGGTCTGAGGTTAGATTCTGTTATTTCATCAAGATTAATGCTCTCCAGATACTTGTGATTGTATTCTTTTCACAATCTAATGTGTGATGCAGACAAGCTCCAAAATCTAAGGAAAAAAAAAAGAATAAAAACCAATATATACCTCTTAATTTAGCTTTGTCGACTTTTGTTTGGTGCAGATTATGCGTTTTTTCTCAAATCCTCACAAGCCTATGATACTAGCATTATCTCGTCCTGACCCAAAGAAAAATGTAACCACTTTACTCAAGGCTTTTGGAGAATGCCAACCCCTTCGAGAGCTGGCAAATTTGGTAATCATGTTTTTTTGATGCATAACTGTGTCTGTGTAAATCAGAACAAATGGTAAGCTTATATCAATTGTTATTGCAGACACTAATACTTGGAAACAGAGACAACATTGAAGATATGTCCAATAGCAGTTCGTCTGTTTTTACCACAGTACTGAAGCTCATTGACAAGTATGACTTGTATGGTAGTGTGGCGTACCCAAAGCATCATAGGCAACCTGAAGTTCCTGAAATATATCGACTTGCAGCCAAAACGAAGGTGAAATGTCAAATACAACATATCGTGCTAATAATGCACGATATAATATAAAATATTATCTTTTACAACTGGAACTTTCTGAGCTTTCCTTTTTTTCTGTAAAATGCTAATAATGCTTTAGTAACGTTTTCCTTTTGTGGTGGATCTGTCTTAAAGGGAGTTTTCATCAATCCAGCTCTTGTCGAACCATTTGGCCTCACTCTCATAGAGGTCAGTCACAGCCTACCCCTGCTTTGCAACTTATAACATTCTATAAAACGGACAGTTAAAACCTACGATAACTATCTTACTTTGTTATGGACCGTGCTTTTTCTGCAGGCTGCTGCATATGGATTACCCATTGTAGCTACGAAAAATGGTGGACCAGTGGACATAATAAAGGTAATTTTCATGAATATGTTACCCTTCACTCTATGTAGATCGTAGTGTACTTGAAAAAAAACCAAGAATGTCCGAGTTTTTGAGAGGCAAATGTTTCAAGCGCATTTGAGATTGTAATCAAGGTTATGTGAATCTAAATAGATAATGTCTGATGGACCAGGCACTGAACAACGGTCTGCTTGTGGACCCGCATGACGAGAAAGCCATATCAGATGCTCTTCTAAAGCTTGTGGCTGACAAAAATCTCTGGAACGACTGCCGGAAAAATGGCCTGAAAAATATCCACAAGTTCTCATGGCCGGAGCATTGCCGTAACTACCTCTTCCATGTTGAACAGTGCAGAAATAACCACCCAACCACCAGTCATCTTCGAGTCATGCCAATTCCGGAGGAGCCGCTGAGTGAATCACTCCGTGGCGTTGAAGACATTTCCTTCAAATTCTCTGTTGACGTCGATGTTGTAAAGTCCAATGGCGAACCTGATCCAGCTAGCGGTCAGCAGAAAATCGTTGATATTCTATTGGCAAAGGCGAATCATAAAGGAAAATCCATGAATCACAACTATTGTCCGGGAAGAAGGCAGTGGCTGTATGTAGTAGCAGTTGACAGTTATAGCAGCGAAGGAAGTCCTGCAGAGGCATTACCTTTAATTGTCAAGAATATCATGCAAGTTGCGGGATCAGAGTCTAGTCAGATAGGTTTTGTACTACTGACAGGTTTGAGTCTATTGGAGACAAAGGAAATGCTGCTCAGAAGCAACTGTCAGGTAAAACTAGAACAATTTGACGCGTTGATTTGTAGCAGTGGGAGCGAAATGTTCTATCCGTGGAAGGATTTGGTGGCAGATGAAGACTACGAATCCCACATTGAGTACCGTTGGCCTGGTGAAAATGTCAAATCCATGTTACTGAGGATTGCCAAGATAGAAAACAAGGCTGAGAATGATGATATGCAGCTAAGTCAATCTAGCCCTCGATGCTACTCGTACAGCATTAAACCAGGAGCTCAGGTAACAAATTCGATTGTTTGTCGTTTCATCTGAATATATACAAGGAACACTCAAAAACTGAATAAGCTGATATGACAGACTCAGAAAATCGATGACCTAAGACAGAGGCTACGCATGAGAGGCATGAGGTGCAACCTGGTGTATACACATGTTGCATCAAGATTAAATGTGATACCATTGTTTGCATCCAGAGCACAATCTTTAAGGTGGTTTGCCTGTCTCTGTTTAACAGCCGATAAATACCCCCCATTGTATGTATGTATATTTTACATTTATCGCTATATATGATTGGTATGCAGATATCTGTCGGTTAGCTGGAATATTGAGCTTTCAAAAGTGATTGTGTTTGTGGGTGAAAGAGGGGATACGGACTATGAGGAGTTGCTCGGAGGTCTCCACAAGACTGTTATCCTGAGAGATTGTGTCGAATATGGTGGTAGTGAAACCAATATGCATAGTGAAGAAGGGTTGAAAAAGGAGGATGACGACATTGTTGCTCAAGACAGCTCAAAGATTGCTGTTGCAGAGGGTTTTGATGTTCATTGCATCTCCAAAGCCTTGGGATGTTTTGGAATCATGTGATTCTTCAATCTTACATATATGATGCCATACACTTATGTAGAATTAATACAAGAAATAAGTGGAAAAAACATTAATACCATTTGAAATATATAAGTATTAACAAGATATGATGTACTATTTGACTTCACAGACACGAATCATCAATGTCAATACTGTAGATAAGATAGATACAAGTATAACGGATAGATCTAAATGTGATTCATAAATTGGATGCACACTGCAAAGTGAGTTAAAATATCCTGTATGTTATAGTACACAAATTTTGGGTAAAATTGATAGAACATCTCAAAAAAAAATTCACGATCAAAATCACCAAAAGCTGTATACTATAGTATACAGTTTTTTTAGTAAAATTGGCGAAACATCCAAAAAACTATTTTACGATCAAAATCATCAAAAAATGCATACAATAGTACATAGATTTTAGTTAAAATTGGTGCAACGTCTAAAAAACTATTTCTCGGTCAAAATCATCAAAAACTGCATACTATATAGTACACAATTTTTTTGGTAATATTGGTGGAACGTCCAAAAAATTTTTTCACGATCAAAATCACAAAAAACTGTATACTAATACCCAGATTTTGGATAAAATTGGTGGCACGTCCAAAAAATTTTTTCACGATCAAAATCCCCAAAAACCGTATACTAAATATACATATTTTAGTTAAAATTGGTGCAACGTTCAAAAAATTATTTCACGATCAAAATCACCAAACAATGTATACTATTGTACACAAATTTTGGATAAAATTGGTGTAATATCCAAAAAGTTTTTTCACGATCAAAATCACCAAAAACTGTATGCTATATTACACAAATTTTAGTTAAAATTGGTGCAACGTCCAAAAAACCATTTCACAATCAAAATCACCAAAAACTGTATACTATAGTTTTTTTTAGTGTGTGTAATTTTTTTTAGTGTGTGTTTTCGGTGGTGTGTGCGTGTATTTTTTAGTGTGTTGTAGTGTATTTTTTATTGTGTGTTTTGGTGTAGTATGTGTATATTTTTTAAGTGTGTGTTTTTTGTGTCGTGTGTGTAATTATTTTTAGTTTTTTTGGACGTTGCTCCAATTTTACCAAAATTTTGTATACTATAATATAGTGTACAATTTTTAGTGATTTTGATCATGAAATAGTTTTTTAGACGTTCCACCAATTTCGCCATAAATCTGTGTACTATAGTATACAATTTTTCGTGATTTTGATCTTAAAATAGTTTTTTGAAAGTTGCACCAATTTTAACTATAGTATACAGATTTTGGTGATTTTTATAGCGAAAAAGTTTTTACACAAACTACACCGAAAACACACACTAAAAAAAATACACATACTACACCGAAAACACTCACTTAAAAAAATTACACACACTTAACCGAAAACACACACTAAAAATAATTACACACTACACCGAAAACACACACTAAAAACAATTACACACTACACCGAAAACACACACTAAAAAAATATACACATACTACACCGAAAACACACTTACAAATATACGCACATTACACCGAAAACACACTTAAAAATATACGCACACTACACCGAAAACACACACTAAAAAAAATGCACACACTACACCGAAAATACACACTAAAAATATACAGACACTAAATCGAAAACACACACTAAAAAAAATACACACACTACACCTAGAACACACACTAGAAAAAAATACCCACACTACACCGAGAACTCACACTAAAAGAATATACACACACTACACTTAAAACACACACTAAAAAAATTACACACACTACACCGAGAACACACAGTAAAAAAATTTACACACACTACACCGAAAACAAACACTAAAAAATATACACATACTACACCAAAAAAACACACTAAAAAAATACACACAGTACACCGAAAATACATACTAAAAAAATATACACACTACACCGAAAAAAAAACAAAACATACACACACTACGCTGAAAACACACACTAAAAAGATTTACACTCACTACACCGAAAACACACACTAAAAAATATACACACTACACCGAAAACACACACTAGAATAAATTACACACACTACACCCAAAACACATACTAAAAAGAATTACACACTACACCGAAAATACACACTAAAAAAATACACACATTGCACCGAAAACACACACTAAAAAAACATACACACACTACACCGGAAACACACACTACACCGAAAACACACACTAAAAAAATGCACGCACTAAAAAAATTACACACACTACACCGAAAACACACACTAGAAAAATTGCACACACTAAAAAATATATACACACTACACCGAAAACATTCCTTAAAAAAAATACACACACGACACCGAAAACAGTAATACCATTTGAATTTATAAGTATTAACAAGATATGATGTACTACTTGACTTCATAGAGACGAATCATCAATGTCAATATTTGACTTCATAGATACACACCAGTATAATGGATAGATCTAAATGTGATTCATAAATTGGAAGCACACTGCAGAGTGAGTCGAAGACCCTTTTTTCATTACTAGTTTATTAGGAAAGATAGCAGGGTTCCCGACTTGAAGGAGGACTGATATAGTGATACATGATACTACACTTCTTGATTATTCTTACAATGGTCACAAATCTACATTTTCTTTTTACCAGCTAGGAAAATATTTGAAAGAGGTACATAGTAAAGATCCCTGCAAGAATCCTTGTTTCTTTGCCACCTGAATTGTTAAGCTCATATATCCAGTCTCACATGGTATTTCTCTCCACAAGAACACCTAATTTCGTGCGAAATTTCCTGAAAATAGGAGTTATATTAAATAGAGTTGACGAAATAATGATAATAAAACTTCAAAAAATTAGACATATTTCAGAGGCTATCAAAGTACAGATTCAACTGTCTAGAAGCTATACGAAGAGCACAGTCCTTGTGGGGTAATTGTTTGCCTTAAACAATAACATAAAGAAAGATTTGTAAGCTCACCTTTATTCTCATAATCTGGAGTTGCAGAGATTGCACATACTCAGCTTGTCGGGTTTTGTCAGATAAGAGTTCTTGTAGCTCCTTTGCCAAGCTTTTCTCATCCATCTCCCTAAGTTCTGGCTGAGATTACACTCAGAGTTGAGTTAGTGCTACTATTAAAAGACAGATACTCAAAAAATTTAAATGAATAGAAATGCAGTGACCATTACAAGTCACCTTAAAGTCAGTCATTTTAGTCTTCACTAGTTCAACAGACTCCCTCAGCTGTAACACCAAAATAGTCATGGAAAAATAACAAATGTTATCGTTTTGTTATTACATTAATCAACAACATATAACAACATAACCCACATCAATTGAGCTCAAAATTAAGATGCAAATTCTCTACTATTAATCTTTGTCAACGTCAAGAGTTTAGAATCACCCTTAATAGGGTGAAAAAGGAATTTCAATTGGAGCAAGGATCATAATAACAACTGGACTATACGTCTAGTTCTGAAATGTATCTGTACCTCAAATCATGAAGGTACCCTCAAATATGAATTCAAATATATGAATCTTTGTTTCTTCTCTAGAGGATCATACTTCTAGTTGGAACGGAAATAATTAGCGTCCAATATGCATAGACAAACCTTAGAATTCTGCACAACAAGATTTGATTTTAGTTGTCCAATCTTATCAAAGTTGGCTTGAGCAGCTTGAAAGTTCATCATCATAGTTGGACCCATATTATCCTGGAAACCTGGAAGTTAACAAGGCTTTATTATTTGAAATTAGGCAATAGCAGAAAGCAATATTGACCTACATCAGTTGTTAAAAGATGCTGATGAAGGGAATGCATATATGGATTAGAAAATTCTCTAACTAGTAGAACTAGAAAACGTTATTCCTATGTAAAAACTCAATCCATATTCCACGTCGTAGAGCTCTGAAGACTACCCAATATCCACAGTGTTGTGAAGCGATGCTTTTAATTGGCATCTCCTATTTAAATGCTGTTTTCTACAACTAGTAGAATGGAGTTCCATAGACCTCGAAGATAATCCAGTCCAATTTCTTTGGAGATTTATTTCTGCACTCCTTCAGTCATCAAATTCTAAGTGACATTTACAGCTTGTAATGTATCAATTTCTGTGTTTTTTCAAGATTACTTTAAAGAGTAGCAATCCTGTTTTCCATAATAACTTAGTCATTTACATCCATTAACAGGCATGGAACAAAAGAAAATCTTATTACATGTAGGGAAATTGTAATTGTTACCTTTTGTTTCATCTGCTTTCTCACCTACCTGCACATGGTTAATGCACACGGTTAATTAAGAGTGGTTAACATATTAGACCTCATGACAAAAAAACATGAGAGAGAACAAAAGATAACATATTTTACTATGAGAATCCTTGATTGGATACGATGGAATGCAATTAATGCTTGCTTCATGCCAAATACTGGTATTATTCTAATTGATATAGTTTATTTTTTATTTTTTACATGATCACTTACAGATTTGTGATGCAGCATATGCTTTGTGATAACAAACAGAAATAGAAGTATTTCAGAAATTACCATGCCCTTTTTGGTTCGCGAGCTAAAATTTCGAGATTTGATCCACTCCTGTATAGTTTAGTAATAGTGAGAAATACTGCATGCACAACCTGGATGATTACAAAAGTAGATCTCGAACCTGTTGTTCTTTTAGTTGTCCACTGATATCCTCGGCAATCTTCTTATAATATGCACTGTTGACAGAATCAAATATGCCGTTACATAATATTTCATGTCTTCTTGATACATGATCCACATTTTACCTTCGATCCACAAGTTTTCCTGAAAGGCCAAGTCGTTCTTGTTGCATAAGCTCCAATGTCTGCACGTGAAGAGAAACAAGACTAGAATGAGTCTTTAGGGCGGTAACAAACTCAAGACCTAACACCCTTCCCCAGCGTACACCTCCAGGGAATTGTATTTACACATTGATTCCATCAACCACATATAAATAAATAGACAAAAATATATTTACCCGACTGAGGGTGGAAGAATCAGATTCCAGAGACGTGATTTTCCTCTGTTTTTCCAAAATCTGCAAATAGATATGCCCCTTTGTTTTGGTCATCTTATCACTTTCCTCCTTGACTTGCCTAATTTCATTCCTCACTGCACTTAGTTTAAGAAGAAATAAGAAAAACAGACATTTGATTCACTTGAAAGTTTCCAAATACAAAAGGATACTGTTCAAGATGAAGAAAGATAACTTCAAAGCTAAGATGCAAATACACGATATCTGAATTTTCTTATCAACAAAACAAAATGGAAAAAAAAGGAATTCTAGTTTCGATATGTGAGCTTAAGCATAAAAAACGCCCCCAAAGAAAACAAGTGAACTGATTGTGAATAGTGAAAATTTATTGATAATATCAGCAACAGTATCTATTTTTCTGGATTCGGAATAACATAACGAATTAAAAGTTTCCAGCAGATAACCTAAATCGAGATCATTCTGGAGAGTCTGCATTGTTGTGGTCTGCATATGCTCCTCAACTGATATCTCCGCTGCTTGATCCGCCACATCTGCAATTAACAGAAGCATGGTTGAAAAATTAATTATAATCTCGCTTTTGGTAGACAATTGAATCACTTTTCCTAAACAATGAAGTTTCCAGTGTAGTTCAAGCCTTTTAGGTAAAAAAAAAAAAATCATATTCAATTTTTCGAACTAGAGATACTACTGATTTAAATATCTCACAACTTTTTTCACACACGAGTTGTGTCTGAGACAGAGAGAAAGTGAGAGGAGAGTACCGTTGATCTGAGAGCGGAGAGTCTGCATATACTGAAATAACTCCTCCATTTAACAATTTGAAGCGAAAAAATCAGTAATAATACTTCGACAATGGTTGATCGTAGGTACCTTGAATATCTACGTGTGTGAGAGTGCGTATACGCGAGAGAGAGAGAGAGAGAGAATTGAGATGAGGAAATTATAGAAAGCCGTTATATTTATAGGTTGCAGAGAGTAATTTTGAGGGTTTAGAGGGAAAAGGGGCAAACTAGGATTATGGGGGTGATGTCGCTCGGTAATCAGGGGTAGATTTGGAATTAAAAAAAATGCTATTCTATTCATCCTAATTAGACAACCAGATGGCATTATTTAGCACTGAACAGTACCGCTACTGCTGCTACAGACTACAGAGGCATCTTGAAGGGATGGTAACGCTGATCTCGAGATGGGATCGGCAACAGAGGCAGCTCCGACTCCGCCCATTTCCGAGGAGAAAACTTTTGCGATTCTTCCTCGTTGCCCTCGCTATTATTGCTATCCTCCCCCCTCTTTACTTCCATTTCACCCTCCGTCGCTTCAACCAGGTCTCCATTTCATTTCCAATTTCTCTCTCTAAACCCTACTTATAAATTTCTTTATGTTTTTGTCTTCCAATATATGTATGTGCATACGTTTTAACGTAATGAACAATTGCTGTTGGATCATCCATGTTTGGCATCTTCAACATCAAGCAATATCTTACAGAGGACTTCGTAATTGTATGAAGAATCTTGTGTTTCCTTTGTAATTCGACTCTTTTCTGACCTTTCACCATGTATATTTTCATAAATTCACCCTAGGTTTTCAGTTGTCCTTTGTTTGACAGCACGTCATTTATTTTATATTTTCATGAAACTGTAACTGATCTCTTCTGCTACTTTAGGATCCCTTCATAAAACATATTAGTGCATGTTTACATTATTGTTTTATGTTTTGCCCTCTATATGCAGACACAATCCCGGAAATGCAGCTGGATGAAAAATCCTCCTTTAGTGTGCGCCCATGGGGGTGACTCAACCAAGGCCTTCCCCAACACGGTAGGCATCTCATTTTCACTTGACTCGTTTCTTTTTGCACGTATTCGAGCCTCTAATGTAGATAAGCAATTTCCGCATTGAGTCAACAATCTATCTCATCTTGCTGAGCTAATTCTGTTTAATATAATTAAAAGGCCAGTTTAACTTTGGAACTTAGACATGTAAGGTCTGTAGATTAGTCTGTAATTTACTGCAGTTAACTCTCCGGAGCATTATTACACGGGAATTGCTCTATTGATGGTGGGGTCAGGGGAACTAGTTGGCTGAGATTGATACATTGGCAGGTCTTAGTCAAACTCTTTTTACTCATTTCCCAAAGCTTCGCCCAATTCTTAGCAAATGTTATGTATAAACCTGTATTGAATAGACAGTTTTAAAAACCTTAATGAAACCTAATGTTGATAAACGATAGTATTGAACTGATAATTTTCTTGATTTTAAACTGATGTTGTTTATATGTCTACTGTTTACTTAGTTAATTAAAACAATTGTTCATATGCCCCTAGGGCAGCTCATACTGTCAGAAGACAAGCAAATAAAAGAAACCGAGAGAGACAAAAGAAAAGCAAGAAGTTACGCTAGGTTGTTGGTAGTCCGACATTTCCATTAGCTTCATCTTTAAATGTTATCTTGTTTGTGACAGATGGATGCATATAATATTGCTTTAAGTTCTCAAGTAGATTGCATTGAGATTGATGTGTCTCGTTCATCAGATGGAGTACTGTTTGCTCTTCATGACAGGTATTGCTGAACATTTGTCCCATTCAGACATAAACTGGTGTTTCTCTATTGACTACGTTCGTTTTCTTTGTTATGTTCTTTTTTGTCATGATATTTACCTTTACGGTATCATATATAAATTAACACAACTTGCTTGGCAGCTGAACGAGCTCTGATTAGTGATTACTTTCTTTGTATTCTATTGAGATCATACTTTACCTGGGTGCTATGGAGTAGAAAACGATAGGACTTGCAAGTCAATTATATGAAGAAGATAAGATACAGTTTGAAAGTTTAAGGGATCATATCCAGCTGTGGTCCATTAGAGTACACATTTTAAGCTAAAGGTAACATGATGAACCAAAAAAAGGTGTTTTATTCTAACTAAATGGATAACCTGATTGCTATTGCATCTGAAACTTGCTTTTGTTTTTTGCAAGTATTTTTATAATGTCTCTTTATCTGTTAAATCCTCAATATGTTGAATGCATGGCATGCATTAAATGGTTGTTTTTAATAGCAAAAAAAAAAAAAATTAGATTGTGTTTACGAAAGAACAGCATTTTACCCTTTCTGATCATCCAAAAAAAAATTAAAAATTATGTACTATAATCGGAACTGAATTACCTGACAACCTAAAGATTGAAAGTTTCACTGCTTCAAGTTGTGAACTGTAGTGTCTGGAATGTTGATTCTCACATGTTACAGCCAGGGATCTGCAGCGTATATCTGGGAATCGTACTTCTAAAGTTGGTTATTTGAGCATGAAGGAGGTGGGTCGCCTAAGTATTTTCAACCGCCAGTGAATTTAATTGTTTATTGAGTTTGGAACCTTATTTTACATTTGGTTGTAGATTGAAAATCTGGGTTCCAGTCATCATCATTCGCTGGAGTTTCATGGTGTTAAGATTCCAACCATTGAAGATGCATTAAAGGTATGCTGCAGTTTTCTGTTCCTTGCTCTCCAAAGAAAGCTCTGATGTGGTTGCAGTAAGTAATTTTGGTCTGAAAAATATAAATCTGCCATCTCACCAATATGCCAAGAATTGGCTGTTTTACTACCACTAGAAAATCTTCCATTATAGTAGCCGTCTTAAAAAATAACCACATCTGTTGAGCTAGATCGAAGTTGAATTTTTTTCTTGTTGACGCTTAGCATCTACATCACTGCATGAGTCAGTTATTATTTGTTCATGTATGAATGATTATATCTCAAGGTTGGTTTATATTTGTGTCTCAGTTGATATCAGGTTCTGTTAAGCAAGTGATTCTCGATGCTAAAGTTGGCCCTCCACTTTATGAGAAGGGACTCGCGAAGGATATTCTCTCTGTTGTAAGTTTACTTAGTAGTTGTTGAAGAGCTCTGTTTTTTCTCTTCTTAGTTACTAAAATTAATAATTGAAAATGATTTTTGGTTCGCAACTTGGTAAGTTTGTTATTAAGGTGTCATGTTCTATAGAAATGGACTCAGAAACTACTTCATTCTCGTTACCAGTGAGTACTTGGTTTAACCTCCTGCGTAGCTCAAGAAAAAAGTAGAACGACCCATTCATAGGATTTAGTTAGACTCTTGTGGATTATATCCAGTTCAGGTTGGCATTGCCCTCTAACACGGAGATTTTGTAAAATATTGATGAATTCAAAACGTAATCCATTCATACAAATGAAGGATGTAGATGCTGTGGAATTTATTTGATGAGATGTTTCTGCATGCTAATAAGTAGATATAGGTTCTACTATTCTACTTATGTATGCCGTTTACTAGCTAGTGAAAATATGGATCATGTTTGATGATGTAAAATGATTGGTAGCTTCACTAGCAGCATGGTTTTGCAGGTTGAAAGAAGCAAGTGCAAGAACTGCATTGTATGGGCGAAAAGTGACAGCCTGGCAAGGGATTTAATAAAATTGTCGAGAGATACAACGGTAATTTTGATTAGATTTTCCATCCAGTGTGATATATGTTTGATAGTATAGTAGTAAGTTTGACAAATGAGGTGATGTTGTGAAGGTGGGATACATAGTGATGATAGATGAGGCAAGTGGAGGTAGGATGGAATTATTGAGGATGAGAGGTGCTGGGGTGGTTGGTGTTTACCATCCTTTGATTGATGAAAAACTTGTGAAAATCCTCCATGGGTAAGAATATTTAATATTCAATTCAATTCAAGTGTATTTCGAAATATGTTTTTGTTGGTGATTGGTTGGTGATAATACTAAAAAAAATGAAAAAAAAAAAAACAGGAGGAAAAAGAAGGTATACGCATGGACAGTGGATGAAGAGGAGTGGATGCAGAAAATGTTGGTGGAGAATGTGGACGGTGTGGTGACAAGTGATCCTGCTCTGCTACAACGTGTTATGCATGATCTCAGAACACACTGCTTTCAACTTGGTTTTGTTTTCAATGACTGAGTGAATGCCTCCATTGTTTTTATCTCATCTCTGCTCTGCTACAACAATTATATTACAAAAATGCTCACTCTACTTCTTTTTGATTAATGCCCAATGAGAAATATCCAAACCCATCACTCACAACTGTATAGTATCTGATTATTAGAGCAGCATTTTTTTTATATATATACTATTATTCTTATTGTACATGTTTGGCCCAAGACAAAACAGATCAAGTCAAAAGAAGAGGCGGAACGATTTCTTTTTTTCTTTTTTATTATTAATATATATATGAATTTAAAAAAGACAGACGATTATTCCTTTGTTTTTTTGACAAGTAAAAAATAAAAAAATATAAAAATTTATTTCCTTTGAAGGGAAAGAAAGCAGCAGCTCGATCGGTGGGGACAGATCACAGAACACGTAACGTAAGGAATAACCGCAGCTACGAATACGACGACGTTCTAGTCTGCTCTGCATCGATAATCATCAAAACCGAATTTAATTTAGTATCAGACAGATTTCCCGAATTTCAACAAGTCTGAAATTACTGGAATTAACATTCAATTTGTAGCCGTGATCTTCCAATTCGGAGTTTGATTTCCAACTCCAAGATTGAAGCTTTACCTCCTCCTCCTCATCAAACAATCATGCTCCAACGCTTCGGATCTTCCGTCGCCTCATGGTTCCGTACGAGAATTACCGATCCTCTTCTCCAGATCCTTCGCCGGTTATTTCTTTATTTCTTTATTTATTTCTTTATTATCTTATATTTGCTGATACTTTTTAGCAATTAATCTTTTTGACAGTGGAACCGAACCCAAGCAGTTGGCATTCTCCGCTGCGCTGGGCATCACCTTAGGACTCTTTCCCATCTGCGGTGCGGTACCTTTACTCTCATTCTCTTTTCATCCCATATTCACCTCATAATTAGTCCTTTGCTTTCCTATTTTCATTTCTTCAGTTATGACCTAAAAATCGATTCTGAAACTGATTATTAGTCTGTCATTTAATTTCATATTAACACCTCCTCATTTCTCCATTTATTATTTCTCTATGAGAGTCCTGTTACTACAGGGTCCAGTGTATAATCTGAGACCTTAATAAAATTTTAAGCTTTCCATTTTTTACTTGTACCAAGGATAGATTCAAATTGATTTCAGTACCCCCAAATCCAATATACGCTACAGTTATAGTTTATGTTCGATTTCAGACCTTAACCAGGAACCGTGTTACAGTTGCTATTCTATCTGGTACCCTGATTTTTCATTAAATACAGGGTCTTACACCCTCCCTATCTTATATTTCTGGACAATGCAAAGCTGCTTAATTTGTCGTCTAATCTAAAAGATAAATGAATTAGTCATTTTGGAAGTTTTTTTATAACTTTTCCGCTGTTTTTGTTATAGTCCCCTATTTTCTTCTAATATACATGTCATCTTAGGGGGTGCACGCTGTTTATTTTGCAGCCTATAACTCTAGATTGATTTCTTAACATTCACCTTATAGTTGGAGTTTATCGTCTTTACTAGGGGTTACTGTGTTTCTGTGCGGGATAGCTATCGCACTACTTGGATCCCTTTGTCATGCTCCAACTGTAATGCTGACCAATTTTATTGTCACTCCTATTGAATTGAGGTAATCCTTCTTGAAGCTCAAGTCACTATTCATTCACCAGAAAGTTGAATGTTCGATATTTTTTGTTCATTGGCTATGCAAACTAAATCTTTGACTGTGTAGCTCATATACTCTGGGCATTATTCATTGCAAGGATTTTTCATTTACGGTGCAGAATACTAAATGTTGTAGTAATTCTACCTAACATTATATAGCTAGTTCTAATTATTTTCTTCTGTTTGCTTATTTCTCCAATGCAGCATACTTTTGATGAACAACCTCAAAAATTCTGATATGTTTTGGTTTTGTTTTATAGTCTGATGGTACCATTTCTGCGGTTTGGTGAATTTGTTACTGGTGGGCCTCATTTTCCTTTGACTTCTGATGCTTTTAAGAAGGTCTTGACTGGACAAGCTTCAATAGAAGTCTTTCAGAGCATTTTCCATGCGGTATGCAACCAATTTTAAAATTTTCATGCATATCCATCTGTTGCTTTAATATGGAAGTGGGTAAGGAGCCTTCAGACTACTATAACATCTCTGAATTATGTGATGTAATGTGTTGTTAGTGCTTTATAACCCTTATATTGTATTTAGTAATTCGAGTTTATTATAGTGAGCTAACTATTTATGAGTGATATATGCATGCAGTTGTTGGGATGGCTTGTAGCTGCGCCGTTTATATTCGGAGCAATATATGTATTGTCATTGCCATGTTTCAAGATATTGGTTCGTAAATTCAGTGTAGTACCTTCAACTTCAAGCCCAAAAAAGCCACTCATCAATAACTCAATTTCAAGCCCGAGAAAGTCAGTCAACTCCCCGTCTGAAGTGAGGCTGAAAGTCAGGGATGCATATGACTAATAACTCTACATTAATGTATGTATGTATTCAGTATTCTCTCTATTGTTTGCCATAACAAAGGAAACAGCTCACATGTCCTGGGTTCCAAACACTATTATGTACATACAACATATGTATGCATCTTGTCAAATGTGAAGTAAACTATTGAACTTGTATTCTAACTTTGTCTACATTCATTCATTTCATATGTAGATTATATATTATAATATAGTAATGCATTATAAATTATAATTATAATTATAATTATAATTGGGTGGACGAAAACAGAAACAGCGATTGATTGGGAGTAACATCGATACATGGCGATTAGCCGCATATGGTCGGACCAGCAGTATCTTAAATATTGATTTTGTCTCCTTAACAATCTAGGTTGTAAATTATTTCCACGGCCAACTAAAGGTAAGAAACAACTTATCAGAATTCACAGTTGAATATTTAAAAGAAGAGGTATCACCGTATTACTATATTTTGATATTCTCACAGGTTCGACATTACTTTATTCATATTGAAAATGGAAAAAGAAAAAATGTAAATAAAAAAAAAGATCCTGACTGATAAATAGTAGATGGGAATGAATGAATATAAAAGAAAAACAAAGGAAAATATATGTGAGATAGAAACTTCCAAAAGACAGCGCAACAGGCCTTCTTCTTTCTATCTGTTGTAAATCTATACTATATATGCTGCATCTTTCTCTATCAAGAATAGATAGATAGATCTCTCTCTGTCTGCACTATTTTTCACATATTTTCTTAACAAATTTTATTAGATCTCGCTTCAACTATCTTTCTCCCTCAACAACAATCACTAACTTGTATATATCATCTCCCCAAAACCATCATCAGTTGTATTTTTCTAACTTACCCATTGTTTGTGCACACTGCAATCTTCAGATCCAATTTGTTTTGTCATCTGAGGAAATCCCAGTTCCCCTATAACATACTTGTCAAATGTGATTCATTTTGTCATGTATTATTACAGTGCTAAAAACAGCATTTCAGACCAAGAAACAACGAGTGATGGTACTGGTAATGCTGCTAATTGTTGCTCCAGAGCTTCGTCTGACTTAAAATTGTACCAAGCTTTCATCTTTTCAGTCCCTATTTTCTTCACTTTTATTCTACTCTTGTTGTTTTATTTCTTCTATCTCCGTCGCCGTAGAGTTGACTGGTCTTCTCTCAGAATGAGGTCTGGTCATTCCATCCCAATTTCTGATGATCTCTCCAGGGTATGCTATACTTGTTTCTTATTATTTATTTTCAATCCTTTTACTTTATATAAAATAATGTTTGTTTTGGGTTCACAGTGTGAATTAGGAGGAGGGCTGAAGAAGGAGCTGCGAGAGATGCTACCCATTATTGTGTTCAATGAGAGCTTTTCTGTCAAAGACACATTGTAAGTGGTCTTTTTGGTTCATTTCTTCCTTGACAAATTAATAAATATTCCTTTTTTCCTGAGCTGAAGATGCCATAGCTAGCTAATTGACCTGGTAATCAAATACTTGACTAGGCTGCTGGGTACTATAGTTTACTAGCTAGTTGATGAACCTAACTATACCCAATGTCATTTTCTATTGCACACATACTTTTATGTATAAATATATTTTATACCAGGTATTTGTAGTTCAGTTAAACCTGAAGGTGTAAGCTGAATATTAGTCGAAATGAATTTTCCTTTTTTCCTATTTTCTGCCTCTAGGTATCTATTGTCTCCTCTCTGCCTCTGATTTTCTTTAATATTTTTTCTTATGGAGCGAGAGAATTGGTCTCTATACATAAAATTATTTTCTAGTCGTCTATCCACATATATCTTTTTGGTGAATGAAGTCAAAAAGGAAATTGAGCGAGGAAGTAGTCCAATTCTCAATGTGTTATGCAACTATGAGAAGGATGGCAAGAACCATACTTTTTGTATGGGAACCAAATTAAGTTAAACAAGTTTGAGAGATGGTTATTGTAATACTTAATAACAGTCTTGCAATATCCTAGCTAGTGGTTGGGCAACCAGCACATTTGTGGCTTGTTACCTTGGTAAAATAAAATCAAAGGCATTGATTCGATTTTAGGTGTCTATTTGTTTAGTTGCCTTTGTGCATTCATCTGTAGCATGCATAGAGAGTTACAATATCTTAACTTACAACAGAAAATTTGAAAATGGACTTTGTTTTTGATAATAGATGCTCGGTGTGCCTTGGAGAATACCAAGGGGAGGAAAGACTTCAGCAAATACCGGGGTGCGGGCATACGTTCCACATGGAATGCATAGACCTATGGCTAGCCACACATACAACATGTCCACTTTGCAGACAATCCCTTGTTACCTGCAGCAGCAGCAGCAGGAGTTCACCAGATGAAAATGGATCTGAAGAAGAAAGCAATAGTAGTAGTAGCACCACAGCTTCAGTACATGATCAAGACCCTCCTCCTCAAACTAGCTCTTCAGAGACGAATAATAACGGGGATAGAGATGAAAGAATTGGTCCAACAGTTGGTGAGAGAGATGATGAGGTTGAAAGGGATATTATAATAATAGTAGAAAATGTCAAATGACACTTGTTCATTCATTTATACTAGGGTCTTCTCTTGAATGTATATTTGTTTCAATGTTCATGTGGAAAGAAGCATTAGTTTCCAGTAAATGTATCAGGAATGCATGAGCATTGGAAAACAAAGACTTGATTAATGAATGAACGATGATGGTTATTATATGTAGTTTGGGAGGCAAAGTGCCATTTAACCTAAATTTTATTTATGTTGTCCTTTTTTTTTTGGTTTAAAAAAAAAAAAAAAAAAGAGAGAAGGAAGAATGTATATAGTTGGTGTGGTGATGAGTGAGAAGAAGAGAAGAAAGAGTCAAGGGCCTATCAAGACTGAGTCAGTCAACTGCCCTGACTGACGACATCACAACTCACCACTTCTCTCTCTCTCTCTCTCCCCCCAAATACACGTAATTAAACAACTTATCTCCTTCCTTCCTTTTGACTCTCTCTCTCTCTCTCTCTCTCTCTCTTCTCCTCTCCTCTCTCACATACAGCCATACAGGGGTCCGTCCGTCCGTCAGTGGTTGTGGTGATTGCCTGGTGTAGAATTAATCATCAAACATCTGGCGCTGCCTGCGATTAAGGTAAAACTAGGTATGTATGTCAGTTGAGTTGTGTTGTGTGATTGCCAACAACAACAACTATTCTTGTCCCAACTTTTCACTTAATTAATTTGGTTTCTCTCTTTTCCTTCTCATCTTCCCCATCTTTCACTCATCAAGCTTGTTTCTTTTCCTCTTTCGATCGCCCCTTGAAGGGACCTAGTAGTAGTAATTATGAAGGGATTTCTATTCTTTTCGGAATTTGTTATTTCATCGTTTAGATTCTAGTTTCTACAATCCCAGATTCATTCCAATCATTGTTTATCCAATGGGCTGCCAAAAAAAATTAAATCATCTTTATTTCATGTGGTCTTGGGATTGTTGACTCTATTGTCTGTCACTGACTCACCGTGTGTGTGTGTGTGTGTGTGGATCAATGGGTTCTTCTAGTGTTGTTGGAAATACTAGTGTTGTTTGTTACTGCTGTGTATGGAAGGGTGGTCGAGTTCTATACGCATATAACAATAACAATAGTAATAGTCGTGGTGATATTGAGAATTTGGCTGCACTTTGCTTGGAGTTGGCTCCTCCCCATCACAGATGGTACTTTGAAACCATGGATCACAACACTTATGCTTTTCTTATGGACGATGATGGCTATGTCTATTTTGCTATAGTTTACCACAGTTTTGTCAACGCCCGAGTTCTTAGGTTTCTTCAGAAACTGAGGGATGAATTCAGGAGACTTGTTGTTGTTGGTAAAAGAGCTTCTACCACAAGTCTCGTTAATAATCATTCACTCTCTCTGCAAGAACAATTGTCCCCTCTTGTCCGTCAATTGGCTGCCTCTTTGGCTGAGAATGACGTGCTCACAAACTCACCCTACAATACTAACAATCGCAACGGGCAAATGATCAACGAATTAGGTGGCTCTTCAACAAAATCCCCTTTGCTGGGAAAGCACAACAAACATGACAAAAAGAATAACAATATCAAGAAGAAAATGAAGAACGAAGAACATGTTGTAATTGGTGTGAGAGAGATTGAGATAATACAAGAGCACAGGAGATCATCTGCATCATCATCGACCACAGATAATAGTAATAATAGAGGGGTGAGACCTGATGATTCCAATGCGGATACGAGTTCAACAAGGATTAGGTCTACCTCTAGCACTCAAAATCTTCTGCTTAAGAAAAAATGGTGTCGTCAAGTGAAAATTATTCTTGCTGTTGATGTTGCAGTGTGCCTTGTTCTCTTTGTAATTTGGCTAGTTATATGCGATGGTATAAAGTGCATTCATTGACAATTCGTTAGGCTTTTCTTTTTGCCAATTTTGATTTTATTATTTCCAAGTATATATGATATTTGAAGTTACAAGCTTATGCAATGTATACATTTGAAGTTACCAGCTATATATATGCCAAATTCAGGTCGTGTGCAACTCATTATGCTTATATGTATTAACTATGTGATTTTGTATGAGAATTTCATTTTCTGTGGGTGTTTATTGTTCTCTAAATCGATTTCTGCCCAAGTTTGTATTTTTGGCAAAAAGGCATCTTGAAGGAATATATTTAGATGGAAAATCAGCAAACGAAAGATACTCCTCGTACGGAAAAGTTCACTAAAGAAAGGCAACAACAAGAGTCAAATAAACATCACTACATAAAGTAAGGAAGCAAAAGTTGTACACTGCTTCTTTAGACAGAAAAAAAGTAGGTTAATAATGAAGTCTCTCAGCAGTTTTTTATATGCACATAATAAAATGATCATCTATCCCACTCGGAGCTGGGAAGTTGAGGAAGAGCAGCAGCAGCAGCAGTAGGTGAACTTTTAGAGGCGCAATGTGGAACCTGATTGGTATATTGGTCCCAACCTATCAGGTGCGGCAAAGCAAACTGCACCCAAAATAGAATAGGAAATCAACAAGCATTTTAGCACAACAGCAAACAAAATTGACCGTTCATCCTTGCAATGCAAAAAGAGACCAAGGGCAAACAAGATAATGTGGCAACAGATATCCATTTTGGTCCTCTGTCAAAGTCTCAAAATGCCTTCCATTTCTCGTATAATACACCCAACATCACTGACTTTTCTAGACACACAACATGTTAACGTCTTTCACACTATTTGCAATTTAACCTCCATACAAGTTCTCTAATTATCAGAAACATGACATAAAAGAAGCATATAATAACAGATAGTGCCATACAGTGAAAGCTGTTCGCATGACTGCAAATTCGGCAGTAGTGACAGGAACAACAAATCGATCATTTGTTTTAAGGATATTGTTGACAACACCTGCAATGCGAAAAACACATTTCACAATTAGAATCAACTAGAGTAGTATATCGAAGATTCAAGATTGATCAAACATAGATGACAAAGGTACCGACCAGGTTACTGACCATTAACGCTAAAATTTCAATTTTGTGCCAGTTGTTTTCATCTGGCTTGTGAACTGTTAAATACTAATTATTTCATGCACATAACAATATATAGCGCCACTAGCTTTATAGCACAGTGTTCATGAACACAAATATCTCATCTACATCTTCATAGAGTAGACTGTAGAGTAGTACTTACTCAGAGAAACAAAGTAACCACTACCATCAGCATGTGCTTTAATCGATAAACTCTTTCTCACCTGACCTGCATTACTGTGGATTAAAATTCAGTTAACTTCACTACCTGAATTAAACAAGAATAAGGCGGGAAACGAGTCAGAAAGTTCAGAACAAATAGGAAATCAACCTCGATAGCATTGACGGGTCATGGAAGAATTCACACGAGTCTTTTGAACCCAAACTGATCAGGGACCCAACCTCTGTTGCTGACAGAGCAAATTTCTGCAGTATGCATAAGAAAGTCAAACGATTTGCAGATCGTTATAGCAAATATCAATGTTAAGGAACATAATTAGTTCGTGAAAAGAAAAAAAAAAGCCCACTGATTCTTGTGCTAGTTAAAGGATAGCAAATAAGTTGAAGTAATTACCTGCCTCTTGTCCCAATCATATTTGCGCTCACCAATAGCAGGCCAGAAGGTTAACATAATGGAACCACGGCGTTCAACTTTGTAACCTCCAGACTACAAAAGAGACAGAGTGATGTTTATCCAAGTCCAGAGGGAAAAGGGGAACTTTTTGTGGGTTAATAACTAATTAACTATACTTTGCTATTTAATTTCATACTTGCAATTTAGTAAACATTGGCAGAAGAGGGTCAGCGGAGAGTGCAGCTTTGCCCTTGTAAATTGAATAAGGTGCAAATACTTTAGCAGCAGATTTGCCTAAAAACGAAAAAAAAAGGCAGAATCATTAGAAAGATGAATTCAGTTTTCAGTTGAGGAAGGGGTGAAGTGGAAATAAGACATACCAGTAGAAATCCCAGATTGCGTGGTCAGGCCACGCAGTAATTTGAGGTCAATAGTAGCTTCACTGACCAGACTCTTTAGGGACAACGAATCCCTGCGAAGAATAATAACTGGCATTAACAAACATCTGCTACATGAGGTTGTCAAACAATCATAATAAGTCAACCACAGGCTAAAAAATACATGTGCTTCTTGAGGGGACATAAGAGACTAAGGAAAGAGCACACATAAACGAGGTGTAATGTTAGACATTACACAATTAAAGGCGCACTCAGTGCTGTTTGAGAAACACCAGTTTGAATGCAATTGTTGTTGTTTAAGGAATCTGTATAAATGGGCTCACTTGAGTTGAGAACTCTAAAAATTGAATCAACGAAACCCTTTATAATTTCAAAAACCAAAATCCCCGATACTTGGAACTCATAGAAAGATGTAAGAAAGAAATGAACTAAATCAAACACCTGAAGAAATATACGAGACAAATATAAGAAAAAAATTTGGGGATGTACATCAGGGTTTAAGGTTCTCACTTTTCAAAGAGAGGAGAGTGTGTGCGTCTGTGTGAGAGAGAGTAGAAATGGCAGAAGAGTTACCTAGAAGAAGATTGCAGAAGCAGCCTCGACAGCTTCAACATGGCGACCGACCTCAGTTCGTATGTGTGTGTTTCCTTGAGTGAGGTTACTCCGGCGAACAAAGGTGTTTGTTCTATGTGTTAGTAAGCCTGGGTTTTTTATTTCGCCGACCCGCTCAATTATTTTCGTCTGTCCAGAGTATTGCTAATTAATCCCTCTAATCATTTTTTTAACAAATATTATAAAACTTTTTTTTTTTTTTTTGAGTAAACAAATATTATAAAACTACTTCTCTTTTTTCCTAAAAAAAAATATTATAAAACTACTCTATTTGTTTTCTTCCTAGTGATTACTTAATATTCAATTAATTAATAATTTCACCTAAATAATATTTTTTTTGTCTCGATGACAAAAATAAAAAATTCATCAAATTTATAATATAATACATATTTGAAAATTTTAATCTATAAAATTGTAATTCCTTGGTATATAACTATAATTTTAATGCATTTATAGTGTAAAATTTACACGATCAAGACCTCATTCCGAAACATGTCTCCCTAGGTTGTCGGAAAAGTGACCTAATGCCGGAGTTTAAGACCGGAGATTGCAATTATACCGAATCATAGTATGAAATATAAAGAGAACAAGAGAGAATTCATATTTGGAGTATAAAATATATTAGTTATGTGTATTTTATAATACAACGTGTCTCTCATTATGTCATTACATTCGTTTATATAGAGGATCTTTACATTGACATTCCCTACTCTTGTCGGAGTTTGGACCTTGATTGTGGGATTCCCGTTTATAATTTGTCAATCATCTATTTTTGAAAAATATCCTCGAATTTGACTTCTCAGCGGCTCTAAATCAATCTGTCACCTAATACGTATATATTGGCACACGGACTCATTATCCTTCTGGTACTCTTCCCCAACTTGCGGGGTTCGAGTGATGGCCAGCAAACTTGCTTCCATCGATCTAAAGCCCAAATTTAAGAGTTCGGCCGATTTGGCTCAAACTTTCCCGAACTGAGCCCTGTCGTGCATATACATTTATGATTAATCTGTAAAAATTTAATAAAAATATTTATTCTATTGTCTTCTTTTTTTCCGTTGTAGCAGTTGATGTTATGTTGAATCTCATTTCAAACATTTACTGAAAAAAACAAGGCTAGAGCTTTGTATTATTCAGGTTGAATTGGGAAAATTTGTGGTGGGTCCCAGTTAACTGGCCGTAAGAGCTTCAATGAAAAGCGAGTGTTTCTAGCCATCATATCATATGAAGATGACAAACATTATTGTAATTTCAAATATAGAGTTGACAGAAGAGATGAGATAATAGTCAGAAATAACAAGCAGTCACTAAAGTACTTGAATATAAATCTTAAGTCTTCTTCCTCTCAAAATCAAAATAAAAATCAGTCTTCTTCAATTCCTAGTTTACAATTACAAACCATAGACTTCAAAGAAAGAAAGAAAGAAAGAAAGAAAGAAAGAAAGAAAGAAAGAGTGCCAAGTTCCAGTTTCAACACAACTTCTTCTTCTGAGAGAGAAAGAGAGAGAGAGAAATAGAGAGAGAGAGAGAGAGAGAGAGGATAGAGGAGAGAGATAGAGAGCAACGGCATAAAGAAGATGAAGACAACCTGAGTCCTAACCATGGTTGGTGTGGTGTGATGTGATGTGTGTTAGGGAAAGAAGAACCCAAGAGAGACCAAAAATATATCTATGGGTAACTTCTCATGCATTGAAACTCCACAGCAAAATGATGGAGCTTCTTTCATGCTGGTAAGTGACATAGCTACATATTCTACAGCACCGTACACTAAAAAAAATAAAAATGTTTTGTACGTTACAGGGGCTCCAACTCCAAAAGTTTTGCCCATATGATAGAATATTTATACATAACAAAACAGAAGCATTAACACACCGTCTCCCTTTCCCTAAGAAGAGAAGGTTCGCTTCTTAACTAAACAAACACCAGTTTTAAAAAACACTATGACTAGTCAGAGTTTATAAAATCCTTAGACTAGGGTTACTTATTGTGAACAAAATCTGGGGCACCCCCTGCCCTGATTTCCTTGTACTCTACAATATTAAATCTAATTAGCAGTTTTCAAGATCAAAAAATTTTGAAAATGAAAGACCGATTTTGATTTAAAAATGATAAAATATACTTGACAAACATGAATAAAAAGACTGTTTGCATTGCAAAGCCCTTGAGGGGCAGAATTTGAAAATGGTTTTTGGTTTGCTTAGCCGTTCCAGGGCTAAGCGGACAAAATGTTAGAACCAACTTTGGCTTGATCAGTTGGGAATGAGAATGAGATGCACATGCATGCATGTAATTCCAAACTCTCTTGCAGGAACCTTTCCTACGTACAAAGACAAGTAGTGATCCATGGAAAAAGTGTAATCCAACTTTGGATGTAACCCCTTTTGGGGACTCTTCCATGTGTGGATTTTTAGGCATGATGGGCCTAGACAGAAAGAGATAGAGATAGAGAGAGAGAGAGATAGAGGAAGAGAGAGAGAGAGAGAGAGAGTGTGTGACAGAGAGACAAAGGAGAATGGAAAGATAACCATGGTTAGGCCAGAGGTGCTTGAGGAGCTTGCGGACGAATCTCAACAATTGGCATAAATCAGTCTCTCAACGATGAGGTATTGGTATTGGTATTGGTGCATGCAGAGTCATGGTCATGCCTGTGGCACAGCAAAGCAAACTGTCAAAGATATTAGTACCCACTTCAAGAACAAGGACCACCAACAAAACAATATTATATTACACATCGTAATAAATAATAATTAAGAAAGGAGGAATCAATGAACCTGCAGACTGAAGTGGAGTTGGTGGAGCAAGAGAGACAGGGTTGCCATAATGAGTTGGGTAAATGCCAGTTGAGTTAATTGGTGAATACTGGAAGAGTCCGTGATGGTGAGGATACTGAACACCATAACCACCCTGGCTGGCGGAGTAGGGTGTTGCTCCTCCACTCCCCGCCTCGTTCAAATTCAGATAAGGGTAATAACCACCTGATACAAGTCCATTGCTCCCAGCTGATCCATATACTGGATATTGTGCGCTCCCTCCTCCATACATACCATAGTAGCTCTACACAAACAACATACCTTATTTATTTTACAATATATTTTCCCCCAGCTAATAATACACTTTCGTTGTAGTATTCGCCAAATATTTCTCCTCTTCACTAGCTAGCCATTTGTAAATCATTATGAAATAATATCAATCACCCAAAAGGACATTCTCTTTTCCTGTAATGTTGTTTTTAATTTGTATGTTATGTTTGTATCAAAGCATTTTTTCAGCATTTAAAAACAAATATTGAGTTTGTTAAAAAAGTGGTTCCAATATATATATATATATATATATATATATATATATATATATATATATATATATAACACGTTAGAAAAAAAGGTGTGTGAAAGCAAGAAAAAGCTGGTAAGGAGTTAACTACGCCTGGAATATAATTAGCATGAGTCGATTGACGCTAATGGGCGGGCCATAAGGCGAATTGGGTGTTAATAAATTAGTTAAAGATTAGTTTGACTGAAAATGGCTATATAGTTAATTAGTCACATAAGAGTAGCAGTGTAGGAAGCTTTGTGTGAAAGAAAGAAAAAGAAACAAAAAGGGAAATGGTGCAAGTGAAGAGAAGAGTTGAAATTGGTACAAACCGTAGGGTAAGCATATTCGGTGGAGTATGGAGAATACCTGATTGTTTTTCAAAGAAAACCAATACAGTATCAGAATCTCAATCCCGTCAAGTCAATATATATACTTAAATTATATAAACCAATTTTACCTAACACACATGCATGCACTAATGATCATGTTTTCTTTATATTTTAAGTTGTAATATCGAATTCATCATAAATAGTTAATAGTTTGCGTAATTGTGATGCACCTAGGTATGTCCAAGCCTTCCACTACACGTGAAATGACAAATGTAGACTGTACATGGTTTTCAAAAGTATAACAATAAAATGCAAAAAATAATGATGCAAGAACAACTAGACTAGTGTATTCTATAAGAAAGGAATAGAACAAGTATAATTGGTTGGTACTCATTAGGTTTGAGCATGAGTGTGTGATACTAGAGAGAGAGAGAGAGAGAGAGAGAGAGAGAGAGAGAGAGAGAGAGAGAGAGAGAGAGAGAGAGATGTAAGAAGATGGAGATGATGATTGAGGGTGGTGGGGAAACCTGCAATGTGGTAATAGAGAGAGGGGCAAGCACGTTGTGGGATAAGTATATATATTTAAATGTGTAAATGTGTGTGTGAGAGAAGTAAGAAGTGGAGTGAGACTGGGTAGTGTGCCCTAGTAGTTGGCAATGCACGTGCTAAATTGACAGAGGACGTATAAAGAAACATATGTAATACATACATACATAAATGCATACATAGATAAATACATACCCATAAAGATTGTAAGGAATGCCTTGTTGAACGGAATAGTGAGGGAATGTTGTCGCAGAAGCAAAAGCAGCTGTTGTTGCAAATCCTCCCTGTTGATGATGAAAACCTCCAATCACCCTTATGTGCCTCCCTCCTCCTCCTACTGATGGATCATCACCATTATTCCAATTCATATTTATTAATTAATATTAATATGCATGTCCTCAAATATATATGTATGGATATATACGTGGAGTAATAATTAAAGGTGATGATGATGATGATGAGACAAGTAGACCGACCGAATAATGGTTTTCCAATTCCCACCTTTATTGGATTCTTCTCAATGGACAGGTGACAGCTCAGTTCGACTACTACTACTAGTAAAGAAAATCCACACAGCACAGCACAGCACAAAAGCTAAAGTGTGCTGCTGCATCTCTCTTTACACCCAAGAAATTACATGATGAGCTGTCATCCTTTTTTTTATAAAAACAGAGATGATAATATTGCCAGCTATACCACTTGTGTTTCTCTGTCCTAATTACTTTAAAAATTTATGTCAAGTGGACTACCACTAATTAATTCCTTGTAATAACCCCAACAAACAAACAAACAAACAATAATAGCAGATGATTTCACAGATTTGAAGATGCATGTGGGTGCATAAAATCAAATAAGAAAGAAAGAAATACCATGCTTGGGAGTGGAAGGCTTGGTAGATCTTTGAACACCCAAGGAAGCAAGATTGCAATTAGCCCTCCTTCCATCTATCACTGGAGTAGCATCAACACATGCTCTCATCGCACCATCTGCCTCACGGAATGTTACCTGACAATTTAGATTTTTTTTTTTTTTTTTTAAATCAATAATCCTATTCATGGATAATAATAATAATAATATATATATATGGATCCATCCATCCAGATTCCAGAATTAGGTATGGATCCATCGAGAAGAAAAAGTACATACAAATCCGTAGCCCTTGGATCTCCCAGTAGTCTTATCAGTGATGACGACAGCCTCCAAGATATCACCAAACTGTTCAAAGTAGTTCTTCATGGTGTCTTTTTGAGTCTCCCATGCCAGACCACCTACAAACACCTTTGTGTATGTCGTATCTCCGAACTGTCCTCCTCCTCCTATGTTTGCTCCTGCTGCTGTCATCCTCTCGATCGATCGATCCTCTTTTTTTTTTTTCTTTTTTTTATTTGATGATCTTCTAACACAGTAATATATATATATATATATATATTTCTGTTAATTTGCAGCTAATTAGCTGCTGCTGCTGCTGCTAGGTCAGATTGCAGATGTGGAGAGAGAGAGAGAGAGAGAGAGGGGTTAAAGAAATATTAGAGGGAGATAGATAGTGAGAAATGGGAGGGAACACAAACAGAAAAAGGAGGACTCAATTATATATATCCAACGTAACCCAGCAGCCCCCACTTCTTTAATTTAATTGACCTGGCCCCCTCACCCTCACGCGCTTTTTTACACTCCCTCCCCTTCAATTCAATTTTTCAGTTTATTATCTTTAAAGTTGCTAAAACCCTTGTCATATTTTTATATAATAATAATATATTTTAACAACCATTATTCTCAAGTATGTAATAACTGATATACTTTGACTGAGTATAATATAGAATAAGAGGGTGTTTGGCTAAGCTTATTTTAAACGGCTGATAAGCTCTTATAATTTTGATAAGTTGTTACATCTTATTTTTATGAGGGTTAATAAGATATAACCCCCTCATTAGAAAAAATATTAGGACTAACCACCTTACAATATTTTTAATGGGTCAAACCCCCTAAAAAATGTCAATTACTGAAATACCCCTATAATTTGTAATAGCAAAGACCCCCCTCCCGTTTTCCCCAAATACTGCATATCTTCAACCATCTTCTTCAACATAATTTCACCCAAATTTCCGTTCGTCTGCTACATTTATACCGATAAAATCGCCGAAAAAAAAACTGCAATATATACACCGCATATTTTCCCCTTTCGAAAATTGCCCTAGTTTGCTACATTTTCAGCGGAAAAAAAAACCCAGAATACCATTTTATTGTGCAATTCGTCCAGCAACACAGGTTGACAAGCAATGGTGAAGAACGGGAAGAAGAAGAAAGGTAGTTTGCTATATACCCATCTCTATCGCCGACTTTTTATTGACCTAATTTTGTGCATTTACCCCACAATTCCTCTCCCTGACACCATTATCAGCGACTCCGGAGGGCAAATCGAACACTTTTACAGAAACCGTATGCAAAGGTAAGTCTGGAATCGACAATCAATTTCACTTCGATTTGTTGTAAATTTCATAGCAATTTTGATTACTTTTGCTATGTTTCATACATGGGCCACTGAAATTTTTATTGATTACAGTGAAACCAAAATCGAAGAAACGAATGGGAGAGAAGAACACGAATAGAGGTATTAACAAATCGTCCATACTGATAGTTCACTTGATTTAAATACTTGTACAAAAGAATTAATCTATGTTTTATTTCTTTTCCCAGGAACGCCACATAGCAAAATGAAAGTTGACTTACTGCATCTAAACGCTGGTAATAATTTATGCAAATTGGTTTCCAATTGAACTATGTTTTTTTGGGCATTGTAGTTGACTGCATAATTATGAATCTAAAAACATTGTGGGTGGTGTTGTAGTTGAACTGTGAAGTTGATTACAATTCTATGTATGCGTTGTTCAAAAAAACGTGTTGATCTACAGCAGACATTTGCAATGAAATATAGTTTGTATGAGTACACCATTCCTATGACAATTGTTTAATAGTTTACTACTGCAGAAACTCAGGGTCAACTCATTAAGTCAATTTGATATCTAGTCCACTTATATTCTTTGTATGTTAGTCCACTATGATACATGATTAACTGTTAACTGCTTCGTAAACTTAGAGTCAACTTGCATTGTAAACTTAGTTCAATATATATAGTTCACTACATTTTGATGTCTAGTAAGTTGTGTCCACAACTTAATTTACTACATACAGTTTACATTATAGTTTACTGTATTCACTGAAATTTGACAGTGTACAAAAAACACGGTTTTATTGTAAACTTAGTTTAATCCATATTGTTTATTACATTATGTTGTGTATTAGGATATGTTCACTAATTAGTGTATACAATCTTGTTCACTACATTCTGTTTTGTGCTATTGTTGTTCATTTGAATTTACAGTTTCTAAAAAAATGGCACTGAGTGTACTACCAAACCTGTTCTGTGAAAATTGCTTGGAAGGCAAACTGGCAAACAAAATCATAGTAAACTACATTACAGTTCACTACATTACAGTTCACTGCATTAGAGTTCACTGCATTAGAGTTCACTACATTACAGTTCACTACATTACAGTTCACTGCAACGCAGGTTGACGAAAATGGTGAAGAACGGCAAGAAGAAGACAGGTAGTTTGTTATATACCCATCTCTACCACATAATTTCTATTTTTGACACCTTCTTCAGCGACTCCGAAGGACAAAATCGAGGTCTCCTACAAAAACGGTATACAACGGTACGCGACGACCATATGCGACGGTTCGGATGTCTTCCATGGTTGATTACTCAAAAATGGAGTTTGTAAACACGATTGTTTTATAAATCTACAGATCTATGGTCGCACTATTTGTTGACTCATAAATATTTGTTTTCCTATGAAATTTGTTTTATCAGAGTCCAAAACAAAGAAAAGATCAGTATAAAAATCGGTAGTTCACTATATTTTTCCCGAAGTCAACTATAAAAATCGGTAGTTCACTATATTTTTCCCGAAGTCAACTATAAAAAATAGATAGTCAACTATAATTTTTACGATGTCAACTATAAAAAATGGTAGTTAACTATAGTTTTGCCAGAGTCAACTACAAAAATTAGATAGTCAACTATAATTGTTCAAATGTCAACTATAGAAAAAATGGTAGTCAACTATAATTTTTCCATTAATTTACCATATTATTTTTCAATTTAAGATACTTTGATGTTATAAAATTGAATACTCATGATAAAGATCCTACCTTCATGAAAATATAAATTTCATAGGGTAGAAAATAAATTGATTTCAAGGACCAAAAATTGAGATATAGAAGAAAAGGTACAGTAGTGAGAAGAAATAGTGAAAAAAAAATGAAACAGAAACAGACGAGAAAAGAGGAATTGAGGGAAGAGAAGGAAGAGAGAGAGAAGAGAGAGGGAGAAAAAGAAAAAAAAAAGATACGGGAAAAGAGAAAATTGGGGAGGAGAGAGAAGAGAGAGAAGATAAGAGAGAGGAGAGAGAAAAATAAGAAGAGAGAGAGAGAGAAGAGAGAGAGGGAGAAAAAAGAAGAAAAGAAAAAGATACGGGAAAAGATGAAATTGAGGAGGAGAGAGAAGAGAGAGAAGGGAAGGAAGAAAGAGAAAAATAAGAAGAATAAAAGAACACGTTAAAAAATTGAGGAAAATAAGGAAGAGAGAGAAATTAGTGGAGATATAAAATGACGGATATGAGAGAAATAAGGAGAAGAGAGAGAAAGTTGGAGATAAATATGGACAAAAAAGGGCATAATGGGCATTAACATAAGCTTAGGGGGGTCACACAATTCAAAAAATATTAAATGGATTTGTCTACAAATGGTCAATTATAAATTGGGCCTATACTATATTATTTTACCTAATGAGGGGGTTATCCCTCATTTTCCCTTTTTATGATTACTTTTTATAGTGTTTGGATAATGAGCTTATTTCTTATTTTTACTTATTATAAGATCAAATAAATAAAAAGGTAGGTAGAGATACTTATTTAAAAAGATCTTATTTGGTCTCCAACAACTTAATTTTTTAAAATTAAAATCTTTTTTTTTTTAAATTACCAAACACTTTGGAAGAGCTTATAAGCTCTAAAACGTCTTATAAGCTCGTTTTAACATCTTAGTCAAACACCCTCTAACTGTAACCAACTTCATAATTAACGTGGGTAAGTTCATGCAATATTGTGCTTGAAAATGGAGAGGTAATAAGGTCCAAAACAAAAAAAAAAAGGTTGTGGGAAGTGAAACACTCGCTGGCTACCGAGGGTGGGGAATGCCAAGGGGCGCACATTATTGTGTTTGCCATGTTTATCTTCATCTCGCTATTTATTTTTATTATTATTATTATTATTATTATTATTATTATTATTATTATTAGTGTGACAAACAAAACAGAGATTTAAATTTAATTGCCCCTTCCTTATCACACCATAACGTAACACTCGTCGCTAACAGTTTAACCCCATGCTACTTTGCAACAACTACGTCCGTTTCTTAAGAGATACTAATAAATAGGGAAAATTACAGTTTATGTCCCTAAACTTTATCACTAAAACGATTTATGTCCTCAAACATTTCAATCCACGAAATATGTCCTCAAACTTGCCACTTTTGATCACTTTATGTTCTGTCGTTAACGTCGGCAGCTAATTTCGACGGAAATAGCACGCGTGGCTCACGTGACGTCTATGTGGCCGTTAAATGTCGAGTTGTACAACACCCAGTGCCTACTTGGCTGACAAAATGTGATGTGGAGCGACACGTCATTCTCCTCCCCTATTTCTATTCTAAAATCCCTAATTCTCCAAAAACCCATTTCGAAAATTGCAGAATTGTCTTCTCAAGTTTTTGAATCCTTAGCTTGTGTATATATATAACAAATCAGAAATTATGTGTTTTATTAAAGTACGGGAGTGTTTCCTGGAGGGCGGGCAGGACTAGCGATGCGCATCGGTGCACCATAGCTTGGAGGTGACGAACAGTTCGCCGCGGCTCTTGATCAGGCCGCCGCCCAATGCCTCCGCAGCGGCGCGGCCGACAATTTCTTCCGTGCCGCAGATCGCTGCCGAGTCGAAGTGGCGGTATCCGGCGGCACTGGCCCCGACGAGGAGTTGTACCAGCTATTCCGCTGGTACCGCGGAGGCGGCAGATGCCCTAGTCCCGAAGCCTATGGCCGGCATCTTGGTCGGAGTTCAATTCCACTTCTGGAACTTGTACTGTATCCATTAATTTCTCAAATTCGAAGTTGATTAAATATATAACTGGAGAAATTCACCTCAATTGAAGGATTCAAAATGGGGTTTTGGAGAATTAGGGATTTTAGAATAAAAATAGGGGAGAAGAATGACGTGTCGCTCCACATCACGTTTTGTCAGCCAAGTAGGCATTGGGTGTTGTACAACTCGACATTTAACGGCCACAGAGACGTCACGTGAGCCACACGTGCTATTTCCGTCGAAGTTAGCTGCCGACGTTAACGGCAGAACATAAAGTGATCAAAAGTGGCAAGTTTGAGGACATATTTCGTGGATTGAAATGTTTGAGGACATAAATCGTTTTAGTGGTAAAGTTTAGGGACATAAATTGTAATTTTCCCCTAATAAATACTATATTATTTTAACTCTAAATAATTTAAATTAAATTTAAATTTCGAGATGAAAAATGCTCGTATTATATTATTATTATTATCACTGGTTGGTTGGGTTGGGTGGGTCTTAAGTTATTTTTGGGAGGCAAATTGATCTTCTCATCCTGTAATGGCTAAACAAACCCGTCAACAACTACTTTTCTTAGGCAGCTAATTATTATTAATAATACTAAAATTTGTGAAAAAGCTTAACAGAATACATAATAGTACTAAAATGGTATGGTCCCACTCCGCCACTTGTTTTGATTCTTCAGCCGAGACAGGTCAACAAAAAAAAGGGTGCCCAAATCTATATACAAATATCATTCAATTCCAATTATTAATATTATTATTATTTCCATATTAAAAATAAAGTATAGTTTATTATCTGGTGGTAAAGCTACACACACCCCTGGGGATAACCCCAAAGCTGTCTCCAACTAACTTGTTCTTTTTTTGACCAAAAGTGATATATATTATTCCTCTCCAACTCATTTCACTCCGTCACTCACCCACTACTACTACTGCTACTCTCTCTCTCTCTCTCTCTCTCTCTCTCTCTCTCTCTCTTCTATCTCTCTCTCTCTCACGTGCGCGCATGGACACACACACACACACACACAAACACACAGTAGGCCATTTGATGATAGCTGTGAATCATGTGAAATCCCAGTCCATGTCCACTGTCAAATTGCCCCACGGCCTGTCATATAATCTAATATATTATGTGCCATGTCATTCTTGGATGGACCAGATTAGATATATATATACATTTTAGTGAGCAAACTTGTCTTCTCTAGATGTATTCGCCACCAAACCAAACTCCAACATAGATAAAAGCTAGTAATTGAAACACAGCAAACTTAGCAATTGAAAGTGTTATCAATCTATAAGACTTACAATAAAGAGTGATGAGTGATGATTGATTTAAAAGAGAAGCTAGTCCATCTCTTCATGATAGAGGTGAAGTCCGAGCCCAAAACGAGCACAAGCTCTACGAAATGCCATTGCTTCTGCCTTCTGCACTGGATCCCCATACCCTGTCTCACTAGTTGAAGCACTTCCTGTTGATTCCCGGAATATCTATAAAAAAATAAAAAGGTGTTATCATTTATTTCAGGAACTTGGACGAATATTTGGTTAGTAAACTACACACAACAAACACTCTTGTAATAATATAAGAGTAGAATGATCCAACCTCAGAGTTGTTATACACATATTAGGGTGGGTGTAAACATTTTTCTAGAATGTGACTTCATCTGGGACATTTTATACAAACCCATGGTAAATATAGTTACTGAAGTTGCATCTTCCTAATAATCAGAAAATCATCAGTACTTTTATTGGCATTCACATTTAGCAACAAACAATGACAGACTCTGAGCTTAGAATGAACTTGCAACTAATAACAAATAAGAATGAAAGAAGCAACACTACCATAAAGTGTAATAAGAATGGAAATGGAAAATACCTCAGCATCAGTGCCATAAAGTGTAACACGATAGACAACAGATACAGATTTACCATCAGCTGAATAGTTGATGCTTCGAACTTCACCCGACCATTCTACAAATTAAAAATAAAGGAATTGAGTACCATCGAATTATATCATCTCGATAAATAACTCTGTCATACCTACCTGGTGCATGTAAGTTCATAATCCGATTCAATATGTGCCTGCAATTGATGCCATACACACACACACACACCTCTTGTGAGTTATCAATAATAATTTCTGATTTTTTTGAATACAAAACTCTGTTTAAATAAAACATGAGAGAAATAGGGGGAGAGAGAGAGAGACCATGGGATGTATTTGAAGGAGAAGCCATCGGGATGGGTGCGGTGCCTGAGGAGGGTTTCGGGCACTTTCTTGTTCAAATCTTTGAGAATATTGGAAAGAGGTCTGCTTATGCCGGAGGTTGGAACGCCCTCCTCTTCAATTCCAATGTTTGCTTCTTGTTGCAATTTACTACTTTTATTTTGGTTCAGAGGGGACGATGATGAAGAAGAAAAGGGTTTGGCTGATTGTAAGCAATATTTTTTAGTGAAGGATCTTCTGGCTGCCGCCATACTTGGCCGCTCTGCTCAGCTTCAAAAGTTTCCCCAAAATCCAATTTTCTTTCATTATATTATTGGTCTTGGGCTTACCATTTTTGTTTGTTATCGTTAATGGGTTCGCTGTACTGAAGCCCAAATATCTCCAGGGAAGAAAGATGGCGCTATCTGTCATTATATTATTGGGCTTAAGATTAGGCTTAGCATTTTTTTTATCGTTAATGGGTTCACTGTACTGAAGCCCAAATATATTGGTCCATCAAATATATCGTGCTAGCGACATTTCTGTTTTATGAAATGTTGCAAATTTAAAATCAATTGATAAAATTTGTTATAGTTGTTGCAAATAAAAAATAAAAATATTGATTGATTATACTAAAAATGGAAATAGCTTCTTGTATTAGGAAATTGTACTGGAAAAAAAAAAAAAAAAAGCACACATGTATGTTTGGATGATGATTAACAAACAAAGGGGGTGGGTGATGGGATGGGATATAGGGGGGATCAGAAATTAATAAGAGCCAACTGTTGAACATTGATTGGGTAGGAGTCGGAAGGAGGGCCGGCATAAAGCCTGTGAGCAAGTATGGCATCAACAGCTTGTGTTGGGTGAAATGCATCCCAGAATACATACTGATTCCTGTTGGTGCATGGTGCTGTCCATGGCATGCACGTTATCTGTCCCTGGTTCCTACCAATCCCACAACAACCTCTGTCCACCACTTTGAATCCGTATTTCCCTGGATTGTTCAATATGTCCCCACTTGCACCGTAGCTGTTTCCGTACACGAACATTGATCCTGGATGTGTTCCGTTGTTCATTATGTTCACTAATGATACCAGCCCCTGGTTGAATATACCAATTATTTGGTTCACATAGTCAACGCACCTCCCTGGTGGGGCCTGCCCTGTTGCCAGCTGGTTCGGTATGCAGCCTAGTGGCCCCACTCCCGCAATCACAAACTTGCGCAGACCCACGCTGTATAGCGCCACCAGCTGTCGAGCGTAGTGATTGAGAACAAGGTTGGCAAACTGGGTTGGGTTGTAGTTGAAGCTCGAGGGGTACATTGTAGGCATTAGATAGTTGTTTATGTAGTCATTGCTCCCAAATACAAACACTGCTATTGATTTCGACAGGTAATTGCTCAAGTTAGGGCCGCTGATCATTGTCCGAAGCTGACTCAATGTTGTTTCAAAGTTTATCACTTGTTGGCTCAACGAGTACCTTTCCCCCTATTAATTATATATAATTCATGATATATTAACCAGCTAATTATAACTTATATTAATTACTCCACATCATCGATCAAACCTAATTCTAATAAATAACATATATATTAGTAGTACTCACGTAGTGTTGGCCGGTTTCATCAAGGATGCCAGCAGCTGCAGAAGCATAATTAACACCTCCGAGAATTCTAGCTCCGGTTGTCGTTGGATCTGCAAATGGAGGAGGCGATGCAATGCCTAACCATGCTCCTACATCATCACATGAATCAATAATACGGAATGTAATTAATATAGTTATATATATATATGGTTGCTAATTAATTAAGTAAGATAATTAACAGTTAATTAGGTAGATAATGATTAATCGGAGGATTTAGAAATATAGGTAGGTACCAAGGTAATCGACAAAAGTATTTCCATTGGAGAATCTGCCGGTAGGGGCCCCTGTGTCGGAATCAATACCATATGGAAAATAGTTTGATTTGGCAATAGAGTTAAGGAAATTGTTGTTCCCATTATCTACCAATGAGTCTCCAAACACGAATAGTGCGCTCGCCTGTGCTGCTCCTGCTGCTGCTGCTGCACCACCACCTTGTGAGCCACCACTACCACTATCACCATCATCTTCATCAGCAACAGTACTACTAGTGGTGGTGCTGGTGGTGGATGAGCACACTAGTACTACATTTACATAAATCAACACCACCATTAAACAAATACACATAAACCTCCTCCTTTTGCTACTACTTACTACTGCTGCTAAACCCATACCTACCTAGCTCTAATTTTTATATTTTTATATTTGTTTTTCAAAGAGAATTTTGCCAGTATATATATATATATATATATACACACGCACATACATACATAAAGCTGAAAGGTTAGTCCGAGAATTGGTGGATGGATAGTATCCATTGGCAACGGCTAATTTTGGAAGGAAGCTAAGAATAGTAGCATGATATGTATGTTCCTTGCAACTTTATGGCCTAATAATAGAAAGGAACATGTCATTTAACATTTCTACTCATGCTCTTCCTCATCTACTCCAGCCTAATCCATGTGAACCCTTAGCTTAGCTTTTACCCTCCAATTATATTGCTCTATACGCTTCCATCATATACATATATATATCTTTGTAATAATATTTTGTATTTGTGGTGCATGTGTCAGTAATTGGATAAGTTCACCATCAAGCTGTATGTATGTATGATGTTAAATAATTGTTACCCCACTTGAACAGTTTAACATTATTTGCGTTAATTACCCATTCACATTCATTTTGCCCTACACCCTCCAAACACCATTATATTATAAGGATATATGCATATGCATCCACTGTCCAGTAAATCATTAAGTATGTATGTATGAAGATTTTAAATTAATGTTTATAACAAGTTAAATATATAATGTATGAGTTGAACCTCTATTTATCGTAATTTATTATTTTAATTATAAGAAAAAATAATGCGTTCTAAAATGATCTTGGAATATTGCACTAGTAATTAATTATACAAGATCGAGTTTGACTTAAGGATGGATCGATGAGTATTCGATTTAAAAAAAAAGGTATATTGATTGAGAATACCAATAGTCAACCCTTACCACTCACTCAAAAGGCCGGGTCAAGTCCCAATGATGATGCCCCTTCGTCCTTCTAATTGCCGTCTCTCGTCACTTAACAATCATCATCATTACCTAAACTAATTAAACTACTTACTTGTTCATCAACAATGCTTTATATATATATATATAACAAGATTTAGTTTTATTAAATCTTATAAATGCGGGTGCCGACCTCTGGACTCGGCATTACTCCTGATCTCGGTTTCTCGGCAGTCAACTCAGGTGAAATGCAAGCCTTTTAGCTGGGGTTGCCGCCTAGGGCATGATGAATTTGGGCCCAATTCTCTGGGCTTTATATGGCTATAGTATCACTATGTGCTTACAAAATTGAGTTAAACCTTAGAAAAATAATTCAATAAAATTTGTAATTTCAAAATTAATTAAATTTGTAATAATTAGTTCAAAGTTCAAACATAAACAAGGAGTAACTTTAAGAACTAGAGTAATAATGTAAACGAGTCTATTTAATTAGTTTTATGGTGATGAATTAAAACTCTGGTTCAAATTCAACCGCCAAAGAAATGAAGATGAATTGCCTCTATGGTGGTTTATGAATCAGAAGTTGTTCTTGGGTGGATGCGAATACGATGATGAGCTTTTGCACGAATAAGTTGGTTACTGAATATTCCGGTCCGGCGGTTTCCATCTCCCACAATCAACTCAAGGTACTCTTTTTTATTTATTTGTTATTATTAAAACTACTAATATTGGAGAAGACCTAGGGATCATCAAGTTCCACATTTGTGCCTAATTTTTAATTATATATTGCTGATTTGTTGATTCATTTGCCATTGATAATTAATGAACTCCATTTGATGATTATGTAATCAATTACTAGGGTGATCTCTTTCTCTGAAGAAAAAAAAAAAACAATTTGTGGTTAGATTACTTGTTTAATTTTTAATTGATTTGGATTATATATATACATCATCGTGATGGATTAGAAACTTAGTAAATAAAATGTGGGAGTTGGATTGAATTTGAAACTTATCAACAGAGTGTGTCTGTGTTGAATGAAAATGACGGGTCGGCAATAGAAGTTGGAGTGGAGGATATTGAAAGTTAGCAACTGCGGCAGCACGAGAGAGAGAGAGAGACTATTTTCAACCAGTGCATGATCACATACACACAAAAGAAGCAAAGCAAACTAGTGGTGATTCACGCTCCACATCCACTACTTACAAGTTAAATATATATATATTGTGGAAAGCAATTAAGGAGAATGATGGTGCATGAATTGGGGGACATTGACAAGTACAGTTGATGGTTCCCCAGAATATGCAGCAGCTAGCTTAGTGGTGGTTGGGGGTACATCATACATATATATACACATATATATGTGGTTTCAAATGAGATACAAATTACTTGGGGACACTAGAGCTATTACCTATCTATCTTTAACCTTTATCAAGGATGGATGGATGGATGGATGGATCGATGATAATCGATCATGGTGGGGGCTGAGGGCAAGTACCTTTTCTGAATTTTGTGGCAGGTGGGCCAGCCCACTACAGCAAAGTCAACTCGGCTGAGAAGACAAGCAGCAACAAAGATGGTTCTGGACATTATAAATACCGAGCCATAATCCACTTGACAGTTTGTCTCAAAATCAGTAAAGAAAGGTACTACCTCCTTTTCTCGATTAACAAACTCTCTGTAGATAGATAGCAGATCACTAGCTTTTGCGCTTTGGGGTTTGTCTTAGGTGTATAGAGAGAGAGCAGAGAGACATAAACAAATACTTATATATAAATGGATAGGGAAGGGACAAGGTCAGAGGATACTATCCTCCGAGGATCATCAGAACCTGATATTCACATGTCTGTTGATTGGAGAGGGAGACCTTGCAAACCTACCAAACATGGTGGAATGACTGCTGCTCTTTTCGTATTAGGTCTCTCTCTCTCTCTCTCTCTCTCTCTCTCTCTCTCTCTCTCTCTCTCTCTCTCTCTCTCTCTTATTTTCTTCAGCGTAGCTACCCCTCAACATCCCACACACTCTCTAATTGCGTCCACAATATTATGAATGTGATTTATTTATCTCCTTTCTGGTCACCTATATATATATATATATATATATATATATATATATATATATATATATATATATATATCAATGTTCATGTATAGAGGCAATTCATTTAGTGGAGTATGTGATAGGTAGCATTATCTTAATGTTTCTCTCTGAGTGCTCATCAGTCATTTAAAAATTTATAGCACGGACGATCAATATTCAAGTCCATGTTTGGAAGTTGGAAAAGATTATGATTAATTTATTTATGGGAAAAAGTTATGAATGTTTGTATCAGGACTTGAAGCGTTTGAGATGATGGCGATTGCTGGTGTTGGAAATAACTTAATAACCTATGTGTTCAATGAGATGCATTTTTCTCTGTCAAAATCGGCAAACACAGTCACAAATTTTGTGGGGACTGTTTTTCTGCTGTCCCTATTGGGTGGATTCCTCTCTGATTCTTATCTGGGGAGCTTCTGGACAATGCTCATCTTCGGATTTGTGGAGCTCTCTGTAAGTTCAATTCATTCGTTCATTCATTCATCTGTTAATCAGTATTGCACCTTCACAAAAAAATAATAATAATAATCTCGGCACAGGGATTCATTTTGCTGTCAGTTCAAGCACATGTTGGGGAACTGCGGCCTGCAAAGTGCAATGTGAGCATTGGTGTTGTTTGTGAGGAAGCAGAAGGGTACAAGGCGTGGATATTCTACGGGGCCCTTTACTTGGTGGCTTTGGGGAGTGGCTGTATGAAGCCCAACATAATCTCTCATGGAGCAGATCAGTTTGACGTGAAGCAATCAAAGAAGCTGTCCACTTTCTTCAACTGCGCTTATTTCTCATTCTGCAGTGGTGAGCTTGTGGCGCTCACTCTTCTCGTATGGGTTCAAACTCATTCTGGAATGGATCTTGGCTTTGGAGTCTCCGCCGCTGCCATGGCTGTTGGCTTAATTTGCTTGATATCTGGATCAATCGTTTACAGAAACAGCCCACCCCGTGGAAGTATTTTCACACCAATTGCTCAGGTTTTTGTAGCAGCAATCTCAAAGAGAAAGCAAATATGCCCCTCAAATTCTGAGATGCTGCACGTTACAAACGCAACATCTGGGACCAATACGATGATATCTAACAACGTGACTCTCATTCACACTGAAAAGTTCAAGTTCCTTGACAAAGCCTGCATCAAAATCCAAAACAATGGGATGACGAGGGAAAGTCCGTGGAGGCTGTGCAGTGTGTCACAAGTGGAGCAAGTAAAAGTGCTGTTATCCGTAGTACCAATATTTGCGTGCACCATCTTGTTCAACACAATATTAGCTCAGCTTCAAACATTCTCAGTCCAACAGGGGACTTACATGAACACTCATCTGACTCGTGATTTCCAAATCCCTCCAGCCTCTCTCCAGGCCATACCATACATGATGCTCATCTTTGTGGTTCCCCTTTACGAGACTGCTTTTGTTCCACTAGCAAGGAGATTCACCCAAAGGGATTCGGGGATCTCTTCTCTCCAAAGAGTTGGGACCGGCCTTTTTATAGCCACTTTCTCCATGGTTGCTGCAGCTATTGTGGAGCACAAGAGAAGAAACTCGGATAAAATGCTGTCCATATTCTGGATAGCTCCGCAGTTTCTGATATTTGGAGTCTCGGAGATGTTCACAGCGGTGGGACTGATAGAGTTTTTCTACAAGCAGTCAATACAGGGGATGCAATCTTTCCTAACAGCCATGACCTACTGTTCATATTCATTTGGATTTTATCTGAGCTCCCTTTTGGTGTCCTTTGTGAACAAAGTTACTACTTCAACTTCAACTTCAACTTCTACTTCTGGAGGAGGAGGAGGTTGGCTGAGTGACAATGACCTGAATAAAGATAGGCTTGACCTCTTTTATTGGTTGCTATCTGCACTCAGCCTCGTCAACTTCTTCAATTACCTTTTCTGGTCCAAATGGTATTCTTGCAATCCATCTCTATCGCATTCTCCATCACCAATTACCGAGCCTCGTCAATTGGTACTGGACGACCTAGAGAAACAAACTTCCATCACTATAATCAACTACAATACCAACCGTTAGTGCAGAAAATAATAATGTGACTATATATTGCTGACTAGTTTATGTACCTGAAAAGAATTAGAAATATATAATATGGATGGTATTGTAATCACTTAGTGCACCTACTAGCTAGCTTGACAACTTTATATGCCTTTATATTTTATTTTTCGTGAAATTAATTGGACTTGCAACAATTTTTATAGAGGAAAGTTAGGTCTGAAACCATCATTAATCAGATTCATTAATGAAGCTTTATTTGTGATGTTCACAGGACACGTCTCATCTCATCTCATCTTCATCAACAAGTATAGTGATCCGAGTGAGTGAGTGAGTGGTGGGGTTTGTGCACTCACTTTAGTTAAAAGCAGAAAGTGTCTTTATTATTATTAATATATATTTACTAAGCAACAAGTATAGAATTACTCAACACAAAACATGTTTCTGCTTTCTAACCAACCACCCTTGGGGTAAAGTTTTTACTTAGTGTTATTGGGCGGTCCATATTGATATGTTGTCCCCCATCATTTCACTCTTTCACCATCACTTTTAACCTCCACAATCAAACATGTCTCACTCATGTTCCTCCCTATATTTTACCAAATTTTATTTCTCCTAAACAATAATAATTATATTAATATCACAAAATGTACGTTTCCAGGAACATTTCTTTCTAACTGTGGACTATGAATTTTATCATACTCAGTAATATTGCATTTACACGTGTCATGTGTACTATAGAACTTTGACGTGTGAAGGAAGGTTAGGAAATGACATCATCATCACCCCATAATCTGATACCTGTTTCTCTAGACCATCCATAATCTGATTACAGACAGATTATGGTAATTCTTGGTCAATATGACACAAGATTTTGAGCATATTATTTATGATCCAGTTCCAGTCAGTCTCATACATAAATAAAGGTCTACAATGGAGATACAATCCATTTTAATTCTAATCAAAACATCTACACTTGCTCTATAACTTTATATATCCACTACATAAACTTATAACTAGCAAAGAAGACGGCTCTAAATTATGGTTGCGCTCACAGTCACACAGACAACTAAATAAGCTTGTAAGTTAATCTTCTCTATACTCCAACTTCAATTTCGTAACTGTTTGGAAATTATGCATATTTTTCAAATGTGGATTGTTTTTTTTATTTTTTTATTTTTCTATTTCTATTTATTATTATTTTTTTGTGTGTATTATGTTGTATCTGGTTCTTTTTCTTTCATCAACAAATTATTCTTTTTTTTAGGCTCTGTTTCTTTTGTCATTCAATTTGGCCATTTTAAGTGAGATGGTAGAGATTTTGCTAACTACACCAGATTTGAGTACATGCTTTGTATTATAAGCTTTTATTTTTCATGTTGTTAACATTAAAGTACATGGTGGTAGATTTGCCTAAAATTAATATTTACTTGATGAAACAAAATGAATCTCCAAAACGTGCAAAATTAAAAACTTTGGCCTGCCTCTGAAATATGAGAAAAAAACGTGAAATAAGGGAGGAGAGATTGAAATTAATAGACAGTTTGTTGAAACATGAAAAGAACATGATTGAACTGCCACCCTTTGCAAGCAAAAAAATTCATCACATCATCTAATAAATGCCATCCATAGCATCTAATTAACTAGTGCTAGTTATATATCAATTCCATTTCAATATCTTGATAAATTATTGACATTTTTTTTTCAACCAATCCTCTTAGTGATCCTAATGATTGTTACCGTCATATTCGGCAGGTACTCAGATTTACTAGTTTTATTTCTTGTATTATTCTTGAATCCAGTATCTATACATGTGTAGCATTTGAAATATGTGGATATATTTGCATTGGTTCATTAATCTTGGCTAGTTACTGTGTTTATGCTTTATTATTACGGATTTACTTTTTTGAACGCGATAGAACTGGCATCATCATCATCATCATCATCATCATCATCATCATCATCATCATCATCATCATCATCATCATCATCATCATTACATAGTGCTTTGCCGAATCCCCCGACACTGCATATGACATTTTAGTGTCCATGTGGTTAATAACTATTGAGGCTGCACCATTAACCGGTTGAATTAACGTGGACATAAATTCCAGACAGGTGTGTCGATCTTTTCAATTAATCAAGTTTTGGCAGCTGGCAATTGGTTTAGCTTAGCTTTTTAAGATTTAGACTTTAAAATTGCTCCCTTCCTTTTACACAATGCATTTGGAAATTCTTTGGGATGTTTTCTTGTACAAGCATTAATAAAATTCGTTTACCCAACATACTAATTGCACTGCCTTTTTTTTCTTCTTAAAAAATTTATTGCTTCTACCTCAGACATCCCACATCCTCAGTCATGACATGTCTGAAGAGAATATGCTTACTGCCATACATTGTATGCATGCTACTAAGAGAAATATCAATGTACAAATATAGCTTTCTTACAATAATGGTGTGTTACAATTGCATAATTAGTAGGAACCAACATTCTTGCATAACATACTCTGGTTGTCCATACAGAACATAACAAGATCAGAAAGCGATACGGTGTAGAAGAAGAAGGTGAAATTGTGTATTAATTAATTGTGGGGGGTAATGGTGTCAATATTTTCAGCCTTGCAGCTCAACAGCGAGAACAATAGTAATAAGAAAATGAGAGTGAAATCAGTTTCAGGAAAGGTTATCTTTGCACTATGTATTGCGAGCTTTCTTGCAGGAACACTTTTTACTACACAGACAAGGCCACAACACACTTCTGACCATCAGCATCACCTGATCCTCAAACCCGATTCAGATGCAGATGCTGCTACTACACATGCACATGATTGTGACCACAAGCGTGTGAGTCTAAACATTTAATTAAGTCTTGTCAAGTAATTAGTTACTAATCTATTCTTAATTGAATTTTATTCTCAAATACACACATCTCTTGGTGTTTAATATTTGGTTAGAAATTGGCTGAAAAGAATCCAAGAGACATTATGGGGGAAGTGGTGAAGACGCACCAAGCTATCCAGTAAGTTTTTTGTTTGAACTTTGTAAGTAATTATCCGATTGATCATCTTATAATGTAATTAGTATGTGAGTAACTGAACCTTGAGCAGATCGCTAGATAAAACAATATCAACACTGGAGATGGAGTTGGCTGCTGCAAGGACAAGCAATAAGATGGCAAGAGCATCGACGGTCAATCACAATAGCAGCCTTGAGAAAGTTTTTGTAGTGATAGGGATTAATACAGCATTCAGCAGCAAGAGACGAAGAGAGTCTGTTAGAGAAACATGGATGCTGAAAGGTGCAGGCAGTTACTCTCTAAGTAGTTAGCGTAGAAATATAATATAGTTAACAAATAATTAATATTGAACATGCATGCAGGAGAGGAATTGAAAAGGTTGGAGAAGGAGAAAGGAGTAGTGATGCGATTTGTGATAGGGCACAGTGCAACACCTGGTGGAGTTCTTGACAGAGCAATCGATGCTGAGGATGCGCAGCACAGAGACTTTCTTAGGCTGAACCACATAGAAGGCTACCACCAGCTTTCTACTAAAACTCGTTTGTTTTTCTCAACAGCTGTCTCTATCTGGGATGCAGACTTCTATGTTAAAGTTGATGATGATGTTCATCTCAATTTGGGTACGTAATTCATTTTATCATTCATCCATCCACCAACACTTCATTGTTACTTTTATTATTATTATGATTGATGATAAGTAGTTGTGGATCACTTGTGCACGCAGGCATGCTAGTGAGCACGCTGGCAAAGCACAGATCAAAGCCAAGGATTTATATTGGGTGCATGAAGTCTGGACCGGTCCTTTCTCAGAAGTGAGATTATTATCTTTTTTGTTTTCTTCTTTAAGACGAGTAGAATATTATATATACTCATTGGGAGTGCAGGGGGGAGAAATATCAGGAGCCAGAGTACTGGAAATTTGGGGAACAAGGTAACAAATATTTCAGGCATGCCACTGGTCAAATCTATGCAATCTCAAAGGACCTCGCCACTTATATTTCCATCAATGCGTAAGTATTACTATTATTAATTACTTACACAGAAAACATTATTGCATATAAAGATAATCAACATAACATTTACAGGGGCATATTGCACCGATATGCAAATGAGGATGTATCGTTGGGCTCATGGTTGATTGGATTGGAAGTTCAACATGTAGACGACCATTCTATGTGTTGTGGAACGCCTCCAGGTACCTACCATTTCCAACCAACCAATACTGCCTGATCAATATATAATATAATCACCAAGTACAAATAACTTTATATACATATGTTTATGTGGTGATGATTTAAATCCTTCGTTGTTGGACAGATTGTGAGTTTAAATCGAATGCTGGAAACCTTTGTGTGGCGTCGTTTGATTGGCAATGCAGTGGGATATGCAAATCTGTGGAGAGGATGAAAAAAGTGCACAATGCCTGTGGAGAAGGCGATGCAGCTATTTGGAACGTTCATCTCTGATTTTTAATTACATATTTTTGTATGACGACCTCGCTCATAAATAACGAGACCAACCACTCCGCTATTTATCCAAATGTTGTGTTGGGCATCTATACAAAGATTGCATAGTTCAAAATTAAAAAGAACCTCAATAATATTGATTATTACAGGGATTAATAGTTATATTGTGTGAAAAGAAAATGTAAGAACATATTTTCTCAGTTTGGAATACAACTCGGTCTTTAATCCAAGATTCACACTTAGAGATTCCACTAAGGAATCCACCAACACCACCAAGTACTACATAAACCAACATAAAGAAACACAAATTCAAGCACACACACTCACCAAATAGTCTCAAATCTCACACAACAGAAGGATTTTGAGTTTACGTTGAGTTTAGGTTATTTATCAGTGTCTTAACTGCCTTCATTCTGTTCTACTTAGGTCAAAGGTAGCCAGCGAAGATACCACTTGAGGGTCAAAGTCAGCCGTGTACGACGGCATTTGACCCTAGAGCATTACAGAGGAAGAAGGCGAAAAGAAATGTAGAATGGATGAGATTAATTACTAAATTGGGTTTATAAATACACACTTGGGCTTCTCTAGAGTAAATGGGCTTCACAGACCCATCAATTCATTTAGGCTAATATATCCTAAGTTGCACTTGGATTTCAAGTTGCATACGCAGTGCTTTTCCTTATTAATAATACATGATCTTCGATCTGACTACTTATACTAGTGTTTGTTGTGATCATCCATCCTTCACAAAATTTCAACTGCTGCAAAACCTTAATAACTATTAAAAAAGAAGTAGATATTAATATTATAATTTAAATTGATGTGGGCAGCGGCATTACTTAGAAGAAGATACACCTAATTAATTAAGTAATTAGTGAAAGCGTAAGACCTAATCAATGATAGTAAAAATAGGATGAAGGATGATGAGAAGAAAGTTCCTGAATCAAAGGGGTAATACATGTGCATATCCCGATCGAGCTACCTAGCTAAGCCCAGCCCATTTTTCGTTATCAAACAAACTATATATATATATATATATATATATATATATATATATATATATATATATATATATATTAGCCCTACATTTGCAAGTTACATCAATCCCTAGAAATGCATTAGTATATTGTTAGCACTTGCTTTACGAGCAATCAAATATCCCTTAATTCATTTTGTTAATTTCTGAATGGGAATGCACCATCACCTTCTTCGCTTTGACTTTCCTTTTTTTTATTTTTATTACCTTTTTTTTATTCTTCTACTTTTTTGTCTTTCGAGAAAATGAAGATTTAATATTAAAATTGAGCAGTTCGTATAGTGTTTAATTGGTGATTTTTTTTCTTTTAGAAAACAAAAAAAGGAAGGAAAAATGTCAGTGATGATGGATGACGCATTTTTTGACATAAAATGGCTGCATGAGCATGGGAAAAAAACATTTGTATATATAATACGAGGGAGGGAGGTTGTTCAATGTCCAGCCTAGCTAGGTAGCAGCTTTAATACGTACGTTTTACGTTAGCTTTAAGCAGCCCCGCCGGCGTAGTCACCGGCCGTCAACTATCTCTCCCAGTCCAGCCCAGCCCAGCACACTTTATTAATAATGTATATTAATAATATTATAACCTCGTTGACAGTTGATCACACACTTGAACAATATTTGGAATATATATATATATTATACATGTTATAATAAGTACTGTTTCTCTGCATACGGTGTTGATTGGAGAAGTCGTTAAAACTTGAAGTCAAAATTAATAGAAAGATCGATCGAGTAGGTATGGCGGGGGCGGGGGCGGGGGATTCATCATCGTCGGGGAGAGGTGGTGGAGTTCCGCCAGGTTTTCGGTTTCACCCGACAGATGAGGAGCTTCTGCACTTCTACTTGAAGAAGAAGGTTTGTTTCCACAAGTTCGACATGGAGGTCATCAGGGAAGTCGATTTGAACAAGATTGAGCCATGGGACCTGCAAGGTACGTAATTAATTACTGGTGATATATGTTTTGAATTTTGAGATATATATAATAAATCCTAACGTACAGAGAGGTGCAAGATCGGATCGACTCCGCAGAACGAGTGGTACTTTTTCAGTCACAAGGACAGAAAATATCCGACAGGTTCAAGGACAAACAGGGCAACGAGTGCTGGTTTCTGGAAAGCAACAGGAAGAGACAAATGCATAAGGAACAGCTTCATGAACAAGATTGGGATGAGAAAAACACTTGTCTTCTACCGAGGTAGAGCTCCCCATGGACACAAGACTGACTGGATTATGCACGAATACAGGCTTGAAGACAACATTATTATTAATCATCATGATCCTCAATCATCATCATCATCATCTTCAACTACTACTGCTGTAAGTACTTCTTTATTAATTATTTATTTATATATATACTCATGATTCATGATGATGCATATGCATGCATTTTAACAGACAGATGACGAGGGATGGGTTGTTTGTCGGGTATTCAAGAAGAAGAATCTATTCAAAGTTAATGGCAACAGCACTACTAGTACTGAAGGAGCTGCTGCAGTTAGTAATATGAATGGCGGAATGATGATGATGATGATGAATGAAGATGATCATCAGCTCAACAACATGAACATGAACATGAACATGAACATAAATGATGGTACTACCACTGCATCCACTCAATCTCGATCAGGAGGAGGAGGAGGAGGAGGAGGAGGAGGAGGAGGAGGAGGAGGAGGAGGAGGAGGAGGAAATACCACAGCTAATAATAATCTGTATAATTTGCTTCATCCACATGGCCACCAACAAGCATCAGCTGATCATCATCATCTAAACTATATTAATTCTCATCATCATCATCATCATCATATCCCACCAGCTCTAATTCATCATCAGCAGCAGCAACATCAATACACACAAGTTGAAGCCCACGATTTCATCTCCAACCAAAGCCACATGATTAACAGGCCGCCATTAATGTTAACTAATCATCACCATGATTTATCTTCTTCTAATTCACCTCTTCCAACTACTACTACTACTAGTACTGCTACTGCTACTGCTACAGATAATTATGATCAGCAGTCACCCCCTCACCATAGTATGCAAGTCAAACAGTTCATGTCCACAGATGATGACGATGACTCATGTCATCAACCAATTATATCCTCTCATGATCAGCTCCACCTCACCGCCAGATCAGATGATCATCAGAGCTTGACTGAATGGGACCCCCTTGTTACTTCCCATCATCACAACCCAAATCCCATCATTAATCCATTATCTCTACGCAGCGAGATGGACTTTTGGTCTTACGGCAAGTAGTTTTACTTATATCCTCCATCTCCATTAATCACGTGCGTTACCGGCCATCAACCTAACCTATTCACTTTCATGCCCCTACTCTGTACCAATATTTTTACTATATTCTTTCTCTTCTTTTTTTTCTTCTTAAATTTGAATCAAATGATTGAGGAAATGGATAATGATACAGTATGTTGTCAATTTTTTTTCTTCTTTTTATATTATGACGAGTGATGTAATTTAGTTCGATGGAGTGATGGTTAATCTGCAGTATCAATGTACTATTTACTATGAAATAAAAATTTACATTTACACAAAAGGATGGGTGGTATAAGCCTCTTAATTAGAAGCTGTATTAATTAATTAATAACTTGGTTTGTATGAAGCTGCTGCTGGACGCTGGTTGGAATATATATTCATAAATGAACATTAATTTTCAAGGCAAGAATCCAAAAGTAGCCAAACCACAGCTCAAGTAGGTCTCAGAATTACAATGATATTAATTGGTTAACTCCCTTAAATATGTATTGAAGAAATATAATATAATGCATCAAGGAATTACATTACATATCATCAGAGAGTAGGAATTCTTTCAGCTGAACCGGAAATAACAGTGAGCAAGTTGTTGCCAAAAGGATCACTCAAGTGTGCTGCAAGGTTTTCGACAGGACCTTGTCCAGTGACGTAGGCCTGAATGAAGAAACCGAGCATTGAAAACATGGCTAGCCTTCCATTCTTAATCTCCTTCACCTTCAATATTGCTGCCTGATCCGGGTCATTAGCCAGACCCAATGGATCGAATGGCCCACCTGGATGAAGCTTGTCCTCCAGATCCTACAAAAAACGCAAGCCAAGATTGTTTACAATAAATAGTCAATGTCATTTTTGTTTATATATATATCAAGACGAAAATTAAAGTGTGGCAGGCATACCAAGCCATTTGTAATTCTGTAATATTCCGCACCGCCGAGCAGTACAACCTCAGCAACCACAGCAACAACAAGGTTAATGGGGATGTTCTTTCCGAAATAATTCAATGTGTTCCCATCAAGAAGCAGTGCACCAGTCTGCGTAAATAAATAGGTTCAGAACATCATATAAATAGTATCTATGTTATGGGTGGTCTTGTTCTTTCTCTTGATTCTTCCAAAGAGCACGAAAAGCAGATCACAATACCTTAAACCAAACAGCTTCGGGCCCACAATTAGCTCCGTATTTGTTAAATGCCTCAGGGATGATAAACCCAGCTGCACCAAGCATGGCCCATCGAGCGTGAATGAGCTCGTATCCTTGATATCTAATTTTTTTTAAAATCCAAATCCAAATCCAAATTTATTTTCAAGATAAAGATCAATAACAATATTAATAATGAATGTGGACAAGGGATCTAGCTGAATGACTTACTTGGCGAAGTCTTCAGGTTTCTTGCCGAGTCCAAAGGGATCATATCCATAGCTGCATTATATTATTGGACAACAAAAGTGTGATATGCATATATATGAACAAGTAATGAGAGACCGAGACTGCGGGTATCTTGGTTTTTCTTTTTACAAATAAAGAGATGAATGAATGAAAAAGTACTCACTCTCCAGGCACTTCTCCAGTGAGGTATTCGGGGATTTCTGATCTGTCCAAGAGGCCATCAGGCAAGAAAATTCTCCTGTCAGGACCTGAAATCAATATCAATCAGATATATTTGTTGCTGTGATAATAAATAAAAATGTGATTAGATTAGATTAGAGTTTTAATTAATAAGACTTACCATACCACTTGGCGAGCTCCTCGTTGGCGGATGAGACGGGTGATGGCTTAGACTTGGGGGGAGGTGCAGCTGCCTTCTTGAACTTTGAGAATAGTGCCACTGTTTTGAAGGTGGCCGGACTCGACGGTGTTGGTGCCGACCTGCAGGATGCACCGCCGCTGAAGCTCAGCGGGTTGCCCAGCATCTCCGACACTCCCAACGAAGCCATTCTTTTATTTTTATTTCAGAATTCAGATGATGAGAAGGAAGAGATCGATGACACCACGTACAATAATTCAGATCGATTTTCAAACTGCCACTAAAAAGCTACCATTTGTGGATGCAGACGTGCCAACTAGGACTATGTTTCTTGTGCTTTCATTGGTCTCCCAAATCTGATACCCGATGAGATTCCAGATTATGCTGCTGACGTGGAATATCACCCTTCATGTTTTTCTTCTATCTGGATAACTTGTGCTATCCACACTACTCAAATATCCTTTTATTTTTTTCTTTCTTTCAATTATCTCTCATCCCTATTTAATAATATTCTCACTTAAATTCCCTCTATTTATTTTATTAAATTCAACTAATTATTCATCTTTTCCAAAATATTTGGGGAATAATAATTGGAGTTAACATTAACAAGAGTTCATTTTTTATGGAGTGTATTAACAGAGTTCAATCCGAGCTTGTTCGTAAATTTCATATAGGTAGAAGGGAATCCATCAAACACAAGTCAAACCCAATGCATATACTGTGTGTTCCAGCAAATACATATACATACATACATGCATACAGACCAAGCAAATGAAAACCTCAATTATACAATATATTACAAATATATATGAACCTCTCTCTATCTATCTATCTTCTCCACTTGTCCACCTCTCTGGAAGTTGCTTCAATTAGCTTTTTTGTATTCACAACTAGCTCATCAACAAGTGCACCAATTTCATCCCTGCCATATCAATTAATTTACCCACATTATTATTATTACTACTACTACTACTATTTCAATATAAATGCACCACTAACTATATACACTCACTCATATCTCAACATCAAGTATCACTCTCTAAATATTTTCCATACATTTCAGAATTACTCGGAATAAAGTGATTAGTAAAATTTCTCAAACAGCAAGATCAAAAGATTTGTTACTTATTGTGATGATGATGATGATTAGAGACACAAGATTCTCAGCAAAAACTTATTTATCTTACTTAGGACTATATACATGAGGTGTTTAGGTATCAAAGATCAAAATCTGCTTACCATTTACAGGTTAAAGCTGTATGTATATAATCATAAGACATAAACTTGATAAGAAAAAGATTTTAAAAACTTTCTCTTTGCTGTCAACACAAGGATTACCATTTACCAGCGCAGGAGAGGAGAGGAAGAAGAGTTTCACACTTTGACTTTCATTAGGGAGGAGGAGGACCATATATATTTCTTGTATTAGGTAGGTAGGCTCAACCAATACAGTACCTTCAACTAATATGAATAATGAAATAGCCTCATCATTTTCACATATATCTATGAAAAATCTTGAGGCTGACTTACTGCACAGGAAGATTCAGATTCAGATTCCCATTGCTGCGAAATCTGCCAACATTTGAGTGCCTGCGATTGCCATCATAGGCGATCCCTTTTCCCAGACCGTATCCAAAACCCAAACCAACACCACATCCACCTCCAAATCCAAATCCCAACTGCAAACCCGGAATTCCCGCTCCAAACCCGGCACCTTTATCAAAACAACCATCAAAGTAAAGTTCTTTTCTTTTTATTACTATTATGTATATAAACAGAAAAAGTGAGTGGGAGCTTAGGGATGTTATTGTTAACCTCCAATGAGTCCCACGCCGAAACCTAAACCGCATCCGGCGCCAATACCAAAAGCAGGTCCAATCTTTCCCAATTCTTTCGATTTAACTGCCGGTAGCTTCCACAATAACCCCTTCTCTTCTTCCTCCCTACCGCCGTTCATCTCGTCTCTCTTTCTTTACCCAACACTCTTTTTCTTTTTCTTCGAGGAAGTGCGACTAAAATTGTAACTTGTGTCATGGAGACCATCAAATACGGCCGGCCCCACTTGTTTAAGAAATTATACCGCTCCCTTATTTATTAAAATATATGTAATTTTTTACATTATTCTTTTTACTATTTTAATTAATTAAGAATATATATATATATATATATATTATATACATAGCTATAAACTAAGGGGGCAACTATTTTGAATACTAATTTTTGCTTAGTTGAATACTACCTAGTTGAAAACCACAATTGAGTACATATTTATAAGTTTTTTCTTACTTTAAAACCAAAATAAAAAGAAAATTACAAAAACACCCTTTCATACAAAATATCAATTATATCAAATTTTATTAGAAATTACCTATTCAAAAACCAAATAAAAAAAAAAGAAAAAAAAACCCTTTGTTGTAAAAAAAAGAAAACCTCCACCATTTCTTCTCCTCTCCAACCCTGACCGCCGCCGCCGCCGACGCCGCCGCCGCCGCCGCCGCCGAACGCCACCGTACGTGCTCGTAACTGCCGCGACAACCCAATTAAACCCTATCTTTTTCATCTTCTTAAATTCTCCAAAACATCTCCAAATTCAAAAAATCAAAACCTCACAAAACTTATAAAATGGAGTTATAAGACAATAATATGGTAGTATATGTGGAAAGAGAAGCCATTAAGGTAAGTATCGATGTCTTTTTTGAGCTTCGAAGTCGATTTTGAAGTATTTTTTTTGAAACCCGTCGGCAATTTTCGACACATACAGTGTTGAAAGAGGGTTTAATAATTTTAAATCTGAGTAAAAGAGAAAAAAAAAAAAAAAAAAAAAGAAGAAAAAAAAAGGTGTTGAAAGAGGGAGTGATGTACTGTAAACTCTGATATTTGGGATGTCGGGTTGTTTAAGTCCATTATCTTCTTCTGTTCCGGTGGCGGTGGGTAATACTTTTTCTCCTGTATCTGTTGTATATCTATCCCAACCACGTCGCCCACTGTATCAGCATCAGCTTCGCCGGCAGGATAAGAATTTCCTACAATTTGTCAACAACTGTTGTTCTAACAGCCTCGTCCGACAACTATGTCGTCAAGTTTATAATGCTTCTTCTGGTGTTTATGTTGATGACGATTTCCATTTGCTGTTGCAGGTTTACTGTTTTAAATTCCTTCTCTTCCTTGTTTTCTTTTTCTTGGATTCACCCAAGACCTCGGCTTTCCAGTTTTTCCTTACCTTTTGGCTTTTGGGATGGACTCTTTTCACAGATTCTTCCACATGATGTGCGCGAAAGTCTTTTGTGCCACTCCAAACAGGATCTACTTTTGGAGGTAGTAATAATACGATGCCTAGTTATTTTCTCTTTATTCTTTTGTTTATACAAGGACATGTGTAAACTGCTAGCTAAAGCTACCCCTCAGAATCAGTTTATTTTCTTGTTGTGTCAGGTCATACTGGATCTGGGCCGACGGCCGCAAGCATGTTATTTTGGTGATTATGGCAGACGGGACCTTAGGAAAACGGAGGTCAGGTCTCATGTTTTTGGTTGTCCCATATCGTGTTTTCTCATCTCATGACAAAGTCTCTTAACTTTTCTTCTCTGATGTCTTTGGCAGATATCAATGGAAGAACTTGAATATGCTCAAAATGCAATTGGAGAACTTGGAGGTGATAATAGATCTGGCATTGCAGGCACTCTGCATCGGATATCTGCTATTAGGAATAAGAATGGCAAAGTTGTTGGTTTGACTTGCCGAGTGGGCAGGCCAGCTACTGAGGCAGTAGACATGGTTCGGGATTTACTTGAGTATGGTAAAAGCATCTTGTTCTTGGGAAGGTAACCTAGCACATAATTGCATGAGGCCATCATAATGGCGCCAAAGCTAATTTTGTTTTGATTTTGTTATGATTGTGTTCTCGAGCATATGTATTAATTTTGTTTCAGTTCGGCAGGCCTGGTATTGGAAAAACTACATTATTGCGAGGGATATCTCGTGTCTTGTCAGTTGAGCTTCGCAAGAGAGTGGTATGTACTTTAATAGATTTAATAGTTTTAGTCTTTAGATCAAAGCTGATGTTAAATTTTATAATCAGATAGGTCATTGTTGACACAAGCAATGAAATAGGAGGTTATGGGGATATTCCACATCCAGAGATAGGGACAGCACGGAGATTGCAGGTTCCTGAACCATGGATGCAGCATAAGGTCATGATTGAGGCTGTACAAAATCATATGCCCGAGGTTATCATTGTTGATGAGATTGACACTGAAGCTGAAGTGCGTGCTTGCCGTACTATTGCTCAGAGAGGAGTTATGCTTATTGCTACTGCTCATGGAATAAAGCTGAATAATATTATTAAAAATCCACTTCTATCTGATTTGGTACGTTTTTATTTACCTCATTAATACAATTACACAATATATACGAACTCGCAGCGTCTCAATCTTCTAATTGCACGTCATCATGTTTCAATCTATACACTACGGTTAATTTTGAAGACTGCGTGTGTACAAAATACTCTTGGAATCTCATTATGCAATAATGCTGACAGATGCTTTCTTCTATTCCTTGTCTTTTTTGGTGTGTTTTGGAATTTCATGTGCTCACTAATAAGATCGTAGTTGTGAACCTTAAATACTCGAACTTGTAATTTTCAATGAGGGGTCGGATTCATTATCTGACAGAAGTCTTCTTTAAGAAATCAACTATATCAAAAATGGTAAACTTAGCTGCCAAAGTTATAATTAAAAAATGAAAAGTGATACGTTAATCTTTTTGCTCATTTAAATTCAAAGTGACTAATATTTCAGTATCCAAAGTACCACCTCCATACCGATGCTCGTCAACTGCTATAATAGAGATAAAAACGGTCCCCCCTTGGTAGAGCCTTAGAGAATTTGGTGGGAAACCAATTGCATACATGTGTTTACTGCAAGTAAAATGGAATCTTAAGGCCATTCAATGTTAAAATTGACGTAAAGTAGTATACTGCAAAATATTCAAACATAATTAAAAATATTGGCTTACATGTCCGGGGGTTTATGTATTTTGTTTTTTGTCCTGTGCCGTGACACGTGCAGATTGGAGGGCTAAAAACGGTCATTTTGAGTGATCAAGAAGCTAAGGCCAGAAATTGCAAGAAAAGCATTCTTGAGAGAAGAGCGTCTCCAACATTTCCATTTGTGATTGAAATGAGGGAAAGGCAATATTGGGTCGCACATCGGGTTAGTTGATCAATGTTTTTTTTTCCACCAATGCATGTGAATAATAAGAAATCATGCTACTGAAGTTGCAAACATATTTCCATCCATCTCTTTATCGAATGCAAGTAATATTCTTCTGGAGGGTATTCTGAGCCTAATAGAAGGGAATCTTGGTACCTTACTTGTTTGTATGCTGAAACCAGAAATAATAAATTTTTATTTGAAATATGACATGTGCCAACAGACTGATTACTTGTAGGTCATTAAGATGGGGTACTAATATTGAGATTTGGCCACTAAGATATTATTGGATGCTATTGAAAGTAGAACATTATCCTACTATCATTTCCTAGTTGATCGTCCTGTTCTAGTAATACATTATTCTGCTTCCGTTGCTTGCCATTTAATCACTAAACATCTAGTGTAAATAGATGATAAATGGTAGCTTTTAATCTTGTAAAGAGACAGAGGACTCGTTACAACTTTGACCAATTGTTTTTGTTTTTCCCATTATTTTTTCTTGACAGACGGACAAGAATGTGGATGAGTTGCTTTATGGGAAAAAGCCACTGGTTGAGGTAATTATGTCCATATATTTTGTTGTATATTTGACGAATTATATGAATCCTTTTGTTAGGATTTGAATGTTCTTAAGTATAAAGTTGTGAAGGATCATATAGGGATAAGTTAAGTTGTACACTACCAAATCGTAGTTAAGTAGAAAGTTGTGAAGGATCATACGGGGACAAGTTAGAATGAATTAGTTGTACACTACCAGATGAGTAAAGGACTGTTAAACTAAAGAGTGCTGTGGTATGGTATGGGATAATTCTAACGCTTTTTTGTTTTGCAGGTGAGACGCATAGATAAGCAATTCAAGGTTGTGATTGAAAGATGGAAAACAGAGGACTGACTGCTACCATTTCTTGAGACATGAATATTATATATATCTATATAGACAGTGTTACCTTTAGCTGTGAAGTGGTGCTGGGAATATGCTAAACAATCCTTTGCAGATTCAGTGAAGTAGCTACTAGGCCGAACCAACGGCATAGTTGAGTCAAGTGGTGTATATATATTTAGTTCATACAACTTTAAGTATAGTTGATGCTAATGTTTACTTCAACTTGTTTTAATGTTGTTTCTACTTATGTCTAAACTGCGGCTAAAATGCGGGGCTGAACGTGCATATAATGAAATATCTGATGACAACTAAACTTCTTTTTTTTTTTCGGGTTTTTTTTTACCAACAAAGAACTATACTGGTTGCTCAATGGGCAGCTGGAAAATGGAATATTAACAATCAAGAAACTGTATGATTCTGTTCCATCTTAAATATTTATTACTGATAAAAGGTTTTAAATATTTAGCCGAGGCCTGGTGGCATGTACGGTATAAGTACACTAGAGTTGTTGATAAATTAATTATATATGTGGCAAATGTGTGGAGGGTAATCAGAGCAACACGGATTGTGGATTTTAGTGCCTCTATCTCCTCCCTCCTCTTGCTACTGGTAAGAGTACTACACTAGCATTAATAGGCAAAAATGGCCATTTTTGGGACTGTTGTTGGAACATCTTTTCTATATCCCAACGGCTTTAAAACTGTAACCAAACAGTCCGCTTTTTCATTATCAAGAAGAACAACAGGAAGCAGTTTCCGGCTCAATTGTTCAACCGAGAAATCGAGCATCAAAATTGTTAAAAATCCTCCTGAATCTACACTCTCCGAGCTCGGTGTTCGCTCTTGGCCCAAGTAAGAAATAAGAATTACTCCTTGTCCATGTGTGTTTAATCGCCCAAATTTGCAATTCTTTATGGTTTTGTGATGATGGTTGTTTTGTTTTACGAAAATGTGTATATATATAGATGGGGATGCCCTCCGAGCAAGTTTCCATGGACATACTCTTCGAGGGAGACATGCTACCTGTTGGAGGGAAAGGTCAAAGTGTACCCTGATGATGGTGAGGCAGTTGAGATTGGCGCAGGTGACATGGTCGTCTTCCCCAAGGGAATGACCTGCACTTGGGATGTTTCTCAAGCTGTCGATAAGCATTACAAATTTGACTGAATTCTCAATCATCCATCATCTATCATCTTTCTTTAAAAGTTAAGACCAATCATTTTGATTTTTTCTTTACATTTACATCATGTGCGTGTAACCTGAATAATCCAGCAACTCTTCTCAGTTCTATGTTTCTTTCTATGGGTACGCCACTACAAATTCTAATATTCTGACCTTCACGCAATACATGGGTAAAATAGACAAATGCCAGAGGTAAATTCAGCTGAATTTGCTGAAACTATTTATAAAGAATGTCAGAAGTACAATTATTTTGTCCAATATCTACATTGAATTGTCTTGATTAGAAAACTAGCTGTTCTGTTACCCAAAAAAAACATACTACTTAGCTTCTGTTTTTAACTTCAGTAAATAACTTATCTTCATGTAGGCCGAGACGATTACAAATACAAACACGAATGACTGTTTTACAATACTATCAAGAGAGGGGGGTAAAACAAAAAAAAAAAAAAAAAAAAAAAAAAAAAAGGAAAATCCCTTTTAGTTATAAGGTGACAAAATGATTGTAATAATTAAATGCTACATGCTCATTGCCCTTGATGAGACCTCCGATTCACCTTCCTGCAGCTCTGCTTCAGCTGCACCTTTTCGTTCCTGGAGAACAAGTCATAGTAGTAATATTGCAGTGTTAATGAGTTGAAAGCGTAATCTGCTTTAAGTCTCTATTATATATCACATACCGCCTCATCTTTCAAGGCTGCTGCTGCTGCAAGGTATCTCTCCAAAGCACCTTCTCCCTCAAGTAATTTACCCCCACACCCAGCTACATCACTTGTACCTACTGATTCTTCGTCAACCACCACAGCATCTACTCTTTCTTTTCCGCTCCTTGCATCTGGTATCTAAACAGAATTTAAAAAAAAAAAAACGGTAACTGAATAATGTAAAACACATGCCGGTATATAGCATTAATAACACTGATGTAATGACAAACCATATATTAACCAAGTTTACCTCATACATAGCATCTGTTAGAAGGCTTTCTAGTATGGTTCTCAATCCTCTAGCACCCGTATTCTTTGATATTGCTTTATTGGAAATCAGTCTTAAGGCTTTCTCAGTAAAGTGTAGCTTCACCTGGAATTTATGCATACACAAACAATTTACTTCATTTACTCAATGACCAAGGATACAAACAGTTAGCTGCATGATGAAGAAAAAGGCTTACGTTATTCATTTCTAGTAACTTCTTGTACTGCTTACCAAGTGCATTTTTCGGTTCTGTTAGGACCTGTAAAGTAAATGAGTGTCAAATATATACAATTCTAAATGAAGGATATTTAACACACACACACACACACACACACACACACACACACACACACACACACACACACACACACACAAGAGCAATGAATTAAATAAATTCAACATAGTATTTAGCCGGACCTTGGAGGAGGCTTTGGTTACCATCCTCATATTTAATGTAGTTTTGAGGAATGTTTTAAAATGTGAATAACGATAGCTGACTTACCATATGTATTTAGCATGATTCTAGGCTAACTTATAGATTAAGAATTATATAGTCACCTTAGGCACAAGGGTTAATTTCAACTATAACCCCCAACCCCAACACAACACCCCCCTCCTCCCCCCCCACCAACACACATACACTCCTCTTAAATGCCCAAATTAGAGGCTACTACACTCGTAGATATTAAAAAAAAAAGAAAAAAAGAAAGCATATGTTACGACTTCTGCTAGATTGTTCCGTTTGTAAACCAAGCAGAATGGGTAAATAACATTTCATCCTCACTTCACACTAAAAAAAATGAAGAATAATGAAATTACCTTCGTAATCTTTTATCTGATATCCTAAGGCGTACAGAAAAAACTGAAGACTAGCTAGGATATATTTTCACAAAGACACTATATGGGACTCGAATTGAATATCTTTGTCACAACAAGCTGGGCATGGGCATGGGCATGATTAAAATCTAGCTCCAGCTCGAGTCAAGTGTTAAATAATGTAAATAACGTCTAGGTTAATAATTATCTAGTTACCTTAGATACAATGCTTGATATGTGCATAAATACTTGTGATTTCTATGGACTAAAATCATTAGAAATTCCTCCACTTTTCTGTTGACGAAAACATTGTTTAGTGTGCCAGCATAGTAGGAGATCCTTAACTGCCATCATCAACATATAGAACTAGTTTCACAATACTATCAAAACCATGACCATTAGAGATAGTTCATACATCAAGCTTTTTCTACATGAATTCAAGGTGACAAATACTAGCAGAAAACAAATTGTTGGATATGGATGCCTGTCCCTATTTTAACTCTTGTATTAGGAATCACACTACGTGCATTGGTAATTGTTTGATAAGAAAGAGAAATATCTGCTTTTCAAAGAGAATCTTCTTCCGTCCATTTACCGTTTACCATCCCAGCCTTACATAATATTTACCGTTTTATGTGGTCTTTACAACAGATTATTGTTGATACTGGTGACTCAGTTGAAGTGAGTTGTCACTAGTATACTTAGATCTCATTTGGTTGGAGAGATTAGCCATGATTAACTAAATAATTGTACTTCATTTGATGTTTGGTAATCCCAATTATTTTCCAGGTCGACCCAGAAATAATATATTATCATGGTTTATATTGACTTTTAGGGAAAGTATTTATTGGACCTTCATGGTGCAATTAATTGGCTTTTCATTATATTAGTTAATCTTATCTTGACTAAGATAATGACTAATCTTATCTTGGGAACCAAACAGGCCTTAGAATATAATCACATATTCCTATATCTTAGCAAGTTCTGCTTGCTACACTAATGCTATGTTCAAGTAAATCACTGCAAATCCTCTAAAGTAGATAAAACTACTGCTCCATCAATGGTGTATGTGGCATCCTTCATTAACTATAGACAGTAAAGTCTCTCTAGTAGAATAGATTAAGTTTTGAAGTTACCTAAAATGTATTCGCACTTTAAACTTTTAACTTAGTTATGTAACATATAAGTAACAGAAACTGATTTTCATCCAACACTTTTGTATCTCTATTGCAGTGACGTTAAAACAGTGAATTCCCAGGCAGGCAAATTAAATTAGAAGTTTAACAAAATTGCTTCTGCCTGTCTAACATGAGATAAAAAGAGGAGATATCAACTGGTACCAGGGGCTATCGTTATTACCTGAACAAGTTGATCTTCTGTAAGGGCTGACAAACTAACCAAAATAGGGAAGCGCCCAATAAATTCCGGTATGAGGCCATACGCTATGAGATCACTACTTTCAACCTGAAAATTTCACATTTTCAGATTTGAAATACAGCTCAAGCCAATTTTGGTAATTCATATAATCCAGGGCAGCCAATGATAATATCTTAGAGATCCCAAGCTCTCTTATTCTTACGGATTCGAGTAGGGATGATGTTATAGAAGCATCAATCACTCCACCTGCTCTCATATTAGCACGTACTGGGGCTCCAAATCCAATTGATGAATCCTGCCGTCTGGGAAAAAAACATTGATAGATTCCATGGTCAACTACGTCTAAGTTATGATCAAGTAACAAAGCATCGTCAGTCATGGAGGAACTAGCAAAAATAGAAAATCACCTCTCAGAAATAGTTTTCTCTAAATCAACAAATGCTCCCCCGCATATAAAAAGAATGTCTTTAGTATCTATCTGAAGCGAAAATAGAAATATTACTGATTATATACTTAGTGAAGAGCAGTGGAACATTATCAATCATAAACTATTCTATCATAAGCCAAAAGGAAAGGGGAATACCAGAGATTGTACACAGTTCCGTGAGAAATGAAACAATAGGTGGAGCACCACATCATGTTCAATTTTGACATTTTTCTACCATCAGAGTAATATCTAGAGAAACTAATAATCCATAATCTAAATAAATTACCACATGGATAAGAAGGTTCCTAATTATGACCAACAATCTATACTTGCCAGGTAGCACAACCTCAACTTGATCTAGCAAAAGTTCACTACCTTTTGTACCATTCTGATTATTATTTTGTTATACTTACTCCACTCCATAAATAGATTATCCGAGAATGATCTAGATTACACAGCTAGCCCAAAGCCTCATATTAAGATACACCATGAACATGTTGTAGATAAATAAAACAAATTTGAAAAATGAAATGCAAAAAAAAAATATAAAATTCTTGTTAGTGGTTGCATTTGTCCCACATGGCCAGTTTGTTGGGCTCTTACAATGTGTATAAGTGGAATGACACCGTCTTCCATGAGCAAGCTTTTGGAGATGAGTTTCACCCAGACCCATTTAACATGGTATCAGATCAGATTTATGGGCAATGGTGGTTTCGGACACCAACCCATATGTATGGGCCACTACGTGTGACGGCGGGTGCTAGTAGTTGAATTCATGTTTATATGTGGAATAGGCACCCTCTCTCTTCTAAAATACTGACCAATATACATTTTAAATAACCATGAGTTCTAAAATACCTGAATATTATCGCCCCGGGGGTGCTTCCTTGCCCCTTTTTCTGGAACATTTACTACCTGGCATAAGAAACGTGACAGAAGTATAAAATATCTTCGAGCCATGACACAATAACAGAGGTATAATTTGTACATATTATGATTAAAATGAATCATATATATTGTCACAAAAATAAAATCAACGTCACTGGGAAACTAAAACACACCGTCCCTTCCAGCATTTTCAGCAGCGCCTGCTGAACACCCTCACCAGAAACATCTCTGCTGGTGTTTAAGCTTTCAGCCTTAATTAAAACCACAAACACAGGAAAAATTATTACAAACGGGAACCATATTGCAAATTGATAGAAGATCAAAATACATAACAAGGAAAGACGATAACCTTCTTAGTTATCTTATCAACTTCATCTATGTACACCATCCCTTGTTGTGCAGCTTGCACGTTAAACTCAGCAACCTTGGAGCAAATTTAAGAAATTAATAGTAGGTCTTATTCACGTGATAATGTAAAGACAACATGTGCACACTCTTTTTCCTTTCAAAATGGAGAGGCATCTCCAGATTTCTTGGTTTTTTTCCCAAGCAAAAGAACTAAAGAGTAGTGAACACTGAAATCTAATATGGGTAAGATAACTAACCAACTTTTTGGCTCAGTCAACTGCACTAGTGTTTATTTCATTTAGTTTAATTTATCCTACTAAACGGATCTGGCAAAACCATATATACTGCATTACCTTAAGCAAGACAAAATAGTTAATCTGACATAATATTACTTTATCTTCTAAAAGTCAAAGCATAGAAAGCAGCTCTGGGCATCTTAACTACATGCACATTACTAATAGAACAGTATCCCGAACTTAGTATTCATACTTAAAAGTTACAACATACACTTCAAGTATTCAGAATTCCAAATTAAAACTATGCACACTCTTTTTTAATCCTAAATCCTTATAGCATCACAACCAGAAATCTCTTCACCTAGACATACTGAATGATTTATTACTACAGTGTGACCACAGAGTTAAGTATGTAAACCACTTCTAACTTACTTAAGTGGAAAACCTATAACAGCATGCAAGCTTCATGGTCAACAATCTATGTTGATGGCATGCATTAGAACAATTGAATATAACACACAATCAAGGAAGAAAATAGTTAGCATACTGTTAGTAGTTTGTACAATATTGATTCAACATCTTCACCAACGTAACCAGCCTGCAAGATACAAAAATTTGCTTTTAGATATGAAGAGCTGAATGAGCATAGATAAACAGATGACATATAGGGTTTTTAGAATCGAAAAGAAAAGAAAAGGTTATCATGATTTTGAAAATGATTCAACACATATTTCTTTCTACATGTTTACTCATGAAACTAAAGTTACCCGAAACCTATTTGTCCAGATTTAAAGATGAAATTCGGTAAAGATTCTAAACAGAGGATATCCTTTTATTGTCGTTACTATCCCAATACAATGTTGCATATTGCACGGTTATCTCTTTCATTTTAGCCATTAATAGAAAATTATATCTTTCAGTTTTCAAATTTACTGTTGACACTCCATGGAGTTTCTTCTTAGAGAGATTTTAAGTTTCTTCTTCAGCTTGACAGAGATTCCAAGATTATTTTTCTCTTATCCTATTATTTAAATTTTCACCCTCTGCAATATTTGTTGGACAAACTTAATTGAAATACAGGAGTTCTGCATAAAAACAACAATGATATTATGACTTGACTAAAAAGAGCAAACAAGTTAATTTGCAATAGCAAATCTCTAATCAAATATTAATCCATATTAAGTCTCGGAAACAATGATGATTGCAAGAATAGAGCTTCATTTTTCGCCACTGAAAATACACAGGGATCCACATCAATAAATTCCTATCCCGGCATTTATATACTTGAAAAAAAAAAAAGTGAAAATAATAACACACCTGGGTCAAAGTGGTTGCATCTGCAATGACAAAAGGTACATTGACAAAACGGGCAAGAGTTTTTGCAAGTAGTGTTTTCCCTAATTATCATGCAACAATACCATATTAGAGAGACAAGGCCATGATCATGACATACTCATTGAGTAAAGATAGTAAAGCCAGCACAAATTGAGTTGAAGAACATTTAAAGTATGAGATCTGAAACAAGTAATCATACCTGAGCCAGTTGGACCCATCAAAAGTACATTGCTCTTTTCCAAGTCTACATTGTCGTCATTATCTAATCTGGATGATTCATTTTCTGACCTAGTATCCGTGAACAGGCATTTAGACCAGAAATGAGTAAAATGCCACTAATGTATATTCAAATGCTCGTGTAGAACATCACAACAAGATCTACAATTGGAATTTCATTATCATGTTTCTTGCTTCAAACATTTAGATTAGGAGATGACCCCGTTAATGATCTTGCTACCCCCTTTCAGTGTTAAAAGCATTAGTAGGGTCCAGATTCCAACTTTTACCGTCTTCTCGTACACCCTAGTGGTGTATCTCAGGTAATGTCACATTCAATACCAAAGCCACGTATGACCTACACTTGACAATTACTAGGGATAGCAATGACATCCCAGAAAAGACAAGTGGAGCTGGATTTGTGATCATAACTCTTATCTGCCTACTCGACCATGGTAAAATCCTCGAGCGAAAAATAGAGTATGAAAATATTCTGAAACTTGTCGCAAATCCTGAAACTATCCAGTATTTTCTATGAGATTGCCCAATGTGAAGATCATTTGGAATTTGCAGTTTATTCCTAAATAGAAAAAATAATTACAACAAGTGATCATTGAGTGAGAGTCTCAAGTATATGATATATCTAATTCAGAAAAATGGTCGAGAATATGTATTTCAAACTTCGATACACATTGAAGAATAATTGTGCTTGAGTTTTGCAGATATTGAGGTGAATCAGGACCAATCTAGTAATTTGGAGCTTCGACGTTGAGAAGTCAAGTATACTAAGCAAGCGATGCCTTACAGCGGCATTAAATTTGTGATTTTCATTTTTTCTGTTGCCAAAAAATGATTAAATAAATAAATAACTGACCAGAAAGCAAATAAGACACTAACCCCTTCGGCAAAGAGGCATGATAGATCCTTTTGTAGTGATTGTACACAGCCACTGATAGCACCTGCCAGCATCAAGAGCAACAAACTTTAAAATCAGGTTGATGTATGACTGAATTAGTAATGAAATGCTTAAGATAAAGATGATCGAACGAAACACAAAATCGTATTCAAGTAACAACATTCACCCTAGAAACAAGATTACATCAAAAGAGGATGATCATCAAACAAATAATATGTAAAACGGTTTTGATATTGGGATAGGGGAAAGAAAAAGAATAACCAGTTAAATATGTGTATGACTGAGGATACTCATTGGTTATGTACAAGCAAAAAAAAAATGAGAAAAGAAGAATAAATGGAACCTTTTTGGCGCGTTCTTGGCCAATAACAAATTTGTCAAGTCCCTTGCAGATCTCCTTTGGGGTGGGTAATTTTTTACCAAGATTAGAGCCACCCCAGGTGCTCTTATCTCCATTATTAACACCAGCACGAGTTCCATGGCCACCACCACCAGGACCTGATGCTCGAACAACATTGATACCAGGAGCAAAAGGTGGACCAGGTGGGGTATGCACAGCGATCCCATTCCCGGTTGAAGGTGGAGGTGAAGGCCAGTTCTCGGGTGGCTCACTGCCATATGACCTCAAGGTCTCCCAGAAAGAGGGACGCAGCCTCTTCCCATTGTCTTGGGGGTCGGTCAACTTCTTGTCAGAATTAGAATTTTTGTTCTTCACCCTTCCAATCTCAACGAAACTTCCCTGGAGAGGGGACATCTTGAATGGCCTGAAGTAATAGGCCGTCTTACAATTGGGGCAAAGATTTACTGCCTGGAAAGCATTCCCTCCCCCTGCTCCATCTTTGGGGGATGGATTATTGCTGTCGTGGGTATTGTTAGTGTAAGAGTTGTTATTGCTATTGTGGTTGACAATATTGTTATTATTGGGGAAAGTTGGAGGAGCAGGTGCATCACCGAGATCGGAATTGGGTGGGGATGGAGGAATGAGGTGGTGGGAGCGGTTGGTGAAGAGGAGATCCATTTGCTTGGAGCAACGAGGGCAATTGGCCTCCGCCCTAATCCTCCGAGTGATCTGGCGGGGCTCGTCGTTGCCACCACTGCCGCCGCTACTGCCGTTATCCCATCTGTATCTCTCCTGCACTCCGATCAAGGACTCCCTGCGCTTCACACAAGACCCCACGTGCAAACTATTCACCAAACCCCGCTTTTGCACCTGGTTATAATTCCACCTCCACCAACCCCCTTTACATTTCTTCTTCGACACCTCCACGGCCACTTCTCTTAATTTTTTCCATCTCCAAACTCCCGACATATCTACTTCCGGTATATCGTAATCCTATTTCTTCAATCCCGATGAAAACAAATTGCGTTGGGAAAAACAAATTGCGCCGTGGCTGTTACATAAATTTGCTTGAAGCCGAATTCTAATATCAGATGGATGGATTTCTAAATTCTGGAATCTGTAATATAAAGTACAGATTTAATGAAAGACGGTTCGTACATTAATGTCTTTTTATATACACAAGAAATCGAATACTGTTATACAGGGAGAGCAGAAGATAATGTACGAGATCATTTGTAGGAGAAGCAAAGCCCAGATTAGATTAGAAGATTAAAGCCAACTAGCCAAGAATCAGACGATGGGGAAACGAGTGGAATTTACATATATGAGTAAAAAGCACTTTACCCCCTAAACTAATACGCGTTTTGCGCTTTGCCCCCCAAACAATTTTTTTTAGCACGTTTTCACCTAAACTCAGCTTTTTGTTGCACGATGCCCTAAAAATGGTATATTCCGGCAAAATTCATCAGAATTATGAGCATGTGAGCCACACGTGAGATTGGCCGTGAGATTGGCAGGGCTAAAATTGTCTTTTCACTTCCAACTTAGTTGGGGTTTGACTTCTCCATTTCGTCTTCATCTTTCGGTTTTTTTTCTTCTTTTACTTTCAATTTTTTTTCCCTTTTTTTTCTCCCCTTTTTTTCCCCTGATTTTAATTCTTCTTTCGTTTTTTTTTTCTTATTTTCTTTCAATTTATTTTTCTCCCTTTCTTTTCCCTGATTCTAATTCTTCTTTCTCAATTCTCGTTCATCACTTACTCTCCGTAATCCAGTTCCCACAGCTTCTGCTGCCGCAATTAACCTGAACAACTTCACCACAACAACTGAGAACCGACTCCGACAACGAGACCCACCCCCAAATCCCAGCCCACAACCGCCCACCATCCCATTGCCAAACGATTACGCATTAACGTCGACGACGAGGCTAATGGATTAATTCCGCTAGTGTCGCTATAAAATCCGGATCGGTGGTTATAGCACTGATGGTGTCGGCATACGAAGGTTGAGACTTTGGAGACCCGAAAACTTCGATTGGTTGTACAGATCTTGGCTGGATACTTGAAAAATCAAATGATTCGGGTTCGGGTTATACCAAATCATCATCACCTTCACCTATGGCCGAGAAGGGAGGAGTGGGGCTGGCGGTCGTCGGAAAATTTGGGGACTTTCTGATTCTTTGGATTGGGGGATGAGTTGGATTTGGGTGGTGTGGGTGACGGATAACTGAGTTTGTTTATTTTTCTTTATTTTTTTATTATTTTTTATTTTTTATTTTAATAATTAATTTATAATTAATATATAAGATGTAAGTGAAGGGACAAATTTACCCTTCAAATCTCACGTGCATCGCACATGTTTTAACATTCCGGTTAAAATTGCCGGAAAATTGAGTTTAGGGGGCACCGTGCAACGAATAAACGAGTTCAGGTAAAAACGTGCAAATTTTTTTTGTTTGGGGGGTAAAGTGCAAATCGACCATTAGTTTAGGGGGCAAACTGCTTTTTACTCTTACATATATCCTGGGGACACAAATCCAATATTCCAAAAGGGTGCGCATTTGGACCGGATGGTCCGCCCATGGAAGAAAAACGGATGCTAATAGTTGAAAGACGCGTGGATATTATTAATACAAATTGTCAAAGACGCGTTATATGCAAGCCCATTTTTTTATTAGTTTAAGACCTCCAACATCAAAATACTAATTTACCCTTAATGAAATGTAAAATCAAATAAAAAACATAAAGCATTAAAAAATAAAAATAAATCATTTTCTTTGTGCAAGACGAAATAAAATACATAAATCCAGAAACCCCTCTTTCTTATTTCACGACTTAAAACTCTCATCCTTCTTCCCCTTCTTCTTCACAAACCCACTGATGATGCTAAAGTTTAGCTCACCTAGGATAGTGTAGAAAACGAGCTGGGAGAGCAAAACTGATCAGTAGCTAGTCAACTCGATGTTCCTGAGGTCCCTACAAAACAAGTACACGTGAACTAAGCCGGGGGTTGATCCGGCGGAAACCCCTCCGACGCTCAAGTCAGATGTATGGATCGTAGAGAGAGTAGAGAGAATAAAACTTGAGGTGAATTGTCAAATATGAGAACGTACCTTTTCCAATGAATAAACCATCTATTTATATATCGTTAAATGCGTTGGGCTTACTTTGTTGGGCCCAAGCCTTATTTTGAAGGAGCTTGGGCTTTCGCGTGATGGGTCCACTTGGTAGATAAATTTGAGGGCCCATTGGGCCGGCCTATTTAGGTATATCATTAAGCCCCCCAACTCTCGATTTGAGACGGGGACGTGTGTAGAGGGATCCGGGTCGTGTCGAGAGTTAATTGCGGCGTTGATTGAATTGTTTTCGTTGCCGGTGGATTAATTCCTTAATTTTAAGTAAGGAATAATTGTATTTGTTTGGCAGCGAGGTATATATTTAAGGGTTTTAAATATTGTACCAGGGCCAGATAAATAGACTCCTTTTGCGGTGGAAAGTATTAAACTCCAACTCTTGCAATTACTATGGGTATGTTTTTTTTCTGAACTCTATGTTTTCTTCTGTGCTATTTGTCTCTTGAAAAAAAAATTTGTGTGGTAGAGTAGAAATTTTTTTGTTTCTTGGTTGCTTTGTCGGCGAAAATTATTTTTCTCATGTCGAACTCGGGTAATTCGAAATCATTGCGGATTAAACTTCGAGATTCGGTTGAAGGGGGCAAGAAAACTTTTGGTACGGTGGGCTTGGAATCCGAGAATCTTGTGGTATCGGGTGCGAAAAACGGATCTACATCCGGAGGTGTGCGAAATTCCGTGCAGATGGGGGTAGATGGCTTGGAGGTGGGGGGCGGCTCCAGCCGCGTTTCCAGCCAATCAAAATCGCGTGAGGGCGCGCGCTTCGAGGTCAGAGAGGAGCTGAGCCGAGCCGTGGAGGGGGAAGCCGGGTCGGTGGCTGAGGAGAGGAGGGTTGGTGCACGTGGTCCAATGGGAGGAGGCCACGTGCGCGCCTCGGGTAGGGCAGAGTTGAGCAGACGCCCACGTGGGCCAGCCGTGGGCAGAGGCGCGTCAGATTTGCGGGGACGCGCGCGCGGGATTGGGGCGTGTCCCGACGCGCGCGTGGTGGCAGATGGAGAGGGCGGTGATGACGCGCGCGCGGTGCCCAATGTGGGCGCGCGTACGCGCGCGTCGCTGGATGGTTTCGGGGCGCGTGAGCGCGCGTTTGTGGCTGGGGAAGAGCCACGTGGGCTAGCTGTACTGGGGGACGCGCGCGCGCGTGACTCCGCCCATTTTGGGGTCGCGCGCGCGCGTGAGGGCGCGTGTGAGGTCGGTTTCGGGCTCGGTTCGCGCGAAATTAATGGGCAAATTTCCGAAGGTGTTGATGCGCGTGATATTTTACATGGGGGAAGTTTTGGTCGGCGAGAAATCATTGAATCGTGGAGTGACGATGTAGAAGTGCATAAGGATATTACTATTCCCCCTACCGTTGATGAAACGGATTCCAGTAGACGTCGTTATGGGCGTCAAGTCGTGGACTTTGGGAGCGATAGTGATGATTCGAATGAAGTTCCGTTGGCGAGTGAACATCCGGTGTCAAGTAGTGAAGTTGAGCCGACGGATGACGAGGGGGAGGAAGATGATATGCCGCCAGGTGATGTTGAGGTTGACACGAGGAGGCAAAAGAAAAAGAAGCTAATTAATTTGGACTTAGTTGATTTTGATAGTGTGTTGACGGAAGAGCATCTGCACTCTATTCGTCGTTTATCTGGAGCGCCAAGTAATGTTGAGTTGTTGTTGCCTCAGAAGGGTGACCGTTTGTATTCGCCACCCGACGGATTTCATACGGTGTTTTTGGGTTACTTGACGTGTACATCTCAGATTACACCGCATCCGACCTTGTTGAAGGTTTGCGAGGAATTTAAGATAGGGTACAGTCAGTTAACGCCGACTGCAGTTCTTACGTTCGAGGCGTTTCACCATAGGTTGTCTTTAGTTGGTTTGCCTTTGAATGTGAGTTTGTTCAAGGCGTTATTTACGTTACATCGTCCCAATATGACGCCTTTCTTTTGTTTTCATCCTCGCGTTCCTTATCGATTCGTGAAGAGTGTGAAGTTATCTTTGGGGAAATGGAAGACCCATTTTTTTTATGTGAGGGCTCCCACTTTTGAAGTTCCTGTTGTTTGGAATCCTTCGTGCGAGAGTTTCACGATAACTGCGAATATGGCGAAAAGGATTGAAGAGTCGGGATTGTGTGACGTGGAATTTGACCCGAGGGTTTTAATACCAAAGCCGAAGGGTCAGCGCTGTATATCCTTTTGTTGCCTTGACTTGTGTTTTTTTTTTTTTTTTTTTTTTTTTGTAGTTCTGTGGTAGTATATACCTCATGTCTCTTATGTGTTTGTTATCTTCTGTAGATGGGGGTATCACCTTTGCGGCACTTCAAGCTAAAGCGAATAAGACGTCGAAGAAGGCATCGAAGAAGGTGCCTTCTACGTTGGGAGGTTCTTCAAGTGGTTTGCTTCGTGAGGAGGTCCATGTAGAAATTCCTCGAGTTGTCGCAGATGACCGTAGCAGTGCTGGCGAAGTGGAGGGACGTCCACTGACGAAGGTTCGTGGCAAGGGAAAGAGGGTGGATACTGAGTATGTGGCTGTTCCTAAGCGTCCACGGGTAGACCCAGAGGAGACTTATGCTTTCCATGGTGGAGGAGGGAAACAACTGTTTACTTATGGCGTAAACCGCGATGGTAAGGAGTCGTACTGGGATGTGTCGGACTATGATTTGCCGATGTTGAGTACCGAGGGTTTCGTTAGGGAGTATGATCGTGCTCGGATGTCTGGTAAGGGTCCTTCTCATATGCTAGAGTTAGCTGGTGGAGACATATGTCGGGTGAGTCCTTGTTTATTTAAAATCATATTAAGTGTCATTTCCCCTCTTCTTTGTGTAAAATTTTTTTTTTTTTTTTTTTTTTTTTTTTAGTTGGTAGCGACTTGGAGATATCTCATGGAGCACGGTAGGAATGTGGAGGCTAGGGAGGAGGAGGAGAGGGCTCGTAGTCAAGCGCGTGAGGATGAATTTCTAAGCCAGTTGGAGGTAGCGCGGTCTGATCTTGCTCTACGCTCAGAAGAGCTTGCTCGGCGCACAGAGGAGCTTGCTGAGAAGACAGAGGAGCTCGAGGTTATTCGAAGTGAAGCGAAGGCATATAAGGATGATGTTCATAAGTTGAACGTATGCTACGACCAGCTCAAAGAGAAATATGAAGTTGAAAAGGCGACGGGGAAGAGGTT